ATCTGTAATTTATATAGGGGGGATAATAAAAAAAATGGACCTCCAAAAGACCTGGGTTTCATACTCAAAAAGACCTGGAAAAGCATCAAACCTGGGAATCAGACCAAAAGACCTGGGTTTAAAACCTGAGCATCGGACTTCACTAGTGTTGTCGTCCGTCGAGTAGTCGTCGTAGTCCTCGAGCCTCCGTCGCGCGCCGCAGCCCGCGCGACACCTCCCCGGGCAGGCGACGCTCGCGACGATCCCAGCGCTGCTCTTCCAGCCGGAGCAGTGGCGCGTCGAGGAGACGCTGCGGCAGTCGAGCGTCGGTTCCCCATGCTTGTGCCATGTCGGATCATCGCGACAGCCCGCCTTCTCCGAAAGGGCAGCCCGCGCAGCCCCGACGCGCGCGGTCGCGCACAAGACGGCGACCACCAAGGGCAGCCGCCGCATCATCGGTAGGGAGTACGCCTGAATTCAATGCAGTCACCGCGGCATTCATCAACAATCTCCGCGACCTATCCTGGATACGATTGGCCGCGCATCACCTGGCTCGCTCGACGCTGAAGTCTGCAGCGTAGAGAAATGAAGGCAACTACGGAAGGAAAAGCACGGTAGGCTTCGACGGAGGGCCACCGATGGTCCGGGAAGACCGGCGAAAACTATGAGGGTACCGTGCTTGTGTCGAGCACTCCCGCGCAGTGGGCGGTCCCCCACTGCGAGGAGGAAACTTTAGTGGGCACGAAAGCATTAGGTGGGAATTCAAAACTTCATCCAAACCGGCAGCGCTGGCTTCATCAAAATGCGGTCGCCACGCCCCGCGCCCACGCGCTCTCCGCCTTAAAAACAAAGTCAGCCGTGGCTTACCGGAACGCGCCCTGGCTGTCGACGCCCGCGCGGAGCGTGGCGGCGAAGTTGGCGGCGCGGGACGCTTTGCGGAGCTCGCGGATGCGCGCGTTGTCGCCGCGCGAGTTCGGCCGGCTCGAGCCGCCCGTCGGCGGCCGGCTCGAGCCCGAGCCCGGCGTCGACGCGCCGCGGCTCGGCGGCCGGAGGTTGCCCGCGCGCGCGGACGGCGCCGTCAAATCGCCGATGTCGGGCGTTTTTGGCACGTCGGGCGCGGCCTTGTCGAAGCTCTCCAGCAGGTCGTCGAGCGCGCGGTTCTGCGCGTTCGGCGCCCACTTGACCTTGTCCATGCCCCGGATCTCCTTCTCCTTGACGAGCCCCTCGTACTCGCGGTTCTTGCGCAGCCGCGCCGCCTTGAACTCCGCGACGTCGGCCATCATCTCGCGCATGCCGAAGCCGCGGTCGTCGGCGACGGTCTCGTCCTTGCGCACGAGGCCCTCGCCGCCGCGCGCGCCCCGCGCGAAGGCCGAGATGCCCTGGTTCTCCTCGGGCTTGCGCTTGCGCATGGCGAGCTCTAAATTCCGGAGCATGAGCGGCGCCGCGGTCTTGAGCTTCGCGTCGTCCTCTTACTCCTCTTCCTCCTCTTCCACCTCCTCGCTTGCGTCGACGGCCTCGAAGAGGTCCTCGGAGGCCTTGTCCATGACCGCGCGCTTCTCCCTCTCCGCTTCTGGTCTCCAGTGGTGTCCGTGTGTCGAAATTTTTAGACTTTCCTTTTGTAAAATAAGGCTGGATCTCGTCATAGACTGTGTTGAGCCTAATTTGATTCTCGTTCGCCGAAGCTTTAGCTGCGCCCCGTGCTTTATCTGGGTGGATTATCCTTGACACTTTGCGACGTCGATGATGCCCGGGCAGCGCCGCTCGCCGTGCGCGAAGGGGGCGAACTCGCACTCGCGCGAGCAGTAGGACCGTTTGCACGCGCGGCACGGGCCGATCATCGCGTTGCCGCAGCAGGGGTGCGCGCACTTGCCCCGCTTCGCGCCGAGCCAGCCGTTCGGCGGCGGCGCGGAGGCGGCGAGCTCGTCGTCGGAGCTCGGCGGCGGCGCGGCGGCGGCGGCGGGCTGCGGCCGCGGCGCCCGCGCCGTCGCCGGCGAGGTCGACGAGGTCGCCGCGCAACGCCGCGGCCGCCGCGCGCTCCGCGAGGAGCGTCTCGGGCCCTTTTGAAGGGCAAGCGGCGGTGTTGAGGTCCATGTTGAAGTGCAAGGTTTGAGGTTGAAGTCCAAGTTGAAGCGGCCTTTAACATATCCCGCCGGCGGGATATGTTACTGCACATGTGTCGGGGTGCGGCCGACGGCGGAGTCCGGGCGCCGCGCGTCCCGCGGTCGCGCGGAGTCCGAAGAGTCTTACGCGGCCGGCCTCGTCCGATCATAAGAAGCCGTCCTCCTTCTGGTTCGGGTTCTCGGCCTTCTTGACGGAGCGGATCATGTCCATGTAGGCGATCTCCACGGGCGTGTCCCAGCCGCCGATCTGCTTCGCCTTGGCCTTCACGCGGCGCGAGAACGTGATGAGGTCCGTGAGCTTCAGGCCGCTGGGCAGGCCCTGCTCCTTGACGATGAGCTTGCCCATGGTGTTGAGGGCCGTGACGCGCGTCGCGTCGTCGGCCGCGCCGGAGAAGAGGAGCAGGCTCTCGTCGAACTTCTTCTTGTACGCGCCCTGCTTGGCCCGGAACGCCGCGCGCTCCTTCTCGGCCTGCTTGAACTCGGCCGTGGGCTCGCTGAGGTAGGACGGCGCCTCCTCGTAGGCCTCCTGCGCGTAGCGGCTGTTCTTGTTGCCCTTGTCCGTCATGGGGTTGAGCGCCCAGGCCGGCCCGGCGAGCGCCAGCGCCGGAATGGACGCGAGGCCGGCGACGTCGCGCCGCGACGCGCCGAGGCAGCTCGTCGGCCGCGGCGCGGCCGCGGGCCGGAACGCGGCAGCGGCGGCGCAGAGGAGCGCCAGCGTGGTCCGTCTCGGAGCTGCCACCATGTTGATGGGTCGTCAGCTCGGACTCGAGGCCTCGACGACTCGCGGCTCGCTCAACAGTGCTCATCGCGCGCTGCCACAAGGATCGCGAGTCGAGTGCCTCGGCGCGCTCAGAGGATCTCGTCGGGCCCGCGCCGGACGCGCGGACGTGAAGCGCCTGTGCCGTCGCCGACGCCCCATCGCACCGTCGCCCGCCCGAATTACCCCCCCGGAGCCATGGCCTCGCGTTCTTCCGTGGTCGTCGCCGCCGTCGCCGCCGCCGTGGCCTGGCGCGTCGGCCAGGGCGTCGGGGGGGGCGACGAGGCGTCCCTCCGGGCCGAGGTCCGGGCTTTGCGGTCGGCCCTCGCCGCCGCGGGCGTCGAGGCGCCCGGCGCCGGCGCCCCCGACGGCGCGGCGGGGTGGCGGCCGCTCCGCGTCGCCGTCGCCGCGGCCGCGGCCTACGGCGCCTGGCGCGCGAGGAAGAACGTCGCGGCCTGCGAGCGCGACCTCGCCGCGTTCCGCGAGTCGGGCGTGACCACCGCGACGCTCCGCGACGTCGTCACGTACCGCGCGGAGCAGTGGTGGGCGACGACGGCGAGCGGCATCCCGTTGACGCTCCTCGCGGCGTCCGTGGGCTTCGTGCTCGCGGGGAGCCTCGCCTACGCCGCGGCCACCGGCGACGACTGGGAGGACGCGCTCTTCGCGTCGTGGCTCTTCGTCGCGGACCCGGCCGCGCACGCGGGCGTCACCGGCGCGGCGGCCACCGCCGTGGGCTTCGTCATGACCGTCGTGGGCCTCGTCATCTTCGGCTTCGTCGTCTCCGTGACGTCGGAGGTCATGGGCGCGCGCGTCGAGGCGTTGAAGCTCGGCAACTCCGCCGTCGTCGAGCAGGACCACACGCTCGTGCTCGGCTACAGCGAGAACCTGCGGCCGCTGATCGCGCAGGTCGCCCTCGCGAACGAGAGCGAGGGCGGCGGCGCCGTCGTCGTGCTCACGGATCGCATCCCCATCGCGGACCTCACGAAGGCCGTCGACTTCTCCGAGTCCGACGCGGCGCGGCGCGCGAAAAACGTCGCGACGACGGCGACGGTCGCGCGGCGCGGGTCGCCGCTCCGCGTCGGCGACTTGAGGCGCGTCTCCGCGCCCACGGCCAAGTGCGTCGTCGTCCTGGCGGACCACGACGTCGGCGCCGACGAGTCCGACGCCAAGGTCATGCGCGCCGTGCTCGCGCTGTCCGCGTTCCCGAAGCTCCGGGGCCACGTCGTCGCCGAGGTCCGCGACGTCGACAACGCGGAGAACGTGCGCCTCGTGAGCCGCCACCCCATCGAGTGCGTCGTCGCGAACGACGCCATCGGCCGCATGATGATCAACTGCGCGCGCCAGCCGCTCCTCGCGTCCGTGCTCCAGGAGCTGCTGGGCTTCGAGGGCGACGAGTTCTACCTGCGCCACTGGCCGGCCCTCGTCGGGAAGACGTTCCGCGAGCTGGTCGAGGGCGACCTGCTCGAGGGCGCCGTCGCTGTGGGCCTGCGGCGTCGCGACGGCGCCATCGAGCTCGACGCGGTCGACGCGACCATTCGCGAGGGCGACGAGGTCATCGTCATCGCCGAGGACGACGACACCTACGGTCTCCGGGAGGCGCCCGCGCCGCGCTCGGCGCCGAAAGCGCGCGCGGAGTCGCCCGCGGGCGGCTCGTCGACGCCGAGCGCGCGGACGTGCAGCCTCGTCGGGTCGTCCGACCCGCAGCACTACCTCTTCCTCGGCTGGCGCAACGACATCGCGGACATGGTCGCCTACCTCGACGAGGTCGCGCCGCCGGGGTCCCAGCTGACCATCGCGGCGCCGCTCCCGATCCGCGACCGCGACGAGCAGATGGTCGCGGACGGCCGGGGCCGCCGGGGCCCGCTCCGGCGCCTGAGCCTGCGCCACGTCGTCGACACGGTCGTCTCCCGCGCGGCTTTGGAGCGGTTGCCCCTCGACACCTGCGACGCGGTGCTGATCCTGAGCGACCAGGGCACCGAGGACCCGCACCACGCCGACAGCCTCGCGCTCGCGACGCTCGTGCTCGTGCGCGACGTCCAGCGCCGGGGGCCGAGGCACGCGGGCCGCCACGACGGCGAGCCCCTCGAGGAGCAGGTGTCGTCGCGGTCCTGGACGTCGCGGGGCCGCGGGCGCCGCGCGTCGCCGGGTCCCGGCGACGGCGAGCCCCTCGAGGAGCGGGTTTCTTCGGCGTCGCGCGGGTCCCGCGGCCGCCGCCTCGGCGGCGACGGCGAGCCCCTCGACGCGCAGCTCAGCCGGTCGTCGACGTCGTCGCTCGCGAACGACCGCACGCCGTCGCTGCCGCTGCCCGGCGCCGGCCGCGGCGGCGCGTGCGCGGTCGTCACGGAGCTCCGCGACATCTCGCTCCAGCGCAACGTGCGGTCGAGCGGCCTCGCGGACTGCGACTTCGTCGCGAGCCACGAGCTCGTCGCGCGCATCGTCGCCATGGTCTCCGAGCGCGCGGAGGTGTCGCCGATCCTCGACACGCTCCTCGACGCGGCCGGGCCCTCGCTCCTCATTGTGCCCGCGACCAAGTACGTCGCGCCCGGCGCGATCGCGACGTTCCGCGACGTCGCCGTCGCCGCCTTGGACCACGGCGACGTCGCCATCGGCACGCTCCTCGACGGCGCGGACCTCGTCCTCAACCCCCGCGACAAGATTTCGGCGCCGCGCGCGTGGTCGCCCGACGACTCCGTCGCCGTCATCGCGGCCCAGCCCGCCTAGGGCTTCCTACGCTCGGCGCGCGTCTAAGAGGTCGAACCGCCGGCGGGGCCCATGCGCGCGCGTGTAGAGCGCTCACCCAGGGGGGTTCGAGGAGTACCTCGGCGACGAGCTAGCCGGCGGCACGAGGCCTCCGACTAACCGTCGCAGCGGAGAAGGTCACGTCACGTGAGGGTGTCGATGCCTAGGGCGCGGCGGCGCCTCGGGACCCTGCGGAGTCGCGGACCCCGGCGCGCGTTTTGAGAACGTGCTTCAACCTTCCATCGACGCCAAAGGGCGAGACGATGGCGAGACTAGGTGCAAGCACGCTCATCCTCTGCGCCGCGGCTTCGGCCTTCACGTCGCCGCGCCATCGATGCCTTCCCGCGCCGCGCGCCGCGCGCGCGTCGCGGCCCGTGGCCATGAACCTCGGGGAGATCCGGGCGGAGCAGTTCACGGAGAAGGCCTGGTCGGCGCTCGAGGCGTCGGGCGCCGGCGCCACGGCGCGCAAGGGCGGCGTCGTCGAGCCCGAGGACCTGCTCGTGGCCATGCTCAAGCAGGACTCGAACGGGCTGCTGAACCGCGCGCTGCGGCTCTGCGAGCCGCCCGCGGACGAGCGGGTGCTCCGGCGCCTCGCGGACGAGAAGCTCTCCGGCCTGCCGCGGGTCGACGGGGCCCAGCCGCGCTTCGGCCCGCGCACGGAGGCCGCCATCGGCGACGCGCTGAAGCTCAGCAAGGAGTTCAAGGACGCCTACGTGAGCAACGAGATCGTCGGCCTCGCGCTCCATACGCCGCAGGCGTGCGGCGAGCTCTTCGAGAAGGCGGGCTGCAACGCGGCGACGCTGCGGACCGCCGTGAAGAAGCTCCGCGGCGAGTCGACGGTCCAGTCGCGCACGCCGGAGGCGAGCATGGACGCGCTCAACACCTACGGCAAGGACCTCACGGCGCTCGCCAGGGCGGCAAAAGAGAGCGACATGCCCAACTTCAAAGGCTCCTTTCTCGGCCGTTTTCCACTCGTTTCGGCTGATTTTTGGACGAGCGATCATCTCTCGGAACGGCCTCGACGCGTGGATGCTTTTTCCGGAACGCGCGCGCGCGGAACACTCACGTTGAAGCGACGTTGAATCTCTCTTTTGCTGCCCAGGCGCTCGCCAAGGCGGGCAAGCTCGACCCGGTCATCGGCCGCGACGACGAGATCAAGCGCGCGATCCAGATCCTGAGCCGGCGCACGAAGAACAACGCGTGCCTCGTCGGCGAGCCCGGCGTCGGCAAGACGGCCATCGCCGAGGGCCTGGCCCAGCGCGTCGTCGACGGCAACGTGCCGGAAGCGCTGAAGGGCCGGACGATCGTGAGTTTAGACATGGGCCTGCTCATCGCCGGCGCCAAGTACCGCGGCGAGTTCGAGGAGCGCTTGAAGGCCGTCATCGACGAGGTCGAGACCGCCGCGGGCAACATCATCCTGTTCATCGACGAGATCCACACCGTCGTCGGGGCCGGCGCGTCCGGCGGCGGCGGCGCGATGGACGCGTCGAACCTGCTCAAGCCGGCGCTCGCCCGCGGCGAGCTGCGCTGCGTCGGGGCGACGACGGTCGCCGAGTACCGCCAGCACATCGAGAGCGACAAGGCTTTGGAGCGGCGCTTCCAGAAGGTCGTCATCGCGGAACCGGACGTCGAGGCGACGGTGTCGATCCTGCGCGGCCTCAAGCCCAAGTACGAGCTCCACCACGGCATCCGCGTCCTCGACTCGGCCCTCGTCGCCGCCGCGCGCCTCAGCGACCGCTACGTCTCCGGCCGCTTCATGCCGGACAAGGCCATCGACGTCGTCGACGAGGCCGCGGCCAAGCTCAACAACGAGGTCACGAGCCGCCCGCCGGCGCTCGACGCCGCGGACCGCGAGGTCGTGGAGCTGGAGATGGAGAAGGTGAGTTTGACGTCGTCGTCCATCGCGACGGCGAACCCCATCGAGGACGCGTCGCAGCGCGTCGCGGAGATCGACGCGCGGCTCGCGGAGCTCGAGGCGCTCCAGCGGCAGCTCGTGGCCACGTGGGAGCTCCAGAAGTCGTCCGTCGGCGGCGTCGGCGACGTGAAGCAGCAGATCGCCGACAAGCTCAAGGAGGCGGAGCAGTTCGAGGAGCGCATGGAGTTCGAGAAGGGCGCCGAGGTCCGCTACTGTGTGGAAATCAACCAGTGAGCTGGGACGTCGGGGCCAAACTTCAGAACTCTCTATCTCGGTCAAATCGACGTCGATTCGGCTGATTTTTGGACGAATCGATTGCTCTCATCGAGTTCTCGAAGCACAGCGGAAGTGCTCGTGTCAAAACATTCGAATACGCTCACATTGAAGTCGAGTTTGAAGATTTGATTTCCACACAGGTCCGCTACACGGCCATCCCCGAGCTCGAGCGGAAGCTCGCGGCCATCGAGGACGCGCTGGACCAGGACAAGGGGTCCATGGTCGCGCGCGACACGGTGACGCCCGACGACATCGCCGCCGTCGTCGCCGCGTGGACGGGCGTGTCCGCGGCGCGGCTCGTGTCGACGGAGCGGCAGAAGCTCCTCGACCTCGAGGCGACGCTCGCGGCGCGTGTCGTCGGCCAGCCCGACGCCTGCGCGCTCGTCGCCGACGCCGTGCGCCGGTCCAAGGCGGGGCTCGGCGACCCGTCGAAGCCCATCGCCGCGTTCGCGTTCCTCGGGCCGACGGGCGTCGGCAAGACGGAGCTCGCGAAGACGCTCGCGGCGGAGGTCTTCGACGACGCCGACGCCCTCGTGCGCTTCGACATGTCCGAGTTCTCCGAGAAGCACACCGTGAGCCGCCTCCTCGGCGCGCCGCCGGGCTACGTCGGCTACGACCAGGGCGGCCAGCTCACGGAGGCCGCGCGGAACCGCGCGGCATTCGAATCTTCGACCCGACTTCAACGTGCGCGTACGCGACCGTTTCGACGCAACCTTTTTGGCTTCGCTTCGAGAACTCGACGACCGCAATCGGTTCGTCCAACAGTCAGCCGAATCGACGTCGATGTGACCGAGCTAGAGAATTCTCAAGTGTGGTCAGGACCGCCCAAACCGGCGGTTGAATTCGGCACAGGTGCGGAACCGGCCCTACTGCGTGCTCCTCTTCGACGAGATGGAGAAGGCCCACCCCGACGTCTTCGACACCTTCCTCCAGCTCCTGGACGACGGCATCCTCACGGACGGCCAGGGGCTGACGGTGAACTTCCGCGACGCGATCGTCCTCTTCACGTCGAACGCTGTGTGGAAACCAAATCTTCAACCCGACTTCAATGTGCGCATGTGCGACCGTTTCGACGCAAGCCTTTTGGCTGTGCTTCGAGAACTCGATGAGAGCAATCGATGCGTCCAAAAATCAGCCGAGTCGACTTCGATTTGACCGAGCTAGAGAATTTCCAAGTTTGGTCGGGAGGTCCCAAACCAGTGGTTGGTTTCCACACAGGTCGAACGTCGGCTCGCAGCTCATCCTCGAGAGCGTCGCGGACTTCGCGGCGGCGGACGCGGCCGACGGCGACGACGCCGGCGGCGCCGCGGAGCTCTCGGAGATCAAGCGCCAGGTGCTCGACGCGATGCGCGCGAAATTCCGGCCCGAGTTCCTCAACCGCCTCGACGAGATCGTCGTCTTCAACCCGCTCCGCAAGTCCATGCTCGCGGACATCGTGGAGCTGGAGGTCAACGCCGTGGCGAAGCGGCTCAACGCGTCCCACGCCGCGGGCCTCGTGCTCGACGCGGGCGCCGTCGAGCACCTCGCGACGCCGGGCTCCGCGCGGACATCGACCGCCGGTTCGGGACGTCCCGACCAGACTGTGAAATGCTCGAGCTCGGCCACATCGACGTCGATTCGGCTGATTTTTGGACGAATCGAGTCCTCTCGTCGATTTCTCGAAGCGCGGCCGAAGAGCTCGCGTCGAACCGGTCGATTACGCGCACGTTGAGGTCGGGTCGAAGATTCGAGTTCCGCGCAGGTCGGGCTTCGACGCGGCCTACGGCGCGCGGCCCCTCAAGCGCCTCGTGACCAAGAGCCTGGAGACGCCGCTCTCGCGCGCGATCCTCAGCGGCGGGCTCAAGTCGGGCGACGTCGCCCACTTCACCGTGCGCAACGAGCGCCTCGTGCTCGACGTCCGCGCGCCGAGCGACGACGCGCCGCCGCCGGCCGACGCCGACGCCGAGGAGGAGGAGGACGCGGCGCCGCCGACGAAGAAGTCCCGGAGCCTCAGCCGCTAGCGCCCGCCCGGCCCGCGACGCGCGCGGCGCGTACTAGAAGTACAGTACTAGCGACGCGCCCGCGAGACGAAGGGAGGCGCGCGCAGGGGCCCGCGCGATTTGTAGCGGACGCGATCCATGGAACCGACAGCGGCATCATCCACCTCGTCGCCCACGGAGACAAAGAGAGAGGAGACGTTTATGGCGGTTCGTGCCTCGGGGTCAGCACCCTCTCCTTCGCCTCGGAAGCGGCTCCTACGCCTGCGCCTCGTTCTTCTTCTCCGACTACTCCTCAAGATTCCCACGACTCGTTCTTCTTCTCCGACTGCTGCGGCGACTCCCCTTCCCACGCCTCCTCCTGCTTCCCCCGAGTTTGACGGAGCCGGCGGACGAACGGCGAACTCGCTCCTCTTCGTCGCCACTTTGCTCGCCCACTCCGCGCTCTAGGAAACGTTGCCAGTATCAATCCCTTTTAAAAAAAATCACGCGAACGGGTTCGTGCTCTTCTCGCCGCCGGCGACGGCGCCCGCCGCGACGGTCGCGGGCGGCGGCGCGTAGGCCGGCGGCGCGTTGGGGTCCGCGTAGGCCGGCGGCGCGTTGGGGTCGGCGTAGGCCGGCGGCGCGGGCGGCGCGTTGGGGTCCGCGTAGGCCGGCGGCGGCGTCGCGGCGACGACGGGCGGCGGCGCGACGGGCTGCGCGCTCACGGGCTGGGCGAAGGCCGCCCGCTGGCCCTCGCGCGACGCGAAGAGGTTGAGCTTGTACTCGTCGTGGAACCGCGCCTTGATGCGCTGGACCGCGCTGGACGTGCCGTACTCCTTGAACGCGGAGAAGTCGCCGTCGCGCGTCTCGATGAACAGCACGGACGCGAACCAGAGGCTGAGGCCGCCCCAGACGCGCTCGGCCTGGTTGAGCGTGTCGAACTTCTCCGCCGTCCACGTGCCGTGGTTGTCGCTGACGACGCAGCACCGGGGCACGAAGCGCGGCGGCTGCGGCGCCGGGACGTACGCCGGCGCCGCGGCGAGCGGCACGACGACGTCGAACTCCGCGCCCGGCGCGACGCCGCCGGGGATGGGCACGAAGAAGGGCGCGCCGTCGACGGCGACCTCGACGACCATGCCGGGCGCCATGCCCGCGGGGCACACGAGGCGCACGGTGCGGCCCTGGGGGCCCGAGTGGACGACGACGACGCGGCGGCCGTAGACGCCGTGGACGCGCGCGGGCCGCCGCCGCGACACGGCGACGCCGACGCCGACGCCGACGGCCGCGCCGGCGACGACGGCGGCGCCGAGGCCCACGCGCGGCGGCGGCGGCCGGAAGGGGCCGGGCGGCGGCCGGAAGGCGCCGGGCGGCGGCCGGCGCGCGCCGGGCGGCGGGGGGCGGCGCGGCGGCATGTCCCGCGCTTCCGGTGCGGGGATCTGTCGAGGACCAAAGGCTGCGCTTCGAAGGACGTGGACGAGGCGCGCCGACGAGGCGACGCTGCCCGAGAGCAATCCCCGCCATTTCCAAAGATCAAGAAGTCCTCAACGTGGCGATTTGGGCTGGTGATGCCGTAGAGCTAGGCACGATGGCCAGCACTTCGTCGGCCACCAAGGCGCTGGCCAGCACTTCGTCGGCCACCAAGGCGCCGTTCGAGCGCTGCGGGTCCCTGGACGCGCTCGACGACGACGCCGCGACGACGGCGCTCGCGCGCGTGCCCTTCCTCGGCCACGGCGCGGTGCGATGCGTCTGCCGGCGGCTGCGGCGCCTCGTGGACTCGCCGGGCTTCCGGCGCGAGCGGCGGGCCTGGGGCGTCGAGCGCGCGCTCGTCTTCGCCGGCGGGCGCCTGAACCACGACGACGCGCGCAAGTCGACGCTCGCCTGGGGCGCCGTCGCGCGCGGCGCGTGGCGGTCCGCCGCGGCGATGCCCGAGGGCCGCGCGGCGGCGGCCGTCGCCGCCGTCGGCGGCGACGTCGTCGTCGCCGGGGGCCTGGCGCGCGGCGACCCCGGGAGCCGCCGCGCCGAGGCCATCACCGCGGAGGTCCTGGCCTACGCCGTCGCGGACGACGCGTGGCGCCGGCTCGCGCCGCTGCCCGAGCGGCGCTTCTCCGCGGCGGGCGCGGCCCTGTGTGCGAATCAAATCTTCAACTCGACTTCAATGTGAGCGTATGCGACAGGTTCGACACAATCACTTCCGCTGTGCTTCGAGAACTCGATGAGAGCAATCGATGCGTCCAAAAATCAGCCGAATCGACTTCGATTTGACCGAGCTAGAGAATTTCCAAGTTTGGTCGGGACGTCCCAAACCAGTGGTTGATTTGCACACAGGCGCGGCCGTCGGCGACGCGTTCTTCGTCGTCGGGGGCTCCTGCGACGGCGTCTCCGTGACGGGCCGCGTCGACGTTTATGACGTGGCCGCAAACACGTGGGCGCGCGCGGCGCCGCTGCCCGTGGCGGCGATGACCGCGGCGTGCGGCGTCGTCGGCGAGACCGTCGTCGTCGCCGGCGGCTGCCGCGACACGGACGTCGCGCTCGACGCGTGCCAGATCTTCGACGTGGCCGCGGGGACGTGGCGCCTGGGCCCGCCCATGCCCCAGGCCGTCGACGACGCCGCGCACTGCGTCTACGGGGGCGAGCTCTTCGTCGTCGGCGGCGTCGACGCGCGCGGCGGCCGCCTCGCGACGGTGTTTCGCTTCGACGGCGCGCGCTGGCGCCGCGGGCCGGACCTGCCCCACGCCGTCGCCGGCGCGTCCGCGGCGGTCCACGGCGGCGCGATCCTGCTGTTCCACGCCGCGCGGCCTGGCGACGCCGCCGGCGGCCACCTCGCCTTCGCCGGCGGCGCCTGGGAGGCCCGGGGCGACCTCGGGCTGCCGGGCCCCGCGCGCCAGCTCGCGCTGCCCATCGTCTGCGCGGACGTGCTGCTCGGCTAGTTATGTTTTGTGTGAGCCGCACCAGCCGGGCGCGTAGACCGCCGGAGTCTCGCAGGACCGCGCCGGGTGCGCGTCGCAGTCGCCGGAGAAGTTCGCCGGGTTGGGCGTCGGGCCGGTCCCGCCCCAGCAGGGCACCGCCGCGGCGCCGTACGCCTCGAGCTTCGCGAGCAGCGCGGCGGCGTCGCCGGGCCGCCGCGCCGCGAGGTCCGCCGCCTCGCGCGGGTCCGCGGTGACGTTGTAGAGGAGCGTCTGCTTGTGTTTCTCGAGGAGGACGAGCTTCAGGTCGCCGACGCGCAGCGCGCCGCGGAAGCCGGCGGTCGGCTTCGAGCTCGTGTCGAAGTTGTGGAGGAGCTCCGAGCGCACGTCGTCGCCGCGCGCGACGGCGGGCCAGAGGTCGACGCCGTCCAAGGACGCGTCCGCGGAGGAGGCCCCGCCCGCGAGCTTGACGAGCGTCGGCCACCAGTCGACGGCCGCGACGACGTTGCGCCGCGCGGCGCCCCGCGGCACGCCGGCGCCGAAGACGAAGGCCGGCACGCGCACGCCGCCCTCCCAGAGCTCGTGCTTCTGGCCGCGGAGCGGCAGGTTGCCCGCGAAGCCCCGCGCGTCGTGGGGCGACCCGTTGTCGGACGCGACGACGACGACGCCGCCGAGCCCCGCCGCGGCCCACGCGTCCGTGACGTTCCCGACGGCGGCGTCGACGAGCGCGACCATGCCCAGGAAGGTCCGGCGCGTCGCGTTGAGGCCCGCGTGCTCGAATTTCGCCGTGTAGGCCTCGGGCGCCTCCAGGAGCTTCGTCGGCTTGTCGGGGCTCGACACGGACCGCTCGCCGTCCGCGGTGCCGTCGGACTCGTGGACCATGTGGAACGCGAGATAGACGAAGAGCGGCCGCGCGTCGTCGCGTGCCGTTAGCTTGGCGACGGCGTCTCTGGCGAGGAGCTCGCACGTGTGCGTGCCCGGCTCGTCGACGACCTACCGCGCGCGTCGTTTCGTCGTCACCTCTCGAAAACCGTCGCGGACGCGGGACGCCGTCGACGACCGCCTCGTCGCGGTGCCAGTCGAGGCCCACCCTCGGCTTCTCCGTGCCCGTTTTCCCCACGGTGTGGTTCCACGCGTTCACGCAGGCGTCGTAGTGACCGTAGTGATAGTCGAAGCCGCGGCTCGTCGGCAGAAAGGCCGCCTCGTCGAAGCCGAGGTGCCACTTGCCGAACATCCAGGTCTCGTAGTCGAGCCGCGACAGCGCGTCGGCGATCGTCACCTACGGGGCATTCATCGTTGCTGTCATCGTCCGTAGGTTGACACGCCTACCTCGCCGAGCGGCAGGCCCGTGCCCTGCGACGCGCCGTAGCAGCCGTGCTGGATGCCGACGCGGATCTGGTAGCGGCCCGTCATGATCTGGGCGCGCGACGGCGAGCAGATGGGGGCCGTGTAGTAGCTCTCGAGCTTGACGCCGGACGCGGCGAGGCGGTCGAGCGTCGGCGTACTGGTCCAGCCCTCGTTCGGCCGCCCGCCGTTGTGGTAGCCGGCGTCGTTCCACCCGAAGTCGTCCAGCAAAATGAAGAGCAGGTTCGGCGGCGGCGCGCCCCAGGCGGGCAACAGCAGGAGCGCCCCCAAGGCCAGCAATCCACGTCGCGTTCGGGCATGGTCCATGGCCAAGCTCTTTTCAGAAGGGCTCGGCCGACTTCAACAACGCCCAGGGGCAGCAGCATGGACAAAGGTTGTGGCGCCCGACGCACCTCGAAGCTCCCGAAGAAGGCGGCGCCGCCCGCGCGCGGCGCACCGGCGCGCGGCGAGCGCGGCAGCGCGAGAAAAAGTGGCGCGCCCAGGAAATCCGAGGAAAAGAAGGCCGCCCCGAAGACCCTGGCGGAGCGGACGACGCAGCAGGAGGGCTTCGCGATGATCCAGCCGCTCGAAGAGAAGCGCGCGCGCATCCTCAAGGCGCAGGCCGCCTCGGACAAGGCGGAGGAGAAGCGCGCGGCGGAGGCGAAGGTCGCGAAATACTCGACGCCCGGAGGCGGCGCCCGGCTCGGCGGCGCCGGCGACGAGGCCGCGTCCCGGAAGGCGCAGGCGGCGACGCAGCGCCGGAGCCTCCACAAGCTGCGGCGCCCCGACGCGCCGCAGGCGCCCGCGCTCGCCGGCGCGGCCCTCGGCGGCGCCGCGCCGGCGAGCCGGGACGCGCTCCGCGCGGCGCGGCTCGCGGCGCTCGAGCCGCCGGCGGCCCGGCTCCCGAGCATCACCGGCGGCCGCGGCGCGCCCGCGGCCGTCTTCGCGCCGCCGCCGGCGTAGTAACATCGTATTTAGGCTCGGGGGGCGGGGGGCGGGGGGGGCGCGGCGCGCGGCGGCGCGCGCGGCCGGCCGCCCGGGCGCCGCCGGCGACGACCTCATGCGTCGGCGACCACGGCGGCGGGCGACGAGTACCACTTGAGGAACTCGTCGTGGTCGATGACGCCGTCCCTGATGCCGTTGGACACGCCCGTGTCGATGTCGGCGACGGTGACGGCCTTGAGGCCGAGCGCGGAGATGAGGTTGCCGAGCTCCTCGCCGTCGATGGTGCCCGACTTGTCCTTGTCGAACTGGTTGAAGAGGTTGTAGACGCCGTCCTTCTCCTCCTTCGTCCAGTCGTCGAGGGGCTTGTCCCGGGGCGGGTGCGTCGCGAAGAGCGCGCCGTGCTTCTTGAAGCAGGCGTCGGCCTCGATCTCGTTGCAGTTCATGTACCAGCGGAAGAAGACCTTCACCTGCGACGCGCGGCGCCGCGTGAGACGCCGCGCGCGCGCGCGCGCGCGGGCCGCGCGCCGTGATCCGGCCGCCGTGGTTCTTGATGAGCTGCTTGAGCTCCTTGAGGCGCATGGAGTCGACCTCGGCGACCTCCGCCGTGACGTGCTCCTCCCGGCAGATCTCCTTGAGGTCCGAGCCGCCGAGGACCGCCGCGAGGTTCGACAGCTCCGTCGCGTCGATCTCGCCCGTCTTGTCCTGCGTGGAAACCAAATCTTCAACCCGACTTAAATGTGCGCGTATGCGAACGTGTTGACGCAATCTCTTCGGCGGTGCCTCGAGAACTCGAGAAGAGGAATCGATTCGTCCAAAAATCGGCCGAATCGACTTCGATTTGACCGAGATAGAGAGGTTTGAAGTTCGGTCAGGACCCCCTGAACCAGTGGTTGGTTTCCACACTGGTCTTGTCCTTGTCGAAGAGGGAGAAGAGGACGAGGATGCGCCGGATGTCCTCCTCGCTCTGCTCCGCCAGGGGCTTGTGCTCGCCGCTGGCGTACTCCCACTCGAAGAGCGCCGCGTAGCGCTTGAAGATCGCCGTCGCCTCCTCGTGCGTCGACTGCGTGTACCTACGACGGTTCGAACGACTTCAACGTGCGCGCATGCGAAGGAAATGGACGCGCGCGTCTCGCGCCGCGTCAAAGGCGCGACGAGAGCAGGCGGCCCGTCCAAACATCAGCCGAAACGACGTCGATTCGACCGCGGCTCGAGACCGCGTTCCGCGCGGCGCGCGTACCACTGGAAGAACTCGCGCTTGTCCATCTTGCCGTCGTCGTTCCAGTCCAGGCTCTTGAAGTTCTCCATGTGTCGCCCCTGCGTCTTCATGAAGGCCTCGAGCTCGCCGCGCTCGATCATGTCGGAGCGGTCGTGGTCGATCTGGGCGAAGATCTTCAGCATGCCGACGACCTCCTGCTCCGTCCAGTCCTGGAGCTTCACCTGGCCCGAGTTCAGCTCCTCCTGCCGCGCGGCGGACGCCGTGCTGCCCCCGGACCCCATGGCGCACGACGAGAAGCCAGAGCCAACGCTGCCTCACTCGCAGGTTACAAAAGCATCTCCTTGATGATGAAACTGTTGTCGTTCAAGTGTTGAAACTCTTTAAAACTCTTTTTTGCGCCGGGGCCGCGGGAAGCCGCGCTGGCGCAGGGAGCCGCCGACGGCGCCGCCGAAGAGGACGACGACGACGCCCGCGTGGAGCATCCACCGGTCCTCGCCGTGGTCGTAGGTCACGCGCCGCACCGCGGCGTCGTCGTCGTCGTCGCCCTCCTTGGCGCGGGCGGGCGCGGCCCGCGAACGGCCGTCGTCGTCGTCGTCGCGCGGCCGGTAGGCCTCGACGCGCGGCCGCGCGGCGCCCCGGAGGAGCGCGGTCGGCGGTGTGTCGCCGTCGACGCCGCACCACGCGTCGGCGCACTCGGGCTCGTAGAGCCCCGTGCCGACGAGCCGCAAGGGCGTGAACGCTCCGTCGGACGGCGCCGGCGCGCGCCCCCAGTCCGGCGGCACGGCGTAGGCGGCGTCGGCGCCGCTCAGCCCCCAGTCGCGGGGCACGTAGTGGATGAAGATCGACGAGTACCAGTCGCCGACGAAGGGCCGCGGCCGTCCGTGGAGGCACTTGGCGGATTCGTAGAACAACATCTCGCCCTTCTCTAGGACGACCTCCGCGGTCCGGCCGTCGAAGCCCTCGATGACGAGGGGCCAGGGTCGCGCGGCGTCGTCGTGGTCCACGTGCAGGATCGCCGACACGACGTGGTCCTCGATCTTGTCGATGTGCATCTTGAGCGACGCGCCCCCCCGGTACGCGCGGAGGCCGTAGGCGATCGCGGGCCGGAGCGGCACGCCGGCCCAGGCCTCGAAGGCCGGGAGCAGCTCCTCCAGGATGGCCTCCGTCGTGCCGGGCCGCAGCGCGACGAACTTGGGCCGCTCGCTGCCCGCGATGACGTCGATGGGCCGCCCGGGCGTGTCCTCGAGCGGCGCGGCGGCGAGGCCCGCGCGGAGCTGGGCCCGCAGGTCGTCGACGATGGCCGCGGGTGCCGCCGCGACCTCGTAGCCGACGGCCGTGAAGTTCTTCACGACGAGGCCGCTCGCGGCGACCGTCGTCCAGCCGTCCCAGCGCTCCTGGGAGCTCTCGAGCGCGTAGAGCTGCGCCGCGCGCCGGTCCATGACGCGCTTCCAGCCGGGCGTCGCCGGCGTCCACCGGGGAGGGCTCGCGTAGCCGCGGCGCGTCCACTCCGCGACGCGCTCCGTCTCGCCCATGGGCGCCGCCGGCCCGATAGCAGCGCACCAGATCAGCACGCGGAGCATCGTCGTGATCGTGCGGCCGGGCAGCCTTTGGGAAAAAGCCGGCTTGAACTTTTCAAGGCTGCCCCAAACGCGCGCGATGGGGCGCAGCGCCATGCGCCGCGCGCTCGCCGCATTCGCGTTGCTCCGCAGTGCGGCGGCCCAGGTGGGCACGGTGCGGCTCCAGGGCGAGGACTTTGACGTCTACGAGACGGCGCGCGCCATCCACAACGTGCCCGCGGGCCTCGCCGACGAGGTCGAGATCGTCGCCAACGGCCGGCGGAGCCGGCTCGTCTTCGACGCGCGCGTGCCGGACCTGGTGAGCGAGGCGCGGGAGCTCGCGGCGAAGGTCGGCATCAACATGGGCGCGGGCTGCGTCGACGCGGCCGGCGACGACGACTGCGCCGCGCAGGCGCTCCTCGGACGGATGCGCGAGGCCGTGGACCGGCGGCGCCTGCGCTACGGCGCGGCGCTGGATCTGGCCCAGCTGCGCCTGGCGGCGAGCCGGCGCGGCCACATGTATTTGCTCAAGGCGAACGACAACTTCGTGGCGCCCAGGGCAGGACAAGAGAGCGAAATTCCCAACTTCAAAGGCTCCTCTCTCGGCCGTTTTCCACTCGTTTCGGCTGATTTTTGGACGAGCGATCATCTCTTGGAACGATCTCGAAGCGTGGATGCTTTTTCCGGAACGCGCGCGCGCGGAACACTCACGTTGAAGCGACGTTGAATCACGCTTGTCCTGCCCAGGTGGCGCCGGCGATGGACCGGTTCCGGACGTTCGAGGAGCCGGCGATCGCGCTCATGCTCGCGCTCGTGCGCCCGGGCGAGGACGTCGTCGACGCGGGCGCGAACATCGGCACGCACCTCCTGCCGCTGGCCGTCAAGGCCGCGGGCCGCTGCGCGGGCGGCGGCCGCGGCGACGACGCGCCGCGCGGCGCCGTCTTCGCGTTCGAGCCCCAGCCGCTGCTCCACGCCGTGCTCCACGCGCAGCTGGCGCTGCTCGGCGACGGCTGCGTCGCCGCCGCCGTGACGGCGCTCAGGGCCGCCGCGGGCGACGGCGATCTCGCCGTCGCGACGGTGCCCATCCTGTCGGACGAGACGCAGAACCACGCGCAGATGTCCCTCGTCGACGGGTCGGCCCACGGGCGGCCGGACGGCGCGCGCTACCGCAACGTCTCCGCGCCCGTGCGGTCCATCGACGGCGTGCTCGAGGAGTACGGCCGCGTCCTCGGCGCGTCGCCGGCGGCGCGCGGCCGCCGGCCCGTCCGCTGCCCCGCGCTGATCAAGGTCGACGTCGAGGGCATGGAGGACGCGGCGCTCAACGGCGCGAAGAAGACGCTGCGGCGCTGCCCGCCGCCCGCGCTCTACGTCGAGAACAACAACCACCCGGACGCGGGGCTCGCGAGGCGCCACTGCCCGCCGGAGCTCGGCTACGTCGCCTTCCATCACGCCTTCGGCTACGCGGACCGCTTCGGCGACGCGCGGGCCTTCGACGACGCGCTCTTCAAGGAGAGCCTCAAGGACCTCACGTCGCGGAACCTGCTCTGCATCGCCCGGTGGCAGGCCGACCGCTTCTACGACGTCCCGGGCCACGTGAGCCTCGAGCTCGCTTCGGGCTACGAATCCATCGCCGCGGACATGTTCGAGCCCGAGTTCCTCGAGCTGCTCGCGCGGTCGGACCCGTAACTTGACGGTCGTGGTTGGAGTCGATTATGGAGCTGCTGGCGCATCGGAGTCGTAAGTTGAAGACAAACGTGAGCTCAACCCCGGGCGCGGCACGATTGCGCTCCGATAGCTCGGCGCCGCAGCTCGTCGTCGGCACGCGCGCGTCCAGTTCTCGATCGAGCACCGCCGCAGACCGTCGTCGGCACGCGCGCGTCGTTGCACCGCGACGTCGGCGAGCTTTTCGCTGCAGTTGAGCGTCGCGTGGCGCCGCAGAACTACGAGTGCGAACGAACACACGCCATGCGCTCCGCGCTCGCCCTGCTGCTCGTCGCCGGTTGCGACGCGCTCACGCTGCCCTCGCAGCCGCAGCTGACGCTCGAGGCTGCGACGGCAATCCTCCGGGCATCGCAGGCCGCCGCGCGCGAGAGCAACTGGCCCGTGAGCATCTGCGTCTGCGACGCCGGCGGCGCGCCCGTCGCGCTGAGCCGCGACGACGGCGCGTTCGCCGCGTCCGCGGCCGTGGCCATGGGCAAGGCGTCGACCGCCGCGCAGTTCCGGAAACCGACGGACGCGCTCGAGGCGTCGGCGAACGGCGGGCGCGCGGCGCTGCTCACGGCGGGCCACGTGCTCATGGGCGGCGGCGTGCCCCTCGTCGTCGACGGCTGCACCGTCGGCGGCGTCGGCGTGAGCGGCGTCTTGCCGGACCAGGACGCGGCCGTCGCGGCCGCGGGCGCGGCGGCGCTCTAAGGAAGTTTACTTCGCCTTCGGCGGGATGATGCTCTCGGCGCCGCCCATGTAGGGCCGGAGCGCGCGCGGGACGGTGACGGAGCCGTCCGGGTTCTGGTGGTTCTCGAGGACGGCGACGAGCGCGCGGCCGACGGCGAGGCCGCTGCCGTTCATCGTGTAGGGGAAGAGCGGCTTCGGCTTGCCCTTCTTCTTCTTGCCGCCGTCGTTGTCGTCCTTCGCCGGCTTCGGGCGGAAGCGGAGGCCCATGCGGCGCGCCTGGTAGTCGCCCATGAGCGAGCAGCTCGAGATCTCGCGGTACTCCTGCGGGCCCGGGAGCCAGACCTCGAGGTCGTAGCAGCGCCGCGCGGAGAAGCCGATGTCGCCCGCGCAGAGGGACACCTTCCGGTACGGCAGGTCGAGCATCTGGAGGCACTTCTCCGCGTCGGCGACGAGCGCCTCGTGCTCCGCGACGCCGTCGTCCGGCGCGACGATCTTCACGAGCTCGACCTTGGCGAACTGGTGCTGGCGCACGAGGCCCCGCGTGTCCCGTCCGTAGGAGCCCGCCTCCGCGCGGAAGCAGTGGGTCAGCGCCGCGACGCGGATGGGCAGGTCCGATTCTTCGAGGATGTCGCCGGCGACGAGATTCGTCAGGGGCACCTCGGCCGTCGGGATGAGGAACGCGTCCTCGCCGCGGACCTTGTGGTTGTCGAGCTTGAAGAGGTCGTCCTCGAATTTCGGGAGCTGGCCCGTGCCCTCGAGCGCGGACCGCGCGACGATGACGGGGCTCGACACCTCCTCGTAGCCGCCGCCGTCCGTGTGCATGTCGAGGAAGAAGGCGCCGAGCGCGCGCTCGAGCCGCGCGACGCCGCCGCGGAGCACCGCGAAGCGCGCGCCCGAGACCTTGGACGCGGCCTCGGCGTCGAAGCCGCCGAGGCCCGCGGCGAGGTCGTCGTGCCAGAGGTAGTCGCCCTCGTCGCCGAGCTTGCGCGAGTCGGTCCCCCACTCGGCGACGACGACGTTTTCCGTTTCGCCCGCGCCGTCCGGCGTCGCGTCGTCGAGCAGATTTGGCAGCGCCGCGAAGAGCGCGTTGGCCTCCTCTTCCAGCGCCGCCATGGTCGCCTCGGCGCCCTCGGCGACGTCGGCGCTCGCGGCGACCTCGGCCTTGAGGGCCGCGACGTCGGCCTCGGCCGCGCCGGTTTTCATCGCCTTGCCGATGTCGCCCGACAGCGCCTTCCGCGTCGACAGCGCGGCGTCGCGCTCGCGCTGCGCCGCCGCGCGCTGCTCCGTGAGCGCGACCATGCGATCCACGGAGGCGACCGTCTCCTCCGACCCCTGGCGCGCGCGCACGTGCGCCTTGACCGTGTCCGCGTGGTCCTTGAGCGTGCGCAGCTCCAGGGACACGCCCGCGGCCGACGGCCGCGTCGAGACGGCGTCGGCGACGGCGGAGAAGCGCGCACTCGACGCGCGACCGCGGCGCGCGAGGCCGGACCACGCGCGGGCGGAGGCCGCGAGCATGGCGAGCGTGACAACACGCATCGGCTAGCTCTGCGTCACCTCGCTTGCCGGCGGCAACGTCTCGTCAACGAAGTGCTTGAAGTTCAATCAGCGCTGAAAACGATGCGCGCGGACCAGTCGTGATGACGACAACGGCCGGCTTTCGCACAACGCCCCGAATAGAAAGAAAAGCACCGACGCGACCGAATTTACGCGACGCGCGCGCCTACCTCGTGAAGACGAACCAGGCCGTCGTGCCCTTCATGACGCGGAGGTCGTCGTCGATGTACTCGACGGCGAGGGAGTTCATGACGCGCATGGCCTTCCAGCCGCGCGTGACGCGCTGGCCGTCGACGGACACGGGCCCGTACTTGACGGAGCGGCCGACGGCGTCCAGATAGACCTGGTCCTTGCGCGCGAGCGCGTCGAAGCGGCGCTTGAGCCCCCAGTCCGCCTGGACGTTGACGTCCAGCGGCGCGGCCGCCTGGCCCGGCAGCGCGACCTTGGGCAGCACGACCTCGACGTACGTCGCGGTGTTCGCGCCCTCGCCGTACTCGACGGACTGCGTCAGCCCCTCGAACTCCGCGCCGCCGGGCAGCGTGCCCGCGACGCCCGTGAAGCCCTTGTTGAAGGCGAAGCTCGGGCTCGACGTGAAGCGCAGCGTCCACGGCCGGCCGCAGAGCATGTCGACGAGCTCGCCGTCGGTCCGCGCGGTCTCGTCCCGCAGGGCCGCGACGGCCTCGATCTTGCCCACGAGCGACGTGTCGTAGGTCTCGCCCGACTCCTCGTCGGGGTAGGCGCAGCGCGCCGGGAGCGCCTCCACGAGCGCCTCGCGCGGGCTCAGCTGCTTCTTCGGCGGCTCCGGCGCCTTCGGCGTCGCCGCGGCCGCGGGCGCCGCGGCCGCGGGCGCCGGCGCCGCGGGCTTCTCCGCGCCCTTGCCGCGCGGGTAGGCCGGCACGACGACGGCCTCCTCCTCCTCGTCGTCGTCGTCCTCGAAGAGGTCGTCGATGTCGAGGCAGAGGCGGACGAAGCCGTCGACGTCGAGCGTCGCCGCCGCGTCCGCGTGCGCCGCGCCCAGGGCCTCGACCTCGGCGGGCTCCAGGTCCCCGTCGGCGACGAGCTCCGCGATCGCCGGCGCGCCGGAGCACGCGGCGACGGCCACGCGGCCGCCGTCGGCGAGCTGGGCGTACTGCGCCTCGAGGACGTCGCGCGGCGCGAGGGCACAAGCCGTGGCGGGCACGCGCACGCTTCGCGGCGCCGGCCGCAGGGCGACGGCGATGGCGGCGCAGAGCAGCGCTGCCGGGAACCGCATGGCTCGGCGCGTCGGCGCGGTGCAAGCAAGACTCGATCGAGCTGGCCCGGCAAAAGCGTCGCGCTTGAGGCCGGCATCATGAAGTGCATCATGGCTGCAACCAGAGTCTTCCGGTCGTCTTCGTCGTCGACGTGCTCCAGAAGCCCCCAAGAAAGAAGGACGAAAAGGCGCGCGGTAACGAGAGGGGCCCCTCACGCGTAGTTGCGGAAGAGCTCCTGGGCGATGAAGAGGAAGTAGAGGCCGAACATGGTGAAGCCGAGGCCCTTGGACATCTTCCAGCCGGACGCGGCGATGGAGATGATCACCGCGGCGACCATGGCGAGGAGGATGGCGACGCTCAGCGCGTTGCCGTTCGCGTGGCCGCCGACGGGCACCGGGCAGCCGTGGACGAGCGTGAACGCGAGCCAGGGGAGCGGGAGGCCGACGGCGACGTCGAAGATGTTGGAGCCTGGGCAGCAAAAGGGTGATTCAACGTCGCTTCAACGTGAGTGTTCCGCGCGCGCGCGTTCCGGAAAAAGCATCCACGCTTCGAGACCGTTCCGAGAGATGATCGCTCGTCCAAAAATCAGCCGAAACGAGTGGAAAACGGCCGAGATCGGAGCCTTTGAAATTGGGAATTTCGCTCTCTTTTGCTGCCCTGGTTGGAGCCGATGGACGAGGACACGGCCATGTCGCCCTTGCCCTGCTTCGCGACGGCGACGCTCGAGAGGAGGTCGGGCACGGACGTGCCCGCCGCGAGGAAGGTCAGCCCCATGATGAAAATCGGAATGCCCGTGAAGCAGCCGATGGACACGATGCACTCGACCATGCCGAAGCTGTACGCGCCGATCCACGCGATGGAGCAGACGAAGCTGAGGTAGCAGTAGTGCTCGTTGCCGATGACGCGGCAGTCCGGCACCGTCAGCGCCAGGGACCCGTTTAAAGGGAGGAGCAGGACCGTCGCGAGCGCGTCGCCGGGCGACGCGGTCGTCAAATCCCTGAGCGACGCGGCCACCGCGGCCCGCATGCCCGTCGCCGCCTCCTGGACCTCGTCGGCCTCCTGCTTCTGGGCGACCCAGAAGGGCGTGCCCTCGTACCAGCGCTGGAACTCGTCGTAGGACGCCTGCTCCTTGCCCGCGAGCACCGCCACGAAGTCGTCGACGGCGCCGTCGACGCGGTCGGCCAACAGCGCGTTCGCCGCCGTCAGGGAGCGCACGACCTCGCGCACCTCGGCGACGTCGACGGCCCCGGACTTGTCGAGGTCGAACTGGTCGAAGGCTTTTTTGGTCTCCGCGCGGAGCCGGCTCTCGGACGAGATGTACCACAGCGTGAACTCCTTGAAGTCGATGGTGTTCGAGTGGTCGATGTCCAATTCCTTGCGCAACGCTTCGAGCTCTGTCTCATCATAAGACGTCGCGTCGCCCAGCAGGCCCAGGATCTTGCGGAACTCGCCCGCGTCGAGGCTCCCGTTGCGGTCCGCGTCCAACGAGTCGAACGTCGCTCTCACGTCGCCCTTGATGCGCGCGACGACGGCGATGCCCGCGTTCATCTTGAGGTCCGCGTGCGTGAGGTTCCCGAGGAAGCCCGCGGAGAAGGTCGTGTGCTCCTCCTTGGCCTCGCCGTCCGACGGATCCGCGGCCGCGTCGCCCGGGCTCACCTTGTAGCGCTCCTCCTTCGCGAGCTTCCGCTTCACCCACGACTCGAGCTTCGCGTTCTGCGACATGAGGAAGACGTAGCCGAAGTACAACGAGAACTGGATGCCCGCCTCGGCGCCCGTGATGAGGCCCGTCGACGTCGTCGTGAAAAACGACGCGAGCGTCCCGAGCGTGAGGATGTAGTAGCAGCAGTCGCGGGCCAGGGGCCACCACGTGAGCTTCAAAGGCCCCAGCTCCTTGGGCGTCGCCAGGGCGCACATGCCGATGACGAAGAGCACGTTGAAGACCGCGGAGCCGACGATGGTCCCGAGGCCGACCGTCGACCCCTGGAACGTGCCGATGAAGGACGTCGCGAGCTCCGGCGCCGAGCCGCCGGCGGCCATCAGCGTCGCGCCGGACACGTCGTCGCTCAGGCCCCAGTCCTCGGCGATCTGCTCGAGCGAGGGAACGAACAATTCGTCGCAGACGATCGCGATGCCCACGAAGAGGTAGATGACGCAGACGACGGACACGGCGAAGATGCCAAACGTGGTCCGCGCCGCGTTGCAGCCGCCGCCCCCGCGCTTCTTCTCCTTCTCCCCGTCGCTGTAGCCCCGGCCCCGGACCTTGTTGGCGTTCGGGTGCACCTTCTCGTAGACGGACTTGCAGATGGACTTCTTCGCGCCGAGCCGCCGGCGCGCCGGCGTGTGTGTGAGCGCGGACCGCAGGGCGTCGACGGCGCCGGGGCCGTGGGCGTAGGTGACGCCGACGGCGCAGAGGGCGAGCACCGCCGACGCCTTCCAGAAGACCTTGCGCTTCTGGCGGTGGCGCCGCCGCCGGGGGACCGGGGGCTGCCCCCGGCTCAGCGCGCGCGCCGTCTCGACGGGCGACGGGTCCAACCCGGAGGCGTCGCCGCCCCCGGAGCTGCCCGAACACCGGGCCTCGACGTCCGTGATCTCCATCTGGGATGAACGCGTAGGAGAGTGCGCTGATCTCGGGGTTATTGCACTGCAATGTTGTCCTTCAGCGCTGGCGAGCTGTGGCAAGAGCTCTCTAGTGCGAGTCGTCTATCGAGCGCGCGCCGCCGCCGCCGTCGCAGCCGTCTATCGAGCGCGCGCGCGCCGCCGCCGCCGTCGCAGCCGTCTATCGACCGCGGTCGCAGCGCTGTCCGCGGCGCGACCATGAGCAACCCTTTGGTGTATTTCGACATGACCATCGGCGGCCTCGCCGCGGGCCGCATCGAGATGACGCTGCGCGCCGACGTCGTGCCCAAGACGGCGGAGAACTTCCGGTGCCTCTGCACGGGCGAGAAGGGCAACGCGCCGTCGGGCAAGTCGCTCCACTTCAAGGGCTCGTCGTTCCACCGCGTCATCACGGGCTTCATGTGCCAGGGCGGCGACTTCACGCGCGGCAACGGCACGGGCGGCGAGTCGATCTACGGCGCCAAGTTCGCCGACGAGAACTTCCAGCTCAAGCACACGGGGCCGGGCACGCTGTCCATGGCCAACGCCGGCCCGGGCACGAACGGCTCCCAGTTCTTCCTCTGCATCGTCGCCACGCCCTGGCTCGACGGCAAGCACGTCGTCTTCGGCTCCGTGACCAAGGGCATGGACGTCGTCCGCGCCATCGAGGCCGTCGGCTCGCAGCAGGGCAAGACGTCCAAGACGGTCCTCATCAACGACTGCGGCCAGATCGCGTAACACGTTAGTCGTCCGCGGCGGCGCGCGCGCTAGGTCCGCCGTGGCGAAGATCCCCCGCCGCGGCGACGCGCCGACGTTCGCGTTCCTCAACCTCGGGCTCCTCGCCTACGTCGGCGGCGGCGAGGCGTTAAGCCAGCTCCAGGTCGGCGACTTCCGCGTCGGCGCCTACACGGGGAGCGCCGCCTACCTCCTCTGGTGCTCCGTCTACATCGCCAAGCAGGTCGCGACGCGGAACCGCGTCCTCGTCACCTTCGACTGGATCAAGACGGCCATCTTCGGGCGGGACATCACGCGGCTCTAAGTTGCGAACCTCCTTACCGCCACCGTCGCAGCGGCGTGCCCGCGGGCGTGAAGCACCCGCCGCGCGCGGCGAGGGCAGCAGCGTCCGCGCGTGGCCGGCCGCGCCCTCGAGAGACGCGTCGAAGTCCCAGGGCGAAGCCTCAGTCACCCAAGCGTGGGCCGCTCCAGATCACTTCAACTTCGTATCGTTGAGTTGTTGCAGGCCGTCGTTGGAGGATGGTGTCGGTGCTGCGGGAGTCGGGCCCCGCGCCGCGCCGCCCGGGCGACGTCCTCGTCGGGCACGCGCACCGGGACAGCCGCGTCACCGACACGGACGGCCACCTGATGTCGGGGACGAACGAGAACGGCTACAACCGCGTGTTGCTCAAGGGGAAGCGGTTCGGCCGGTCGCAGTTCATCGCCTTCGCCTTTGTCCTCGGCGCGTGCAGCCTGGCCAAGTTCCAGCTCACGGCCGTCGACCACCTCGACCGCTGCCGATTGAACAACGACCTCTCCAACCTCGAGGTGCTCTACGGCTTCGACGCGACGGCGGAGAACCTCCGGCGCGCGCGCGAGGCCGCGAAGCGCGCCGGCGAGGAGTCCGCGGGCATGAAGAGCGGCGTCAAGAGGGGCGCCGCCTGCGAGTGGCGGCGCGTCAAGAAGGACGGGACGGCCATCCGCGGCCAGTCCTGGACGCACGCGGCCGGGCGGCGCCAGGCCGCGCGCGCGACGGGCGTCGAGCACCACAGCACGGTCGAGGACGCGATCGCGAGCGGCGACGTCATCAAGGGCGGGCGCCACTACTGGGTCTTCCGCGACGCGTCGGCGATGACGAAGATCAAGGGCGAGCGCTGGAAGCGCGCGCCGGCGCCCTGGGCGTCCGTCGAGGTCTCCAACATGGGCCGCGTGCGGGACTTCGCGACGAAGCAGGAGAGGATCCCGGGCCCGCACTGCGGCTACCGAACCCTCAAGATCGCGGACAAGCAGATCTACCTCCACGTGCTCGTCATGCTAACCTTCAAGGGCCTCCCCCCCGTCGACTCGCCGCACGTCATGCACCTCAACGGCGACGGCCACGACTGCCGGCTCAAGAATTTGCGCTACGGCACCGCGGCCGAGAACGCGGCCATGAAGAAGAAGCACGGCACGGCGACCGGCGGCGGCGCCAAGCGCGCCGTCGCCTACCGCGTCGTCGGCGCCGCGAACTGGATCGTCGTCGAGTCGCAGAACGCCGCGGCGACGGCGACGGGCGTGCACCGGAATAGCGTCCACAAGGCCTTCGAGTCCGGCAAGTCGAAGAAGGGCAAGGGCGGCGTGCTCTACGAGTTCGAGGACCGCTCCATCCCCGACGACTTCGACGAGTTCGTCCCGATCTACCTCTCCAAGGAGGTGTACGAGCACTCGATCCCGGACCTGACCATCGTCCGCGCGTTCCTCGGCCGGACCATCAAGGACGTCACGACGGACGAGTACTTCAAGATCGTCTCCGTCTTCAACGACGACGAGCTCGGGCGGCTCTGCGTCGAGTACTTCGACAAGTCGCTCCTCGACGACCCGGACCTCGACCTCGACGACCTCATCGCCGCCGACGACCTCGAGTTCAGCTACGTCTACCAGATGGACGACGAGCACCTCGTCGACGAGGTCGAGCAGACGAAGAAGCGCAAGCGCGAGAAGATCGACGACCTGCCCATCGACCCCCTGCCCATCAACAAGCGCTACGCGCTCAACTTCAACTTCGACTGAACGCGCGCAACAGACACAGACACACAGACACACAGCACAGCACACACGGACTCGACTGAGGCGCGCGTTTGGGAAACCCCGTGCGAGCCGGGCTCTTCAGCCCCGGTGTCGAGCCCATCCAAGAATTCACCGAGATACTCCTAGACGGCACCAAGGCCCAGTACTCAGTAAGCTACATCGTAGACTGATCGGGGCCTCTCGCGCGGCGCGCGCCACACCGACACCCCGGCGCTCGTCGCACTAACAACGAGACCAGAAGCGTCGGCGTGCGAAGAGCCCTCGTCGCCGCGGCGGCCGCGGCGGCCGCGGCAGCGCGTCCCACTCGGCCTTGAGGAACGCGGCGACGCACGGCGCGGCCTCGGGCGCGCCCGCGGCGTCCGTGAGCCGCGCGGCGAGCTCCGCGCGGCGCGCGTCGAGCAGCGCGGCGACGACGTCGCCGGGCAGCGCCGCGGCGTCGCCGTCGCCGGAGGCCGCGGCGAGCGCCTCGAGCGTCGCGAGCGTCGACCGGAGCCGGTCGCCGGGCGCCGCGCCGGCGGCGACGTCGACGGTGTAGAGCCCGAGGCGCTGGGCGGCGCGCTCGCTCCGCCGCGCGGCTTCGTCGGCGAGTAGGCGCGCGCCGACGGAACGGACCGCGTCGCCGTCGAAGACCGCGGGCCGCGCGGCCGCGCAGGCCTCGACGACGTCGACCGCGTCGAAGCCGACGACGCCGACGTCGTTGTCCGGCACGGCGAAGCCGTAGTGGAGCAGCAGCTCGAGGTTGCTCCGGTTCCCGTAGTCGTTGAAGACCTCGGCGCCGGCCGCGTAGCCCTCGGCCGACACGAGCTGCCACTTGGCCGCGTGGCGCTCGACGCGCACGCGCGCGCCGTGCTTGTGGTTCAGCAGGTCCAGCAGGGGCACGAGCGCGCGCCGCGTGCCCGGCGCCTGCAGCACGTCGGCGCTCGCCGGCTCGAGCCGGAAGACCTCCGCGTCGAGCGCGAACGACCTCGCGCGGACGTGCGCGAACGCCTCGACGAAGCGGTCCACCGGCACGCTGAGCACCGCGTTGCACTCGTCGTAGCGCGCGAGGACGTAGGCGCGCGTCGCCCGCGCGCACTCGGCGTAGCACCGCGGGAGCAGCGCCAGGTCCTCGTCGCGGAGCGCGAGCGCGGACGCCGGCGCGGCGGGCAGCGTGTCGCGCCAGAGGAAGAAGCGGTCGTCCCTGCCGTCGCGCTCCTCGAGGACGATGTAGCAGGCGAGGACGGACTCGTCCGTGAGCGGCGCGCCGCGCGTCGAGGCCTCGGCGGCGGCGGCGGCGAGGTCGCCCCGCCGCGCGAGCGCGCGCTCCGCGAAGACCACCTCGCCGTCGCCCCAGGCGAAGACGCGCGCGGCCGGCGAACGCGCGCGCGTCGTGCGCACGCCGCGGCCCGTCGCCGCGAAGTCGTGGACGTCGAGGCCGAAGGGCTCGAGGCGGGCGTTCAAGTAGGCGCGCTGCCCCACGCCGTCGCCGCGTGCGGCGGCGAGCTGCAGCAGGAATGCGATCATCGTCGCATTCGCGATACGTTTGTGAACACCTGTCATCGTTGTCGCACTTGCCGTGCTCATCGCGCGCCGGTGCGACTCATTGCGAGCGGCTCTGCAAGCACTGCAACAGCAAGTTCAACGAAACGGCCTCGGATCTCAACGAAGCAGGTTAGCCCGGCCTCCGCTGCCCGCGGGCACGGGGAAGGCGCCGGGCCAGGCGAGGATCTTGGGCCGCGGCGGCGCGTCGTCGGCGGGCCGCGCGTCGTCGCCGGGCGGCCGCGGCGGCGGCGGCCGCGTGGGCGGCGTCGCGCCGGACGCCGCGCGGTGCGCCGCGAGGCGCGACCGCGCGGACGGCGTGCGCGTCAGGGGCTTGCGCGCCGGGAGCGCGCCGAAGGCCGACGTCGCCGGCGCGTCGGCGCCGTACCGCCGCGGCGGCGGCGCCGCGAGCTCGGGCTGCCGGTACGTACCGGGGTCGGGCCAGTCGACGGCGCGCGCGCGGTGCGCGTTGAGCTTGCGCACGCGCTTCTCCCGGAGCGCGCGCGCCGCGGGGTCGGCGGCCTTGTCGGCCTTGGGCTTGCGCGCGGGCTTCGCGGGCGGCGTTTTTTTTTTTGCGGACGCGGCGGACGCGAGGGTCTGCTCGTCGAAGTGGGGGTTCACGCGCGCGCTCCTCGGCCGCTTGGTCTTGCGCCGCGCCTTCTTTTTGGGGGGGCGCGCGCTCTCGCGCCACTCGGCGCGCATCTTCCGGCGCAGCGATTTCAGCCGCTCGCTCTTCTCCGCGGCCTGCCTCACGACGCGGCGCAGGAACTCGGACGGCGCCGCGGGCTTCGCCGGCGGCGGCGCCGGGGGCGCGCCGTCGCGCCGCGGCGACTTGGACGGCCGGCACGCGGACCCGCGCCGCTCCGCCTCCGCGGCCTTTTTCCGCTCGAGGCTCCGCGCGAGGTCCTCGAGGATCGCGGTGCTCTTCTTCGCGCTCAGCCGCAGGGTCTCGGGCTCCGACGCCGGCGGCGCCCGCGGCCGGGGCACGCCCAGGGCCCGGCAGAACGCGTCGAGCGTCGCGTGGGAGAGGCGCGCGTCGCCGCCTTTCGCGACGACGCCCTCGCCGGGCCGGCCGTAGGCCTTGACGCCCGGGAGGGGCACGAGGGGCCCGCCGCGGGGCACGTTGTCCGTCGCGCCGACGAGGAGCTGGGCGCCCTCGGCCATGCGGCCCTCGATGCGCTCGAGCGCGCGGCGCGCGCCCGCGGCGTCGCTGTACAAGAACGCGCTGTAGCGGCAGAGCACGAGGTCGAAGGTGCGGCCGGCGAGGGCGCTCTCCATGGCCTCGGCGGCGATGTCCTCGACCTTGAGCTCGAGGGCGTCGGCGACGGCCCGCGGCGCCCTGAGGCGCCGGGCCCGGCGGCCGACGTCGCCCCGGACGTCGACGAAGCGGTCCGCGAGCACGTCCGCCGGCACGGTCTTGAGCGCCGCCGCCGTCCAGACGCGGCCCGCGTCGCCGGCGAGGGCGATGAGCTCGGGCTTCATGTCCGTGCCGACGCTCTCGAGGGCCGGCGCGGCGCCGAGCGCGCGCCGGAGCGCCGGCGCGGCGCGGCTCTCGTAGAGCAGGGCCAGGCTGTAGAGCTCCTCGCCCGACGAGCAGCCGCAGCTCCAGACGCGCAGCGGCCGCCGCTCCCTGGCGGCGCGGCAGGCCGCGCGGAAGAGGCCCACGTTCTCGAGCCAGTCCCAGGCCTTGGCGTCGCGGAAGAAGGACGTGTGGGCGCGCCAGGTGTCGTTCTTCGGCGACGCCGGGAAGGGCGACCGCGCCGGCGACGGCGACGACGCCGACGCCGGCTTCGGCGCCGGCGGGGGCTGCGGCTCCATGGCTAGGCGAGGAGAACGCAGCAACCCATAGCGCGTCTTCGTAACGATAGAAATGTTTACGGTGAAGCTCAAGATATACTCGTATGCGGAGGCCCGTTCCCCGTACAACGGCGCGATCCCACGAGGAGAGCAGCCCTGTTCTTTTGCTCACGCAAAACTTCTCGAAGGTCGCTTCGGGCCGGTGAAGGCGGGCCCGCAAAGCGCGGACGTCGCCGCTCATGGCCGGCCTCGGCGCCACGGCGGCCTGCCTCGCTCGGAAGCGCCGCGGCAGCCGCGACCGCTCCAAGAGCCCCGTGCGCAAGGACTACGGCGCCCTGACGCCCGTCGTCTCGGCCACGACGACGGTCGAGGCGCTCTACGACCGCGTGCGCGGGGACCGGGCCGAGTGCGGCGTGTCGCGCGACGAGACGCGCTGCGTGCTCGCGGAGCTCACGAACTGCGAACCCGCCGCCGTCCGCGAGGACGACCTCGACATCGTCCGCCGCCGCGCGTGCAATCTGCGGACGTCGCCGCCGGCGCCCGGCCGCTCCCTGAGCGGCCTCGCCCCGGCGCCCGTCGCCGCCGTCGCGGCCGCGGGCGCCCCGGAATGCGACGCCGCGGAGGCCGCCGTCGTCGACGAGCGCGAGGCCCGGCTCGAGAAGCGGGCGCTGGTCGAGGCCACGCTGCTCTACACGAACTACCTCGACCACAAGGGCGCCGTCGACGCGCTCTACGCCAAGCACGCCAAAACCCGCGGCGGCCAGCTCTCGCCCGCGCAGCTCCGCGACGCGTTAGAAGCGCTCGAGCGCAAGCACGGCGGCCACGAGTGCTTCGGCATCTCCTTCTCCGTCATCCCGAGCAAGCGCGACGTCGTCGACATCATCGAGAAGTGCGACCTCGACCAGGACGGCTTCATCAACCGCATCGAGCTCATCCCCGCGCTCCAGGTGTGGAAGAAGATCGCGGACCGCCATGCGTCCGCGCAGACGTCCGTCTGCGCGATCATGTAGCGGCGTGCGTCTCCTTCGCGCCGTTCCCTGTCCTATACTTGTGTTCCTTTGCTTCCTGCCGAGGACGCTCCAAGGAGGTTCGAGGCGTCTCCGTCTTGGGAGATTGGGTAGCAATGGCCGAGAAAGCTTCAAGGAGTCGACCGTGCGGATGAGGTGCAGATGAGGTTGTGATTACTCGCCGGCCGAGCGTGTGGCAAGAAGCTGGCAGCCATGCTCCTAGCCTAGAGCTAGCTCGCCGAAGCGTGTGGGCAAGAAGCAATGGCAGCCATGCTCGGCCGCGCCGCGAGCACCCTCGCGCCGCTGTGCGCGTCGCTCGCTTCCTGCGGGTGCGACGCCGGCCGGACGGTGACGGACCACACGTCCTGCGAGTGGACGGCGGAGACCTGGGACGCGCACCGGCCGCCGACGCTGCGCCAGTGGCTCAGCGAGAAGCCCTTCGCGCTGGCCTGGAGCCAGGGCTTCGGCTGCGAGGTCGCGTCGCTGGGCGCGACGCTCGCGCTCGCCGACGGTCTAGGCTCCGAGGCCGCGCTCCGGAAGCAGGTGCTGGCGACGAGCGGCGCGAGCTCCGGCGCGAAGGTCGCCGCGGTCGTCGCGACGCCCGGCGCGTCGCTCGAGGCCATGGCCGCGAGCCTCAAGGGTTTACGGTTCCGCGACGTGCTCTGCGACTTCGGGGACACGGCGCTGTCGCGCGGCGGCTGGGTCCACGCGACGAAGATGCGCGCGCATTTGGCGCACTTCGTCGGCGAGGGCGCGCGGCTCGAGGATCTGGCAAAGCCGTTCAATACGACGGCCTTCGACTTGAAGAGCCTGCGCGTCGTCGCGATCGGCGCTCGGACGCCGCGCGACAAGGGCGACGTCGTCGACGCGTGCTTCGGCTCCGGCGCGTTCCCGCCGCTCTTCCCGCCGGTGGCCTTCGGCGACTGCCTGCTGACGGACCTCGCCTTCTTCACGGACGCCGCGGGGCTGCGCGGCATGGCGGGACGGCCCGGCCGCGTGCTCCAGATCGCCAACGCCGACTTTCCCATGAACGGCCCCTGGGTCGTCAAGGCGCCGTCGGACCTGGACCACCTGGGGCGGCCCGAGGTCGTCTCCGTCGTGCTCACGGGCATGACGCGCGTCATGCCCATCCCGCCGGGCGCCGGCGCGCGCGTGCCCGCGGCGCTCGACGGCGCGCGGGCGGGGGTCCGGGCCGCGCTCGACGCGCCGCTGGCCAAGGGGAGCGAGCCGGGCCACTACGTCGCGCGCGTCCGGGCCCGCGCCACGCCCCGGGACGCGGAGATCCGCCGGGCCAACGCGGCCACGGCGCTCGGCCTCGTCGTTCTGGCGCTCGTCGCGGCGCGGCGCTCCTAACATTTTACTCCTCCGTCAGCGGGATTTCGTCGTCGTCGCCGCCGGGCAGCGTCGCCGCGTCGTCGGCGGCCTCGTCGTCGCAGCCCTTGAGCGGCACCGTCGGCGCGCTGTCCGCGAGCAGGTCCGCGGAGCACACGTAGAAGAGGAGCTTCGGCTCGGACTGGGACCGCGGGAGCGGCGCGTCCGCGGACAGCTCGACGTCCCGCGCCGGGCTCGGCGGCGTCGTCCAGCTCGGGAACCAGCTCTCCGCCGCCGCCTCGCGCCGCGTCGGGCTGTCCGCCGCGTCCGTCCAGCTCGGGCTCCAGGGCTCGGCCGCGGCGTCGTCGTCGTCCGCGAGGGCCAGCGCGAGGGCCAGCGACGCGTCGTCGTTCAAGGACACGTCGACCTCGCGCGCGACGGTTTCGCCGGCTTCGGGCGGCGGCGGCGCCGCGGCCGCGGCGCCGCCGCCGCGGAGCGCGGCCTCCGCGAGCGCGCGCCAGCCGCCGTAGACGCCCGCGAGCTCCGCCTCCGTCTTGTAGACGATGATGCCCGAGAGCCACGTCGGGAACGCGTCCGAGAGGACCACGCGGAACGCGACGCGGACGCGCGACCCGCCGCCCCTGTGGTCGACGCGGCACACGGTCTCGACGAAGAGCGTCTCGCCGTAGGGGATGCCCGTGAAGTGCGACGCCTCGTAGACGGCGAAGGGCGTGCCCTCGAAGTTCGCGAAGGCCCGCTGGTTCTTGACCGTGGGCACCGTGACGTCGGAGCCGACCCAGCGCGGCACGGGGATGCCCAGCGGGTGCCGGAGCTGGAAGTGGCGCGACCGCGACGTCCCGGACGGCGCCCAGGGCTCGCCCTCGACGGACGCGTCGCCGCCGGCCTCTAGAAAAGCCTGGAAGAACGCCTCGTCCTCCCACAATTCGGCGAAGACGTCCTCCGGCGCGCGCGGCGTCTCCAAGTCGACGAGCGGCCGGAAGACGCCGCCGCCGCCCCAGGCGCCGCCCCAGGACGCCCGGGGCTTCTCGGAGCGCAGGCACGCGCGCACGGCCGCGGCGGCGGCGGCCTCGTCGTCGGGGAGCGGCGGCGGCGGCGTCGTCGGCGTCGACGGCGCCGACGGCGGCGGCGGCGGCGGCTCCGCGGCGACGGCCGGCGGCGCGCTTTTGACCTTGGGGTGGCGCTTGAGGGCGCCGGCGAAGGCCGCGAGGCACTCGCTCAGGCCCCAGGCGACGATGCGCACGACGGCGTAGAACAGCGTCACGCTCAGCAGCGGCGGCGGCTCCTCGTCGACGGCGGCGTCCTCGGAGGCCTCCGGAGGGGCGGCGCCCTCCGCCTCCGGCGCGTCGACGAGGCCGTGCATCTCCGCGGCGAGGCCGTGCACCTCCGCGGCGAGGCCGTGCGGCGCGTCAACGAGGCGCGCTTTGAGCTCCGGCGTCTTCGGCCGGCCGACGAGGCCGTCGAGCCAGCGCGACTCCGGCGGCGGCGCCGGCGGCGTCGCGGGCGGCGCCGCGGGCGCGTCGATGACGCGGGCGACGACGCCGTCGCGCGTCTCGCGGCCCGCGAGCCACGCGGCGGCGTCGACGGCGGCGCCATCGCGCTTCTCGGCGTCGCGCCCCGCGAGCCAGGCGCGCTGCTCCGCCGTGAGGTCGTCCTCCGCCGGCGCGGCGGCCGCCGCCATGCGCTCGATGTCGGCGACGGCGAGGCGCTCGAGATCCCGGAGCGGCGGCGCTGTGGTGTTTGTCGTGTTGTTATCGTCCGATCCCATCGATGGACCCTCCAGTGCCATCATGGCCGGCGTGGCATGCTTCGGAGGGCTGCCGAGGCCGTTGGGTTCGACCTTGCCGTCAATAAGCAGCTTTGTTGCGCCGCTCTCCGCGCTCTCGCACGGCGCCGCTCGAGCTCTCGCGCTGCCAATGGCCGCCATGCAGGACGCGACCATGATCGACAAATTGAAGACGACGTACGACATGCAGCCGCACCCCGAGGGCGGCTTCTTCAAGGAGACCTACCGCGCCGAGTCGCGCATCACCTCGTCCTTCGGCGAGCGCAGCGCGTCGACGGCGATCTACTTCCTGATCACGCCCGGCTCCGTGTCGCGGCTGCACCGCATCCGCGCCGACGAGGTCTGGCATTTCTCAGCGTCTTGCGGCCGTGACGAATTTTGAGAGATTTTGGCTGGGAAAACGATGAAAAATCGTCACCGACAGGCACTTTTATCTCGGCGGTCCCATGACCGTCGTCGAGCTCGTCGACGGCGCGGCGAAGTGCACGACGCTCGGCCACGACGTGCTCGACGGCCAGCTCGTGCAGTACACGGTCAAAGCCGGCACGTGGTTCGGCTCCTTCCCCAACGCCGGGTCGGCCTACTCCTTCGTCGGCTGCACCGTCGCGCCGGGCTTCGAGTTCGAGGACTTCGAGTTGGGCTCGCGCGCCGCGCTCCTCGCCGAGTTCCCGGACGCCAGAGACCTCGTCGTCAAACTCACGGAGGGGCTTCCCTAAGTGTCGTTATAACAGTCGAGCTCCGTCGCGAGCAGCGCGGCTCCCCTAAGTGAGACGGGGCTTCCCTAAGTGGCGTTATAACAGTCGAGCTCCGTCGCGAGCAGCAGCGCCTCGTCGGACACGCCCGCGACGTCCGGGTACTGCGCGAGGAACGGCACCAGGAGGCTGCAGATGTCGCGGACCTCGGCCGCGTCGTCGAGATCGCCCGTCTCGATGCGCACGTGGGCGAGGACGATCAGCGCCGTGGCCAGGCCCGGCTGCCAGCTCAGCGCGGCCTCGAGCGCCTCGCGCGCGTCCGCCGCGCGCGCCGCGTCGCCGCCCTTGAAGGCGCCGAACGCCTCGAGGCCGTACGTCAGCGCGGCCGACGCCTTCCCCGCGGCCGCCGACGCGCAGTACGTGCGGCAGGACTCGACGACGCCGTCGTTGTCGAGGCCGCAGCGCGTCCAGGCCTCGTCGTGGGCGTTCGGCGGCGGCAGGAGCGGCTCCGCCTCGTACCATCGCTGGATCACCATCTTCGGCGGCGAGTCCCGCGGCACGGCCGCGGCCGCGTGCGTCGAGTAGTCGTCGCAGTAGGACTCCGTCGCCGCGTCGACGTTGCGCCAGGCGGCGAGGCGGCCGGCTTTTGGCGTGATTTTCGCGTCGTCGAGCTTCGGAAAGACCGTCTCGCCGCCGGCGTCGACGTCGTTGAGATACAACAGCGTCGTAAAGGGCCGCCGGTGCACGGCGCCCTGCTGTTGCCCTAAGGCCGCGCCGGCCTCGTCGAAGCGGCAGTCCGTGTGCGGCTCGTAGCCCCCAGCGCCGGACGGGTAGTAGAGGAACTGGAGAAAGAGGCCCGCGGAGCCCCGGAGTCCGGTCGCGGCCTCGACGGCCGCCTCCGCGGCGCGCGCGGCGGGGAGCTCGTCGCGCGAGACGACGTAGCTCACCGAGGCCTTCTCCCGCAGCGCCCGCGCCTCGGGCACGTCGCTCCGCACGCAGTGGTCCGCGCCGAGGCGCCGCACGCCCGTCCTCGGATCTCGGGAAGCCTTCAACACCCACGCGGGCAGCGGGCTCCGAGCGTGGCGCGCGCCCGTCGCCGGGTCGACGTCGACGCGCGCCGGGTCGAAGCAGACGGGGCCCGGCGCGGCGCACTCGTCGGCGACGGCGCGCTCGAGCTCGGCGCGCAGCGCGGCGACGGTCTCGGGAGACGCGAGGCCGTCGACGACGACGCCGCCGACGCGCGCGAGGGTTGGTAGTGGTGCCGTGCGATTCAGTGCGGTTGTCCATTGTGGTTTGAAGGGGGTCGGCGGTGGTGGCTGCGATCGCCACCAGAGCGCCGCGGGCGCGAGCGGCAGCGCGGCGAGGAGGAGGAAAGGCCAGCGCCTGCTCGCTTTCGGTTGCTTCTGCTTCTGCGTTTTTCCTGCCTTGTCGGGACGAGGCGGCGCGCCTTTCTTCGAGGCCGCCATGGCACGTTTGCGGCCGGGGATAGGCCTGCTATATTGCGAGAAGCGCGGAGTTCATTGCGCTCAAGGAAGGCATGGATCGCCGATGCAGAGATGATGCAGTTCTCGACAAACGCCGGAGTGGAGCCAGCCGCCGCTCTGGCCGAAGAAATCCAGCGCTAGCCGCCGCTCTGGCCGAAGAAATCCAGCGCTCTCGCAGCCAGACGATGCGCGCCGCGATACTCCTTCTGCTGCTACGCAGCGCGAGCGCATTTTTATGCACTCAAACCACACACAACACTAAACTCCACGCCTCGGTCGCCGACGCCGTCCTCGCCGTCGACGCTCTGATCCAGACGCCGACGCAGCGCTTCGAGGCCGCCGCGCTCCTCCTCGTCGCCTCCTTCGCCTCGAAGGTCAGCCAGAGCCCGCTGCAGCGGCCCAAGGCGCGCGTCAAGCCCGCGAACGTGACCAAGGCCGCGTGGCGCAAGGGCGAGATCGCGCGGTGGCGATTGGAAGAATCCGTCGACTTTGGGTTCGCCGTCGCGTTCCTCAACGAGTGGGCGACGCGGAGCGTCGAGGTCGGCTTCCTGCGCGCGCGCGCGCGGTGCGCGCCGTTGGACAACGGCGTCCGCGTGCTCTGGGCGTCGCGGGGTCCCAGGTACCTCTCGGCGGCCGAGGAGCGGTCGCTCGAGGCGGACTTCGAGCGGCTGCCGAGCCCGAAGCGCGACGAGGCGGACCGGGCGAAGTCGACGTACCAGTACGCGGCGCGGGCCTCGACGAGCCAGGTCGGCGGCGTCGACGTGCTCTTCCTCCCGGGCGATGGCGCCGAACCGCCGACGCTCTCCGTCGTGCGCTGCGGCTACGCGACGGACGAGGTCGTCAAGGAGGGCTCGGAGCGCGCGCTCCAGAGCGGCATCCTCCGCGATCTGCCCTGCGCGTTCGGCGCGATGGAGCCCGTCCGGGACGACAGGACGCCGCCGTTCACCATCGACAAGTACGGCCGCCGGACGGAGAACTAGCTAGTCGCCGAGGGAGTTAATGAAGTCCTCGTAGCCCTGGGCGCGGTCCGCCGGCGACGGCGCGGGGAGCGCGCGGCGCCCGCGGCCCCGGCCCGGCCGGCGCGGCGGCGCCGCGCCGTAGGGCGACGGGATGTCGTCGGGCCGCGGCAGCGCGAGGGACGGGTGGAGCGCCGCGCGGTCGACGCCCGGCGCGAGGGACGCGAAGCTCGTGAGCCCGCCGGCGACCGCGTGCGTCTCCGACCGCTCGTCCCAGAGCGGCTCCGTGGACCGGCCGGCCGCGCGCCGGTCGTGGACCGTCTCGACGATCGTCGCGTGGTCGCCGTAGGGGGCGCCGCAGGCGCAGCGCGCCGCGGGCGCGAAGCACTTGCAGGCGCACTTGGAGCACTTCGCGGGCAGGCCGCGCGCCGACCGGTGGTCCTCGGGCAGGTGCTTGCAGCTGCACCGCGCGTGCTGCGCGCCGCGGCCCGGCAGGTAGCTGAAGCTCGGGCAGGCGCAGCCCTTGCAGCGGCAGCGGGGCTTCTTCGATTTGTTCTCCCACCAGGCGTGCGCCTTGTACGAGTGGCCGCAGAAGCAGCGCGAGTGCGGCCCGACGTTGACGCAGTCCATGCCCGTGCTCAGGTTCCGCCAGGTCACGAAGAGGCGGCCGGATTCGAGCACCTCGTGGGCCTTGCGCTTCAGGCTGTCGAACTCGCGCTGGGGGAGCGCCGCGCCGCCGTCGGATTCTCCCACGAGCAGGTTGTACTCCTCGAAGGCGTCGATGTGCGCGCCCACCGTCGCGCCGCCGACGACGGCGGCGAAGTCGAGGCCGCCGCCCGTCTCCACGGCGGCGCGGCGCGGCAGCCGCGGCTCGAGCGTGCCGCCGGAGACGGCGCCGCCGCGCTGCAGGAGGCCCTGCGCCTCGTAGTGGTGGGCGAAGGGCACGGCGCGGCCCCGCCCGCGACCCCGCGACACGCCGCGCCCGCGGCCGGTGGGCTTCATGCCTGGCTCGGCACGTCGGGGCAGCCCATCGTATTTTCTTCAATGAGCGGTTCAAGAACAAGTCTAAACAACTTTTTACCCTAAGTTACCCGGGTCGCGATGGCCGGCAGCACTCGAGAATGGTGCTTAATCGACCAAACTGCGCACTATCACGCGTCGGGCGGCAACCTTGACGCGCTCGTTGAGATGACATACCCCAGAACTGGTGGTGTGCTCATCTCGGATGCACCGGAGGATGGGACGACGCGACTGCGTTATGCAGCTCGTTATGGTTGGTGCTCGGCAATTAAAAGCCTCTTGGAACAGGGCGCCGACGTCCACTTGGGTCGGCCATCCCGCGGCAGGACGCCACTGCACGCCGCCGCTGGTTGGGACTGTCGCGACGCAGCAGTCCTGCTGCTCGACGCCGGTGCGCGAGTCCATGACAGCAACTCGGATGGCAGGACCGCGCTCCACTTGGCAGCCGCGAACGGCAACTCCAAGATGTGCAAGCTGCTCCTGAGCCGCGGCGCGTCGCTCGACCCGCGCGCTAACGACGGCAACGACCCCGAGGCCGTCGCGCGATACTATTGCAACACCACCCTGGCCAACTTCCTCGCCGCCGTCCGCGCCGCGGGCGGCTGGCAGCCATACGTCGACGCGCCGCGCAAGGAACTGCTCGCCCTCCGCCAACGCCTCCCGGCCCTCCGCGACCGCGGCCGCGCGGCGCCGTCGTCGAGCGTGCGCGCGCACGAGCGGCTCTTCCTGAAGACGCCCGACGACGTCTTCTCGCACGTCCTCACCTTCTGGCGCAGCGACCGCGACGACTAAAAACAAAAGAAAGGCCGACGCCACGTCCTCCCCGCGACTCAGGAGCGGCGCGTTAGCTCGACGCGCGGCCCGCGGCGTCGCGGGCGGCGGAGCGGCGCCCCCGGGAGCGCGCCCCCGCCGTCCTCAGGGCGACGGCGGCGGCGTCGTCGCCTCGGACGCCGCGGCCGCGGCCTTGCCCTTCTTGCCCTTGGCGGCCTTGGCCGGCTTCTCCTTCTTCTCCGGGGGCTTCCACTCCTTCTTCTCCTTCTTGCCGCCGCCCTTCTTGTTCTTGTTCGCGAGCTTCTCCGCGAGCGCGGATTTCGCGCCCGCCTTGGCGGCGATGGTGGCCTTCTTCTCCGCGGCGGCGGCGGCCGCGGCCTCGCGCTCGGCGCGGAGCTGGACGAGGCGCTCGCGGTCCGCGGCGCCGCTGCCCTTGATGCGCTCCTTGATGTCGACGAGCTCCATGTCGAAGACCAAGGTCGCGCCCGGCGGCACGTCGTCCTCGGAGCCCTCGGCGCCGTAGCCGTAGTCCGGCGCGAGCTCGACGACGGCGGCGTCGCCGACCTTGAGCACCTTGATGGCCTCGTCCCAGCCCTTGACGACCTTGCCCGCGCCGACCGTGAACTCGAAGGGGTAGCCCCCGTGGTTCCGGTCGAACTCGTCCTCCTTGCCCTTGACGCGCCCCACATAGTTCACCTGCACGTGGTCGCCCTCCTCGGGCGAGTCGCCCGCGCCGCGCTTGCTTAGCTTCTTGATGACGACGCCGCCGTCGCCGAGCACGTCCAACGGAAAGGTCCGATCATCCAAAGGCGGAGGCGTCGCTTGCACGAGTGAGCTCATACAACGGCGGGGTGGTCGGGCCTAAAGGGTTTGCACGGTTCTTCGCGCGGCGGGGGGCGCGGGGCGGGGGCGGCGGGGGGTCGAGGGGGGCGGGGACGAGCGAGAAGCGGGGCGGCCGACGGCGGAGCCGACGGCCGCGGCGGCCGGGCGCGCTGGACAGCCCCGCGGCGGCACGGGGCCGCCGCGGTCGGCCCGCCGCGGCCGCGCGCCGTCGCCGCGGCAGAAGCATTGCCGCAGTTCAGCGAGCGCCCGGCGACCGCCGCAGCGGCCCCGGCGCGTCACGGCTGGCTTCCGGGCCGTGCCGCAGCGGTCAAGGCGCTCGCGAAGGGCGTCAGGGGGGCATGGTGGGGGACAGAACTGGGACAGCGAGGGACCCCACCTTGGATGGACTCAGGGGCCCCAAAAAGATTTGCCACAAAGTTGCCACAAGCAGACATCATCGGCCCGCGCGCCGCGCAGGCGCGATGGCCAAGCCATTGGGCCGCGTCGTCGGCATCTCGAAGGACGGCAAGTCCGTCGTCCGCGAGAACTCGCCGGAAGCGCTCGCCGCCAACTTCGCGCCCGTGATCCGCGGCTCCAAAGCGCTCATCGACGAAGAGACGGCGCTGCGCCGGCCCAGCGAGCACAAGCCCGCGCGGCGCCCGCCGAAGCAGGCGCCCGCGCCGAAATTGAAACCCGCGAAGCTCTTCGACGGATTTTTGCGCCACGCCGACGGCGAGGCCTACGGGCCCTGCCGCGAGGCCTACGGCGGCCCCGACGGCGACCGGCTCCCGTCGGCGCCGGCCCAGCTCCTGCGGCGCCTCGTCTACTACGGCGCGCTCTTCCCGCGGCCGCCGCGCTGCGGCCGCCACGTGGCGTTTTTGCTGCTGTCCAAGGTCCCGGCGCTCGTCGTCGTCGGCCGCTGGTTCGCCACGGACGAGATCGCGCACCGGCGGAACCGCTACCGCCGCTGCCGCGCGCCGGCCGTGCCGCCCTGGGCCGCGCGGGGCCGGCCGCCGCCGCACGCGCCCGCAGCTCCATCTTTAAAACGCCTCGACGGGCCGTCGGCCCTCGTCGACGACGCCGACGGCCTCGAGGACGACTGGGCCGACTACGACGATTTGGACGCGTCGCCGCCGCGGCGCGCGCGGTTCTCCAGGTGCCGGCACGCGGCGCGCTGGGTGCCGGCGCCGGCGCCCCCCGCGAGCAGCGTCCGGGTTTTACGATTGCTCGGCGCGCTGCGGCCGTCGGCGCTCGAGAGCGGCCAGTTCACCGTGCGGGGCGGCGCCGCGCTCGACGCGTACGGCTACGCGTGGGGCCAGTCGCTGACGGACGCCTGGGCCTTCGTGCCGCTGCCGCCGGGCAGCTCGCGGCGCCACGTCTCCGCCAAGGTCGAGCGGCTCGGCCTGCGGGCGACCGTGCGGGAGGAAGTCGCGGCGACGCCGTTCGGGCGCGCCGTGCTCCCCGACGCCAGTGCGCTGCGGGAGCCCGTGCTCGAGGCCGCGTTCCACGCGCCCGTCGACACGGAGGGCGCGACGGTCTGGTGCATGGACGAGCAGAAGATGTTGGGGATCAAAGGGCCCCTGGCCATGGTCCACAAGGTCCTCATCATCACGTGCCACAAGGCGGCGCCGGCCTGGTGGCCGCGCTTCGTCAAGGACCACCCGGAGATCCGCCGCCGCGACTTCGCCTTCATGACCGACGACGACACGTAACTCGTGATGACCGCGTGGCAGTTTAGTTGAGCGCGGCGAGCGCCGCGCGGAGCTCGGACGGCGCCGGCGGCCGGCCGGAGAAGTGGACGACCGTGTCCGCCCGGGAGAAGCCGAAGTGCACGGCGTCGCAGGGCTCGAGGCTCTCGGCCTGGGCGTCTTTCGCGCCGCCGCAGGTGTAGACCGTGAGCGCCGCGCGCGCGAGCGTCGACTCGAGCGTCGCCGCGAGATCCGCGGGCGGCAGGTCGGACGACGCCCGGCGCACGTTCGCCGCCAACGCCTTGGTCACGCGCGCCTGCCAGCCGCGCTCCACGGGCAGGACGTGGCGGCCCGCCGGGTTCGTCGAGCCCAGCGCCATCTCGAGGTACGTCGTGATGCGGCTCGGCACCTTGAGCACGGACGCGACGCGCGCGAGCACGTCGGCCACGAGGCTGCGCGACTTGAAGGTCGGCATGTTGACCCAGCACTCGCAGCCATCGGGCTTCTGCACGGCGACGCCGCAGAAGCCCGCCCAGAACTGGCCCGGGCCCGACCCGAGCGCGTCCGCGCACGCGCCGTCGGGGAACGCGAGCTTGGCGACGGCGAAGGGCAGGTACTCGAGGGGCATGTCGGCTTCGAGGGTCGGGAACCAGGGCGCGGCGACGGTCGGCAGCAGGTCCTCGGCGCCGGACGCGTTCGGCACGGGCTTGAGGTCCCCGGGCGCCCACGCCTTCCGCTTCAGCTCCCGCGTCGCGACGCCGTCGAGCGCCACCGAGTCGCTGGAGAAGTAGCCCGCCTGCTTCGCCTCGTAGGCGCCGCTGTCGAGCTCCATGAGCAGGTCGACGTACGTCCGCGTCCGCCCCCCGACGGCGTAGCGGTTGAAGCCCGCCATCTGGAAGAAGCCGAGGAAGAGGGACGCCTGCTGCTTCCAGGGCAGCACGGAGATCTCCGACGCCGGGTACTCGTGGGACTCGACGATCGTGTACTTGATGTAGGTCCAGAAGCCCGTGTTGGGGAACTTTGCGCGCCATTTCGCCGCGAGGTAGTCCCGCGTGCCGTGGCACGTGGCCTCGCTGCGCTTGTACATGAAGTAGGGCACGTCGCGCCAGGAGAACTCGGCGATGCGGAACTCGAGGCGCGCCGACGGCACGAAGAGCACCTTCCATTTGTTCGCCTTCAGCGACAGGATCATGTCGATGTACTCCAAAGTATAGGACGCGTGGGGGTCGATGATGCCCGCGATGGCCTGCGTCTTGATGACGAAGCCGTGGTCCTCGAGGAAGTCGGCCTGGTCGCCCTCGGGGATGTCGCCGCCGCGGTTTAAAGCCTTCGCCACCGAGTGGTCGTGGCGGACGTGGCCGCCCTGGAGGCGCAGCCGGCTCTGCGTCGCGTGGGCGGCGAGGGAGCCGTCGGCCTTGGACTCGTAGAGCATGGGCGCCGCGACGACGTAGGACGCGTCGCGCGCCTTGAGCGACTGCACGAGTTCGCACGCGAAGAACGAATCGAGCGCGTAGCCGTCGTTGTGGAGCAGGAGCGCGTACTCGGTCCTGATCAGCGGCACGGCGTCGAGCCAGCCGCGCATGGGCGAGCTGCTCGGCGGCAGCGGGATCGTCTGCCAGGACCGCCAGGGGCCGAAGTCGACGCCTACGAATCGCGATTCGGGAAAACGAATCTCGCGCGGTCGCGGGGCGCGGCGCGCGCGCCGAGGTCCAGCGGGTCGCAGGAGTCGAACTTGGGGTAGGTCACGATGAGCGCCTAGGCGGGGCGCGGCGTGGTGTTCCTTTGGTTCCGCGCGCGGCGCGCCCCGACGAAAAAACGCGCGGCCGCGCGTCGAAACCGGGCGCGGGCGGACGCGCCGTGTCCGTGCCGACGACGTCCTCGAGCGCCCTGACGAAGCCCGGCATCTGGCTGCAGGCGTCCTTGACGGTGACGACGACCGTGAGCTCCTTCGCGAGCGCGCCGTCGGCGCACGTGTAGACGGGGCAGTGCTTCGCCTCCACGGGCGGCGGCGTCGCCGACGAGAAGACGTTGCGCGCGATCTTCGTCACGGGGATGTCGAGCTTCGTGCACATCATCTGGAGGCCCACGGCCGCCACGAGGGCGAACGCAGCGCTCGAGCGCTTTATCGTTTGCATCGTGTGCGCGCGGGCTTATGTGAAGCCAGTGTTGCACCCAGGCAACTGATGTGTATCTGTATCTGCTGCCAGGGAGTTGGAACGAAGAGGCTGCTCGATGGCCGCCGTCGCGTCGTGAGGTCCGGCGCTCGGGCGGTCCCCAACGTCCCGGGGGCGGGCGTCGCCGCCGGCGCGCGCCCTTCTTAGAACCACCGCCGCCCCGCCGCTCGCCGGCGGGCGGCGCGCGCACGTTCCATGGCGATGGCCTCCGGGGTGCGCGTGTCGCAGGCGCGCACGCAGGAGAAGGAGCGGTGGGAGCGCCAGGCGACGGAGCGGGCGCGGGCGTCGACGCCCGACGCGCACGGGGGCCGGGGCAGCCGCCCGAACAGCGCCACGAAGCGGCCGGGCTCCGCGACGAAGCGGCCGGCGACCGCGGACGATGCTTCGTCGTCGTCGTCGAAGCAGTCCATGGTCCCCCGCATCAACCACGGCGAGGGGCGCCAGGAGGGCGACGGGCGGGACCAGCTCTGCGTGTCGGCGACGCCGCGGGCGCAGCTGAAGATCGTCCACGACCACCCGGATGATCCTCGGACGAAGAAGAACACGAAGGCGAACATGCTGAGCCGCAAGGAGAGCTCCTGGAAGCGCGACCTCCAGGTGTTTTTAGATGATCCCAACAGCACGAACGCGGCCATGGGCTTCGCCGTGGCCATGGTCATCCTCATTTTGGTGTCGGCGTTCATTTTGGTCTTCCACGAGTCGGACTGCAAGGGCGCGATCTTCGGCCACTGGCTGGGCTACTTCGAGGTCATCGCCTGCGTCATCTTCTCCCTGGAGATCGTGGCGCGCTTCGCCGTGTCGCAGAACGTGTGCAAGGCCATCCAGGACCCCTACCTCATCTTCGACATCCTGGCCGTGCTGCCGTGCTGGCTCATGCCGCTGCGGTCCTGCGGCCAGTTCCTGAAGATGCTCAAGACGCTGCGCATGTTCCGGCTGCTGAAGCTCGCGCGGCGCTACGAGGGGTCCGTCGTCATCGTGCGGGCCATGAAGCTGTCCATGCCCGCGCTGACCGTCGCGTTCTTCTTCCTGTTCACGGCGCTGACGGTCTTCGCGACGTTCCTCTACTTCACGGAGCGCCTGGGCAAGGGCGAGAGCGGCGCCTTCCGGTCCATCCCCCACACGATGTGGTTCATGGCCGTGACGATGACGACGGTGGGCTACGGCGACGTCACGCCGCTGACGGACGGAGGGCGCATCGTCACGGTCATGGCCATGCTCTTCGGCGTGCTCTTCATCTCCATGCCGTTGGCCATCGTCGGCAACAACTTCTGCCTCGTCTGGGACGACAAGGAGCGCGTGATTTTTGTGGAGAAGCTCAAGGAGCAGCTGGCGTTACGGGGCATGGGGCCCTCGGACATGCTCGCGACGGTCGAGGCCATGGACGCGGACGGGTCGGGCATGTTATCTTTTCGCGAATTCCTCGCGGCGCTGAACTTGCTGGAGATCAAGATGAGCGCGAACCGGCTCGCGGTGCTCTGGCGCACGTTGGACACGGACCACAGCGGCGACGTGTCGCTGATCAACTTCATGGAGGTCATCCACCGCGACGACCCGGCCCAGCTGGAAATTTTACGATCCCAGTTCCCCTCGCTCCAGGAGCCGTCGGCCGCCGACGGCGACGACGACGCCGAGGAGGAGGCCCCGGAGCCCGCGGCGCCGCCGCCAAAGCCGTCCCCCAGACAATCGCCGCGGAAATCCGCGGCGCCCGCCGCGGGCCCGCCCCAGCTCTCCGCGGGCAACGCGCGCTACTCGACGCGCGCCGGCGCGAACCGCAAATCCGCGCGGCGCACGTCCATGTCCGGCACGGCGACGGCCTACGACCTCGCGGCGGAATACCGCGCGCTCCACGGCGGCGCGACGCCCGACCCGACGCAGCGGCGCATGTCCGTGCGCCGCCCGACGCGGCCGCTGCAGCCCTACGTGCGCCGCGGGTCGTCGGCCGGTGCGACGCCGCCGGACGAGTCCTCGCGCGGCGGCGAGGACGGTGCGCCCGCGGCGCGGAAGTCGCAGATCGTGCCCTTCGAGGACGGCGACCGTCCGCCCAATCGGCTCGCGCCGGCCTCGCCGGAGAAAGCGCCGAGCGACGGCGCGGCGCCGACGACGCCCGTGACGCCCGACGCGAAGAAGGAGGCCGCGTCCGCGATCCTGTCCTCGGGCCGGAAGCCGCCGCCGCCGAGCCGGCCGCCGCCGCCGCTGCCGTCGTCGACGCCCGTGAGCCCCTTCCGCGAGCTCGGCGCCGTCCAGCTCCCCGCGTCCCACGCCGAGGCGCCGCCGAGCGACGCGGACCTCGAGGCGTCGCTGGCCACGCTCGAGGACATCGCGCGCGCGCTGCGCCAGATCCGCGCGCAGCAGACGGCGCTGGGCAAGGCCCAGGGCGACGCCATGCGCGAGCTCGAGGGTGCGCTTGCTCGGCGTCCGTTGTTTTTTGCTTTCGTGGTCGTTGATGTGCCGTGTCGTAGGCATCGAGCGCATCGAGGGCGGCCACCCGCCCGACGGCCTCACGGAGCTCCTCGCCGACGACCGCCTCTTCACGAAGCCGTGAAGGGAATTCGCTTCCTCGGCGCCGCGTCCCCCGCGCCGCCGCTCCCCGGGAGCGCCTGTAGTGGAGCCCGCGCAGGGCTCGCCCCATCCTGTCTGGGCGTCTTAAGCTTCTAAATCATGGGAGTAACTTCTAGCTAGAGGGCTTACGTCAACCACGGTTGAATAATTAATTAAATCTTCAAGCATCGGGCTTGTTTGAAGCTTGTATATTTTCAGACAGTGGCGCGGGCAGAGTACGAACATCACCCGTAGTGCTCCGCTGCACTCCCCGCGTGACAACCCCCGCACCGGGGCGTCATGTTCAGCTTTCGGTCCCGCGGCGGCCCCGTGGCCACCCCTCCCCCGGTCGACGACCTCAGCCAGGCGCCCCTGGCCCTGCTGCCGGCCAAGAGCACCTCCTTCCTTGGGGAGAATCTCGAGATCGACGCCCAGCTCCGCAACTCGATCCTCGTCGCCGGCGCCGGCGACGCGCGGGCCAACGGGCTCTACCGGCGGTGCGGGACCCAGAACGACGCGCCGCGAGCCGCGGCGTCCGGGGCGCGCGCGCGCCGTCGCCGCCGCGAAAGGCTTTGGATACCGAGAGCGCAGAACCCCCCGCCCCGCGCGCGGTCGCCGGGCCCGCCGACCGGGGCAGCGCGTCGGGCCGCACGGAACCGCCCCACCCCGCATCAGGCGCTGGCGACACGTCGACCGGAGCTGGCTCTGCATCCTCCGCGACGGGTCGAGCGCGTCGGCCCGCGTTTCGCCCCGCGCGCTATGCCGAACCCCATCTCGCGCCCCGCAGGCTGGTGGATCGGCGCGGAGAAGGCCGCGCGCGAGGACCTCTACTGGTGCGACGCCGTCAAGGCCGCGCCGCCCCGGGAGGAGCAGGCCGCGGCGGGCGGCCTCCGGAGCTGGCGCGTCTGCAGCTGCGACGACCGCGCGCACCGCCACTTCCGGGGCAGCGCGCCCATCCCGGCCCTGAGCTGGCGCGACGCGGCGGCGGCGCCGCCGGAGGCGGAGCCCCTGGGCCACTACGCGGCCGAGGAGTGCCCCATCTGCCTCTGCGAGCCCGAGGGCGACGCGGCGCGCATGCCCTGCGGCCACGTGGCCTGCGCGCTGTGCCTCAGCCGGGCCAAGGCCATGTCGCCGCGCTACGTCGTGAGCGACGACTGCGCGCGCTGCCCGCTCTGCCGCGCGCCGTTCGCGCTCGCGGGCGCGACGCACCTCGCGACGAAACAGCCCCTCCTGGAGGCGCTGCCGAACCTCGTCAAGGACGGCGAGAAGCCCATGGAGCGCGAGGCTTCCGCGCCCCGCGGCGGCATCCGCCGCTCCTTCGTCTCCGTGCGGTCCAACCCGCTGAGCCCGTCGACGCGCGCCGCGCAGCGCCGGCCGCAGGCGCCCGACAGGGCAGGACAAGAGAGCGAAATTCCAAACTTCAAAGCTTCATATCTCGGCCGTTCGTTTTCCACTCGTTTCGGCTGATTTTTGGACGAGCGATCATCTATCGGAGCGCTCTCGAAGCGTGGGTGCTTTTTCCGGGACGCGCGCGCGCGGAACACTCACGTTGAAGCGACGTTGAATCACCCTTATCCTGCCCAGGCGCCCGACGAGCACCAGCCCACGCGGACGCGCTCCAACTCCGGGAGCTGGCGGTCCCGCGTCGCGTCCATCTTCTTCTCCTAGAACCCCTCGAGATGGCCGCCCCGCCCCCTTTGTATGCAGAGCCGCCGAGCGCGACGCACCGAAGACGCGTCCGCCCGCGCCGAACCCCCCCGCCCGACCCCCCTCTCCCGCGCCCGATCCAGCCGCCGGACCCTCGACCGCGTCGCCGGCGGCATCGCGGGCGCCCTATACATAACGACACCGCCTGTTAGAGCGCCTTCCGCTTGTGGCCGAAGAGCCGCGGCTGGACGCCGTCGACGTAGGCCGCGGAACACGCGACGAGGGCCGCGAGGAACGCCGCGGTCTTCGGCGGGAAGCGCTCGAAGGTGAAGAGGGACGCGCCCGGGTCCGGGTCGAAGGCGTTCTTCCAGAGCCGCGCGAGCGGGAACTCGAGGAGGTAGACGACGGACGCGTAGGAGCCGAGCGCGGCGACGGGCCGCCGCGCGAGGCACCGCGCGACGCGGCCGGCGACGCCCCCGCCGGCCGTCGACGCGACGATGAAGGCGAGGTGCAGCGGCACGAGGGCGTGGGTCCCCACTCTTCGCTTCGACACGTCCGACGGCATGAGGACGACGGCGAGGAGCACCGCGGCGGCCGCGGCGTCCGCGACGAGCCCCCGGCGCGCGTCCCGCCCGTCGAGCGACGCCGCGAGGGCCGCGGCAAGCACGCCCACGACGAAGTTCAGGGGCACGGACAGCGGGAAGCAGGCCCGGTCGCGCGGCGCGGCGTCCGGCGGGATGCCGGACAGGCCGCACCAGAGCGCGTACTGGAGCGCGTCCTCGCCGGCGCTCGGCGCGCGGTCCGCCCAGCCCTGGCGCGCGAGCTCCGCCGGCAGGCACAGGACGACGGGCGCGAGCGCGACCGCGACCGCGGCGGCCGCCGTGGCGCGCGCGGGCCGCCGCGTCGCCGCGAGCGCGTCCGCGAGGCGCCGCGCGGCGGGGTAGACGAGGCACCAGCAGGGCACGAGGGCCCCGACGGTCCAGGACGAGTTGTTCGGGCAGAGCGTGTGGGGCTCGACCCACCAGTTGACGAGCGCGACGCAGCGCGCGGCCCGGACGAGGCCGCCGCCGCCGAACCAGAGCCAGCCCGAGCCCGCCCAGTTCTCGTAGCGGAGGAACACGGCGGCGTCGAGCGCCATCGTGCACCAGACCGCCGCGACGGCCTTGCGCGCGCGCCGCAGGCACCAGCCGAGCCAGCGCTCCGGCGGCGACAGCTCGAGCCGTTTGCGCCGGTTCGACCAGTGCGTCGCGAAGCCGGACAGCACGACGAAGAAGTCGACGGCGGCGAGGCCGTTGCGGCCCCAGAAGCTCCGCGCGCCGCCGGAGAAGTACCAGTCGTGGTGGTAGAGCACGAAGATCGTCGCCACGCAGCGGGCGCCCTGCAGGTGCTCGAGCTTGCCGCTGGACGCGCCGAAGCCCTCGACGCCGCGCACGTAGGGCGACGCCGGCTCCTCCGCGGCGCCGGCGCTGCGCAGGGGCTGCGGCGCGCCGCCATCGTCGCTGGGCTCGGCGCGCATTCGGGGCTGCCGTCTCAGCGCATGTTGCTCGCCGGTGAGCGAGGCCGATGCTGAAGAGATGCTGCAGTCGAATTTGTGGCGCAATGGCTCCGCCGCGCCTCGCATGGCTGCTCTGCACCATCCTGCGCCTCTGCAGCGCCCTCGACGACACCTTCGCCGTCGCCGCCTACCTGCCGGAGTGGCGCTACGACGGCGCGAACTGGGAGAGCATCTCCGAGCACGTGACGCACCTCATCCTCTTCTCCCTCGAGCCCACGCCCAGCGGCGAGATCACGGCGCTCGAGCGGCTCCCGCGCCCCGCGCTCCTGAAGCGCGCGCGCAGGGCGACGGCCGCCGAGGGCGCGAAGCTGCTGCTGTGCTTCGGCGGCAACGGCCGCTCGAGCGGCTTCGGGCCCATGAGCCGGTCGCCGAGGGCGCGCAAGGCCTTCGTCGCGAACCTCGTGGCGCTCCTCGACAAGTGGAAGCTCGACGGCGTCGACTACAACTGGGAGTATCCCGGCTACGTCATGGGCCGCGGCTACGGCAGCGACGCGGAGATCGCGGCGGACTACGCGGGATTGAAGGCGCTCGTACAAGAGACGGCCGCGGCGTTCGAGGCCGGCGGCCGCGTCATCACCGCGGCCTACTACCCCGACGGGAAGCAGGAGTCGCTCTTCCGGGAGTACGGCATCGACGGCGACGTCGACCTGCTCCACGCCATGTCCTACGACCAGTCGGGACCGCAGCACTCGCCGTTCTCCCTGGCCGAGAAGGCCGTCGCGCTCGCGAAACAGCACCTCCCGCCGAAGAAGTGCACGCTCGGCGTGCCCTTCTACGGCCGCGACGGCGCGCGGGGGGACTGGACGACCTACGAGGACCTGCAGAAGGACCACTGGGACGTGTTGAGGGATCCGTCCGTCGACGCGGTCCGACACAACGGCGCGGCGGTCGGCTTCAACGGCGCGGCGACCATCGAGCGCAAGACGACGCTGGCGCTCGAGCAGGGCCTCGGCGGCGTCATGATCTGGGAGGTGGGCCAGGACTGCCGCCTCGCGGAGACGTCCGGCAAGCTCACGCACGGCGCGACGGTGCACCCGCGGACGTGCCGGTCCGACGACGCGTCGCTCCTCCTCGCCATCGGCCGGGCCCGGGCGGCCTTCGCCGCGACACCGGAGCTCTAGACTTTCGTTTTTGACGAGACTCGGTTTATGGGGAGGGGGCGCGCGAGTCGAGCGCGGGGCGGGTCGTTCGGGCAAAATGCGGCCGCGGCGCGCGCGCGGCATCAGGACGCGTTGGAGAGGTCGTCGGTCTGGCGCTTGCGGTCGCTGGATGACGGCGTGCGGTCGCGGGGCGTGTTCGTGGAGAAGGAGCCGTCGCCCTCGTTGCTCGCGGTCTCGTCGTCGCCGCCGCCGCCGCCGTCGCTCTGAAACAGGATGCGGTTGAAGGGCTGCTCGCCCGCGCGCGCGTCCGTCTTCAGGGGCTTGGCGCAGAAGGGGCAGATGGGCCGGTACCGCGCGTTCGGCGGCGCGTTGTCCGGCAGCGCCAGCGACGCCCACTTGCGCGCGACGCGCTCGCTCACGATGTGGCCGCACGGGTTGAACGCGACCTCGGGCTCGTCGTCGCAGATCGCCGGCTCCCACTCGAGCTTGAGCTCGACGAAGGGGCCCCGCGTCCGGCAGAGCGGGCAGGGCATGCGCCTAGGGAGACGTACGGGTCGCGATTCGTTCCCGGGGGACACGCGCTCGAGAAACGGGCGCTTTCGCGAGGGTCGGCATTGCAGAATCGGTGTACTCTCAGCGCCGCGCAAGGACATCACTCCGGCGCGCGGCTCGACAAGAACGCAGCGATGTGTTCGAATAGACGTGTCTCGTCATCCCCTCGAAAGAAACGACCCCCGAAGGGACGCGGCGACTCGCTGGAGCTCCGGCGCGAAGGCGTGGACGTGGCCGCAGGCCGGGAAGATGTAGGGCCGGCGGTCCTGGGCGAGCGCTCGTCGCTTGTCGTCGTCGTACTCGAGGCGGATCGTGTGGAGCTGGACCGGGCACTGGGGCCGCCGCGCGTTGAAGCGCGCGACGATGCGCGCGGGCGCCGCCGCGTTCGGGTCGCCGGGGATCTGCCGCGACCGCTCGCCGGACTGGGAGAGCTCGCGGCGGTCGCCGGCGCGCGCCGCGCGCTCGTGGGCGCGCATGGACGCGGCGGACTCGTAGAGGAGCTGGATGCCCGCGAGGTCGACGATGGTCCCGTTCGTGAGCGTCGAGTTCTCCAACGCGAAGCGCTTGCCCGCGACGTCCGCCCGAGCTCGCGGCTCGTGGACGCCGCCGTGGACGGAGACTTCCCTCCAGGCGCCGATCTCGGGCTTCCAGATGCGCACGCCAAAGGTCGTCAGCGCGTCCCACTGCGCGCCGTCGGGCTCGCCGCCGTCCTTGCCCTCGTCGTCGAGCGGCGGCGCGTCCGCGGCCCGTTCCCCGGGCGCGAGCTGCCACTTGGGCGCCTGCTCCGAGAGGAAGATGTCGCGCTCGTTGTTGAAGCCCGCGGCGTAGAGCGTGCACTCGTAGGGCGGCCGCCGGGAACACGTGAGGCGGCACGCGTACCGGCTCACGGGCCCGCACAAGACGCCGCCCGAGTCGAGGTGCAGCGGCCCCCGGACCACAAAGTCGTTCTGGGGCACGATCATGCGGCCCAGCTGGAACATGTCCTCGCGCGCGTCGGGCACGTACTCGACCGTGACGCGCTTCGGCGCGGACACGGGCTTGCCGTCGGCGCCGCGCGCGCCCGCGGCGACGGACATGGTCACGGAGTGCGACGCGGCCGCGGACCGGTACTTGCCGTGGTGCGCGTCCTTCTTGTCCGGCGGCGCGCTGGAGAGGTAGACGGCGTCGCGGCGGATGCCGTTGGCGACGTCGCGGCGCCGGAGCGCGAACTTCTCGTTCCGCGCGCCGACGGGGTGCCACGTCGACCCCTCGACGCGGTACTCCTTGTAGCCGAGCACGATGAGCTGCCCGTAGACGGCGCCCTCGCCCGTCTCCGCGGCGACGTCGTCGGCCTGGCGCAGCGACGCGATCTCCTCGTCCGTGAGCCGCGGGCCCGCCTGTGTGGAAATCAACCAGTGGAATGGACGCGTCCAGCAAAACTTCAAACCTCTCTATCTCGGCCAAATCGAAGTCGATTCGGCTGATTTTTGGACGAATCGATCGCTCTCGTCGAGTTCTCGAAGCAGAGCCGAAGAGCTTGTGTCCACCTCTTCGAATACGCGCACATTGAAGTCTGGTTGAAGATTTGATTTGCACACAGGGGCCCGCGGCTTCGCGCGGGTCGACGACCCACAGCGGCGCGCCGAACGCGCCCTTCACGGCCTTGGCGACGCAGCACAGCACGACGGCGTGGTCCCGCTTCATGCCGATCTCGCAGTAGTCCTCCCACTCGTCGATCTCCGCGAAGACCCAGCCGTCGAGCGCGTTGTCGCCGAAGAGGCCGCGGTACGTCTCCACGTCCGCCGCGTCGAACCCCAACTCGCCGCACAAATCCGCGAGCTGGGGCACGCGCATGGCCGTCAGGTCCGCCGGCGACACGCGCGCGCAGACGTCGACGACGGCGGGCGCGTAGGCGCCGACGCCCTCCATGCGCATGTGGCGCTCCAACTCGGGCATCTTGACGCGGGGCCGCGCGTCGCTAACCTTCGCGCCGGGCCGGCCCGCCGCGAGGGGCGAAGGCTTGTCGTCGTCCTCGCCGCCCTTGGCCGCGGGCTCGGCCGGCGCGGCGATGCGCTCCGTGGCGCCGCGGTCCAGCTTGGCCTCGGCGACGGCCGGCGGCGCTTCTTTCGCTTCGTCGCGGCCGGCGACGGCGGCCGTCGCGCGGCGCGGGGCCGCGTCGGCCTCCGGGCCGGGGGCGGCCTTGTGGTCGCCGTCCTTGGACTCGTCGTGCTTCGACTCCGCACCCTCGGACCGCTTGGCCTCGCCCGCGTCGGGGCACGGGGTCGCGGCCTCGGCCTTGGCGTCGGCGTTCGCGCTCCGCCGCCGGCCGAAGTAGCCGCGGCTCGGCGCCCGCGGCGTCGTCGCCGGGTCCTCGACCCGCGGCGCGCTCGACGTCTCCGGCCGGGCCGACTGCGTCGCGCCCAGGTTCCGCGCCAGCCGCGAAAGCATGGCCGCCTGTCCCGCGGGGTTCGGCGTCCGGGCCCCGGCCCGCGGGGGGGGGAGGCTGCGCGCGCCGCCGGGCTAGGTGTCCGGCGGGCGGTCAGGGAGGAACCGGGGACCCTGATCAGAAGGGGGCGGCGGCCGAGGGCTTGGGGCGAGACCAGCCGCGTCCTTGCCCAGCCGATTTTATACGGCACTTCAAACCGTACTTTTACGTTGAAGCAGCACGATGGGCGCATCGTCTCGCCGGGCAGCCCTGCTGCTCGTGCTCAGGCACTTCTAACCGTACTTTTGACGTTGCACGGGCCGATGGGCGCGATGTCTCGACGGGCAGCCCTGCTGCTCGTGCTCATCCTGAATAGAATAGCGTCCGCGGCGTCGGAGACGGAGCGCGAGTGGTTCATGCGCGAGGGCGCGCAGCGCGGCGAGGCGAAGAAGCGCCGCGGGCGCATGGGCGACGAGATGATGAAGATGCGCGAGTATTACTGTGCTCAGGAGCCCGCGGCGACCATCTGCGCGACGCTCCGCGGCGACGCGACCGAGGGCCGCCGGCGCATGCCGCGCCACCCGCCCAAGCTCGAGGACATCCAGGCGATGCACCGCGTCTACTGCGCGGTCGCCGAGCACGCGGCGACGCACCCGTGCCAGCAGTACGCGAAGCGCGCCATCCGGGCCGTGGACCCGGGCGTCTAGGCGTGGGATATGGTAGGCCTTAGGGGCATGTTAGACCGACGTATCATAGGCGTCCATGCGCATCACCGACGTGCCAAAGTCCATGCGCATCCCGTCGTGCCAACGCCTTCGCTCGCGCCACGCGAGGAACCGCGTCACGCAAGCGGCGGCCTCGGCGGTATCGAGAAGGTGTGCGAGCATGCCGATGACGTCGGAATGCCCCTCGGGCTGCAGACGAGCGGCGAGCCTGACTTCGGAGAGCACCGACAGGTAGACGTCGCGCGCGCAGCGGCGCCAATGCCGCTTGTCCGGATCCAACGGAGTATCCGCAGCGTCCGCGTCGTTGCGGCAAATCTCCGCGATCGCCACGAGGCGCTCGACGTTTTGGCGTCGGAGGAAGACCTCGCGGATGGGCTGGCAATCGGCGGCGCGCACGGAGAAGAAAGGGAGCGGGCAGGCATAACTCATCTGATCCTCCGGATCCTCGCCGCTCTGGAAGCTGTCGATGAGCAATTGAAGGCAGCCGGCGCGGGTCAGGGCCTCGGCGCGGTCGTGCTCATCGCTATTCGTGCCCGCGGCGCTCGTCCGACTCGCTCGAGGCGCGCGGCTCGCAGTGGGCGGGAGCGGGGGTTTTGGGATTCGACCTCAGGCTCAGCCGGAGCTGGCCTGTAGCCCCGGGCAGCCGAGGGAAGTTTGGGTTGGGTCTTTTGCCACTCTGGAATAAAAAATTGGTCTCTAATAGGCTTAGGCTAAGAGGCGCCCCCTCTCAAAACCCCCCACCCTTTTTGCGCCGAGCTCCCAGAGGCGGCGGCGGCGGCGAACTCGTCGTCGGCGAGCTCGAGCATCATGAAAAACGTGCGGAAGCCGACCAGCGGCTCGCAATCGGCGAACTAGTCGTCGATCTCCGGGCTTGAGAAGGTCGTCAAAGAGCGTCGTTCCGCGAACTGGTAGGCGAGGCCGTGGGCGCGGCGACGACGTCCGTGTAGCGGTCGGGGACCTCCGCGACGATGGTGTTCGTCGTCGAGACGGTCGAGCTCGTCGCGTGCGCGCCGACGGCGAGCGCGCTCGTCGCGCCGAGACGGTCGGCCGAGCGCGCAGCGTCGACGGCGTCCGCCGCGCGCGTTTCAGGGCTCCCGCGAGCAGCCGACGCGTTCAGCGCCCGCGTAGGGTCTGTCGGCGCCTAGGAGAGCGGCTCCGTGCCGCCGGAGCGGCTCGCGCGGACCGGGTCCGCCGAGGTTGACGCTCGGAACACGTTCCGGCCCGAGGCCGTGCCCGTACGCCGACGCCGTCGTCACACTCGACGCAGCGCCCAACGTAGGGGCGGGGGGTGCCGGGGCGCCCGGCGACGGGGTCGCAGGCGCCCGAGAGGGCCAGGGGTCGCGGCCAGCGACGTGCGCACGATCCGCTTCCACGGCTTCGGCGTCCGCTTCAAGCCGGCTGACCAAAAACCCCCCCACAAAAAAGGGGGGGGGTAAGACGTTTTTAGCGGGCGGCAAATACTCTGGTCCGTCAAGCGATGGTCGAAGACGATGAAGACGATGAAGCGTCGTTGCTATTCAAGCGCGTGAAGGTCGGTGCGACGGTGTTCGTCCCTCACCGCGGGTCTCTCGTCGAGGGCAAGATTACTCACCGTAACCCCGGAGACTCTGGAATCTCTGCTCGATGGACGGCCTCATTCCCCGGTATCGGCGCGGACGGGGGGGCGTGTGTATTGACGAAGTCGGCAAGAAGATGGACGCGCCACTTGAAGGATCGCCCGCGGGCGGACCCGCCGGCCAACGTTCTCGCGGATCTCGCCGCGGCGCGCGCGGAGGAGAACGCGGCGCGGTGCGCGAACGACGGACTGCGCGAGGTCCGCGCGGCCGTCGCGTATTCAGATCGTTTCATGCGCTGGCTGTATGAAGAGATAAATGAGCGCGGAATCAATTTGAATTTTATACAACATAATTCGAACCAATGGAATGGAGCTATGAACGGCATACAAGGTTTCTTTTCCACTCAGATCAAAGATGTCGCGCGCGACCTCAGCGACTTGCTCGTGCTGATGTCTGGCCTGCCTCTGCCGCGGAATTCGATGGACTCTGAAGATGTCTTGATGGTCCGATTGCGCCAGCAAAAGGCGCATATCAAATTCAAACACTCTAAGGGATCATATTACACGGACCTCCAATCGCTGAAACTCTCAAGCGAATCAATTGATCTACTCGTCGAGCTGGGACTGGAGATCCCCCCCCCGCCGCGCCGGTCGGCGCGCTCCGCGAAGAAACCGAAGACGGATGTCGTGGAGCGCCCCAGCAACCGCAGATTGAAGTCTGTCGACGTGCAGATGCTCGCAATCATCAAAGTGAACATGGCGCGCGAGTAGAGATCATAATTTGTATATCTACGGGCGAGGAGCGCCGTCGGCGCCGCACACGGCGTCGCGGGCGCAGGCCGCGACGACGCCGCCGATCTTCGCGCCGCGGTCCAGCACGTCCGCCCCGTCGGCCGCGGCGGCCGCGGCCGTGCAGGCCGCGCAGGCGTCGCCCCCCTCCCAGGCCGCGCCCGGCGCGCCGTCGAGGGCGCAGGCCGCCGCGGCGGCAACGGCGGGCGCGACGAGGCGCCGCGACGAGGCGCCGCGAAACCGCGGCGAGGGCCGCCGCGCGCCGCGCGACGGCGACCAGGGGCGCGCGGCCGCACGCGGCGCCGCCGCGGTCGAGCTCGCGGCCCACGGCGGCGACGACGAAGCCGATGATCACGCCGCCGCAGGGGCAGCGCCGCCCGGGGCCACGGGCTCCCCGCGGCGAGGCCGTCGCAGAGCGCGCCGAGCGCCGCGCCCGCGGCGGCGCCGCGGCCCGCGCGGCCGTCGTCCGCGAGGGCGACGAGCCAGGGCGCGACGGCGGCCAGGGCGCCGACGACGCGCGCCGGGTCGAGGGCGCCCCCCGTCTGGGGCGCGGCTTTCGGGTCCCGCGCCTTGGGGCGGTTCGCGAGGAGCCGCGCGGCGCCCGCGGCGTCCGCGGCCGCGGCCTCGGCCGCGGCCGGCGGCGCGCCGCGGAGGCAGGCCGGCGGCAGGAACCGCAGGGCCGCATCCACCGACGCCAAGGCGTCGGACGCCATGCGGCCGGCGCCCAGCGCGCCCGACGCGTCCGCGGCCGCGGGCTCGACGCGGCGGCGCCACTCCGCGTAGACGTGGCCGCCGATCGTCTCGCGCACGGGCGCGTCGTCGCCCGGCGCCGCGGCGTCCGGGTCGACGCCCGCGCCGTCGCTCGCGAGGTTCGCGGCCCAGCGCGCGCACCAGTCCCGCGACTCCGGGCCCGGCCGCGCGAGCAGGACGCGGAACGCGCAGCGCACCGCGAGCGGCGCCGTCGCCACGAGGGCCAGGGGGCAGCGGCGCCGGTGCGCGACCGCGCCGGCGACGTCGACGACGCGCCGGACCTTGTCGCGGAGCGCGGCCCAGCGCGCGTCGTCGCCGTCGCCGTCGCCGTCGCGAGGACGACGGCCGCGTCCTCTGCGAGGCCCAGCGCCAGCGCGGCGAGCGTCCGGCGGCCGTGGGGCGCCAGGCGCGCGGCGACGCCGGGCGCGTAGGCGCCGTCGAGGGCGAGGGCCGCGTGCGCGAGGGAGCCATCGCGTCGCTCCGCCTCGCAGAGCGCGGCGCCGCCGGGCACGCGCCGCGCGTCGGCCGCGAAGGTGCGGAAGCTCGACGGTCTCAACGCAGGCGTCGCCGAAGGCCGGGTCCTCCTCGACGCCCTCGTCGGCGTCGTCGCCGGACCCGGCGGACGCCGCGAGCTCCTCGAGCGGCGCGCGCAGGAGCGCATCGAACCGGGCGCCCGCGGCGTCGGCGAGGAGCGCGTCGCAGAGCATCTGCCGCAGCCAGCCGTGGGCCGCGAGGACGACCTTGAGCCCGTCGTCTTCGTCGACGGCGCCGAGCCACGTCGGCAGCAGGTCCGCGACGACGTCCGCCCAGTGGCCGAAGCGGCGCCGGCGCCGCGCGTCCGCCGCCGCGCGCGCGGCCGGCGCCTCGCCGTCCTTGGGCGCGCCCGGGCTCGGGACGCTGTCGCCGTAGCCCGCGCGCAGCGAGCTCGCGCGGTCGCCGCCGCGGCCCGCCTGGCCGCTCGTGCGCCGCGCCGCGCGGTCGCCGGCCGCGGTCCGCTCGAGGGGCCGTCCGTCGGGCGCGCGCGCGGCGAGCGCCACGTCGTCGATGCGGCTCTTGCCGTGCGCCGCCGCCTCAAAGGCGGCGCGATCCGCGTCGACGTCGAGCGACGCGGCCCTGGAGCGCGAGGGAGCCACGCGAGCGCCGCGGTCCGCTCGACCCCGACGAGTAGTCAGATCCGCATCCGCGGTCGCGCGGTGTGCAGCGCGCAGGCTTCATCCGTGCCGCGAGTCTTTAAGGCTTGTGGCGCTGCGCCGGGCGCACGCGCCGCGGAACTTGGCGGCGCCGCGCTGCCGATTCGGGGTGCCATGTCTGCCACAAGGGGCAACATCGTGTTCAATTCGTGTTCACCTAAAAGTAGACTCGTAACAAACGCCGATGAACTCTAACTCTGATCATCTGAAGCTGAACGCGAATGACGCGCTTGTTGCGCAAACAGCGCAGATGGGCGTCTTCCGCGCGCATCTGACGCCAGCAAAATCCGCCTACGACGCCCGCTCCCGGCACCCGCCGCTGCCGCTGTTTTGGCAGCGACCCCAGCCCTTCGCGATCTGGAACGCCGGCGGCAACGCGGGCGTGGCCATCCACGCGGCGACGATCTGCATCAATTCGCTCCAGAACCCCACGGCGCAGTACCCGCTGGCCGGCGGCGCGCCGAGCGGCGACTGCTTCGACCCCGCGAACCTCCTCGCCGAAGACTCGCGCGCGAACGGCACCGCGCTTCGTCCGCCGCCCGCGTCCGAAAGCGCGCGCCGCGCGCCGACGCGCGCCGACGCGCGCCTCCCCGCAGGTCCCGACGGCACGAACTGCTTCGACTGCACCCAGCAGTTCAACGCGGCCACCAAGGCGGGGCTCGCCGGGTCCATGATCCGCAGCTACGTGCGCGACCCCTACGACGAACGGCCCGGCATGTTCAACGGCGGGCGCCATCGGCCGTCGGCGCCGGGCGGCCACGAGCTGCCGGAGCAGTTTGCGGGGCGGAAGTTGATGGACCCGCCGGCGGCGACGCTCGCCCAGCGGCAGGCCCAGGAGTGGCCCGGCGACGGCAGCCAGTACTACCTCGAGCTGAACGCGTACAACGCGCCCCTCAACCAGCTCCTCGCGCGGTGTCTGGGCGTGCTGGCGCCGGGCGACGCCGACCGGCGCATCACGAGGGCGGCCGCCCTCGGCTTCATCATGTTCGACGGCTGCACGTCCCGGTGGGTCCAGCAGCTCGGCGGCACGCCGACGGTGCACATCGGATTTGAGCGGTCGAATCGCGATTTCGGCGTCGCCTCGATCGGCTCCGACGTCATCGACACGTACCTGGCGTCGGGGGTCGCTCCCCTGCCCGTGACGATGAACCTCGCGGGCCTGCCGTACAACAACGCGGGCTCCATCGTCACCGTCGCGCGGTCGCACGGCGCCGCGGGCCTGCCGAGCATGAAGCACGACGCCTACAACACCATGGAGACGCGCGGGAACGCGGTCACCGACACGCACAACGCGACGCCGCCGTCCTCCCGGTCGACGGTGGACCTCTACGAGGACAGTCGGGGCTGGTTCGACACCACGACCGGCGTCTTCACGCCGACCCTGCGGCACGGCACGCAGGCCGAGTTCATGGAGACCCCCAAGAAGAACCTCGAGTACATCCGCCAGCACCTCTGGGCGACCTGGACCGACGATCAGAAGTCCGTGTTCCTGAACGCCGCGCACCTCGACGACGGTAGTCTCCACCACTCCGGCGGCATCCTCGTCGCGGTCGGGGCGTGCTGGTCCGACCTGTGGTTCGGGAGGAGGCTCACGAGGGCGGCCGCCCTCGCCGAGGCGAACCAGGTCGCGGACGACTTCTTCAACACGCCCCTGTTCGGCGCGCCGCTCTCCGGCGCGCCGGCGGCGGCGGGGCCGCGCTTCAAGGCCTACGTCCAGCAGAACGGCGACGCCCTCATGACGGACACGGCCCTCGCCGTCGCCGCGACGGCCACCTCCCCCGCCATCCCCGCGCACCCCGGCACCGTCAAGATCGAGATCGAGATGCGGTGCGACGACGCGGACACGTCCGGCCTCGCCGCGGCGGACCACGCGCTCTTCGCCGAGCGCGTGGTCCGCTTCTTCGACTACATCGGCCCCTGCGTGGCGCCCGCGAAGATGCACCGCTGGACGGTCGGCTTCGGCTGGTCCGGCCAGCGCTTGTAAGGCTAAGCCTCATAAGCTGCCCTTTGAAAAGGCATCGCAGCAGCATCGACCTGTCGTCGAACGCGCCCTGATAGGCGTGCTCATCAACCTCCGCACGCTGGGGCTGCTCTTCTACGCAAGCATGCGGCTCCGTCTCGGCGCGCCCGTCGTCGTCGCGCACCTGCTGCTCGCGGCCGCTGCCGTGCGCGCCGACGGCGACGGCCCCATCGTCGCCCGCGGCGTGCCCTGCTACGACAGCGACCCCGCCTACGCAGCGCTCATGCCGCGGCAGCAGTTCCTCGTCAACGGCGACCACACCGTCGAGAGCGTCGCGGCGTCGGGCTCGTGCCTCCGCGTCAACGGGACGCGGACGCTGGGCCTCGGCGCGTGCTCCGACAGCGGCAATTGGTCCGTGGGCGCCGACGGCGTCGCGGTCGACGGGCGGCCCCTGGGCTTTCGCTCGAATTCCATCCGGTCGAACCTCGAGGTCTGGGTCTCGACGACGAAAGGCGCCCAGATCGCCTACGAGTCCGTGAGCAAGACGTTCCGGCTGAAGCCGAAAGGCGGCTTCAATCGGCTTGCGGCGGCGGACCTCTGCCTGGACCTCTCGCCCCACCCCGTGACGCCCTGCACGCCCGCGTCGCCGGCGTCGAGCCTGCCCTTCTGTCGGGGCGACCTGCCGCGGGCGAAGCGCGTCGCGGACCTCGTGGATCGAGTCGAGCCGGACGAGGTGCAGAAGCTGCTCGTCAACGGCGCCGCGGGCCTGCCCCGGCTCTGGCTCCAGCCGCACAACTGGTGGAGCGAGGCGCTCCACGGCGTCCAGGCCGGCTGCGCGCAGGCCGACGACGGCTCGAGCCGCTGCCCCACGGGGTTCCCCGCGGCGATCTCGACGGCGGCGTCGTTCAACGCGACGCTCTTCCGCGCGGTCGGCTCGGTCATCGGCGCGGAGGCGCGCGCGCTGGCCAACGAGGGCGTCACGAACGGCTTCACGTTCTGGTCGCCGAACCTGAACATCCTCCGGGACCCGCGGTGGGGCCGGGGCCAGGAGACGCCCGGCGAGGACCCGCTCCTCAACGGCAAGTACGGCGAGAACTTCGTCTTGGGCTTCGAGCACCCGGACGGGTCCAGCGGCGACGCCATCGCCGCGTCGGCCTGCCCGAAGCACTTTTTTGCCTACAACCTCGAGAACTGCTTCAAGGTCAAGGACAACTGCCGCCACACCTTCGACATGGCGAACCTGAGCCAGGGCGAGCTCGAGGCCACGTACCTGCCGCCCTTCGAGCAGGCCATCAGCTCGGGCAAAGCGTCGGGCCTCATGTGTTCCTACAACGCCGTCAACGGGACGCCGTCCTGCGCCAACGCCTGGGGCATCGAGACGCTCGCGCGCGGCAAGTGGGGCTTCGAGGGCTACGTGACGTCCGACTGCCACGCGGTCGTCGCCGTGGAGCTGCCGTTTCCCACGTCCCACACCTGGGACCCGCAGCGCTCGGGCCACGGCTTCGATTTGAAGGGGGCGTCGCTCGCGAGCCTCGGCGTCGACCTGAACTGCAACCTCGGCGGCGGCTCGGTGGTCCGCGCGAACGCGACGGCCGTGAGCCCCGACGCCAAACAAGCGCTGACGCACCTCTTCGACGTGCTCTTCCGTCTCGGCGTGTTCGACCCGACGTCCGACGACGTCTTCTCGAACTACGACTCGTTCACGGTCGGCAAGCCCGACCCAGCGTCCGGTTTTCGAGAGATTTCGACCGAGGAAACGATGAGACATCTCACCGACGTGTTTGTAGGCCCGATCACTTGGCGATCGCGCGCGACGCCGCGGACCAGAGCTTGGTGCTGCTCGAGAATGGCGGCGCGCTCCCTTTGACCGCGGGCGCGAACGTGGCGGTGCTGGGCCCCTGCGGCGACGTCTTCAAGGGCGGCTATTCCGGCAATTTCCCCACGACGTCGGTGGCCGACGCGCTCCGGGCGCTGGACTTTCGAGTGGCCGAGTCCCCCGGCTGCGTCGCGGACTCGCGGCTCGCGGGCAACGCGGCGAAGATCGCCTGCGTCGCCGACGCCAACGCGACGGCGGACGCCGTCGCGGCGGCGCGCGCGGCCGACGTCGTCGTCCTGGCGCTCGGCGTGTCCCAGGATCTGGAACAGGAGAACTTCGACTTCCGGGCGTTCGCGGACTTTGGCCTCGGCCTGCCCCCGGGCCAGCTCGCCGCGGCCCGGGCCGTCCTGAAGCTGGGAAAGCCCACGGTGCTCCTCCTCACGGGCGCGTCCGTCGACGCGTCGCCGATCCTGCGAGACGTGGACGCCGTCTTGTGGGCGGGCTACGCGGGCCAATTCGGCGGCGAGGCCGTCGCCGCCGCGCTCGCGGGGCACGCGAACCCCTCGGGGCGCTTGCCCATGACCTGGTACGCGCAAAACTTCTACGAGGCCTGGACGGCGCCGGCGCTGGACCCCTACACGGGCGCGGTCAACGCGTCTTCCGCGAACGCTTCCTACTTCGACGCGAGCCTGCTGCCCAACAACGCGACGGGCAACCCGGGCCGCACCTATCGATACTACACGAAGACTCCCGTCTACGCCTTCGGCGCCGGGCGGAGCTACTCGAACGTGACGTCGGCGCTCGCGTCGCCCGCGGACGCCGCCGTCGACGTCGCGGCCGTCGCGGCGCACGCGGCCGAGGCCGCGCGGGAGAGCGTCTTCGTCCGGGCCTCGCCGCGCGTCGCGACGGACGTCGTCGTCTACACGCTCGAGGTCGTGGTGACGAACGAGGGCCCCTACGCCGGCGCGCAGACGCTCCTAGTCTTCGCGGCGCCGCCGGCGCCCGGCGTCGACGGCGCGCCCCTGGAGCAGCTCATCGATTTCGCCAAAACCAAAACCCTCGCCGTCGGCGCGTCGATGACGCTGCGCGTGCCGATCCACGCCCACGACCTCACGCTCGTCGACGCGGTGCGCGGCGGCCGCGCGGCCGCGCCGGGCCTGTGGACGCTCCGCGCGTCCGTCGCGGGCCGCGAGCGCGACGTGCGCGTGCGCCTCCGCGTGCGCTAAGAGCTAGATAGTGTGCTAGTTTTAGGTCTGGCCAGGAGACACGGAGAACAAAGACGGAAGCGCGCGGGCGGTCGAAGGTCGAAACACGGGAACGGCCGGCGGCGGCTCACCCGGAGAGCGGCGCGCCGCCCGCGGAGCCGTTGTTCGCGCCGGCGGCGTCGATGACGGCCTGCTCGGAGATGTTGTAGAGGAGGGAGCTGAGCCAGCGCTTGACCGTGAGGTCGTCCTTGATGTGTCCCGCGAACGTATGGTCGCGGAGGCTCTCGGGGAGGCACTGGCGCAGGGCCTCCCGCGCCCTTAGGTTGTCGCTGAGGCGCAGGTAGCAGCGCACGATGTGCTTGAGGAGGCGGATCGACGGCTGCTCGACGAGCGTGAGCACCATGTTCGCCAGGACCGTGGACACGGCGTAGAAGCGCTCGGCCGTCGCGCAGACGTAGTTGAGGCCCATGTCGTCGAGGAGGATCTTCTGGACGATGAAGGTCGCCACGGTCTTCGACAGCTCGCTGCCCGTCTCCATGATGCGGAGGCACAGCGGGATGATCTCGGTCTGCAGCAGGAAGTTGATGACGTCACTGTCGTCCATCTTCACGAGCGCGCCGACGACGCCCAACGACGTCAGCCGCAGGTACTCGAAGGGCCGGTTCTTGGACACCGTGTTCAGGAAGGGGTAGAGGTAGAGGGGCACGTGCGCGTTGAGGAAGAGGCCCCGCGTCTCCGGGTGCGACGCGACGCACTGCAAGAGCGCCAAGGCGTTGCAGACCCGGTTCGACGCGTGGGCCGTCAGGTTCGGCGGGCTCAGCATGGGGTAGATGGACACGATCTCCTGGAGCAGCGTGCCCATGGTCCCGAAGCTGTGCCACAAGATCGGCGCGAGGTCCGTGAACGTCTCGCGCTTCTTGCTCAGCTCGAGGAGCGCCGACTCGCGGTGCTCCGGCGAGTCGGGCACCGTCAGCTGGAGCACCAGCGGGTACAGCTCCTCGACGGACTTCTCCCCCATGTCGACGCGCCTGTGCCGCGAGGCGTGAATCCCGGGGCCGCGCGACCGGGGCGCGCGCGCGGCCCTCCCTTTGTACTTCTCGCGATTCCGGACGCGCCGGGCGGTCGGTCGTATAGACCGGCGGCGCGCGCTTCGCAGCGCGCGCCCCCCCCAGCGCGCCGGCCTCTCTCGCGCGCCATAGGAAAACCATCCGCAGGACTGGGCATGCGGGGGCCTAGTAAGGGCGCTCTCGGACACCCGCGGACGCCGCGCCGCGCGTCTAGCTAGTGGGGCGTCACCAAGGACCTCCGGGGGGCGCAGCGCGCGACTCAACCACCCGACCGGCTTGATCAAGATGGACTGGCCGTGCTCGCGAGCACAGCACGGACGACTGATGAGCGGCAACGAGCTCCGCCTGCGAGCTCCGCCCCCGCGCCCGGCATCGCGCAGTGGCAGCGGCGCACGGCGCTGGCCACAGCGATGACCGATGCGCAGGCGATCGCGCAGCAGCTCGACGAGGCGACGACGGCCTTGCAGGGCGACGACGCGCAGCGCGACGCGGCGAACCGGTGGCTCGTCGCCTTCAGCGGTGAGTCGAGCTCGAAGCAGGCCTGCGCGCTCATCATCGAGGGCGGCCTCGCGCGGCGGGAGGCGTCCTACGTGACCGCCGCGGGCATCGTCGCCGCGGCGGCCGTGAGGCACGCCGGCAGCAACGCCGCGGCGCGCCTGCTCGAGCTCGCGGCGAAGGCGCCCGCGGGCGCCGCGAGCCGACGCCTCGCCGACGCCGCGTGCGAGATCGCCGTCGCGGACGGCCGGGAAGCCGACGTCGTGCGCGCGCTCATGGCCGCCCGGGCGGGCGACTTCGAGCTGGCGGAGCGCGTCGCGACGCTCCGGTTCTCCGCGCTCGAAGCGCTCGCGGCGACGCTCTCGGGCGCCGCGGCGCCCGAGGAGCTCTTCTACCGGCCCGGCGCCAGGGAGGGCTGCGCCGCCGCGGCGCAGCTCGTCGAGGCCTACTTCTTCGCGTCGGCGAACGCCTGGCCCGCGGACGCGGGGCGCCTGCTGGCCGCGTGGGCCGAGTGCGGCCTGTTGACGTTGAACGCGCTCCACCGCTACGTGCTCGACCGCGTGTTGAAGCACGTCCTGGAGGCGTCGGCGCCCGCGGCGGAGGCCCTGCGCCGCTGCGTCGAGGCGTCGCTCGCCGCCGCGGAGACCGTGGACGGCGACGCGCTCGCGGCCGTGGGCGCCGCGTGCTGCGCGGGCTGCGCGGCGCGCGCGTTCGACGCCGAGGACATCGGCGCGTCCGCGGCCGCCGTCGTCTTCGGGGTCCTGGAGTGCGCCTGGGACGACGCGGCCTGGTTCCAGCGGCACGCGCGCGTCGGCGAGAGCCTCCTGGGCTCCGCGCTCCAATTCCTCGCGCACGCGTCGCCCGTCGTCGGCGCCGTCGCGGCCGACGGCGTCGCGCGCGTCGCGTCGTCGGGCGCGCCCTGGAAGGTCGCCTTCTGCGCCGAGGCCTGGGACCGGGCCCTGGCCTGCGCGTCCTTCCGGCGCGTCCGCGAGAACGACTTCGAGGACGACGGCGATTTGAGGTGCTTCCGCGACCGGGACCTCTGCCCGCTGTTCGCGGCGCTCGGCGACGCGCTCGGCGGCGAGGCGATCGATGCCAAGTTCCCGACGGTCGACGGGCTCCGGGAGCGCGGCGACTACGAGCGCGTCGAGGCCGCGCTCTTCGCGGCGGCGTGTTTGTCCGACGACGCCGCGCGCTTCGTGTGCTTGAGGGACGGCGACCGGCGCCGCGTGGACCTGCGGCTGCCGCCGAGCGTCGTCGACGACCCCGACGGCGACCCCCTCGCCTACTCCCTCGCCGTGCAGGCCGAGGTCTGCCTCTTCCGGAGCGCGGAGGTCGTCAGCGACGGCGCCGCGCTCCGGGCCTTCGACCTCGCCGCGCCGCCCGCGCTCCCGGGCATGAAGCGCCGCGGCCCGAAGCCGGACCTCGACGACGAGGCGCCCAAGGCCAAGGCGGCCTGGGGGGACCGTTCCACCCCGAGTCGGTGAGCTTACGGGTAACGTCGATGGGGTATTCTTGCGGGGCGCTCGGGCTCTTCCCTAGAAGATGAGCGGCTGGATCCAGTACTCGAGGATGATCTTGAAGACGCTGTCGGGCAGGTTCGTCGGCTCGCGCGTGTCGCGCATGAAGAGTCGCTTGAAGGGGCCCAGCGGCGGCTTGGGCAGGCAGTTCGAGGAGAAGAGGCGCGTCAGTTCCGGCGGCGGAACCGCGCGGCCGCGGTGGCAGAGAGCGCGCAGGACGAAGAGGCTCGCGATGGAGATGCGGCGCTGTTTGAGTGGTTTGATGAGGTACGCCATCCAACACGTCTCCAGCATGAGAGCAGCGAGGGGGTTCATCTCATGGCCCTCGCGGAAGTGCACCGGCGAACCGATCAGGGCTCGCGGGCCGGCCACGATCTCAAAGTCCAGAATCTTGAGGCTCGTGCGCGCCTGGTACCTGAGGAGCACGGTCGGTACCGTACCGAAGAACAGTGCCGGACGCGGCGACCTGCTCCGTGATTTTCAAGAGACACCCGAGGCGGAACTGCGGCGATTCGACGAGCTCGCGCATGCGCACGTGGCGTCGCTGCGACGTGACCGCCGTGAACCAGCTCCGTCCGTCCGACACGATCATTTTGAACCTATGCAGACATCCCGCACGGCATAGAAGCGGGTACGCACGCATCAATGCCGCTGCCAAAAACCTCATCCGACTCATCAGAGTAGCTGATCATCTGTAGCACTGGCGTGTGCGTGCCGCCGAAGTACCGCGCGCCGTCACGGTCACGCAGTATGAACATCGTAGCGATTGCGTTGCTTTCAATCGGCGTCATGTTCACCATCGAAGACATCCTGCGACGCACAAGGCGAGAGGCGAACCAGCGGCAGAATCGTCGGCAACACCACTGCATCCACTGCAATAGCCTTGCAATGTTGCGGCACCTGAAGCCGCGGCCCGCAGCCGGACCTCGACGATGAGGCGCCGAAGGCCAAGGCGGCCTGGGGGGAGCGTTCCATCCCGAGTCGGTGAGGGAGCCGCCGTTTCTTAGATGACGCGCGCGCTCAATAGTCGCGCGGGGTGCGCCAGAACGCGAGCACGTGCGAGAAGACGTCGTCGGGGACGTCCGCGCGGAGGAAGAGCGTTTCGTGCAGGGGCACGCTGCTCGACGGGCTCGCGCGCCCCCGCTCGCGGAGCGAGGGGAGCTCCCGCCGGAGGGCGAGCAGTTCCGCGCGCGGCGCGTCGACGTACGGCCGCCAGCCGCCGGCCGCGCGAACCTCGGCGAGCAGGTCGGCCGACGCCGAACCTTTTTCGCGCGCGCGGGCCTCGGGGTCCTGACCACTCTCAGTAAGAGCGTCGAGCGACGCGCCTCGACTCATGAGGAGCTTGCTCATTCTTGACAGACCGTTCGTAGCACAGTAGTGTAGGATTGTGATTCCCTCTCCGCGGCCGCCGGGAGCGTTGATCCGCCCGCCTGCATCTAGCAGGAGGAGCACTGCTTCGTGGTGATCCTCGACAGCGGCGGCGTGCAGCGGCGCCCATTCATAATAGGGCGCGCCGAGATGCACGTCGGCGCCTGACGCGATGAGCCATTTCAAGGCCGACAACCAGCCTTCACGCGCTGCGTGAAACAGGCGCGTTATTGCGTCTTTCCAATTACCATGCGGGTCAATGTACCCAGCGTCAAGCGCATTATCGCAAATGAGCTGGTCTAGATTGCCGCCGGAAGCGAGGTGGCGCACGTTCTCCTCATGGAACGAGCGCTCCGTGAATGGGGTCGGCTCCGCGTCGCTTGCGTCCGAGTCGCTTGCGTAATCCGGCCCCGCGTCGCTTTCGTCCGAGTCGCTTGCGTAATCGGTCGGCTCCATGCCCTCGACCCGAGGCCAACATTGAAGTGGTCAACATAGGCATGATGCCGCAAGTATCATCCTGCGATTTTCCAAGTTTCGACCACCATCTCGATAGGGCTGCCTGCGCCCCGAACCGGGCGGCGTCGTCGGGCCTTGCGATGGCCGAGTCCTTCTTCGCGTCGGTGGGGGCCTACCTGGGCACGGGGGCGACGGTCGTCGGCAACGGCCTCGCCGCGTGCTCCTGCGGCGTCGTGACGGCCGTCGGCGCCGTGACGGCCCCCTACTGGATCGGCGCCGCGGCGGGCGCGGGCGCCTGCATCTGCGGCACGGTCGCCTGCTACGAGTGCGGCTGCTGCGGCGCGATCCAGCGGCGGCGGCAGCAGCGCGCCGAGACCCGCGGCGCGCGCGCGGGCGCGGCGACCGCCGGCGTCGTGTCGAAAAAGACGGGCGCGAAGACGGCGCCCGTGGCGCGGCGCCCCGCGCCGCTCCGGCGGCTGCGCATGCCCAAGAAGAAGGCACGCTCCGTGGGCAAGGGCCCCCAGACCATCCAGAAGAACCCGCTCCGCTCCGTGGAGGCGTCCGCGTGAGCGCGCGGGCCTCCTAATTGTGAAGAAGACCTAGAGGCGGGGGCGGGGACTAGGGGGCGCGGCGCGCGCGCCGGCCCTAGTTCTTGTGGAGGAGGCTCTTGAGGCTCACGGGCGTCGCGCCCTGCTTCTTCGCCGCCGCGGCGGCCGGTTCCGGGTCCGCGCCGTACGGGCAGCCGCGGTTCCAGTTCGCGGCCTGCTGCGGGTGCTGGGCCCGCTCGCGGAGCTCGAGGGGGTGCGCGGAGAAGGTGCCGCTGCCGCCGCCGGCGGCCCCGGAGACGTCGGCCCGGGGCACGGGCGGCGGCGGCGCCGACGCCGCGAGGCGCTCGGATTCGTCGCGCGGCGCGTACCACTTGAGGATGCCGCCCTCGCCGGCGGCGTGGGCCAGCGTCAGCGCCGAGGACCGCTTGACGCCGAACTGCTGGTCCATCTCCGACACGGCCTCGTCGAGGGAGACCTTGCCGAAGTCGCGCGCGAAGTGGAAGTTTTGCCGCTCGACGCGCGACTGGCCGCGCTTGACCGCGTGGGCGTCGTCGCGCCGTTCGAGATGGCTCTTCTCCTGGTTCCAGGCGACGATGTCGCCGTGGCACTGGCCGCTCATGGGCTTGGGCACGGCGAACGTGGGGTCGTCGCTGTTCTTCGCGCCGCCCCGCAGGCCCCGGCGGCAGAACTCCTTGGGCGCGGGCGGCGCGTCGGGCACGCGCCAGGGGCCCTTGACCCAGCGCAGGAAGGACACGTCGCCGGGGCCTAGGGCCGCCGACACCTGGCAGTAGTAGGCCTCCCAGTCGTCGGCCGTGATCGCGCCGTGCCGATTCGCCGGCAGGTACAACGCGAAGTCCTTCCGGACCGCCGTCGCGTCGGCGACGCCGTCCAACACGAGGGGATGCTTGTGGGCGTCGAAGGCGCGCCGCACCTCGTTGGCGTCCGCGAGGCCGTCGCCGACGCGGTCGAACTTCTGGAACGCCGCCCGCACGGCCGCCAGACGCTTCGGCGGGAAGCCGCCGACGTCCCCCGGGAAGGCGACGTTGCAGCAGTACTGGACGAGCTGCGTCGGGCTCAGCATGCCGTTCTTCATCATGTCGAAGCGCGCGAAGAAGGCGCGGCGCTCCGGGAGGTCCAACGTCGCGGGAGAGGCGTGCGCGTCGAGCGCGGAGCAGAACTGCGCGAAGTCGACCGCGGGCTCCGCGTCGTGGGCGTCGCCGTCGAGGGGCAGCGTCGCGACGCGCCCGAGCCCGAGGAACAGGGCCCGCAGGCCGTGGGCGCCCTTGCGCCGCAGCGCCGCGAGCACCTTCGACGCGAGTTCCGTGTCGACGTCGACGGCGTTGATGCCGAAGTCGCGCTGCCGCGCGTCGAAGTAGCGCTCGAAGGCGGACACGAACTTGGACAGGTTCGCCTCGCCGGAGGCCTCGCAGTCCGTGAGGAGCTTGAGCACCGCCGGCGGGATCTCGACGCCCATGGCGAACATGCGGTCCTGGAACGCGCGCGCGGACATGTCGCCGTGGCCGAGCTTGCGCACCGCGGCGTAGATCTGCTGGCGCTGGAGCGCCTGCTCGCTGTTGCGGATGCCGACGACCTCGGGCTCGCCCAAACCCGCGCGCATGGCGACCTTGGTCGCCGTCGCGAAGCGCGCGTCCGTCGACGTCTCCTTCCGCTTCACCTCGCCGTCCTTGTAGGACCACGCCTGGGCAGCACAAGGGTGATTCAACGTCGCTTCAACGTGAGTGTTCCGCGCGCGAGAGTTCCGGAATAAGCATCCACGCTTCGAGGCCGTTCCGAGAGATGATCGCCCGTCCAAAAATCAGCCGAAACGAGTGGAAACCGGCCGAGATCGGAGCCTTTGAAGTTGGGAATTTCGCTCTCTTGTGCTGCCCCGGACCACGCGAGCTGCGATCCGACCTGCGACGACCCCTGGAGCTCGCGGCTGCGGCTGCCGAAGAGCTTGCGGCCCGTGAGCGATTTCTTGGGCGACCCGTCGGCGCCCATGCCCTCGTCCCGGGGCAGCTCGCCGAGGAGCTCGTCCTCCAGCGACTGGCCCTGGAGCGCGAGGCTCCGGCCGAAGATGGACGCGTTGCGCGCCGGGTTCGTGCGCTTCCGCGCGCCGTAGAAGGACATGAACTCCTCGACGACGTCCTCGTCGACCTCCGCGTAGGTCTGGGGCCGCCGGCCGCCGGCGGCCGCGTGGTCGCGGACGCTGACCGTGGCCGCGTGGCCCTTGTAGCGCCCCTCCGTGGGCGCGAGGGGCGGGCCGCCGGAGTCGCGCGCCACCAAGGCGCGGTAGAACTTGTGGAACACCAGATCGTTGCCCCCGCGGGCCTTGGCGAGCGCCGCGTCCAGGTCCGCGGTGACCTGGAGACCTAGATCCCGCAGCTCCGCCTTCAATCCCGCGTCGTCGGAGAAGCCCCGGGAGTAGCGCTCGAAGACGACCTGCAGCTCGCGCCGCTTCTCCCGGGCGACGCGCTGCTGGTGCTCCGCCTCGACGGTCGCCGCGTGGGCCTGGAAGGGCCGCACGGGCGCGTCGACGTAGCCGTGCGACATCTTCTTCGCGGACCGCGGCGCGGGCTGCCGCGGCTCCAGCTCCGCGAGCGCCGCCTCGCGGCCCTCGGCGGAGACGGCGTCGCGGAACTCGCGGTAGTCGACGTAGCCCTCCTCGGAGATGGCGCACTCGCACATGATGTCGTCGACGACGCGCATGCCGTACTTGAGGCCCAGGCCCTCGATGGCCTGGAGGAAGAGGCTCGCGTGGATGCTGCCCGTGCCGTCGCCGTCGTAGCGCTCGACGGCGCCGAGCACGACGGACCGCAGCTCGAGCTGGTCCATGGCGCTAAGGCGGATCGAGCTTCAGTGGCTGCCTGTTGCCCACCTCGCGCTCTCACGTCCGAGAGCCGCGTTACGGCGCGCTTCGGAGAGCGCCGGATATGGTTTGGCGTGCCGGCGCGCTTGCACGGCTCTCTTGCCGCCGCCGACCTCTTTCGTCGCGCGCCGCCGCGGCGGCGGCGCCATGCGCGCGTCGGTCGGTGCGTGGCTCGCCGTCGCCGCCGCCGCGGCGCGGTCCTTCGACGGCGCCATCGACCACGCCGGCCGCGAGCAGGTGATCCACTTCTTCCGCGGCAACAGCAGCGCCCGCTACTTTAGCATCGTCGAGGCCTGGGGCGGCGAGATCGTCGTCTTCGCCAAGGAGGCCGTGCCGGGCCACCGGGGCCACGAGCACGACCGCGTGAGCTTCTGGACCAACTGCCGCGGCGTGCTCAAGGATCGCAAGGACATCGCGGGCAGGTGCTTCCGCGCGCCGATCAAGCATTTGACGGACTACCGGAGCGCGCGCGACGCGAACTGGGCCCACAACACGGCGTCGCTCTTCGAGGACGGCGTCCTCCACATGATCGGCGGGCGCGACGGCCGGCGCCGCGTCGCGCACCACCACGTCGCGCGCGACGGCGTCTACCGGCGCGAGTTCCGGTCGCTGCGCGAGCTCGACGCGCGCGCGGCGCGCGTCGCGCGGGACACGGCCACGCTCGACGCGGCGCCCCACCCGACGGACCTCGCGCCGGCCTTCTACGGCAACCACTCGAACTGCACGGAGCGGCGGCCCCACTTCGCGCCGAACTGCGAATTCGACGGCCGCTTTTCGCTCGCGCGGCACGGCGACAAAGTGCTGGCCTTCGCGCGGGCCAACGTCGTCGGCCTCGAGCACGCGGCGGCCCCGGGGTCGGCATCAACATCAAAAATGCTCGTCTTCGGCGGGCGCTTCGTGCAGGTCGCGGCCGCGCCGGCCGCCGCGGGGCCCTTCGGGCCCTTCGCGCTGCTCCGCGTCGCCGGCTACGCGGCGGCGCGCGACGCGAACATCTACTTCGCGAGCGTCGGCGCGAACCCGGCGGACGCCGATTCGCTGCTGGCGCTCTTCCCCGTGCTCTCCGAGGCGGGCGCGGCCATCGCGGTCGCGGCGTCGTGCGACGGCGAGCGATGGTCCGCGCTCGCGGTGCTCGCGAACACGACGGACGCGGGCGGCGGCCGCACGCTCGACCACCCGGCCGACGGCTGGCTCGTCGACGGCGCGACGGGCACCGTCTACTTCTTCCTCCACCGCAACGTGCCCTTCATCCGCGAGGACGAGCAGCTCGGCGACGCGGCCTTCGGGCCGCGGAGCGCGCTCACGCGCGTGCCCGTCGCCCTCGCGACGCTCGCCGCCTTCACGGAGCGGCACCTGCCGGGCGGCTGCGGGCGATGACGGGGCCGCGCGCGAGATGCGCGCCGCGCGAGAGCGCTCTAAACGGCCGTTAATTCGTCCTAGCAGAGGCCGAGCTCCGCCTCGATCTCGACCTCGATGATGGCCTCGTTGACGATGACGTCGAGGAGCACGTGCTCGACGGCCTCGACGGCGCGCCGCGGCGCGAGGTCCTCCTCCGTCGTCCCGCTCGCCGCGGCGGCGGCGCGCGCCGGCGGCATGGACCGACAACGGCGCGCCTGCTTCTTGCGCCGGAGCCGCGACAGCCGGTCCATCTCCGCCCGGAGCGCCTCGACGCGCCGGTCGATGTCGTCGAGCTCGGCGGCGTCGTCGGCGTCCTCCGCGGACATCGGAGGCGGCGCGGTCGGGAGCTCCGCGGTCGTCGGAGGCGGCGCGGTCGCGGCCGCCGGGGGCGTCGCGATCGCGGCCGCCGGGGGCGCCGGCGCCTCTTCCCCGGGGAGCTCGCGTACCATCTCGCACCAATCGTCGTCCGGCTCGCGCCAGCGCGTCGGCCCCGTCCAGTCGATGGGCCGCTCCACGGCGAAGCGCGTCGGCGAGGGCAGCGGCGACCGCGGCGGCGCGCGCTCGGGCGTCGCGGACCGCTCGCGCGCGGGCATCGACCGGCCGCGCGGCGCCGCGGCGCGGCCCCGGGGCTGCTTCTTACGGCGCGCGCGCCCGCGATTCTCCTTCTCCGACGCGCCGGGGCCCTCCCAGTCCGCGTGCTCGTCGTTCCGCGTCCGGTCTTTCTCTTTCACGGACAGCGTCTGCAAGTAGTCGTTGAAATTCGCCGGCTTCGACGCGCCCCGCTTCTGGAGGGGCGACACGATCTTGTTCCACGTGTCGCCGTCGGCGTTTTCCAGGAAGGCCTTGGCCTGCTTCGGGCCCTGGATCTGGTGCCGGTTCGTCGCATCGCGGAGCGCCATGCTGTCCAAAGCCAACGACGATGGGTAAATCATCCAACTTGAAGTGACTTGCCGCGCTTTACCAAAAATCGACGAGAGCATGAGCGCGCTCGCGCAGTCGACGAGCCTGCTGCGGCGCGCCCCGAGCAGGTACGAGGAGGAGAAGGAGATCTGGGAGCACACGGGCGACGACGTCGAGGACGTGCTCGGCGCGGCGCTGGAGCCCGAGTCGCTGTCGCTGGAGCTGCCCAAGCACAACGCGCGCGCCGAGGTGCGCCTCATCGGCGGCTTCGTCGTCGGCCTCGTCTTCATGCTCGCCATCCTGTTGCGGCACACGGACACGACGGGCCGGCGCGCCATCGGCGAGTTCGGGAAGCTCGACCGCGCGTTCGTGCTGTCGACGCGGGGCAAGAACAACACGAACAGCCCGGAGATGGACCGCCTGAAGCTGCAGCTCGCGGCCCTGCACCTGAGCAGCGACGACGTCCAGGTCATCTACGCGCCGGAGCGCGTCGCGCTCGACGAGCGCACGTTCCAGCGGCCGAAGAAGGCCTCGGACCGGGGCGCGTGGGACCGGCGCGTGGCCTCCAAGGCCATGGGCATGCGCCACCTCGTCCACAGCCTCGTCGCCTGGGCGGGCAAGTCGCCGAAGCGGCACCCCATCGCTTTGGTGCTCGAGGACGACGCGGTGTTGCTGCCGGGGGCCGTGAGCGTGCTCAACGACGCGCTCCGCTTCCTGGAATCCGCGGAGGGCGTCTTCGGGAACTGGGACCTGCTCTACGCGGCGCACTGCGGCGAATGTCTGTGGTGGGCCGACGCGCTGACGGCGTCGTCGACGGCGCGGCTCGGCGGCGGCCTCAACGAGGACGAGATCGGTTTGGCGGACTACGCGTACAACCGGAGCCACGACCCGGGCTGCACGGCGGACTACGCGGAGTTCCGGCGGCGCAAGGGCCGCGTGGGGACGACGGTCGGGACGACGAAGCTGCCGCGGACGCGCCAGCGCGACGTCGCCGTCGCCGTCGAGCGGCGGACGGTGACGAAGCTGTCCGGCGACACCGCGGCGCTCGCGACGGCGGTGGACCCGCGGTGCAGCGACGCGCTCGTCGTCCGCGACACGCCGGGGCTGCGGAAGCTGCTGCTGGGCGTCGTCGACGGCGACGAGGGCCTGCGGGGGCTCATCGAGGAGCAGTTCGACCTGAGCCTCGCGCGGCTCTCCGCGGACAAGCTCCTCCGGAGCTACGTCATCTGGCCGCCGGTGGTTCATCGGTGCCACGCAGCGTCCTGCGGCCGTGACGATTTTCGAGAGATTTCGGGAGGGAAAACAATGAGAAATTTGGTAGGTTCCACGACGGCTACGGGCGGCCCGACGACGGCTACGGCATGAACTCGTCCCAGTTCATCACGTCCTGGCTCGAGCTCCAGACGAACTAAGAGGGTACCTTAGAAGATGCTCGGGCCGTCCAACACGCCGAAGCGGGGCGTGCCGCTCGGGCACGCGGCCTCGCCGTCGCCGCTCACCAAGCTCAGGTTCGTCCGCGCCTCGAGGCAGCCCGGGTCGAGCTCGAGGGCTTTCCGCCAGCAGGCCCGCGCGGCGTCGACGTCGCCCAGACGCGCGCGCTCGAGGCCCAGCCGCACGCGCGTCTGGACGTCGCCCGGGTCGCGCCAGAGGATCGTAGAGAAGACCTCCGCCGCGCCCGCGTGGTCGCCGCCGTCGCTGAGCAACGCGCCCAGGTTGTAGGCCGCGCCGAGGTCCGAAGCGTCGCGCGCGACGCGGCTCCGGAGCACGTCGACGGCGCCCGGCGCGTCGCCGAGCGCCTCGAGCGCGAGCGCGAGCTCCGTCGCCGCGGCGCCGTCCTCCGGCGACCGGTCCACGGCCTGCTTCAGGCAGGCCGCGGCGCCGCGGCAGTCGCCGGCGAGGCGGAGGCAGCGGCCGCGGTTGAAGAGCACGTTCGTCCGCTCGCCGTCGCGCGCGCCGACCTTCTCGAGCGCCGCGCCGTAGGCCGCGGCGGCCTCGCCGTAGCGCTCGAGCTTGTCGAGGGCGGACCCGAGCGTGTAGGGCGTCTGCCAGGCGCCGCCGGGCAAAGCCGTCGCGGTCTTCGCGGCGTCCGCGGCGCCCGCGTAGTCCCGCAGCTCGAGCCGGGCCCGCGCCAGATTCGTCCAGAGCAGCGCGGACTGCGGCGGCAGCGTCCCGCCCGCCGCGGCGCGCTGGAGCGCGAGCCCCCGCTCGAGCGCGGCCGCGGCGCCCTTGAAGTCGCCGAGGCCGAGGAGCGCTTTCCCGAGCTCCAGGCGCCCGAGCGCCTCGTAGCGCCGCGGCGCCGCGGCGCGGCCCGCGACCTTGGCGTCGCGCGCGGACTCGACGGCGTCCACGGCGAGCGCCGTGTGGCACCGCGCCGCGACGCGCTCGAGGAGCCGCCGGCCCTCGGCCGGGCGCCGCGCGGCGACGGCGCCGTAGCGCCGCAGCAGCAGCGGCACCTCGTCCTCGAGGATTGCGCCGGCCGCGGGCTGCTCCGGGTCCCGGCAGGCCGGGCACCGCGGGCGCGACGCGACGCGCGCCACGGCGGGCGCACTCGCGAGCGCCGCGTCGCAGGCCGAGCACAGGCCGTGGCCGCACGGCGGCGCCGTCGCGGTCTCGGGCGCCGCGCAGACGGCGCAGCGCGCCGGCCGCGTCGTCTGGCACCGGGCCTTGTGGGAGGCCCAGTCGGCCTTCTGGCAGGCGACGCCGCAGTAGGCGCGCTTGCCGCAGCGGCCGCAGTGCTTCGGTTTGCAGGTCGCGTGGCAGACGTCGCACGGTTTCAATTGCGTCTCCTGCGCGAGCTCGGCGCCGCGCCCCGCCTGCAGGGAGGCCTTGAGCGACTGGGAGGCCTTGAGGGCCATGGTGTGTCGACCTTATCGCCTGATCAATCGACGAGCCATCGCGCGCTGTGACAGAAGTGCAGCTCGCTTTACGTCAACATGCTGCTCTCCGAACAGCTCGAAGCTCGAGGCTGCCCCAGGCGTCTTTCTGGAGGTGGTCGGCGGCCCCAGCTTCCGAGCCGCCACCATGGCCGAGTTCCTCGGCACGCCCGAGGTCGGCGACCTCGCCGAGTTCAAGAAGACCATCGTCGCGTCGACGGAGTGGGAGGCCTTCGCGGACCTCGTCGTCGCGTCGGAGCGCGACGCCTTTTTGTCGGCGGACACGCCCGTGGAGTCGCGGCCCGGCCCGCTGACGCACGGGAGGCTCCGGGCCTTCGTGGACGCGCTCGACCTCAACGAGCGCTTCGGGCTGAAGCGCACGGACAACGTCTGCACGGCCATCCCCAACGGGCCCGAGGCCGCGGTCTTGTTCGTCGGCGTCGCGACGCAGTGCGTCTTCGCGCCGCTGAACCCGCAGCTCACGGCGCCGGAGATCGAGTTCGAGCTCGAGGACCTGCCGGCGCACGCCATGATCCTGATGGAGGCGCGCCTGCCGGCCCAGAAGGGCAACGCGCTCTACGAGTCGCCCAAGCTCGTGCTCGAGTGCTGCGACGCGAACTCCGTGCCCGTCATCACGTTACTCCCCGACGCCTCCGTCGCCGGTCTATTTACGCTCGACTCGGAACTGTCGAAGACCCCGGGCCCCGCGGTGCCCAAGGCCACGAAGGACGATTTGGCGCTCGTGCTCCACACGTCCGGAACGACGAAGAAGCCCAAGATCGTCCCTTTGACCCACGGCAACATCGGCCACGGCGTCCAGTTCGTCGCGCGGACGCTGCGGCGCCAGCCAGACGACGTCTGCATCAACATCATGCCCCTCTTCCACATCCACGGCGTCATCGCGAACATCATGGTGACTTTGTATTCGGGATCGCGCGTCGTCTGCACGCGCGGCTTCCAGGGCGGCGACGACTTCCTCGACAAGCTCGCGGACGACTCGCTGGGCCCGCCGACGTGGTACAGTGCCGTGCCGACGATGCACGAGGCGATTTTGTTGGCGGCCGAGGACCGGGGTAGCAAGGGGCCCTGGGTCCATTCCTTGCAGATGCTGCGGAACTGCTCCGCGGCGCTGCTGCCGCCCGTGTCCGAGCGCTTCATCAACGCCTTCGGGACGAAGCTCAAGAAGGAGTTCACGGTCGTGCCGACCTACGCCATGACCGAGTCGTTCCCCATCTGCTCGAACCCGCCCCACCTGGAGTGCAAGCTGTCCACGGTGGGCCCCGCGATGGGCCCCGAGATCAAGATCTTGAAGGGCCACCCGGAAGACGAGGAGGTCGCGCCGGGCGAGGAGGGCGAGGTCTGCGTCTTCGGCGGCTGCGTCACGGCGGGCTACCTCATCCGGCCCCACATGGACTGCGACCCGAACGTCGAGGCGCTGACGAAGCCGGGCACGGTCGCGGCCGCGCCGCTGCTGCGGACGGGCGACAAGGGCTACATCGACGAGGACGGCTACCTCCAGCTCCTGGGCCGCTTCAAGGAGATCATCAACCGCGGCGGCGAGAAGATCTCGCCCCTGGAGATCGAGGAGCGGCTTTTGAAGTGCGACGGCGTCGAGACGTGCGTCTGCTTCGCGGTGCCCTGCGAACTGCTGGGCGAGGTCGTCGGCGTGGCGCTCGTCTGCACGGCGGAGGTCAAGGCCGCGGCGGAGGCCCTGGAGGCCGACGACCACAAGCTGAGCCGCTTCCTGCGCAAGGGCGAGGAGAAGGACTGGGCGGACCCGCGGCCGCAGCTGTCGCAGCTCCGCGGCGCGCTCAAGGACCTGAGCCCCCAGTGGCGGCCCCAGTGCGTCGTCTACATGGACGCGATCCCCAAGGGCCCCACGGGCAAGCCCAAGCGCATCGGGCTCGCGAAGCTTTTGAAGATGCCGCTGCTGTCCATCGAGGACCAGGAGCACTTCCAGGTCGCGGGCGTCGGCGAGAAGAACCTGGAGAAGCTCACCTACGCCGACGGCCGCTACCTCTTCCCGCCCCACATCTCCATCACCCTGTCCATGAACGACGACCTGAGCGACTTCTGGTTCCAGCAACACGCGCTCCACTACGAGGACGAGCGCCACGCGCTCCACAAGCTCGTGATGACGTCCCATGCCTGCGGCATCCCCATGGACACGGACTGGTGGACCGTGACGCCCGAGGACATGCGCCGCACGCTCAAGGAGCTCATGCGGCGCCGCAAGCTCTACGGCAAGGAGTGGGAGTCGCCCCTCGAGCTCGGCGACGGCCTCATGAAGTACGACTGGCACGGCGACCTCGTCGTCCGCGACCTGTCCCTCTTCGACCCGGACCGCCCCATCCGGGACCAGGACGCCGAGGTCATCATCATGCACCACAAGTGGCGCAAGAACTGCCGCGTGCCGCCGCCGGGGCTCATCATGGAGCTCCTCAAGATGCTCGACTAGGGAACGAGCGTAAGGAAGACCTATTACTGGCGCTTGTTGATGAAGGAGTCCGTGCGGAGGCCCGTCGCCGCCTTCTTCTCCGCGTCCATCGCGCGCTTGACGAGCTGGGGCGGCGCCGTGAGCTCGTAGAGGCGGAACTTGGCGTCGCCCGATTTCCGCAGGTCCACCACGTGGTGCTGGGACCGCTTCAGACTCTCGTTGGCGCGCCTCAAATCCTCCGCGTGCACCGTGAAGACCTCCTTGACGGTCCAGTCCTGCAATTTGATGACGTCGACGCACTCGAGCGTCGACCAGCGCTCCTCGATGCACACTAAGATCTTCACCTTGGGGCTCTTCTTCGCGATCGCGAGGCACGCCGCGAGGAACGAGCCCGTGCCCGGGAGCGAGTAGAGCGCGTCCGCCGCGACGACCAAATCGACGGTTTCGTCCGCGACCTCCCGGGGCAGGTCGCCGCTCCACGAGAGATAGGCGCACTTCACGGTCCGTAACTCGTTGGCCAGCGCCGACGCCCGCAGCCCCTGCAAGATCTCCCTGTGCTTGTCCGTGAGGACGACGCGGAACGCGCCCAGTTTCGCGCACGTGAGCCCCGCGGCGCCGCAGCCCGCGCCGAGCTCGACCTGGGCAGCACAAGAGAGATGCAACGTCGCTTCAACGTGAGTGTTTCGCGCGCACGCGTTCCGGAAAAGCATCCATGCTTCGAGACCGTTCCGAGAGATGATCGCTCGTCCAAAAATCAGCCGAAACGAGTGGAAAACGGCCGAGATATCAGTCTTCAATGTTGGGAATTTCGCTCTCTTTTGCTGCCCTGAGCTCGACGACCGTGCTCTTGTGCACGACGTGGTGGTAGTGGCGGTGGAGCGTCAGGGCGAGCACGTGGCCCGCGGTCCAGCAGACGCCGCCGTGGAGGTGTCCCAGGCCCTCGTACTCGCGGAGCACGAGGTCGTTGCAGTGGATGGGCTGGTAGAACCTAGAGAGTGGTTCGTCATTTTTTCCCGCGACGACGACGACGCGGGGCCGGACCAGCCCAGCTGGGAGCACCGCGGCCGGTCGCTGCGGTTCTCCGTGTTCAGAGGCTGCGACATCGTGAGAAGCCGGCGCTGCCCCGCGGCCTTGGGAGTTTTTTGCGATGATGCTGCCCTTCACGATCCCTAACCGAGCCAGTTGTGCAGGCCACGCCAGCGCTTGAAGATTCGCCACCGAGTGGCGACGTCTCGAGCTTTGCGCTCGTGCAATAGAAGCCTTGCCGAGTTGCCGGCGTAGCTGGCATCCACGAGCGCCGCTAAACAACACTCGACGATGCGCCGCTGACGCCAAAATGGCCGAACTGGACGAGTCGAGCGCCGCGACGCGGCCGCCGCCGGAGCGGAGCGACGAAGGCAGCGGCACGAAGCGCCCGCGCGTCGACGAGGCCCCGAGCGTCGTCGAGGTGCACGTCGCGGCCATGCTGGCGACGCGCACGGGCCCCGAGCGCGCGACGGCGGCGCACGTCGTGAGCCTGCTCCACGTCGCCGAGGGCGTCGACACCGTCGCTTCCGAGCCGACGGCCGACGGGCGCACGCTCACGCTGCGGAGCGGCCCCTTCTTCCTGCGGCCGGCGACGGCGCCCGAGGGCCCGCTGCCGCCGGCGTTGTTGTGGTGCTTCGCCTGCCTGGCCTGCGGCGCCGGCGAGGAGCCCGAGGTCACGTTCGACGAGGCGGAGTCGTGCCTCGACTTCCTGCGGGCGCTCGCGGCGAAGCACGTCGACGGCGAGCGCGCCATCGTCGACGGCGCCATCGACGCCGTCGAGGCCATGATCCGGGATTCCGCGCCCCTCGACGAGGCGGCGAAGACGGTCCACGTGCTCGCGAACTTCCTCTCGCCCGACGAGTGCGCCGCGGTCGTCGCCGGCGCCGAGGCCCACGCGGCGGCGCGCGGCGGCTGGACGTCGGCGCGGCACGCGGCGCACGCGACGACGGACGTGCCCGCGGGCGACGTGCCCGGCGTCGCCGACTGGATCTTCGCCGCCGCGCGGACGCGGCTGCTGCCGCGGTTGGAGGAAGTGTTCGGCCTCGAGGACGCGCTCATCGTCGACGACCTCTTCGTCGCCAAGTACGACGCCGACGGCCAGCGCGAGCTGCCGGAGCACGAGGACGGGTCGCCCTTCTCCTTCGTCGCGCCGCTCAACGGCGGCGGCGACTTCGACGGCGGCGGCACGCAATTCGTGGACCTCGACGGCGCGCCCGTCTACCGGCCCGACGCGGGCGACGCGCTCCTCTTCAGCGGCCAGAACCGGCACCGCGGCGTGCCCATCGTGCGGGGCACGCGCTACGTGCTCGCGGGCTTCTGCGCCTTCGCCGAGGGCGAGGACGACGAGGCGTCGCCGTGAAGAACCCCGTCGTCGCCGCCGCCGCGCCGTCCGAAGCCAGCTCTCGTATGTTGTTGTTGCTGTCCAACTACTACCCTCGTATGTAACCTCGCCTTTATGTCGCCAGCGCCTTGACCATGTCGTCGCCGCCCCAGCTCGCGTGGCAGAGGCCGTAGGGCCGGCCCATGACGAAGGTGACGAAGCAGCACGCGACCGCCTCCTCGCAGCAGTCGTGGCGCTTGACCTCGAAGCCGAAGCGCTCGTAGAGGCGCCGCGCCGGGTTCCCGCGGAGCACGCCGAGGGTGAGAACGGCGCAGCCGCGCGCGCGCGCCGCGGCCTCCATCCAGCGCAGCAGCTTCGTCCCGACGCCCTTGCCGCGCGCGCCGGCGCTCACGGCGAGGTGCTCGACGTGGAGCTCCCCGCGCTTGCACGTGTGCATGTCGCAGGGGTCGCCGAAGCCCACGCCCTGGATCGTGCCGATCACGGCGTCCGTGGCCAAATCGACGGCGACGGCGCTCAGGGTCCGCTTGCTCTCGGGCCACGCGTCGCGCTTCCGCGCGGACTCGGGCTGGGACAGGGAGAAGAGGCAGCAGCAGTGCTTGCCGGAGGTGAAGGCGTCGTAGACCTCGTGCTCGGCCGCGTAGCGCGCGGCCGTGAGCGTCTCGATGCGCACGCCGTCCTCCTCGATGACGAGTTTGGGCACGTCGACGACGACGGCATTGACGGTGATGGGCGGCGCGGCGCCGCCGCGCGACATGGGCGACGCGGCTTGCATGCTGTTCGTGGCGGCCCTTTGTCGGTTGTCGGTGGGCTCTTTGGGCTCTTCGCGCGACGACGACGACGACGACGAGGCGACTAGTCGTTTCCCGCGACGCGTTGGCGCGGAATGCGTGCGAGACGACTGCGGAGAGGTCGACGACGACGTCGACGAGGGTGGCGGCGCGGTCCGTGAGGTCGGTTTTGTCTTCAAAGCTTTTTACCACAGATTTCGCTCTCCCGATGGACCTCCCCAAAGCCAAGCTCTTCGCCGCTGGAGCTGGTCTAGCAGGCCTCATCTGGTTCCTGAAGCGCAAGAAACAACAAACTTTCGATGCGCACAACAAGACCATCCTCATCACCGGCGCCTCATCCGGCATCGGCCTGTCCATGGCGATCCTCTACGCCCGGCAAGGCGCCAGGCTCGTGCTCAACGCGCGGTCCGAGGACGCGCTCGCCGCCGCGGAGCGGGCGGTCCTGGACGCGGGCGCCGCCGGCGTCCTCTCCGTGCGCGGCGACGTCGCCACCGCGGAGGGCCGCGCGGCGCTCGTCGAGAAGACGGCGGACTTTTGCGGCGAGGGCGCGCTGGACCTGCTCGTGCTCAACGCGGGCATCTCGATGGGCGAGACCGTGGAGGAGCTCGTCGCCGGCGGCGAGGCGGACGCCGTCGCGCGGCGGCTCATGGAGGTGAACTATTTCGGCAGCGTCGGGGTCCTCGCGCCGCTGCTTCCGCGGCTCTCCCGGGCCGACGCCGTGCGCGTCGTCGGCGTCAACAGCGTCGTCGGCCTCGTCGCGCCGCCGACGCGCTCGGGCTACGCGGCGTCGAAGATGGCGCTCGGCGGCTTCCTCGACAGCCTCCGCGTCGAGCTCCGCATGGCGGGGAAGCGCGCGGCGATCACGCAGGCGTACCCGGGCAACACGGCCACGGGCATCAACGACCGGCGCCTCGGCACGGGCGGGCAGCGGCCCTTGGACTTCCGGGTCGCGATGACGGCCGACGCCGTCGCGGCGAAGATCGTCGCGGGCGTCGCCGTCGGCGCGCGGGACGTCTACTTCCCCGTGTCGGCGACGTCGTCGCTGCTCAAGGTCCACGCGCTCCGCGTCCTCAACTGCGTCGCCCCGGCGCTCTGCGACGCGCTCCTCTACGTGCCGGGGAAGAAGAAGTAAGCAAATGCGAATTAGACGCGGTCGAAGGAGCCGCACTCGTGGATCGCGGTCATGAGCTTGGTGATGAACTCCTCCTCGGAGGCGTACTCGGGGATGTCGACGTGGAAGAAGCACGTGTGCGCCACGGGGAGCGAGTTGGACCGGGGCATCGCGCGGACCTGCATCTCGAAGTCGCGGCTCTCCGGCGGCAGCGACGGCGAGCCCGTCGCGAAGACGAGGAACCGGCGCAGCGAGTCCTTGTCGAACTTGGCGATGGCGCGGTTCAACGCGTCCGGCACGAGCGACGCCTTGGCGAAGCCGACGTACTTGAACTTGGCCAGCACCTTGGACGGCGTCAGGTCCTCGTCCGCCGCGCACAGCAGGACGCGCCAGTCCGTCGAGCTAAACAATTTCAGGAACGGCGACGCCTCCGGCGAGAGCTCGTGGAGCGCCGCGACGAAGCCCCGCCGGATCGCGTCCAGGGGCTCCGTGCGGCAGCCGACGAGCGCGTGGCGCACCTTCAAGACGACGAACGAGTGCTTGTTCGCTTCGGTCACCGGCCGCGACTGCGCCGACGCGTCGACGTCGCTGAAATCCAAACCCCAGTCGCCGCCCAGCGGCGGCGCGTGGCTCAGCATGTACTCGAGCGAGCTCCCGAGCACGGGGTCGAACTTCTGCAGGTCCCGGAGCGCCCGGCCGTCGCCCGCCGCCGCGTGCCTCGCGCCGTGCGCCAGATATTTGAAGAGCGACGGCCCGAGGCGGCTCGGCGCGCCGCAGCCCTCGTAGCAGGCCGTGACCAACGCGCGCCCGAAGGCCTCCAGCCGCTCGACCTTGGCGTGCTTCTCCTTCGGCGTCGGGCTCTCCGGCATGCGCGCCGGCAGCACGACCTCGCCGCCCGCGTCCTCGAAGAGCCCCGCCTCCGCCTTGAGCGCCGCCTCGAAAAATAAGGCGAACATCTCCGCCGTCAGCCCGCCCTCGTCGACGCCGGCCTCGCCCGCGAAGGTGACCTTGAGCGGCCGCCGCGTGCCCTGGACCTTCTTGCCCTCCTGGAAGCGCCGCTCGTTCACCGCCTCTCTCCCGAAGAAGGCCAGCACGTCGTCCACCAGGGCGTCGCCCCGGCGCACCTCGATGACCGCTCGTTCCGCCCGCGACTCGGACCGCACGGACGACAGCAGGTCGCGCACGGCCTCCAATTTCGCGTTCGGCCCGACGATGTCGCCGCCGGCGATGTAGCGGTCCATGTACGAGTTCTGGAAGTAGGGGTGCACGGCCGCGTCCGCCGCCGACGGCCGCTTCGACGCGTCGAGGTCCGTCAGCGCCTCCACCAACCGCCCCAGGTCGTCGTCGCCCGTCCGCGGGACCGCGTGGCCCTCCGCCTTCGTCGCGCGGTTCAGCCACGCGAGCACGGCCCCGAAGGCGAACATGTCCGCCTCGCAGGACCCCGCGACCTCGCGGCGCTCGACCTCCGGCGCCGCGAAGTCGGCGAGGTCCGCGGCCTCGTCCGCGTCGCCGCCCCATTCCCGCAAAGCTTCGAGCAGGTGCCGCGTCGCGAGCTGCGCCCTGTCGCCGTCCAGGACGACGACCGTCGACGGGCTCACGTGGCCGTGGACGACGTTGCGGCTGTGGAGCACGAAGAGGCCCGTGAGCACCTGGCGCGCGACGGCCTGCACGTGCCACGGCGCGCGCGGCGACGCGCGCGCCCACGCCGCCAGCGAGAACCGCGGCCGCAGGAACTCGAGGTAGATCATGGGCGCGCCGACCACGGGGTCCGCGTCGTCGAACGCGCCGCGCAGGCGCAGGGGCGCCCAGCGCGCGGAGACCAACGCGCGCGGCGCGGCCAAGGCGTCGTGCCGCGGCAGAGCCAGTAAAGCGTCCAATTCCGCCTCGTGCGAGCACCAGCGCCGCTCGTCGTCGCCCTCGTCCAACGCATAGGCCTTCAGCAGCACCTCGTCGCCCGTCGACGCGTCGAGGCGCACGAGGTGGCCGCCGCCGCCGCGCTCGGGGCAGCCGGGCGCGGGCTCGTATTCCGTCAGATCGCGCGACGGCGCTCTCAGCCAGTCGCCCCCGAAGACCTTCGGCGCGCCTCTGGTAGATCCATCCAGGTCGTCGAACGCGTCGCCCCCGTCGAAGGCGCCGCCGAACTCGCCGAGGAGCTTGAGCTTGCCGATCGAATCGACGATGACGCGCGACGTCCAGGCCAATTCGGGCTGCTCCGTGTAGCAGCAGCGCGCCGCGGCGGCGACGGCTCGGCGCCGGACGCGCACGGCGCCCGCGAGCTCGGCGTCGAGGGCGTCCACGGCCCGGCGCAGGCCGTCGACGGTCTCCTCCTCCGCCGGGCCCGCGGACGACGGCGACGACGGCTCGGACCGATTCTCCGCGATGCTCGTGGGCCGGGGCAGCGCGATGCGCGGCGGCTTCTTGGAAGACAGCCTCGCGTCGTCCTTGGGCGGCGCGAAGAGCGCCGCGACGTCCGGGAAGAGGGGCTTGGGCGCCTCGGGCTCCGCGACCGTCGCGCCGGTCACCAGCGAGAACGACGGCCGCCGCGGGCCCAGGTCCGGCTTCGCCGGGGGCGCCTCGTCCCGCGGCGGGAACGTCGACGACCGGTGCACGCCCATGGGCGCGTTGAGGCGCCGCGCGCGCCGCGCGCTCTTGTCCAGCGCGCCGAGCGCGTCCGTCTTCCGGTCCTCGAGCGACAGCACGCGGTCCACGGCGGCGTCCGCCGCGGCGACGAGCGCCGGCCCGCGCCGCGGCAGCGCCGCGGCCTCGTACCAGGCGTCCCAGCGCTTCGCGCGCTTGCAGAGCGTCCACGCGACGCGCGCGAGGAGCTTCGCGGACCTGTGCGTCGCGCGGCACCGGTGCTCCCCGGACCGCAACAACTTCCCCTTCAACCGTAGAGCCTCGTCGAGCTCCCGGGGGATGGCCGCGAGCTCCGCGCCGACGGCGCCGTGCGCGTCGAGCTTCGCGCGCGCCAGATCGCCGTCCGCGTCCCACGTCGCCGCCGACGACGCGGCGCGCGCGGCCGCGGCGACGTCGACGAGCATGCTGTCGTAGAGGTCCGCGTCCCCGGTGTCGACGGGCTTCGTCGCCTCGCCCGTGGACAGCGCCCCCGCGCAGAGCGCCGCGGCGGCCGCGGCGCGCGCGCGGAGCGCCTCGCCCAATCGGCGGAGCGCCGCGTCCGCGTGGCGCCGCGCGGAGTCGGCGCGCTGGGGCCGCGCGCAGTGGCTCGCGAGCTCCTCCGCCACGGCCTCGAAGCCGTCGTCGCAAAAGTCGCCGTCGATCGACGCGGCGGGCGGCCCCCGCGGCGCCGGCGCCGGGCTCGCGGGCGTATCGGCCATCGACTCGGCGACGGCCGCGCGGAGGCTGTCGAAGCTCCGCGACGACCGGTCCATGCTCCCGCCGGCCTCGAAGGCGCCCCGCGGCGCCGACTCGACGGCGAGGGACGCGCGGAGCCGCTCGCGCGCGCCCTCGGCGGCCTCGGACAGCGAGAGCGCGGCGGACTCGAGCAGCGCGAGGCGCCGCTCGGCGACGCGCGCGGCGCCGCGCGCCTTGGCGACGGCGGCCTTGCGCCGTTCGACCTGGGCCTCTAGCCGCTGGCGGTCGAGGCCGAGGACCGCGATCCTGCGGATGCTGTCGTAGCACGGGTGCACGGCCGAATTCCAGTCGCCGGAGAGGCCGTCGTCGACGGCCAGCGCCCGCTCGTGGGCCGCGCGCAGCGCTGTGGCCGGGTCGGCGAACTCGCCGCCGCCGTCGTCGTCGCAAAAGTCCGCGAGGTCGATGTGTTGCTCGCGCTGCGCGCCGCGGCTGCCGCGGCCGCTCGAGTCGGCGTCCTCGAGCGCGTCGAAGAAGGACGAGCAGGACTCGGCGCGCTCCAGGTTTCCGGACCGGTCCGACGAGCTCCGCGCCGACGGGTCGGGGGCCCTGATGGACGCCGCGCGGTCGTAGCCCGACAGCGAAAACTTCAAAGAATCCGCGAGCGACGGCCGCGACGCCGCGCGCTGCGGCGACGACGCCGGGCCCGCGGCCTCGGGCGCGCCGTAGAACGTCTCCGGGAACTTGGCGAAGGCCTTGGTCAGGCGGTTCGCCGCGCGCTCGAGGTTGTAGGACAGGCGGTCCTTGAGTTCGAGTTCCGGCGACGCCGCGATCCGCGCGAGGGACCCGCTCGACGAGTTCTTCCGCGACAGGGGCGCGGGGCTCGGCGCCGGCTCGTCGAAGGCGACCTTGGCGTCCAGCGCGGCGACGACGGACGAGCCGCGCGTCGCGCGGCGCACGAGCGCCACGAGCTGCGCGTTCCCCCGCTGGACCTCCTTCAGCGCGGCCCGCAGCTGGTGGAGCTCGGCGACGGCGCCGATGACGGCGCGCATGGACACGGAGAGCGGGAGCGACGCGGACGCGCCGGGCGGCGCCGGCGTTTCGGCCGCGGGGACCGTTATTCCGAAGCAGTCCGCGACGACCTCCGTCGTCGACGCGTCGCCGCCGCTCGACCGCGCCGTCGTCGCGCCGCCGAAGATCAGGAGACCGCCGCCGTGGCGGGCCGCCGCGTGGGCGTGGCGCCGCGGGAGGTCGAATGCGACGAGGGACCATGCCGCGCCGTCACAGGACGTCCAGCAGTCGCCGAGCGACTCGCTGCCCGACTCGCCGCCGAACAGACACAAGCAGTCGTCGCCCAGCGCGACCACGGAGTGGCCCCGCCGCGGCGTCCAGGGCGACGACTGGGACACGCGGGCCCAGACGGCGCCGTCGACGCTCGCCCAGACGTCGTTGCAGACGCCCCGTCCCTCGTAGCCGCCGAGCACGTAGAGCCCCCCACGGAAGGACGCGGCGGCGTGCATGGCCCGCGGGCTCCAGGCCGCCGACGCCGTCAGCCGCTCCCAGGTCGCGCCGTCCTCCGACGCCCAGCAGTCGTTGCAGTACCCGAACTCGCCGAAGCCGCCGAGGACGACGACGCGGGCCCCGTGCGCGACGGCCTCGTGGTGCGTGCGCCCGCACCAGCCCGGCGTCTCCGTGGCGAGTTCGAACGTGCCGCCGCCGTCGCCGCTCCGCCAGACGTCGTGCGTCGTCAGCCGGTCGCCCGTCGACGCGCCGCCGAGCACGAGCACGGCGCCGCCGAGGCGCACGGCCGCGTGGCCGTCGCGCGGGCCGAAGGGGCTGGCGTCGGCCAGCGACCAGCGGAAGGCGCCGCCGCTCGCGTCGCCGACCCAGACCTCCGACGAGCTCCCGGACGCCGACCCGCGCGCGAAGCCGCCGATGAGCAACAGGCGGCCGTCGCCGAGGCCCACGACCTTGTGCGACCGGCGCGCAGTCCACCGCTCGCCGGCGCTCGTCACGGCGAACATGGACGAGGACCGCGACGCCATGAGGCGCGCGCGGGCCGCGACGAGGGGCGGTGTTCGCGCCTCTCTCACGCGACTCGGCCCGGAGAGTCGGATGCATCGGAGTGCAGCACCAGTGCAGCACGGTCGAATGTCGGCTTCAAGCTGGCGCGCGCGCGCAGGAGATCCGGCAGCGTGGCGATGAACGCCGCGAGTGCACACCACGCGCGGGCCGCTCGACGCGCTCGCTTGAGTTGGGCCTCGCGTCTTAGAAGGTCCGTTGCCCGCGCGGGGAGGTGGTTCCGCCTCCGCGCGATCTCTTTTTCTGGCGCCCTACTCCTTCGTGGCGACGGGCATCAAAAAGGTGTCGCCGACGCACCAGGACGCGCCCTCGACCTCCGCCGCGACCTTCTTGATGTTCGAGCGCGGGCCGTACTCCGTGATCAGCACGAAGTAGTCGGACTCGGGCTTCTGGAGGAGCGAGTAGATGGAGACGTCGTGCTTGGCGCAGATGTCGCCCAGGTTGCCGACGATGCCGACCTCGTTGCGGTACTGGATGCGGAGGTAGAATTGCGACGAGAAGTCGTTCATGAACGTGACGTCGGTCGTCTTCTTGGCGAAGGCCTCGGGCAGGCCCTTGCGCGCGCAGCCGACGATGTCGCTCACGCAGGAGTTGGCCGTCGGGAAGCGGCCCGCGCCGCGGCCCACCAGCAAAGACGACTGGAGGTTCTCGGACGTGATCTCGACCGCGTTGATCGCGTCGTCGATGACGGCCAGCGTGTTGCCGTCGGGCACGAAGGCGGGCGTCACGTAGGCCGTGAGCTCGTGGCCCTCGGCGGCCATCTCGGCGACGCCCAGCAGCTTGATGGTGCCGCCGAGCAGCTCCTTGGCGTACGCGAAGTCGACCTGCTTGATGTTCGTGATGCCCTTGCACGAGATGTCGTCCTCGCTGACGTCGACCCCAAAGGCGAGGCGGATCATGATGGCGAGCTTGGACCGGGCGTCGAAGCCGCCGACGTCCAGCGTCGGGTCCGCCTCCGCGTAGCCCAACGCCGACGCCTCCGTGAGGCAGTCCGTGTAAGACACGCCCTCGGCCTCCATCTTCGTGAGCATCCAGTTCGTGCAGCCGTTCATGATGCCGCGGAGGCGCGTCACGGAGTCGCCCACGAAGTCCGTCTGGAGCGTGTGGATGATGGGGATGCCGCCGCAGACCGCGGCCTCGAAGCCGAAGCTCACCTTGTCGCCCTCGGCGTTGACGTCCTCGAGGAGCGCCTCGATCTCGGGCAGGCACGCGGCGATGAGGGCCTTGTTCGCCGTCACGACGTCCTTGCGCTTCTTGAGCGCGCCGAAGACGACGTCCTTGGCGAAGGTCGTGCCGCCCGCGACCTCGACGACGAGGTCGATGTCCGCGTCGTCGAGGACGTCGTCGACGTCTTCCGTCACGGTGCACCCGGGCGGCAGCGCCCAGTCGCGCTCCTTGCTCTTGTCGCGCACGACGACGGTCTTGACCTCCATGCCCACGCCCCCGGCGCAGGCCGTGAGCTGCTCCTGCTTGCGCGTCAAGATCTCGACGATGCCGCCGCCGACGGTGCCGCCGCCGACGATGCCGATCTTGAGGGCCTCGGCGCTGAGCGGCGCGGCGCGGTGGGACACCGCGGGCGCCGGCGCGAAGGCGCCGGCGCCGGCGGCGAGGGCGACGAGGATCGCGGCGTGCATGATGCGAGGCGGACTGCTACTTGTGCAAGCCGAGTGCGAGCACCACAAAGCGCCATCGAGGTCAAGAAGCCATCGCTGAAGGGGTGCCGCCGCGATGCACCAACAGTTTGCTCGCTTTTTGAGGATTGCTCGATCGACGTCGACGTCGACGTCGACGTCCGTCGTCTGTCTCTGGACAATGATGAATCCCTCGCTGCCGCCGCCGATCCCCACGCGCGACTACGACGCCGACCTCCCGCCGCCTGTCCCCACGAGAGACTATGAGGCAGCCCCGCCGGTCCCACCGCGCGACTACGACGCAGCCCCGCCAATACCCGAACGCGACTACGACGCGGCCCCGCCAATACCCGAACGCGACTACGACGCGGCCCCGCCAATCCCACCGCGCGACTACGACGCGGCCCCGCCAATACCCGAACGCGACTACGACGCGGCCCCGCCGATCCCGCTGCGCGACTACAACGCGCCGCCGCCGCCGCGCGACGTCGCCCGGCTCAAGCTGCGGAGCTTCGACAGCGGCGACGACTCCGGGCCCGCGACGCCCGGCACGCCGGCCGCGCTGCCCGCGTGGCCCGCCGACGCGCCCCGGCAGGCGAAGCCCGCGGCCATCGCCGTGCCCGAGAGCGACGACGAGCGGATGGCGCGGCTCCGGTCCGCGGCGCTGAGCCCCCAGACGCCCAAGACGCCGGAGACGCCCATGGAGTCGCCGCATCCCCAGGCGCGCCACTTCGAGCCCACGGCCGCGGAGCTCTTCGCCCAGGCCGCGCGGCGCCGGCGGCCGGGCAAAGCCGGCGACCAGGCGGCGCGCCGCATCGACTACGGCCGCGTGTCCAAATACACGAACGCGGACCGGCGCGCGGAGCTCGCGGAGATCGTCCGCGGCGCGGCCCGGTCCTTCGCGGACCGGAAGCTCGTGCGCGAGGGCCCGCTGGCGAAGATCAGCCGCGGCGGGCCCGGCGCGGCGCAGTTCTGGCTCTTCGACGACTCGCTGGCCTACGGCAAGGCCGCGCGCGGCGGCTACGACCTGAGCCACGACTTCGCCTTCGCGGGGCCCTTCGTCGCGCGCGCGGCGACGCGCGCGGAGGCGCCGGCCCACTTTTCCCGGGCGCTCACCGTGCGCACGGGCGCCAAAAGCTTCGTCGCCGTCGCCGAGGACGCGCGCGAGCGCGACGCGTGGCTCGCGTCCATCGCCGGCGCCGCGGGCGCGGACATGGACGCGGAGTCGGACGCGCTCGCGCCCGTCTGGGTCGAGGACAAGAACGCCGACGCCTGCGGCCTCTGCGACGCCAAGTTCACCATGTTCTTCCGCCGCCACCACTGCCGCAAGTGCGGCCGCCTCGTCTGCGCGAGGTGCAGCGACCACAAGCTCCCGGGCACGGAGGACCGCGCCTGCGACGACTGCGCCAAGGCGACCAAGTAAGCAGCCCCAGAGTAAAACGCGAGTCTAACACACCCCCACCTCGGTAGCGCCCCTCGACAGCTTAGTTCGCGCCGCCGGACGCGAGGCGCCGGCCCGACGCCGCGGTGCGGAGCGGGTCGTCGAAGGCCGCGTCGCCGCTCCGGGACACGCGGCTCGCGCGGCGGAACATGGGCGCGCGGCTCTTGTCCGGCGGCGGCGCCGGGTCGTTCGCGTTCTCGCGGAACGACGTCCGCCGCGTCGTGCTGTTCTCGAGCATCTCGTGGAGGTTCTGCTCCAACGAGTTCATCGTGCCCCGGGGCGTCGACACGGAGGACCGCCGCGACGACGGCAGCGGCGGACCGCCCGCGGAAGACGCGTTCGACGACCGGCGGAACGCGGCCATGGACTGGCGCGCGTCCTCGCGGCTCGCGAAGGACCCGCCGAAGGACAGCCGCCGGCTCATGCGCCCGCCGGCGTTGCGCATGGACGCGCGCTGGGCCGCCTCGGCCTCCTTCTTCTCGTCGGCGCGCATCTTCATCACCACGGACTGGAGCCGCGTCCGCCGCACGACGGGCGCCTTCTTGTCGCCGTCGTCGCCGTCGGACGTCTTGTCCAACTCGAGCATCTTCAGCACCTGCTCCGCGTCCCACTGCGTGTTCAGCGTGCTCTTGTCGATGGGCTCGGGCTCGTCGAGGGCCTGCAACGCCTTGGCGACGAGCGGGCTGAGTTTGGTAGCGCAGTCGACGACGCGGTTCGACTTGACGCGCGCCTCGTGCTGCCGCCTGCGCGTGAAGCGCCGCTCCATGAAGGACGCCGCCGTCGCCTGCAGCGCGCGCTGGCTCAGGCGCACGTTGGCCTCGGCGCAGTCCTTGCGGAGCCCGTGGTTCCGCGCCATCGCGTCCGCGCCGTACCTGGGCAGGAAAAGAGTGGTTCAAGTTCGCTTCAACTTGAGTGTTCCGCGCGCGCGCGCGTCCCGGAAAACGCATCCATGCTGCGAGACCGTTCCGAGAGATGATCGCCCGTCCAAAGATCAGCCAAAACGAGTGGGAACGGCCGAGCCTTTGAAGTTGGGAATTTCGCTCTCTTTTCCCGCCCCGCGCCGTACGTCGGCGTCGGCGACACGACCGCGTTCATGTTCGCCATCTGGCCCACGAGGTCCGCGGCCGTCGGCGGCGCCTCGGGCTCGTCGCCCGCCGCCGGGTCCTTGTCGTCGGGGCTCCCGGGCGCGGAGAGCTCCGAGCCCGCGGACCCGGGCGGCCGCGGCGCCGCGTCGGATTTCGGGGACAGCGCGGACCGGATGGGCCCGTCCTGCTTCGCGACGCTCCTCGCCGCGGCGTTCATGGCGCCGTCGGCGCCCGCCGACGCGAGGAAGGCGCGCGCCTCGACGTGGAAGGGGTCCGGGCAGCTCAGCGCGTCGAAGAGGCGGCACAACTCGGGCTCGACGTCCGCGACGCGGTTCGGCAGTAAAATAGCCAGCACGAACATGGTGTAGCGGTAGACGCAGGCGAAGAAGAGGCGGTCGCCGACGGTGGAGTGGACGTTGCCGCAGGTCAGCACGACCTGGCAGTAGACGCGCGCGACGTCCGTGAAGGCCTGCGCGTACTGCCGCTGGAGCCGCGCCTCGGACTCGCGGAGCGCCTCCAAGGCCGCGGGCGACTTCTGCGCGCGCGCCGTGCCCAGGATCGCCGACAGGGCGCCCGTGATGCCGAGCTGCGTCTGCTTCGCCTTCTGCTTGCCCAGGAGCGACGGCAGGGGCTTCTCGCCACCCGCGTCGACGCGCGACTGCCGTAACGCCGTCGACGCGACGGTGTAGTTGATGGTCTTCATGCGCGGGCGCGCGGGCTCCGGCGCCGAGACCTCGGCCTCCTTCTTCTTCTTCAGCAGGTCGGGCGCCTTCTTGAGCTTGCGGACCTTGTCCTTCGAGGGCTTCCCGTCCTTGGACCGGAGCTGCCGCAAAGCGCCGAGCACGACCTTCCGCGAGACGACGGCGTCGCGGAGGCCGTGGGAGCTCTTGTTCGCGAAGTGCTTCAGGTCCGCGTTGCCGCCCGTCTTCCGGATCTCCGCCTGCGCCGCCGCGGCGGCGATCAGCGCCGGCGTCAGGTCCTCGTGGGAGTCGCGGCGCGCGGCGCCCGTCCTCAGGTCGAGCTCCGTCTTGATCTTGCGGTGCATGAAGAAGTACTTGAAGTAGGTCGCCACGCCGCCGAGCCAGACGTTCATCATCGGCGACGCGTGGAAGACGACGAAGGACCGCGGCAGCTTCGCCAGCCCCGGCCGGTCGCCGAGGTCGACCTCCTTCTCCATGCGCCGGAGCGCGAGCGCGCCGCACTCCTCGAGGCTCAGCTTCTTCGACTCGCCGTGGAGGCCCACGGGCTTGTGGGGCGCGCCGTGGTGGCCCTTCGTCGGGTGGATGAGGCGCGCCATGGCGTTGCTGAACTGCGCGCGCTGCGACGCGGGCGTCGCGTGCGGCGCGTTCCCGTGGCCGGCCACTCGCCCCGCGACCATGTTCTCGTGGCCCGACAGGTCGCCGCTCAGCGACTTGCGGGGCGCGCCGGGCCGCCCGCCGGCCGTGATGCGCGACCCCCGCCGGTGCTGCGTCGGGCCGTGGTGGTGGTGGTCGCGGTGGCCTTGGCCGTGGCCGCCCTTGCCGTGCGGCCCGCCGTGGTCCCCCGCGGTGGTCCGGCTCGGCGCGCCGGCGTGGTCCACGAGGTGGCGCGAGCTCGCCGGGTGGTCCGCGCGGCTCCCCCGCCGCTGGAGGTGCGCCGGGTGCGCGTGGTGGCCGCCGCCGTGGTGCGCGTCCGTGTGCCGCGCCGCGCCGCTGCCGTGGTCCGCGCGGCTCCCCCGCCGCTGGAGGTGCGCGGGGTGGCCGTGGCCGTGGTGCTCGCGGGCGCCGTGGTGCTGGTGCTGCCGCAGGTGCTCCGGCAGCTTGTAGTCCGGGTGGTGCACCTCCTCGATGGCCTCGCGGTCGTGGCTGAACTGGCGCAGCTGCTCCACGTTGGGGTGGACGCGCGGCGCGTGCTCGTGGCCGCCGCCGTGGCTGTCGTCCCGCGACCCCCGGTGGCCCATGCCCACGCGCGACAGGCGCCGGATCATCGTGTGCATGGCCGCGACCGCGCCGACGCCGCCGGCGCCGGAGGGCTGCCCTGCGGTTTCAGCCTGAACTGCGAAGATTTGGGACACTGCAAGAAAGATGCAAGAAAGCGATTTTTGAAAACAGCATGGGGCTGCTCCGAGCATGCTTTTGAACGCCGTGGGCACTGCTTGAGTTCTTTCATAGACCATGGCCGACGCCAAGGACGGCAAGCCGCGCGGGCCGGACCCGCAGCTGCTGAAACTGCTGTCGTTCTGGGGCCAGCGCGCGAATTCGAAGCGGTTCAAGGACTTCTTCGAGGAACATGCGCACAAGTGTGCTCCAGCGTTGTGACGATGTTCGAGCGATGCCGACCGGGAAAACATGGTATCAAACTAATCGAAACGGACACTGATTCATACATGGAATCTGATGACTATATAAATGCCGACGCGCGTGGTAGGTTTGATCGCGACTGCAGGACGTCGGAGCAGCGCCTCGAGTACACGCAGCTCTACGAGGACTACTGCGCGCTGCACGCCCGGCGTCGAAGCATGAAATGGTCGATTCCACCGCGCCATCGCGTAGCTACGACGACGTGCTCGACGAGTTCCTGCAGACGACTTACCTCGACCGGAGCGAGTTCGCCGCGCGCTGCCGCAAGGCGCTCGAGAGCCGCGGCGCGTCCATCGACAAGCAGGTCTTGGAAGCCATCCTGTCCGCGACGGACTACAGGTCCTTCGTGCGCATGATGAGCGACGCGCGGATGGTCGCGGACGCGAAGGCCGGCGCGCGGCCCGTCGAGTTCGACGACCGACCGGCGACGCCGCCGACGGCGCCGAGCTCGCCGCGGGAACGGGCGGAGGGGAAGGACGCGAAATAAACTAAGCGAGAGCTGGAGCCGCCCAAGATAGATAGGCGGGGTGCGTCGCCTAATGCGCCAGAGAGAGAGCTCTGGATACCCAATGTGTTAGCGAAATCCGCTCGCGCTCTCGACGGTCCACGTGTCGCCGGACGAGGGCTCCGCGAAGCGCAGCGCCTTCGCGTGGAGGTGGAGCCGGCTTCCCTCGGCGTCGGCGCCGTAGATGTCGTCTCCTAGGATCGGGTGGCCGATGGCGGCGCAGTGCGCGCGGAGCTGGTGGAGCCGGCCCGTGTGGGGCTCGAGCTCCAGCGTCGTCGTGTCGGCTCCGCGGTCGACGACGGCGAACGTCGTCCGGCAGGGCTTGCCGTCGGCGCAGGGCACCATGCGCGAGAGCCCGGCCCGCGCGGCGTCTCGTCGCTCGAGGGCGACGTCGATCTCGCCAAAGTCGTCGACGACGCGGCCCCGCACGACGGCCTCGTACGTCTTCCGCACCGTGCGGTCGCGCCACTGCCGGGCGAGCACGGACGCCGCGTCGCTATCGAGCGCGAGCGCCAGCGCGCCGGATGTCGACGCGTCGAGGCGGTGCACGGGCCGCGCGTCGCCGTGGACGAGCCGCGCGCGGCGGAGCGCGGAGTCCAACTCGACGACGCCGTCGGCCTCGTCCTTCGCCGCCACCGCATGCTGCATATCGCGCCAGGCGTCGGCCGCCGCGTCGTCGCTCAGCTTCGCGCGTCGCACCGCGAAGGCGAGGAACTTCTCGCGCGTCCGCGGCAGCATCGCGGCGTGTCGTCGCAGCGCCGGCGGCAACGCTTCGAGCGTGGTCGCGGCGGCGCACCAGCGCTCCTTGCGCGTGCCGCCGCCCGTGAAGGCCGGCGTCGAGCGCAGGCCCGCGGGCTTGTCGATGACGAGAACGCTCGGTGAGTGGGCCAGCACGCGCAGGCCCGTCACGCGCTCGAAGTCTTGCACGGATTTTTGCACGGGTGGTTGCGGCGCGGCTTGCAGAGCGCTCGCGCAATGCACGGCTTTTTGCACGGGTTGCTGCGGCGCGGCTTGCAGAGCGCTCGCGCAATGCAGACTGCATGCCAGCAGCACAAATGGTCGCGCAAGCATCACGAACGTCGTGCGGTCATCATCGCCTTCGGCCTCTGACGAGGTGCACTTTAACGTCAAGGTGCGTCCGTTGAAGCATAGAATTTAAGAGGGAGACGGGCGCGTGCGGGGCCGGGGCCCCGCGCGCCTACCTCCGCGCGAGGGTGACGCCGGCGACGGCGGACGAGTCGCCCGGCGGCGCGACGTACTGCTCGTCGCCCGCGGCGACCTGGAGCGCCGTCTTGTTGCCGATCGCGTAGCCGAGCTCCGCGCAGTGGTCCCACTTGAAGTGGGCGTAGACGTAGGGCATCGTGTCGTAGAGCGGCGACGACATGTTCAAAAAGTCGGCGTTCGTGTACTCGCCGGCCTTGAGGCCGAGCTGCGGCAGGTCGTACTCCAAGAAGTCGTCCGCCGCGTGGCCGGTGACGTTGTCGACGTTGCTGCCGTAGGTGCCCCAGTAGTACTCGGTCTCGGGCCAGTCCATGTCGGAGAGCGTGCCGGCGATGACCTTCCACTGGAAGAGGCGGTCGACCGTCGGGTGGATGGGCCAGAACGAGATGTCGTTGGGGCTCGACGCCTCGAGCTGGTCGCCGAGCACGTTCAGCCCCGCGCCGCAAATCAAACTCAGCGCCGTGACGCGGTCGTCGAAGCTCCGGTCGCTGAGCAGGCCCCAGAAGTCGACGAGGCCCAGGTACTCCTCGAGCATCGCCGTGTTGTTCTCCGCGACGTACGTATCCAGATTCTTGCACGACGCCGCGCAGTCCTTGAAGGACGTCTCCGGCGCGCAGTCCCTGGGCATCTCTAAATACCCGCTGCGGAACATGTCCTTCAGGCCGTTGAAGACCACGGACCGGAAGCGGTTCGCCGTCGTCGCGTTCAACCCCAACGTCGCCTCGAGCCGGTCGAACTCGCCGCCGCACTCGAAGGTGCCGCCGATGAGGGCGTGGATGCTGCCGTGGGGCGAGTAGGGCGCGACGCGCAGAAAGTCCTTCAGGGACCGCTTCTCCGACTCGAGGGCCCACATGACGTCGCACGTCGGGTACTGCCAGTAGTCGAACTGGTACTCCTCGTGCGTCGCGCCGCACATCGTCGACGACCGCGTGAGGAACTGGACGGGGTTGTTGTTCCAGGGCGCGCGCAGGTAGCCGTAGGAGTTGCGCGTCTCGCCGTCGCCCGCCTTCAACGTCGGCGTGTACGCCCAGCGGCCGTCGGCGACGACGTAGGCCTTGCCCGACGCGTTGCCCGGCGTCTCGGCGATCTTGTGCTTCGACGAGCCGAGGTGCTTGTAGTTGCCGACGGCGCCGAACCACGTCGACGTCCAGAGCTCGTTCGAGGCCGCGTCGACGAAGGCGCCGAAGTCGCCGTCGTGGTCCCGCGCGACGCGCTCCACGTCGATGGAGTAGTCCCAGTACGGCAGCGCGACGGAGGCGTCGACGGCCTGCAGCGACGCCTCGAAGCTCAGGGACAGCGCGCTGTGCTGCGTCACGAAGCCGCAGCCGTCGTGCATGTGGTCGCAGCACGCGTCCCCCGCCAACCGCGCGTGCGTCGCCACGAACGTGGCGATGGGCGCGTAGTGGTCCCCGTACAGGTGGGCCCCCTCGGTGGCGCCGACGCGCCAGAGCACGGCCGCCGCGTCGAGGAACGCCTCCCGGTCCGCGACGGACAGCTCCCGGAGCTCGCGCCGCACGTACTTGCAGACGACCGCGACGCCCTGGGAGCTCGCGCCCTCCTCGTCGGGCAGATCCGACCCCTCGTCGCTCTTCGTCTCCATGGCGACGACCGCGTGGGGGCCCAGCGTCGTGAAGACGTGCGTGAAGACGCCGCCGCCCATTAAAGACGAGGTCTGGACGCCGTCCACGGACCAGGAAAACAGCGTCATGTCGCTCACGCACTGGGACTCGCCCATGCGGCCCTGCTGCGTCCGCTTGAGGGCGCAGGCGCGGAAGTGGTGCTCCTTGTGCGGCTCGACGACCGCCGCGTAGCCCCTCTCCGCGAGCCACGGGTAGTCCGTCCCCGCGGCGCCGAGGGCGTCGGTGTAGCCGTTCCAGGTGAAGACCTTCATGAACTGCTTCTGCTGCATCTTCTGCGTGTTCTTCACGGCCGCGAGCGTCGTCGTCGCCGCGTCGCGGCCCGCGGCGGCGACGAGCGCCGCGCCGCAGACGAGGGCCGACACGGCGGCGCCGACGCGCAGGTACTGGCGGGCCGGCGACGACGTCGCCCGGTCCTCGTCGCGGCCGTGCGACGACGCCGACGAGGCCGCCGCGCCCCCGGGCACGGCCTCGTACATCGTGGGCTGCCTCACTCTATCGGCTGCCTCACTCAATTTCGTATCATTTTGTATCATTTCGAGGCGGGGGCGCGCCGCCGCGGCCGCGGCCGCGCGGCCGATGACACGCGTGTGTTCGTTAGTCTTTGGGCTGGAGTGGGGTTGGCTGTCGGCGAGTGGTCGCGGTTGGGCGTGCGTTGAGTGGGCGCGTATGTGGAGCCATACGGGCGTCCGGGAGGCGTCGAGAGGGCCGGGAGCTTGCCAAATTCACAAAATTCAGCTGACGCTCGCCGTCTGCGCGACACCTGGAGGTCGACGACTCGTCGCGTCTTGACCACTCGAACACGCCTCAACATGCGGTCCGCCCTCCTCCTCCTCGCCCTCGCCGCCGCCGCCGAGGGCCGCAAGGCCGACTATCAGGGCACCGGCAAGCTTGACAAGGGCACCGGCACGCCTCGCCCTCCTGCTCCCGCTCCTCGCCCCGCCGCCGCCGCCGAGCGCGTCGAGCGCACCGCGGCCGAGGCGAAGAACGCCTACCTCGAATTCAAGGAGAACCGGAAGCGCGACCGCGCGGAGTTTCGTCTCCGCGGCGCGGACGCCGGCCCGATCCGCCTGGAAGGCGATCGTCCCGAAGACGCGAGCGCCGAAGACCGCCGCCCTCCGGGAAAGCTCGACGAACGGCACCGCGAGCACGCCGACCGCGCCGCGACGCGCAGGGCGGAGGAGGACATCATGTACGCCTGGTGGTGCGAGGAGAAGGGCCACGCGGACACGGTCACGTGCCTGAACCACGAGATGCGCGAACTCGCCCTGAAACTCCGGCCGGACGCCGAGAACGGCGAGTGGTCCGTCGGCGACGAGGACCGCGAGAAGCTCCGCGAGATGCGCAAGGCGATCCACGACAAGCGCCACGAAGCGCGCGACGCCCAGGCCGGCGACCGCCAGATGCACCACATCAACGAGGACTTCGAGATGCGCGACGACTTCTGCGACCACAAGCAGTTCCGCGACTTCGCGCTCTGCACCAAGTGGGCGAGCGGCAAGAAGCTCAGGAACGAGCGCAAGGAGCGCCTCGGCAACATGATCTAGGCGGCGCGAAAGGAACGCCTTGGCAACATGATCTAGGCGTGCGACGTCGCGCGCGCGGCGCGGAGGAGTAACGGGCTCTTCTCGCGCGGGGTTGCGAGGGGCGACGCTCTCGAAGGGGGGAGCTATGGCGACGCCTCTCGTACGGGCCCTCCTTGCTCCAGGGTGGATTCGGACTCGGCGGCCTACTCGACGCTATACTGTATACTCGCCGACCTGGGAGGCGTCTGGAGCCCTGCGCTGGACAGCCGTCGGGAGTCAAGCGGGGACGGTGCAGCGCTGCGGCGAAATTTGGTGAAGGCGACGGCCTCCACATGTGCGTCACAAATGGAGGCGGCGATCGAACGAGAGCTCGAGGCCCTCGCGCGTCGCCGCGCGCCGCTCGCGACGACGACGCACGCAATTTTTGAGCCCTTAAGCGCACACTGTGTGGACTTGCTCCAGGTCTTTGAGAAGTGCGAGAACAGGGGCGAGAGGGACATCTCGCCGTCGCCGCTCGTCAAGGAGGTGAGCCGCGCCGACGACGAGGGCATCGAGCTCGAGGACGGCGCCGTCGACTGGGTCTGCTGCGACGCGTGCTCGAAGTGGCGGAAGGTGTCGCGCCGCGTCTTCAGCGCGCTCGCCGAGGGCGCGTCCTGGACCTGCGCCGACAACGCGGACCCGGCGCGCAATAACTGCGGCGCGCCCGAGGAGGTTTGGGACGAGCCTGCGCACGCCCGGGTCTGCTCTCCTTCGGGCCCGGAATTCCGGTTGCACCTTGGGATGCACCTTGGGGCGGCCATGCCTGCGCGAGCCGCGCCGGTCGAGAGCAGCAAGGCGTCTGTCGTCGTCGACAGCGGCTGCCTGCTGCAGCTCTCGACGATCCCGATGCGCCCCGTGCCCTCGTACTGCGCGCTGGTCAACTTCGGTCCGCGAGCGCTCCCCCGCGTGGGGGCCCACTGCGTCATGTGCGGCCGGGAGGGCGTCCTCATGCCGAAGCAGAACAAGGACGTCTGCCGCGAGTGCGACAAGGCGACGTGGAAGCACGCGGCGACGGGCTGCTACTTCAAGTGGTGCAAGGGCTGCAAAAACTTCCACGCCATCGACGCCTTCGCGGAAGCCTTCGCTGACATGCGCAACGCCTCCAAGTGCGACAAGTGCCGAAGACGCAGCCGCAACTGCTATAAGCGCGGCAAGGACGCGCCGCCGGAGCAGGCGACCTCCAAAACCCTCGCGTACGTTTCCACGCTCTTCCGCCGCCACGCCGCCGGCGACCCGGAGGCAACGCTCGAGAACACGCCGTCGACCAAGGCGAGCAAGCACGTCGGCGTCGTCATGACCAAGGCCGAGATCCGCCGCGCGGAAGCGCTCCGGGGCCTCGCCGATGACGGCACCGCGGCCGGAGACGACGAGCTTCCCGGAGACGCGCTCTCGCCTCTAGAGACCGCACCTTTGGGCCGGCCGGCGACAACGCCGCTGCCCACGCCCCTGGGCCTGCGACCGCCGCCGCCGCCGACGAGGAAGCGCCGCCGAGACGCGGCGGCCCGCGACGCGGCGGCGGCCCGCGACGCGGCGGCGGCGGCCCGCGAGGCGCCGCCGCGCGGAAGCGCTCCGGGGCCTCGCCGATGACGGCACCGCGGCCGGAGACGACGAGCTTCCCGGAGACGCGCTCTCGCCTCTAGAGACCGCACCTTTGGGCCGGCCGGCGACAACGCCGCTGCCCACGCCCCTGGGCCTGCGACCGCCGCCGCCGCCGACGAGGAAGCGCCGCCGAGACGCGGCGGCCCGCGACGCGGCGGCGGCCCGCGACGCGGCGGCGGCGGCCCGCGAGGCGGCGGCCCGCGGCGACGTGGCGGCGGCCCGCGACGCGGCGGCCCGCGCCGCGGCGCCCTTCGGCGACGCGGCCCGCGACGCGGCGGCGGCGGCGTTCGACGCCGTGATGGCGCTGTTCGCGACGGCGGCGGTCTGCCCCGCGACGGTGCTGCACGCGACGGCGGCGGCAGCGGAGGCGGCGTGCGACGAGGCGCCGCCCCACCAGCAGCGGCTTGGGGAGCCGGGGCGCTTCGACGACGCGGAGCACCGCCGCTTCCTCGTCGGCATCAAGCTCTTTGGGAGTTCGTGGGCTATTGTCCAGCATTTCGTCGGCTCCAAGAACGCCAAGCAGCTGCGCTCCCGCTGGCAGAAGTTCTCCAAGAAGGGCTCGGCCGAGGTCGCGGCGGCCATGGCCTACGCCGAAGCCGCGGCCGCGGTCCGCGCGAGCCTCACGCCGACCGGGAGCAAGGCGGGCGCTTCGAGCGACGCCGCGGGATTGAAGGCGGTTGCCGACGAGGCCGTCGAGGTCCACCGCGCCTACAACCCGGCCTTCGCCGTCGACACCTACGCGCTCGCGCACGGCGCCGTCGCCGCGCGCGACGCGCCCGCGTCGCCGCCGGCCGCGCCCGCCGGCGCCGAGGTCGAAGGGAGTTAGCCGCGGCCGCGGCACAAGGAGGAATAGAAGGGAGGGAAGACGGCGAGAACAGGCGTAGGGAGAGCCACAGGAAGGCACGAGTAGGGCGGAGAGACGTGCGGAGGCGTACGGAGGCTGACGCCTCATTTGTTCACATCACACACACAAATCACAAAATTGATTCGAGGCTTCCGTACGCCCTGATCTTGCAGAGCACTCTGGAGTGCCGTAGAGATCCCCGAAGAAATCACGCGACGGGTGTGCGCGCCTAGGGTGCCTTTACCTGACTCCAACCCCTCTCAGTTCGTCTACGAGCTCCCCGACCGACAATGTGCGACTGGCTCGAAGGGCTCGCATCGTTTGGGGAGAAACCTCAGATCCCATGTCGACCGGCGTGCGGCGCGCCGGTCCCGGCGACACACCACGCCGCCTCCGCGCCCGCGCCCGCCGCCGTCGCCGCCATCGATACGTCGACGCTCATCAAAGAGCTGGAGCGCCGCGCGGCGCTCGTCGACGCGACTCCCGACGACGCGTCGCGGCCGCGCGACCGCCTCGCGCTGCTCGCGGAGCTGTCGCAAAACCTGCCCGCCGGGGCGCCGCCCGCGAGTTCGCCCGCCCGGCCGCCCGCGAGTTCGACGAAGCCGCGCGCCGCGGAGGCCGAGGACATCAAGAAGATGCGCAACGACCGCCGCGAGAAAAAAAATTACCGCTCAAAGTCCCTCTCCCCGCCGCGCCGCGCGATCGCGGACGACTACGCCGCGGTCTCGGCCGCGCGAGACGGGAAGCCCATGCCCGCGCCGCGGAAGCGGCAGGCGGACCTCGCGGCGCCCCGCACGATCGCGGACGCCGCGGACGACGACGCCGCGGTCTCGGCCGCGCGGGACGGGGAGCCCATGCCCGCGCCGCCGCGGAAGCGGACGGCGGACCCCTCGGCGCCGCGCACGATCGCGGACGCCGCGGACGACTACGCCGCGGTGTCGGCCGCGGCGCGGGACGGCAAGTACACGCACCCGCCGCCGCCGCCGCCGCGGAAGCGGTCCCACCACGAGGCGGGCGAGGCGCCGCCGCGCGGCGGCAAGTGGACCGAGGCCGAGGAGCGCTACGCGGCGCTCATCGTCGCCCGCTTCTCCGACGGCACGTTCCCGGGGCTGCGCGGCGGCGAGTCGCTGCGGAACCTGCTCGCGGACCTGCTCCAGTGCACGGGCATGCGCGTCACGAAGAAGTACAGCCGGACGCGCCTGCTGCGCAAGACGGCCTTCGTCCGCGCGGGCGAGCTCGGCGCCGACGGCGTCGAGGCGCTCGAGAGCGCGCGCGCCGCGTTCCTCGCGGACGAGCCCCAGTACTGCCCCGCGTCGCGCGCCGCCCGCGACGCGGAGGTCTCCGGCGCCGCGGCGCCGACGCCGGCGCCCGCGGACCCCGCGCCGCCGGACAACGCGGGCGCGACGGCGGGCGAGGACGAGGACGAGGCGCCGGGCGAGGACGCCGCCGAGGCGCCGGGCGAGGACTGCGCCGAGGCGCCGGGCGAGGACGCCGCGCCGGCGCCGGCCGCGGGCGCGCTGCGCCGGGGCAAGTGGACCAAGCCCGAGGAGCACTACGCGGCGCTGGTCATCGACCACTTCGCCACGGGCAAGCTGCCGGGCCTGACCGGCGGCGAGTCGCTCCGCCTGGTGCTCTCCGACCTGCTGCGGTGCACGCGGATGCGCGTCACGAAAAAGCTCTCGCAGACCAAAATCCTCCGGAAATCCTGCTTCTGGCCCCTGGGCGAGCTCACGGCCGAGGAGCACGCCGAGCTCGACGCCGCGCGGGACCAGTTCATCGCGGCCGAGCCCCACTACCGGCGCGCCCGAGCCCCACTCGACGGCGCGCGGGAGCCGCCGGCGCCGGAGCCCGCGGCGAAACCGCCCGCGCCGGCGACGGTGTCGCCGGAGTCGCCGGACCCGATCGCGCCGGCCGCGGCCGCGCCGGTGCACTCCGGAGATTAAATGCCTGGAGGTTCGATCTTTAGAGGGTGCCATGTGCCGTTTCGAGGTGGTCGCGTCGAGAGGGCCTCTCAGAGTGAGCGAGCGACCCAGTGGATATTTTGCTCGATCGATCGAGTCTCTCTGTTCTTACACGCTCCTCTCTATCACAATTCGCATCAGGCGCGGCGGCGCCGACGCGCGGATCGGGTCTGATTCGCACCATATCATCGATTCCGTATTATGGAGTGGCTCTCTCTCGACCCCTTCGGCCAGGAATGGCTTGATCTGCTGAAGGATCCGTGGAAACCGGTGCGAGAGGCGGCGGCGCGAAACGAGCCGAAGCTCAACCGGGCGCTCCAGCAGCTCGCGGACCATAACGCGTCGGGGCTGAACGACCCCTTCCCCGCGGGGCCGAAGCCGCGCGCGCGGCGCCGCGCCGCCGCGTTCGGCGGCCCCTCGAGCGACGACGACCGCGGCCTTTCGAGCGACGAAGAATACGAACCCAAGCGGCGCAAGCAGCACCGCGCGCGTGAGCCCCGCGGCGACGACGCGACGTCGAGCCCGGGATGCCGCGGAGCGCGGCGCGTGCGCTGCGGCGCCTGCGAGGCGTGCACCGCACCGGAGTGCGGCGCGTGCGGCCCCTGCAAGGACCTGCGGAAGAACGGCGGGCCGGGCCTCATGAAGGCCGTCTGCATCAAGCGGCGCTGCTTAGTCCTCCGCGCGCCGGTCGAGCCGCGCGAGCCGGCCGAGCCGCGCGAGCCGAAACGCCGCGGGCGCTGCGGCGTCTGCGAGGCCTGCGCGGCGCCGGAGTGCGGCAAATGCGGCCCCTGCTTGGACCGGCGGAAGAACGGCGGGCCAGGCATCATGAAGGTGGCGTGCGTCGAGCGGCGCTGCGTGGTCCTCCACGAGGACTCGGGCCGGCCGCGCGAGCCGCGGACGGAAGTGGAACTCCGGGAGGACGATATTCCGGTCATCCCATTTCGCGTGACGACGACTCCCCGCATGATGGTGTCTCAGATCCCCGGGGAGACGGACGGCAAGGCCGCGCCCCAAACCGGGAGCCAGCCGAGGCCCAGATTCGCGCCCCGCAAGATCGCGAGCGACCTGAAAGAGCAGGCGACCTCCAAAACCCTCGCGTACGTCTCCGCGCTCTTCCGCCGCCACGCCGCCGGCGACCCGAAGGCGACGCTGAAAAAGCAAGGTTTTCAGCCCCGGCGCTCGAACAAGCAGCGCGAGGTGGCGACCATCCGCGTGCCGCCGCCGCCGCCGCTGCCGTCGCCGCTGCCGCCGCCAAGGCGCGAGGTGAGGATCATCCGCGTGCCGCCGCCGCCGCCGCCGCCGCACGAGGCGTCCGTCACCAAGTGCCTACCGCTCGAGGAGCCGGCAATCGACGACTACTCCGCGGCGGCGGCGCCCGCGCGGCCAGCAAACGTCATCGGCCCGCCCCTCGATTTCCCCCACGCTTCGGACGAGTCCTCGGACGACTACGCCGCGGCGGCGGCCGCCGCTCATCCTTCGTTTAAGATGGCATAGACCGGTCGTCTTCGGACGAGTATCGGCTCCTGAGGCCTCTCCTGTCGTCCGATGCGCTCCGTCCAGGGAGGACAGCCATTTCGCGAACGCGTGGAGCTCCTGCCACAAGAAGTCGCCGCGCGCCGCGACGCCTCGTCCTCGCCCAAGCCGGCCGCGCCAGGTCGATCCTCGTCCGTGATCTCCCGAACGCGTCCACAGCGCTTCACCTATCGTACCTCGACGTGACCGGTCGCCGGACGCCCAAAAAAAACTCCCAAGATGCGCCTCGCCCTGCTCCTCGTCGCGTCGGCCCTCGTCGCCGGGAAGAAGACGCGCCGGGAGAAGAAGCCCAAGCGCCCCCACGCGGGGCGGCAGCACGACCCCGGCCCCAAGGACCCGCGCTTCGCGCCCGAGGAGGAGCGGTTCCGCCCGAAAAAGCCGGACGAGGCGCCGAGCCCCGAGGAGATCAAGAAGATGCGCGACGCGCGCCGGGACAAGGACCGCGCCAGGGACCGGGCGGGCCATTCGAAGCACTCCGCGGAGCAGCACCGCGCGGAGGACAAGCGCATGCACGAGATGTGGTGCGTCGGTGACCGCGTCGACAGCATCACGTGCGTGCAGCACGAGATGCGCATGCTCCACCGCTCCATCCCCGAGACGAGCAAGCCCGAGGACCCGCCCGAGGACCGCGCGGAGAAGGCGCGGGTCCACCGCGAGCGCACCAAGGCGGAGCGCGCGCGGCTCCACGAGAAGCGGCAGGCGATCAAGGCCGCGCAGGCGGGCGACGCGAAGGACGTCGCCCGCGACGAGGACTTCGCCATGCGCGAGGCCTTCTGCGCGGACAACGCCGAGACGAAGCTCTGCTCCGTCTGGGCCAAAACGAAGAAGGCGCGCGCCGAGCGCGAGGCGAAGACCGCGGACGCGCTCTGACGAGGGTGCTGTGGAAAGGGGGCCGGGCGCGCCGCGGCGTCTTAAGTGAAGATCGAGCGTATCCTTTCGTGCGCGATGAGCGGGGGAGAAGGGTGTTATGACCGACTGGGAGGCTGTTGAGGCGTTTCGGCGAGCGCAAAACCAGCCACAAATCTTGAGCGCACTCTCTCTGTGCATAGGCACTCGAGAGCCATCAAAATGCGCACCCTCCTCCTCGGCATCCTCGCCGTCGCGAACGCCAAAAACGTGCGCGGCACGCGCGAGACGTCGCGGGAGGAGCACGACAAGGAGGAGGCCCTCATGTACGACTGGTGGTGCGATACCATGGGCCACGGCGACAGCTCCATTGCCTGCATCACGCGCGAGATGCGCGAGATCACGAGGCGGGCCCACCGCAACATGACCCGCATCACGACCATCGACGACGACGACATGAAGCGCCGGCCCGAGGCGGAGCAGCAGGACCGCCGCGACGCGATGGCTCGAGCGTTCCGCGACCAGATGCGCGAGGGCCGGCGCCGCACCCATTTTCGAGAGACGTCGGGTGACGCGACGCCGACGCCTCATCACTTCGTAGGCGACGAGCGCCGGGCGCTCCACGACAAGCGCGACGCCGCGCGCGCGGCGCTCGCGGGAAGCCCGAGAGACCACAAGGACGACGAGCAGTTCGCCATGCGCGACGGCTTCTGCGAGCTACCCGAGAGCAAGGCACTGTCGATCTGCGAGGAGTGGCAGGAGCGGAAGAAGGTTAAGGCCGAGCGCGCCGCGCGCATGGACATGGGCCGCCGCCGCGCATGAGCGACCCGCCACTCCCCTAGCCCTTCCCTTCGATTCCTCCCTCCCTTCGATTCCTCCCTACGCCACGGGCGAGGTCCACTGAGTCGCGGGGACGACATACGCCGGCGCGGCGACGGCGAGCTGTCTCGCGTCGTTCGGTGGCTACCCGGGACGAAGCCGCGCTCTCGTGAACAAAGCAAGTTAAGCCACACGATTAGCCCGTCCACCGCGTCGGCGGCACGGGGGCGCCGAGCGGCGGCGGCGGGCCGTCGGCGTCGTTCGCGCCGTGGGACCACACGTGGACGTCCGCGCGGCAGTTCGTGTAGAGCGTGACCGCGAACGCGACGTGGCGCGCCGCGAGGAAGTCGGACACGTCGAGCGCGCGCGGCTCGTAGTTGAGGTCGTCCGAAAAGAAGTCGGCCATGATCGCAAGGGCGTGCGAAGTCATCGAGGTCCGGCACCCGTAGCGCAGGCTGCCGCCCTCGAGCCGGAGGCGGAGGACCGCCGCTCCCAACTGTGCCTCGGGCCAGTCCGTGCGCAGCGGCCGCCGCGTCGCCGGGTCCAGGTAGCGCTCGATGGAATCGCGGCCCTTCTCGCGCGCGATCCAGTGGCCCGAGAACGAGTTCCAGCCGACGCCCGGCAGCGCCGCCGCCAGGCGCCGCGGCGACGCCAGGGACGGGTAGGGCGCGGGCTCCGGGGCGTCGTCGACGGCGACGAGGCCCACTGTCGCGTATGTGTTAGCAAAGTTGGATATGACGAAGGCCGCGACGTCGACGCCGCCGCGGCCGACGGGGCCGCCGATGACCAGGGTCCGGCATTCGAAGGGCTTCAGGCTCCGATGCCGGAACGACACGCTGTGCCCGTGGTAATTCGTGCAGCCGGGAGGCGGTGCGTCCTCGGAGGCGACCGTCGCGCATTCGAGGAAGCGCCACGCGGCGGCTCGGCGGCGGCGCGAGAGCGCGAGGTTGCGCGGGCTCGTCTTCGGCGCCGCGAAGGCCTCGGCCGCGCGAGCGAGCTTCTTCGCCGCGATGGCTACGCCGAAGAGGTCCCGCGTCGAGTCCGCGAGGCGGTTCGCCGCGGCCGGGCTCCGCGTCGTCCCGCTGTGCCCGCTGAGGAACGCCAGGGTCGTCATCAAGCAGTCGTTCGGCATCCGGACGAGCGCGTTGTGCGGCGCGCGATGCCGCTTCGCGACGCGCGTTTCCGCCGCGCCCTCGGACAGCGGGCGCTTCTTGCGTCGCTTCGCGTCGCGATCCGGCGCATCGGAGGCCACGCTCGGGACGAGCGGCGCGTCTGCGCGCGCCATCAGAGAGCGTCTGTGAGAGCGCCTCTCGAGCAGGACAACGTTGCTCTGCACGTTTACCTTCTGGCGCGTTCGAGACGACGTCGCCTTCGGAGTCTGGGCCCCTGCGAACAATCTATCGTGGCCTCGACGACCGGCAGCGCGTCGCCCTTGGTCCTCACACCACTCACACCCACCACAAACCGCCGGCGCATGGCGCGAACTCGCGACCGCCTCACGTCGCTCCCCGACGGCGTCCTCGCGACCTGCGTCGCCTTCCTCGGCTACGCGGGCGTCCCGCGCTTCGCCGCCGTCTCAAAACACACGAACGCCCTCACGAAGGGCCCGCTCTGCTGGCGCCTCTTCCTCGAGGACGAGTACGCCGCCGCACAGTCGGCGGAGCGGTCCATGGCGCGGCTCCGGACGCGCGCGTCGCTGCGGTGGGGCGGCGGCACGCGGCGCGCGCGCGCGCGGCGCGAGCGCGCGGAGGCGCACCTCGACGCCGCGTCCGACGGCGCGGGCTGGGAGGCGGCCTTCCGCGACCTCGTCGGCGAGCGGCGCAGCGAGGCGCGGAGCCTCCGGCGGCGCCTCGCGCTCCTCGACCACGTCGTGGGCTGCGACGCGCCGGCGACGTGCGCCGTCGAACGCTGCGGCAAGCTGAAGCTGCTCATCGCCCACGGCGCCTCCTGCGACGCGCGGCCCCGGGCCTGCACGATGTGCGACCGGCTCTGGCAGCTGCTGCGCCAGCACTCGGAGCGGTGCCGGTCCGGGCCGTCGTGCCTCGTGCCGGCCTGCGGCCAGTTCAAGGACCTGCGGCGCAAGGCCGAGTTCTCGCCCGCGCTCCGCTACGTCATCGCGCGCCTCGAGCGGCGCGCGGCGGCGGAGAGCGCCTTCGCGAGCCTGCGGCGCCACCGGACGCCGGCGGACGCGCTCCGGCGCTTGGTCGAGCGCCGCGGCCGCCGGGACGCGCTCCGCCGGCTCCGCGCGGCCGCGAGCCGCGGCGCCGCGCTCCGCGCGATGCGCGGCGTCCTCGTCAAGCACGCGCTCAAGGACTCCCTCGCGCGCTTCGCCTAGAGATCCTACCCGTCGGGGCAGCACCGCGCGAGCCGGTCGCCGCGGTCCTGGAGCCGCGCGACCTCGGCGACGAGCGCGGCCCAGTAGCAGAGCGCCGCGTCGGCGCCGAGCTCGCGCAGCGCGAACGCCTGGGACCGCCGCCCCACTTCGCGCGCGAACTCGTCGTGGCTTCTCAGGAACGCGACGGCGTCGGCGAGGTCGTCGACGGAGTCCGGCCGGTAGATCGTGACGTTCGGCTCCAGGCGGTCGTAGAAGAACTCCTCGTAGCGCACGTCGTCGCCGTAGCGGCGCCCGCCCTCGGGCTGGTTGTGGAGGCCGCCCGCGTGCTCCGGGAAGACGACGACGGAGCCGCACTTCAACAAATTCTTCAGCCGCCCGGAGCAGGCGCTGCCGTGCAGGTACAGGACGTACTTCGACACGCACTGCTGCGCCGGCGACACGGCGCGCGACTCCGCCATGTCGAGCGCGCCGGCGAACGCGGGGAACAGGTCCGGCCGGTTCTGGTAGTTCGCCGCGCGCGCGCGCTCGTACGAGCCGCCGCCGTGGAAGATCGTTCCGCGGAACCAGACGGCGTCGCTCCGGTTCGCCCAGGGCTTCGCGGCGCCGCGGATGCGCGCGCCGTGCGCCGTCGCGTTCTCCGGTTGCTGCGATCGACCGTCGCCGTCGGCCCAGAAGCTGCCCTCCGGCGCGAGCGCGCTCAGGCTGTCGTTCGACCGGCGGCACCAGGTCGCGAGCGGCGCGAGGACCTTGGGGTCGGCGGACGCGTTGTTGATCTGGTCCTTCGGCACGTGGTCCGACGTCGTGTAGTAGAAGGGTTGTCTCAGGAGCGGCACGTCGCAGTGGCGCGCGAGCGCGGCCTTCACGAAGTCGACGACGACCTCCGCGCGGCCGTGGTAGCCGCCGACGCCCTTCACGATGTTGTCTCCGTGGTGCCCCGAGATCGTCACGTAGCCGTCGAGCTTCGCGTTCGTCGCGCGGAGCTCGTCGCGGCGCCTCGAAGCCATGCCCGCCGTGATGCCGCTGTCGTGCCACGGCGCGAGGTCGCGGTCGATGCGGCCGAGCAGCTCGGGGTAGTCCGCGCGGCACTGGGCGACCGTGCGCGTGCAGAATTGTTTGGCATTCGCCGCGGCCGCGGCGAGGAGCAGGACGCGCATCACATCGCAAGCGGGCAGCCTCCTCTCTCCTATTTTTTTCTTGAATGTTCAACCATTCGATCTTGCCTCTAGAGCTCTTCCGAGAAGCTTGCCCAATCGAGTGTGTCAAGCTCGTGGTGCGCAGCTCGCCTCGATGAGCCTGCGGTGCCTGGGCCGCGCCCTGAAATATGTCAAATCCGTGGAATGGGCGGTGACCTCGACCGGTGGCGCCGCCATCGCCGCGCTGCAGGTCGTCCACCACAAACACTGTCCCGATCCCAACTGCGAGAACGAGGGCCACTGCCACATCCGCGTGCGGCGCGTCGACGGCACCTCGGGCGCCGAGTGGGTGCGCGCGAACGGGACGTTGGACCAGTGCCGCGAGAGCATCGGGCGCTGCTTCAAGGGCGTTCCGATCGACGTCTTCGACGAGATCTTCGAGGCCGACGAGCGCGGCCTCTCGCGGGAGTGTTTGGATTTGGTCGAGGCCGCGGCGGCGGCGCGGCACGGGGCGGTGGTGGGCGAGTGCGCCATCTGCATGGAAGATTTGGACGGCATGCAGGTCGTCGGCGGTTTCGCGAAGCTCCGCGTCTCGGTGCTACCCTGCGGCCACGCTTTCCACCTCTCCTGCTACAAGCAGTGGGCCCGGAAGCACACGACGTGCCCAGTGTGCCGTTCAGAGGTCACGTTGGAGGCGCTCCGCGCCGCAGCGGGGCCGGAGGCGTCGTCGGCGCCGCCCGCGAAGATGCCCGCGCTCGCGCCCGAGCCCTCGGCGGCGACGCCGCAGCCGAAGCGGAGCCGCTTCTGGCGCGGCAGCCGCCTGTCGACGATGCTCTCCTCGTCCCTGCCGCGCATCCGCACGACGCGCCGCCACGCGCGCCAATAGCCGCCGCGGCAGCGAGCCGCTAAATTTTTGTTTACGTTCAAGTTGACTCACTTGAAATTCGCGGAAAGCCGGGCTGCCCAGGCAGCATCCTCGTCGTCGGCATCCGCGTCGTCGGCTCCTCGTCGTCAGGCATCCTCGTCGTCGGCATCCGCGTCGTTGGCATCCTCGTCGTCAGGCATCCTCGTCGTCGTCATCCATTGCAATGGCCGGCATCCTCGTCGTCGGCCTCGGGCCCTGCGGCCTCGCGGCCGTCAAGGAGTGCGCGGCGAACGGCCTCGACGTCGTCGGCGTCGACGCCGCCGCGGAGATCGGCGGCGTGTTCCGCGCGCACGACGACGGCTGCTACGAGGGCCTGCACCTCACGACCTCGAACGTCATGATGGCCTTCGGCGACTTTCCCCCGAACGACGGCTGGATCAAGTACAGCACGAAGGACGAGTACGCCGCCTACCTGAAGCGCTACGTGGACACGTTCGACCTCGCGAAGCGCCTCGAACTGCGGACGAGAGTGATACGCGCGTCGCGGGACAACGGCGCCTGGAAGGTCGTGACGCTCTACAATAACTTCGACGTCACGCGCGACTTCGCGGGCCTCGTCGTCGCCACGGGCGCGAACGCGACGCCGAAAATGCCGACCTGCTTCGCGGGCTTCCAGGGAAACATCACCCACTCCAAGGACTACAAGGAGCGGTCGCGCTTCGCCGGCGCGCGCGTGCTCGTCGTCGGCGCGGGCGAGTCCGCGTCGGACGTCGCCGCGGAGATCGCCCGGGTCGCCGAAGCGACGACAATTTGGAGCCGGCGGCCCGTCGTCTTCGCGCCGCGGTTTCCGGAGCTCAACCTCACGGACCCGAATCACGACGAGTACGCGACGCTCCTCGATTCGAAGGCGCTCCGCGTCAACGACTTCCTCGAGTGGGCGACGACGGCGCGCGTCGGGTCCTTCTGGCCCGTCTGGGCCTACGGCGGCGCGCGCCAGCTCTTTTGGCGGCTCCTGCGCTCCGACGGACGCGCGCCGGCCCAGGCGCGCGAGATGGCCCGGGGCGCGCTCCTGGCGACGAACGGGCACGGGGTGCGCGCCTTCTGGCAGGCGGACCAGTCCCAGTGGGTGACGAAGAACGCGCGCGTCTGCAAGGCCATCGCGGAGGGATCGGTGCGCCACGTCGTCGCCGAATCGGTGGCATCGTGCTCGGGCTCCGAGGTCACGTTCTCCACGGGCGAGCGCGTCGCCGCGGACGCCATCGTCTGCTGCACGGGCTACGGCCTCGACTTCTCCTGGATCGCCGCGGACCTCGGCTGCGACGCCGCGCGGCCCCGCGAGCTCTACAAGCACTGCTTCCCGCCGAATTTCAAGGACGCGCCCGTCGCGTTCCTGGGCCTCGCGCGGGGCCACCAGGGCGGCATCCCCCAGTGCGGCGAGCTCCAGGCGCGCTACGCGGCGCTGCTCTTCGCCGGGAAGGCCGCGCTGCCGGAGGATTTTCGCGCGCGCGCGGCGGCCGAGGGCGCCGCGGAGCGCGAGTACTACGGCCGGTCGCCGAACCTGGAGGTGCTCGTGGATTTACCGTCCTACATGGAGAGCGTGGCGCGCCTCATCGGCTGCGAGCCGCGCGTGCCCTGGTGGCGGCCCGCGCTCTGCGTCAAGTTCCTCTTCTACCCCGCGTGGCCCTGCTGGTACCGGCTCCGCGGCCCGGGCGCGGACGAAGCGGCGGCCATGGCCGTCCTCGACGCGTTCCCGCTGGCCAAGTCCCTCAAGTTCACGCCGTTCCTGCCGCTCTTCCCCGTCTTCTGGGGCTTCCAGCGCGGCGTCAACGTCGCCGCGTTCCCCTTCGTCCGCGGGACCCCGGGGCCGCTCCGGCCCGGCTGGCTCGGCGCGACGTCGAAGCACTTCGTCCTCCACGGTAACGCGCTGCGCTTCGTGGACCTCGTGATGCCCTAACGACACGGTAAGGGGGTGAACATTAGAAGTCGGCCCAGGGGTCGACCTGGGGCTGGTCCGCGTCGGCGAGGGGCGCCGGCGGCTCGCCCGTGTCGTGGAACCAGTCGAGGTACCCCTCGTCCGGCGAGAAGGGCGGCGGGTTCGCGATGAGGGACGCCTTCCAGATCGCCGCGCCGAAGCCCGGCACGGCCTCCGCGGCCCGCCGCCGCGCGTCGGGCGCGCGCTTGTTCAACAGCGCGCGCACGATGGCGCCGACGATGGGCGCCTCGAAGGCCGGCAGGTCCGGCTCGGAGCCCGTGATCAGCCCCGCGAGCTCGAAGGGGTTCTCCGCGCGGAACGGCGGCCGTCCCGACGCGAGCTCGCAGAGCAGGACGCCCAGGGCCCAGAAGTCGACGCCCGGCCCGTGGCCCACCTTGGAGACCATCTCCGGCGCCATGCAGTGGGGCGTGCCGCAGTAGGTGAAATGGATCTTCGGGTCGTCGGGGTCGAACTTCGCGGCGGCGCCGAAATCCACTAAAATCGCGCGGCCCTTGTCGTTCAACACGACGTTCGACGCCTTGACGTCGCGGTGGATGACCCCCCACTCGTGGCAGTGGGCGAGCGCGTCGGCGACGTTCGCCGCGTAGTACGTCGCCGTCGCGCAGTCGAGGCGCCCCCGCCGCCGCACGTGCCGGTAGAGCGGCCCGCCGAGCGCCGCGGTCATCGCAACGAAGACGTGGGCGTCCGTCTTCGCCGTCTTCACCAACGCCGCGACGTGGGGGTGGTCCAGCGTCCGCATGGCGTCGCGCTCCGCGACGATCGCGGGCGGGTTGCAGAATTGGAGGTCGTACTTTTTCACGACGACGGCGGCGTCGTCGTCGCTCCGCCGGCAGAGCAGGACCGTGCCGCTCCGCTTCGCCGACAGCGTGAGGCAGTGGCTGAAGGTGCCCAGCGCCTCCGGCAGGTCGAAGGCGCCCGTCCTCGGCGGTCCGCGGGGCCGCGCCTCGGGCACGGCGGGCACCGCGGCCGGCGCGGCGTCGGGCGACGACGGCGCCGGCGCCGTCGCGACGTGGGACGTGACGACGGTCGTCACGCGCGTGTCGTCCTCGCGCACGGACACGGCCCCGCGGTCGTTCTCCATCTCCGCCGGCGCCGACTGCGACCGGAGCCGCTGCGCCGGCAGCACCGCCACCGGCCGCCACTCGCAGCCCGCGAGCGGGAGCGGGAGTGGGCAGCCCCCGCGCCCGCGGCGCTCCAGCGAAGGGCTCGCCGTCGTGGCGTCCGGAGGTCCTCGGAACGGGCGACGGGCAAGCAACGTTGTGCGAGGTTCGAACGAGGCGAAGAGCTTCGGACTTGTCAATAGCGCGCTCCACGGCACCTTTCCTGCAAGCTCGCCTTTGCAAATCCAAGTTTGATTCGCAGCGCGCTTTAGCCAGCAGTCAAAGCCCAACCACTCGCGATCATGGTGCGCGCCGCGCGCCCCGCCACGCCGCGCCCGCCGCCGCTCCCCGCCGCCCGCCCGCTCCCGCCGCTCTCCCCGCCCGCTCCCGCCCCCTCGCGCCCGGCGCCCGCCTTTTTCGGGGCCGGCGCCGGGCTGCCCGGGCTAAACAGTTCCGCTGGTAACGCCGGGCAGCCCCGCCGCCCCGGGCGCCCGCCGCGCCGCCCGCCCCGCCCCGGCCTCCGCCGCGCGCCGGACGCGCGCGCTCACCGCCTCGCCCCCCCTCGCAGCCCAAGCGTCCCACCAAAACCTACGAGCGCCCCGGCCTCTCCGAGGAGGAGATCGAGGAGATCCGCGAGGCCTTCAACCTCTTCGACACGGACGGCTCCGGCACGATCGACCCCAAGGAGCTCAAGGCGGCCATGCAGTCCCTCGGCTTCGAGGCCAAGAACCAGACCATCTACCAGATGATCGGCGACATCGACAAGGACAACTCGGGCTCCATCGACTTCGAGGAGTTCCTCGACATGATGACGGCGAAGATGTCCGACAAGGACACGCGCGAGGACATCCAGAAGGTCTTCAACCTCTTCGACGACGACCAGACCGGCCACATCACGCTCCGCAACCTCAAGCGGGTGGCCAAGGAGCTCGGCGAGACCATGTCCGACGCGGAGCTCATGGAGATGATCGAGCGCGCCGACACGGACCAGGACGGCGAGATCTCACCCGACGAGTTCTACGGCATCATGACCAAGAAGACCTTCACGTAAGCGGCCGCTGCCGACCCCCAGAGAGAACGCCCGGGCGACCAGAGGTGGCGACTCGCGTGATCTCTACCCACTAAGACTTCCAATGTACCAACTCGCGTACGCCACTTCCGAGGTACTAGATCGACGCAGCAGAGCGCGCCGCCGTGGAGGACGGGCTGCATCGCGAAGCCTCGGAGATCTTCCAAAGCCCGGCGGCCACCTCGGCACTTACCTCGGCGCGCCAAACAACGCGCGGCGTCAAACACACGGCGTAGGATTCGAGGAGCAAGCTGCCGCAGCATCGACCAAGACCTCTTGTTTTGGCGTACCTGAGCGTCTGGGCGCGGCGCCCCGCGGGACTAGCCGCGATGGTGTCGCACGCCGACGAGTACCCGTGCCTCGGCACGGAGGATAACGCGGAAATCTGGTGCAACTCGTCCCCGGGCATGGAGGCCATCGTCAACGTCTTCGGGGCCTACGTCCTCATCGGCTACGCCGCCGGGGCGCTCGTCTACTTTTGCCTCGTCACGGGCGACTGGGCGCGGGCGAACGCCTACGTGTTTTTGACGTTCACGGCGCTCTGCGTCTGGTCCCATCTGAAGACCATGCTCACGGACCCCGGCGCCGTGCCGCGCGACGCGATCGCCGCGACGGAGGACGACGCGAAGGTCGACGGGTTCTGCGCCAAGTGCGACCGGTACAAGCCGAGCAAGGCCTACCACTGCAGCAAGTGCAAGCGCTGCGTGTCGCGCATGGACCACCACTGCCCCTACACGAACAACTGCGTCGGCGCGAAGAACCAGAAGCACATGGTCCTGTTTTTGATCTACTGCAATGTGCAGGCCGTCTACGCGCTCGCGCTCGTCGCGTACTACGGCGGCTACCGGGGCTACCTCTACGACGAGGGCTGGCTCGCCCTCGTGCTGACGGCGCTGCTGGGCGTCGACGGCGGCATGACGCTGCTCTTCACGGGGACGATGTGCCGGCGCCAGGTCATCTCGATGCAGACGGGCATCGGCACGATCGACCGGCTGAAGCTCGCCAAGGGCAAGCCCATCGCGGGCGGGACGCCGATCCCGCTGTCGTCCATCTTCGGCCACACGGTCCTCTTCTGGCCCCTGCCGCTGGACCCGGACTTCCCGCCGGAGGTCGAGGCGGAGATTTTGGGCTTCCGCTGCCCGCGCGTCGCCGACGAGCACCGGGAGCCGCTCTGGAGGCCCGTGTCCCAGGAGACGGGCCTGCTCTCCGGCGAGGAGCGCAAGGAGCCCGCGTAAAAAAACAAGACAGTCCCTTAGTACCCGCTCCGGAAGTCGAGGCGGAGCCCGGGGAACGGGCGCGTGATGCCCGGCGTCCGCGACTTGCCGAGCGCGCACGCGTTGGGCCCGCAGGAGATGAAGGCGACGTCGTCGGGCAGTGGGAATCGTCGTCGTGTCTCCGCGTCGAAGGTCGGCTGGGGGCCCCAGTAGGCCTCGTCCCACTTGGTCGTGATGAGGAGCTGGTCGATCCACGACGCGACGACGTCGCTCATGACGGCCTCGCCGTTCGTGTCGTCGAAGGCGGCGACGCGGCCCATGCTCAGGTCCTCCATGAAGTAGACGCCGCCGTCGCGCACGTGGCGCCAGAGCTCGCGGAAGCTCGCGAGGAGCAGCGAGTTCCTGTGGCCGCCGTCGTCGATGACGGCGTCGAAGGCTCCGCCGGCGTCGCGCGCCCAGCGCCGCAGGTCGTCGGCGTCGCCCTGGTCGCCCACGAGCACGCGCGTCGCGTTGTGCTTCAGCGGCGACGTTTCGTAGGCCGCGACGCAGGGCGCGTCGTACTCCGCGACCCACAGGTCCAGGCCCCGCGGGAAGAGCTCGTGCCAGACGTCCGCGGATTCTCCCGGCCCGTCGGGCATGCCGCAGCCCAGGCCGATCTCGAGGATCTTGGGCCTCGGCACGTGGGCTAGGACGGGGAGCAGGACCATGCCGAAGAGGCCGTTCATGCACGACGCGGCGCCGAACGTCGCGAAGGCGCCCTTGGATCGCCGCCGGCTCGCGACGGCGTCGCCCGCGGCGGCGACGCGGTCGACGCAGCCGGCGAAGGGCCCGCAGCCGTGCTTCGCCGGCGCGTGCGCATGCTGGCGCGGCTCGGCGCAGGCCGCGGCGAGCGCCGCGTAGGAGCTCTGCAGGCGCGCGTAGGATGCCTGCAGCCGTGCGATGGCATCCGTTTGTCGCGTCGTGGTGGCGTGGTGGTGCACGCCCAGCAAGACGAGCAAGGCTATGCACAGCGGCGTCGTCATGGCGGACGCGGTTGTTGACGCATTCGCGCTGCCCATGGGGCAGCAATGGTAGCCCGATTTCTCGTTCGTCCAGACTCAAGAAAACGCGCGCGTTGATGCTCACATTGAGGAAAAGTTGAAGCCGCGAGTGCGATGCGCAACGCAAAGCAATGTTCATGCCACAAGCGCTGCTGCTGCTGCTGCTCCTCGCAACCGCAGCCACCGCTCTCGTGCCGAAAGAGGGCCTCGTCCGCGGACGCGTGCACGTCGTCTCGAGCGACGACGCCAGCACGGCAACAACGCCGCCGGACGCGGTGCGCGTCGTCCTCGGCACGTCGGACGTCTCCGCCGGCGGCTGGGGCGACGGCGCGCACCCGAGCACGGCGCTCTGCCTCGAGTGGCTGTCGGGCATCGACTGGGCGCCCGGCGCGTCGTTTTTGGACTACGGCTGCGGCTCCGGCGTCCTGATGCTCGCCGCGCGGCGCCTCGGCTGCGCCGAGGCCCTGGGCGTCGACGTCGAGTACGAGGCCCTCGAGTCGTCGGAGGCGAACGCGGCCGCGACGGGCGTCGGCGGCGGCGTGCGCTTCGTCCACGGGCGCGCCGTCGTGCCGGGCGACGAGGCCTTCGACTACGTCTGCGCGAACATCCTCGTCGGCCAGCTCTCGCGGCCGTCGATGGTCGCGACGCTCGCGCTGGGCTGCAAGCCCGGCGGCGCGCTGTGCCTGTCGGGCGTGCGGCCGGAGCAGGCGGCCGTGCTGCGGCCGCTCTACGAACCCTACTTCGACGTCGACGCCGCGAGCTACGCGGAGCGCGCGCCGGACGCGCACGGCGCGGAATACTGGGGGACCTGGGCGCGCATGGTGCTGCGGCGCAGGGACGCCGACGATCGGCGCACGCTGCTCGACGCCGTGTCGGAAGGCGCCGTAAACTAGGCGTTCTCCGCGTGACCGAGGAGCCCTCGGGCGCCACGAACCATGTGGGTTTTGAAACCCTCGGGCGCCGCGACGAGCGAGTCGTTAGCCCCCCCGCTCGTCCTGCTTCAGGCTGCTCGCGCGGATCTGGTACGACTCCGTGACCAGCGTGGGCTTGCCGCCGCCGCCGCCGCGGCCGGATCGGTGCCGGCCGTGCCCCCCGCCGCCGCCGTGCCCGCCGTGGCTCCCGCCGTGCTCGCGCTGCCGCGTGGCCTTGTACTGCTCGAGCTCGCCGGCGTAGAGCGGCCCGTCGAGGTGCTCCCGGGGCGGCGGCGCGGGCACGGCGCGCGCCAGCTTCGGCGGCGGCGGCGCCGGCGGCGCCGGCTTCCGGTCCGCCGGCGGCACCTCGAAGCACCACGCGCTGTGGCAGTCGACCGCCGGGTCGGGCCGCGCGGCGTGCTTGACGAGGACGGACCAGGGCGGCCGCGTCGCGCGGAGCCGCAGCACCCACTCGCTCATGGACGACGAGCCCGTGGCGACGAAGTGGTGCGCGTTCGCGCAGACGACGGATTCGACGACGCCGCGCTCCGCGACGGAGATGCCGCGGACGGCGTCCGCGAAGTCGGACGTCGCCGTGCGCACGGAGTCGTAGCCGATGCCCCAGCCCTCGGGGACGCGCACGGTCATGAGGAAGAGGGGCCGGCTCCGGCGCATGGTGACGTTGCGGAGCTTGTTGATGCGGTATTTCGCGTGCTCGACGACGGCCGGGTAGAGCGCGTCGAAGTAGTCGCCCGTGCGCAGGTGCGCCGCGTCGTAGGCGCTGCCGAGCTTGTCGATGATCTGCTTCGCGCGCGCCACGAGGCGGCTGTTGACCGTCAGCACGTTGGGCGCGAGCTCGCGGTCGTTCTTCATCTTCGAGAGGACCCACCGCTTCGGCGACTTGAGGCTCATGTGGTACATGGTCTTGTCCTGGGGCACCTCGACGACCGTCCGCGTCGGCGGGTCCAGCAGGAAGTCCTCGCAGGCCTCCACGTCGAGGCAGGCCGCGGCGTCGCCGCGCGACGCCGCGGGCCACCGCTTCCGGTGGTCCTCGAAGTAGCGCTGCGACACCCAGGGCACCTTCAGCGACTCGCAGTTGAAGACGCGGCAGGTCTTCGTCGGGAAGGGGTCGCCGGAGTCGTGGGGCGGGATCGTGTCCGGCACGACGAGGGTCCGGTTCAGCAGGATGGCCATGAGGCGCGCGTTCTCCAGCGCGATGCGCTGGTTGTTGAGGCCCTCGGTCTCGTTGTAGGTGAGGTAGCGCTGGGCGCCGGGCCCGCGGCGCTCGTCGTGGGCGCCGTGGCTCCCGTGCCCCTTCCGCGCGTCCACCGCGCCGAGGGCGAGCCAGAGCAGAGGCCACCAACCCATCGTCGATGATGATTTTTTTTACGTGGGCAGCCCTTTTTTTTCCAAAGAGGTGCATTCTTCGGCCGCTCTTCTATTCCTGATAGGCTGCCATCTCTTCCCGCCGCGCGATGAAGGACGACGACGCGGCGCGGCCCATCAGCCCCTTCGCCGGCCATGCCATCGAGCGGTCCATGGTCGAGCTGCTGATGTACTTTTTCCTCGTCCCGGGCATCGTCTACTTCGTCGTCCTCCCGAGGCACTTCATCGAGAAGCACTGCGGCATGCTCGCGTCGAGCCTGCACGGCGACGACAGCTACGCCGCCTTGGACGGCGCCGACGAGGAGGCCGGCGCCGCCGCGCCGAAACGGCCCGCGCGCGCCTACTACATCGACCGGCTCCGCGTCGCGCTCTCGGCGCTCGTCGTCTGCCACCACGCCGTGCTCTCCTTCGACGGCAGCCCCGGCGCGGCGCGGCGTCTGTCGAGCGATTCGGGATATCGTCGATAATTGTAGGCTCCGTGGCCGCCCCGTGGGGCAGCGTCGTCGAGTACACGACGGCCCAGCCCCAGACGCCGATCTTCAGCCGGTCGATCAGCGCGATGTGGTTCCTGAATCTGAACCAGCTGTACTTCATGGGCCTGTTCTTCTTCATCAGCGGCTACTTCACGCCGGCGTCCTTCGACCGCAAGGGCGCGTGGTTTTTTTTGAAGGAGAGGTTCAAGCGCCTCGCCATCCCCTGCGTCGTCTACTACTTCCTTATCGGCCCCCTGCTGGAATGCTGGCTCATGCCCCACGTGATCACGCGCAAGTCGAAGAACAAGCACTGGACCATCGTCGAGGGGCCGCCCTGGTACCTGTGCACGCTCGTCATCTTTTCCTGCATCTACGTCGCGTGCCCCCACGACATCGACCGCGCGGCGGCGGCGCCGTTCATTCGGCGCGTTCCTGCTGGTCGGCGGTCTGTTCATGGGCGTGCTCGAGCACGCCATGTCCGGCGCGCGGCTGCTCTGGCTGAACCCCGTGACCTGCTACTACTCCGTCCAATACGTGACGTGGTTCGCGGCGGGCGTCTACGCCTACCGCCAGAACTGGCTCGAGACCATCGTCGGCTACGCGCCGTCGACGGCGAACTTCCTGCGCTGCGTCGTCGTCGCCTTCGCGGGCTACCTCTTCTTCGCGATCAAGGCCCTGACCTACTTCGGCGCGGACAACGCGCCGACGACGGGGTCGCTCGAGGTCCTCGGCGCCGTCTGGGCCGTCGCCGTGTCCCTGGCCCTGCTCCACGGCTTCGGCCAGCACAACGAGAAGCCCTCGAAGCTCGCCAAGGCCGCCTGCGACGCGGCCTACGCGGTCTACGTCATCCATCCCATCTTCCTGGCGCTCGCGGTCTGGGCCTACGCGGGCATGCTCTCCGCGGGCCACGACGTGACGCAGCGCATCCCGGCGTCCGTCACCCGGGGGGCGCCGATCCACAACGACCGGACCTTCTACGTCCGGAGCAGCGAGGACGCCACGGACGACGGCCCGCCGCGCAAGTTCGGCGCGAAGTCGTTCTGGGGCGAGATCTTCGTCGCGCTCTTCGCCAACGCCATGGTCTGGCCCGCGGCCTACGGCCTCAAGCAGCTGCCCGGCGTGCGCGACGTGCTTTAATGCGATTTTGCCCGTCAAAGCCAGCGTCGCGGTCGTTGCGGCGCCACAAAGGGCTTGGTCCCTCGGAGCTCCGCGCTGCAGGATTTGGTTGAAGCGCTAGGTTGAAGCTGTATTGATGCCAAGCTGAACGCCGGAGCCTCGTCGCGCGCGCGCGCCGAGCAGCCTGTGCCTCGTCGCGCGCGCCGTGCTGAGCCGGTGCATGAACCGAAGGCTGCGCGCGGACGAAGAAGCGCCGGACGTCGCCCTCTCCGACGACGACGACGAGGAGGATTCGCTGCGCGCCGCCGAACAGGGCTACCAGCTCTTCCGCGGCCTCGTGCTCTGCTGCTGCGGCGCGTCCTTCGCGGCCATCGCGTGGTGCGCGTGGCACGTGAGCACCTAAGATGGTGGTGCCCGAGGACGTCGCCATCGCCCTCGAAGCTGGCAACTTCGCAGTCGTGCGGCACTGGCTGACGTCGGGCGCGCGCGACGCGAACGACGTCGACTCGAACGGCTTTACGCTCTTGCAGCGCACGCTCGTTCCTCATCAAGCACACATGCCTCCTTGTGCGTGTATGGGGCCCTCCCGGGTGGAGATGATGCGCCTGCTCATCGAGCACGGCGCAGAAGTGAGTCACACACCGAACGGCATCGAGCCCATCTTCTATTGCGCCTGCGCCGAGGAGGTCCGAGTGTTGCTGGACGCGGGCGGCGATGTCAACGTACAGTTATCTGCCCCGAACGGACCCGGTCTGACGCCGCTCATGTATTACTTGCAGTTCGCGCCAACGTTCCCCGCGATGGTCGACTTCGCCAAGTTCCTGGTGAAGTGCGGGGCCGACCTGTCGCTCACGAGTTTCCTGGGTGACGCGGAGACGCTCGTGCGCAGAACCTGCGAGCACATGCAAAGATTCCAAATGCAAACGGAGGAACACAATCTTGAGGTTCCACATTTTCTCGCTGAAATGGACTTGGCCGCTTCTCGGCACCTCGCCGACTGGCTCGCCGACGTGCGGCGCGCGGGCGGCTACGCCAAATTCGTCAGGGAGCCGCGCGTCGCGCTCGCGCGGCTCCGCCTGCTCTGCGAGCGCGGCCGCGCGTCGCCGCCGGACGGCGGCGCCACCAAAGAGGACCGCGCGCTCGAGCGCCTCTTCGGCCCGAGGACGCCGCTCCCGAGGGGCGTCTTCTGGCTCGTCGTCGAGTACTGGCGGTCGGACCGGGACGTCTAAGAAGCCATGGAGCTCCGTTCGTTCAGGGACCGCGCCTGTCTAAGAAGCCACGTTATAGAGCGCCGTCGTCGACGCGCGCGTCGCGACGAGGAGCGCGCCGCCTTTGAGCCAGACGGCGCCGACGACGTCGGCGCGGTCGAGCGCGGCGACCGGCCGCGCGACGCGCGTCGGCTCCGACGGCGGCCCGTCGAGCGCGGCGCCGACGTCGAAGAGGGCGACGGCGCCGGCGTCGGAGATGACCGCGAGGCGCCCCGCGCGCGCGTCGAGGGCCAGTCCCGCGACGCGTTTGCCCGTCTCGCAGCGGAGGCACCGGTCCGCGCGCGACACGGGGTCGATGACCGCGGACGCGCCGAGGCGCCAGACGACGCACTCGTCGCCGCCCGCGGCGACGAGGAGCGCGTCGTCGCCCCGGTCGCCGAGCGCGACGGCCGCCGCGGCCGTCGACTTCGGGCCCGCGGCCGTGGCGAGCGCGCCCGACGGCGAGTAGCAGTGGACCTTGCCGCCGTAGACCGCCGCCGCCGTCCAGCCCGACGCCGCGGCGACGGCCGCGGCGCCGCCGAGGGGCCGCCGGAGCGCGGCCTCGCCGCCGTCGCCCGTCCAGGCCGCGACGGTGCCCTGGGACCACGCGGCGGCGACGCGCCCCGGCGCCGCCGCGAGCGCGGCCACGGCGCCGAGCGACGGCGCGGCGGGGTCGTCGACGAGGCTTCGCTGCTCCAGCGTCGGCGGCGCGACCTCGCCGTCGAGGTGCAGCAGGTGGAGCTCGTGGCCCCGAGCGACGGCGACGAAAGCGCCGGCCGCGGCCGCGAGCGGGCCCGCGCCGAGGCGCAGCGGCCTCGGCGCCGGCGGCAGCAGCGTCCCGGTTTTCCTGAGGCCGTCGCCGTCCACGGCATACACGACCACGGCACCGTCGGCCGCGGCGACGACGACGCGGCGCGCGGACGCGACGGCGACGGCGGCGGCGGCCGCGGCTTCCCGGAACACGCGGACGCGCTCGCCGTAGGCGACGACCTTGAGCGCCCCGTCGACGGCGAGGGCGGCGACGGCGCCGCCGTCGTCCGCCGCCGCGAAGGACTCCGGCGCGTCGTCGTCGCCGCCCGCGGGTTCCGCGGCCGCGGCCGCGAGCGTCGCCGGCCGCGCGGCCGCGTCGACCGACGGCGCCGCCGCCGCCCCGCGCACGTCGAGGCGCGCGTGGACCTCCCCCGCAAAGGGCCAGGCCCCGTCCTCGAGGCGCGGCGCGAGGTGGCGCAGGGACACGGTCCGCGGCGACGCGCAGCGTTTCTCCGACAGCGACCGGAAGACGTCTTTTCCGTCGCAGAAGAACTTGGCCTCGCGGACCGTCGCGGCCTTGCCCAGGACCACGACCGTCGACCGCAGCAGCACGAACCAGGTCGTCATCGTGACCACGACGCTGCACTCCAGGCTCGCGAGGCCCTCGTCGTGGAGCAGGTCCTGATAGAAAGGCACCGATTCCCGCAGCTCCGCGGGCTCGCTGCGCCACGCGCGCTCCACGGCCTCCTTGCCCGTCATGGACGCCGCCCGCGCGTCGGGGACCCAGGCCGGCGCCGGCGCGGCGCCGCCCGCCGCGGCGGACGTCTTCCAGAGGCGGCTCGCGAGCGTGCCGTCGATGACGTCGCCGACGCGCGACCCGACGGGCTCCCCGTCGCCGACGCGCCCGAGCCGCCCGGCGTAGTCCGTCTCGAAGGTCCAGTCCCAGGCCTGCGCCGGCTTGATCTTCGCGTCGGCGCCGCCGAGCGTCGCGACTGTCGCGCGGGCCTCCGCGGCGTCCCAAAACGTGCTCCGATCGCACTTGGCGAACTCGCCCCGGGAGTCGCGCCGCGCCGACAGCGCCGCCCAGGCCTTTAGGGCGTGGAGCGCGTCGAGGGAGAGGCGCGTTTGGGACGGCGCGTGCACGCACTCGACGTAGGACCGGCCGTGGACGGCCTCGGGAACGTGCGCGGCCACGCCGCAGAGGTCCAGCGACCCGCAGGGGCAGTCCGGCGGCGGGCCTTTGCCGCCGACGCACCAGGGGTGGCGCGGCGAGAACCAGGACTGGCAGAGGCTCCGCGTCTCCACGGACCGCAGCATGGGACCGGGCGAGACGCAGATCTCCCAGTCGCCGCAGCGGATGCGCCGCGTCCGCTGCATGTCCGGCGCGCGCTGCGTCGGCGGCGGGCCGCAGCGCGGCGGCATGCGCGTCGGCGGCAGTGGCCCGCGCGGCGGCATGCGCGTCGGCGGCGGCAGTGGGCCGCGCGGCGGCTGCATCGCACTCGCTTGTCCAAGTGTGGAGATCCTGCGGCAAGAAGTCAACAAATTGCCCAAGCGCATCTTCAACCACGGCGGCTAATTTCGATTCTATATGAAAAAGAGGGGCGCTCGCGCGCGGGCGCCGTCGTCGTCGAGGACGCGCGCGGCGAGCGAGGGGAAACAACGGGCGCGGCCTCACCTCGACGTCGGGGGCGGGCCGGACGCCGCCGGCGGGTGCGGCATCATCGGCGGCATGGGCGCGGTGACGAAGGGGCCGCCCATGGGCGGCGCGAAGGCCATGTGGGGCTGCGGCGGCATGCCGGGCATGAGGGGCATGAGGGGCGCGCCCGGCGGCACGGCCATGGGCACGCCCGGCGCGAAGAGAGGCGCGCCGCTGAGCATGGGCCGCGGGAAGCCCAGGGGCATGAGGGGGTGGGGCAGCATGGGCTGGGACGCCGGCGCGGCCGGCGCCGGCGCGGCGCCGGCGCCCCGCGGCGGGACCACGGGCGACGGCTGCGGCGCGGCCGGCGGCGGCGGCGGCGCCGCGGGCCCGCCCGCGATGGACGTCTGGGAGAACTGGGCCATGAGCTGGTTCATGATGGACCGCTGGCCGCGCTCGTTGAGGAACTCGAAGTAGGGCAGCATGGTCAGCGGCACCTCCGTCTGCTGGCCGTTGCGGCTCGACGCGAGCACGCGGTCGACGGCCTCCTTGGCCGCGCGGTGCAGCTTCTCCTCCGCGGGCGTCGGCGGCATGCCCGCGGCCGTCGCCGGCGACGACGCCTCGGAGCCGCTGGCGGGCGTCGCCGACCGGTCGCCGGGCTCGGCCTTGGCGAAGAAGCGCGGCGCGGGCTCCGAGCCCTCGGCCGCGCCCGAGCCGCGCGCGCCGAGGCCGCCGTTCGTCGGCGTGTCCGCGGCGAAGGAGTCCGTGGCCAGCAGGTCGAGCACGCCGCCGCCCAGGTCCATGTCGCCGACCCGCGGGCTGAACTCCGCGCGCGGGCTGAAGTCGATCTTGAGGTCGTCGTCGTCGTCGTCCAAACCGCCGCCGCGCGGCGACCGGCAGTCGCCGTGCTCCGTCGTCGCCGCCGAGTCGTCGTCGAAGGGCAGGAAGACGTCGTTGGGGTCCACGGTGCCCACCAAACCGCCGGAGAGCTCGTGGTCCAGCAGCTCCGTCATCGGCGAGTTCATCAACGACGACATGCCGCCTGTGTGGAAATCAAATCTTCAACCCGACTTCAATGTGAGCGTAATCGAACGGTTCGGACCAGCTTCTTCGGCTGTGCTTCGAGAACTCGACGAGAGCGATCGATTCGTCCAAAAATCAGCCGAATCGACTTCGATTTGATTGAGATAGAGAGTTCTGAAGTTTGGTGGGGACCCCCCAAACCAGTGGTTGATTTCCACACAGCATGCCGCCGTCCTCCATCGACAGCGCGGGCGGCCGCGCGAAGGCGGGCTTCGGCGCCCCGGCGCGGCGGCTCGACGCCTTGGCCGCGGCGCCGGCGGCGGCCGACGCCTCCGTGAGGCCGTTCTCCCGGAGCCAGCGCTTCCGCGCGGACGAGTTCCACCGGTTCTTCACGGCGTTCTCCGTGCGGCCCGGCAGCAATTTGGCGATCTCGGACCAGCGGTTCCCGTGGACGCGCTGCGTCTCGAAGAGGATGTTGTCCTCCTCGGGCGTCCAGTCGCCCTTCTTGATCTCGGGGTCGAGGTGGTTGAACCACCGCTCGCGGCACTGCTTGCCGATGCGGCCGGGGAGCTGCGCGGCGATGACGGACCACTTGATGTTCCCCGCGCCGTGGCGGAGCACCATGTCCTTGACGATCTTGTCCTCGTCGGCGGTCCAGGGGCCCTTGGACAGGCCCGGCCGCAGGACCTTGTTCCACCGGTGGAGGCACTGCACGTCGCTCCGCACGTTGCCCAGGAGCATGGCGAGGCGCTTCCAGTTCTTGGCCCCGAAGGTCTCGACGATCTCCCGCAGGCGGTTGTCCTCCTCCTCCGTCCACTTGCCGCCCACGGGCCTACGGACGCGCGCTCCTCGAGACGACGGCGCGCGCGCGCGCGGGACGCGGGCGCGCCGCACGCCTTCCGCGGCGGGCGGAACTTGATGTCGACGGCGGCGCCCTTGGGCGCCGGGGCGGCGGCCGGGGCGTCCGTCGCGCCCCCGAGGGACTCGGGCGACGACGGCAGGTCCGCGGCGGCGCCGCCGCCGCTCGACTGCCGCTTGCCCCGCCGCGTGCCCGTGAAGGCCCCCTCCTCGAAGAGGGTCGCGCCGGCGAGGTCGAGGTCGTCGTCGCGGTTCTCCCGCTTCACCTGGGGCGCCCGCCCCAGCGGCGTGTTCTTGAGGATCATGCGCTCGCCCTCGGCGCGGTAGGCGAAGTGGCTCCGCGGCACGCCGCCGGCGTCGCGGATGTTGGGCGAGTTCGGCACCTGGCGGTCCATGCTCTCCGCGGGCGGTCGGCCGGGTCTACGACATGGCGGCGCCCCGGGGGGGGGGGCGCGTGTCGAGGGGCGCCTAAGCCTCGGCTGCCCCGGTCCCACCTTCGTGGATAACCTTCAGAGATGCTCCGAGCGTGCTAACTTGAAGCTGGATATTATTATTATTATTATTATTGGGGATTTTGCGTCACGGTCCGGCGGAGAAGCCGCATGCCCAAGAGCACACATATTGACGCGTTGAAGCATTCGATGCCGAGCGGCGCCGCGCCCCGGGCTCTACTCGTGTTAGCAGGGCGCGCCGCACTTCGCCATGGCCTCGGCGCAGGTGCAGTCGAAGGACGTGCCCGAGAGGTCGCAGGGCGGCGTCCCCGCGCCCGCGGCGTCGACGATGCGCGCGAGCTCGTCGCAGAGGGGGAACCCCGCCGTGAAGGCGTTGCCGCCGAGGCCGAGCTGGCGGAGCCTCGGGAGTTGCATGGCTGGCGCGGCGCCGCTCATCGCGTTCCGTTCGACGTCGAGGTCCTCGAGCGCGGGGAGGTCCAGCGAACGCGGCAGCCGGCCCGTCATGTTGTTGAAGGAGAGGGCGAGGATCTTGACCTACGGGATGGTTGTGTTGTTTCGGCTGTCGGAGAGCCCGACGCCGGGGCCGCACGCTGCCGTCTCTGTCGCAGCCGACGCCCTCCCAGTCGCAGATCGGTGCTTGAGTGAGCCAGTTGTTGCGCCGCTGCCAGCCTTGGAGATTCGTCGCGTTCGCGAGCGCTGTGAGAGCTTCCCGTTCAGTTGTCGCCCCCAGCGTGGGAACCAGGCAGGACCACACCAGGAGGAGACGTCGGGCTGCCACCGCGCACATCGTATCTCGACGGCAACGAAGCCGGTGTTGATCACCTTGTTTGACCCGAGCAAACACAAAAGCTAGCCGAAGCCGCACGACTTGTTCTCGAGCGCGTCGACGCGCGTCCACTGCACCGCAAAAAAAGGATGGAAGAATCGCTCGTCTTCGTCGATACGCCCGAGTCCGAGCCGACGCCGAGCCTGTCGGCGTCGTCGGAAGAGATCTTCGTGGCGAGCCCGCCGAAAGGCGACCACTCCGAGTCCTGGACGCTGCTCGACTCCTTCATCGACGTCGACGCGTCCCTCGCGGCGGCGCAGGACGACGCGCCCCCCGCCGGCGCGCGCTCCGAGGCCCGGCGGCGCTGGGCGCTGCTCCGGTCCGCGCTCAAAGCGGGCGGCGCGCGCGCGTTCGCGGACGACGACGACGGCCTCGCGGGCGAGGAGCTGAGCCTCGAGGCGGTCTCCCAGCGCCTCGGCGACCTCGAGAAGTCCCTCGGTGACCTGTCGTCGTCCGAGCTCCTGCGGCGCCTCTCGAGCGGCGCCGACGACGCGTCGCCGACGGCCGCGCGCCAAATCGCGTCGTTCCTCGCCGACGGCGCGCCGCTGCCCTCGGAGGCGGTGTCCGAGGCGGACGGGGCCAAGGTCGCGGCGCCGCGCGTCGCCGGCCGCGCCTTCCTCGCCGTCGCCGTCGTCCTCGCCGCGGGCGCGCTCGGCGCTTCCTACGGCCGCGGCGCCGCGGCTCCGGCCCGCGTCGTGCCCGGGCCCGCGCTCGAGGACGCGCCCTTCGCGGCGCCGATGCTGCCCGAAGCGTCACCGCTGCTCGACGCGGCGCCGATGATGCCCGAAGCGTCACCGAAGCCCGAAACGGCGCCGCCGCCCGAGGCGGCGCCGCCGCGCGGGCGCCGGTCCGCGACGAAGGACGCGTACCGGTCCTCGCACCGCGAGGACCGCGCGTTCGTCGAGGACGTCGTCCGCGCGACGGCCAAGGAGGTCGAGGCCCAGCTCGGCCGCGCCGCGGCGGCCGTCGAACGGTTCGGCGCGCTGGACGTCGACGCGGAGCTCCGGCGCGCGGCGAAGGCCGCGGACGGCGCGCTCGCGTACGTCGCCAACGCGACGGTCGACGGCGTCGCGGCGGACGTCGCGCGCGCGCTCGCGGACCCGCCGGCGCTGCCCAAGCTCCTCGCCGGCGCGACCATGGGCCTCGGCGGCCTCCTCGTCGGCGTGCCCTTCGTGCCGGGCGTCACGGACAACCTCCTCGTCGGCCTCGCGGGCGCGATCCTCCCCTTCGTCGGCCGCGACGAGGCCGAGTAGCGTCGTCTTTCTTTTAGTCGAGCTGGTCGCCCCAGGCGTAGAAGAGGCTCTCCTTCGCGAGCGTGAGCAGCAGGCTCAGGATCACGACCTGGACGGCGAAGCGCGCGTAGTGGAACGCGACGGGCAGCGCGCCGGGCGTCATCGTCGCGCCGTGCGTGAACATGAAGATGTTCGCGGGCGTGACCGCCAGCGTGAGCGCGAAGAGCCCGAAGGCCGCCGCGGACGTCAGCGCGCCGGCCAGCGGGATGCCGAGCGGGCCCGGCCGCTCGTCCTCGAGCTTCGTGAGGAGGCCGCCGGCGAGCAGGCCCAGGCCGCCCGCGCACTCCGCGAAACCCGTCCAGGCGACGTGGAAGCCCGCGCCGCCCGGCAGGTACCACACGCCCCAGGTCCCCGGCGGCGGGTAGATGGCGCGGAACGCGTCCGCGTTCGTGAAGTGGGAGACGCCCGCGGCGACGTAGAGCGCGCCGAGCAGCGGCAGCGCCTCGACGCTCCCGCGCCAGAGCTCGGCGGCGCCCGCCGGAAGCGCGGCGCGCGCGCCGTCGAGGACCTTCGTCGTCGCGGCCGTGCCCGCGCCGAGGGCCGCGTACGCGCCGAAGAACACCGCCGCCTGCAGCGGCTCGGGCAGCGCGTCGACGCCCGACGGCGCGAGGGCGACGAGCGTGTGCGCGGCGTCGGACGGCGCGAGGGCGATGTGCGTGTTTGCGGCGTCGAGAGCGCTCGCGCCGTCGGACGGCGCGAGGGCGACGAGCGTGGTCCTGCGGCGCAATCGCGTCGGCGGCGGCGCGAAACCCGTCGATGCGACGACGCAGAGCAGCGCGACGATGCGCCGGCTGCACATCGTTGCTGGGTAGCGGTGCGGTGCCGCGCGAGAGCGCGAGGCCATCATGAGTGGCAAAAGCGATGCAAGTCCGGCTTCAACATACCGTACACTTCACAGAAATGTTACGTCGGACCGCCGAAATAGGGCCGCCTGGCCCACGTAGACGTCGTCCTCGTACACGTTCCAGACGTAGGCGTCGCGGATCTCGAAGCGCGTCCCCTTCGACGAGACGCGGACGCCCGCGTAGTCGTCGACGAAGCCGTCCGCCGCGACGCGGCGCAGCAGGCGCTCGCGCTCGTCGCGCTCGACGGGCTCCGCGCTCAGGCGCGACGGCGTCGCCGTGAACTCGTCCCACGCCATGTCCCAGAGCTCGAGCGCGGCCTTTGTCGCGTAGTTGAACACGGGGTCGTCGGAGTCGTCGTGGCTCACGACGACGAGGTCGCTCGATGCGGCGAGCGATGCGCAGTGGGACGCGCTGGCTTTCGGCGCCGGGAGCAACGCCGTTCCCGAGCACTTGCGCAGGCTCTCGTCGAGCAGGTGCGCCCAGTCGCGGTGCCACAGGTTGTCGGCGCGCGGCGCGCCGCCGGCCGTGAGCTCTCGCGCGCGATTCGTGCTCGCGGCGGTCGCCAGCGGCGGCGCGTCGGTCTCCGGCGGCGCCTCCGCCGACATCGAGTTCAGCCAGTTGTCGGCCTTATAGCAGCATCCTTTCCTTCCGCCGAACTGGCCGCCGCCGCCGCCCGATTCGTCGCCCGCGGCGCGGCATCTTGTATCTTTCCGTGTGTTTTTGTGGTATTGCAGCGCGCTGCAACACCACGCGCTGAGGGCCAGGAGCGCTGCTCGCATGCTGCGAGTGCCAGCTGGGGGAGCTGCAACACACTGAAAGTTTGGCTAAGCTTCACCTTGGCTCACTTCTTGGCTCGCTTGCCGTACGTATACAACTTGCGAGTTTTACCGAGGCCTTTACCACGTCCTTTACCGCAAGGATCTAGACCATGTGTCGTCTTACCCAGCCTCCGTGACCTTGCGCGCCTCGGCCGTGGCCCGGCGCTGGCGGAGCTTGTCCTGGAGGTCCGCGACCTGGCGCGCGTACTCGTGCTCGATGGCGAGGTGGCCGCGGACCGTCGACTCGAGCTTCCCCGCGAGGCCGTCGATCTCGAGCTTCTCCGCGGCGGCCGTCGCGGCCGGCGACGCGTCGATCGTCGCCCGGAGCGCCGCGCGGTCGAAGCGCACGACCTTCAGCGGCGACGCGGCCGTCGCCGTGAAGGGCTGGATGTCGTTCTCGTCGCCGGCCGACTCGTAGCAGCAGCCGATCCACGCGCCGCGCGGGCAGGAATCGACGTCGATCATGCGCACCTTTTCGCCGCGCTTCCGGAGGTCCACGGCGCCCGCGACGACCACGAAGACGTGGCGCACGGCCGATCCCTCCGCGACGAGCTCCTCGCCGGTTTCGTAGTCGAGCCACGCCGCGGACGCGAGCAATTCCTTGAAGAGGCGCGGGCTGAAGCCGTAGCGCATGAAGCCGCGCTCGTACAGCGCGTGCTCGCGGTCCGTCATGCCCACCGCGCGCCCCTCGTTGAGGATGCGTAGGATCTGAAACGCGTGGCCGCAGATGAAGAACGACGCCCACGCCGCCGGCGCGACGAGCGACTTTGGCTGGAGCATGTTGAAGGCGATCATCGACGCCGAGCTGCCGATCATGAAGGTCCGCAGCGCCAGTATGTCGTCGCTCACGAGCGCGCAGCAGGCGCAGAGGTTCGCGACGTGCACGAAGTAGGTCACGTTCTCCGGGCCCACGGCTCGGCGCAGGCGCGCGTGCGTCGACGACGACGTCGACGACCGCGCCAGCGCGCCGCGGCCGACGACGCGCGCCGCTGCGGTGCTGCGGCGCGCCAGCGGACGCGCGAAGGCCGCGCGCATCATCATCTGGAAGCAGCCCCTTGGAACTGGGTGCAATGCTGATGCAAGGTTCAGTGCAACTTATTTGGTAAGGTACGCGTCGTCGAATTTCGGGGGGTTCCAGGGGCCTTCGAATTGCCGCGCCTCTCAGAGGCGCTCCACGGTGCCCGCGTCGCCGTCGACGCGGACCCTGTCGCCCGTCGCGAGGAGCTCCGTCGCGTGCGCGCAGCCGACGACGGCCGGGATGGCGCCCTCGCGCGCGACGACCGCGCCGTGGCACAGGATGCCCCCGAAGTTCGTCACGATGGCGCCGCAGCGCGGCAGGTAGGCGTTGAAGGAAGCAGTAGTGGCGGTAGTAACGGCGACCTCGCCCGGCCGGAGCGACGGGTAGTCCGACGCGTCGAGCAGGACCCGCGCCGTCCCCGCGTACGTGCCCGTCGCCGCGCCGAGCCCCTTGTAGGTGCCCTGGCCCTTCTTCAGGTTGTGCTGGGCGAAGCCCGCCGCGGCCTGGGCCTCGTCGACGACGGCGTTGTAGCCGCGGACGAACGCCGCGCCCAACGTGCCGACGCCGCGCGGGAACCACCGGCCGAAGTCGGGCGGCTTTGGCGGCCCGGACTCGGGCGCGTTGAGCCAGGCCGGCGAGTCCTCGATGGCGAAGGTCTCCGCGGCGCGGCGGCGCTTCGCGGCGAGGGCCGCCGCGGCCGCGCCGGGCATCCACATTGTCGACTCGGGCGCGCGGAGCATGGCCGCGGCGTCGTCGAGCGGCAGCCAGAGCGCGTCGCGCGCGTCGTCGACGGCGCCCCGCGCCGCCAGGCGCCGCCCGGCGTCGAGGAGCGCGCGCCGGAGCAGGCCGTTGGCCCGGTTGTCGTTGTAGAGCGTGCGCTCGTCGCGGACGGGCGCCATGCGGCGGCAGTCCGCGACGTCGCGCGCGAACGCGGCGCGGAGCTCCGCGGGGATCTTCGCCGCGACGGCCAGCTCCCCCGGCGGCGCCGCCGGCGCCGGCGGGTCCGTCGACGCCGCGGCGACCAAAACGCCGAGGAAGACGGCGGGCTGCTCGCGGAAGGACGGCGTCGCGACGTCGTACGCGCCGAGCACGACGTCGCGCGTCTGCTTCGCGTACGCGTCCGCGGCGGCGCCGAAGGCGTCGCCGCGCGCGCAGAGCGCCGCCAGCGCCGCGGCGGCCTCTCCGTCCCCCGCCGCCGCCGCCGCCCGCGCGCCGGCGAGGTCGACGCCCGCCGCGGCCTCGCGGAGCGGCCGCTCCGCGGAGTGGTCCCAGGCCTCGCGCGCGTCCGTCGCGGCCTCGACGAGCTCCCGGTCGTCGGCGTAGGCGCCGTAGCGGTGGAGGAGCAGCGCGAGGCCGAACATGGGGCCCGGCGTCAGGGCGCCGTGGCTGTAGTAGGCCGCCTCGAGGTGCGCGACGCACGCCTCGCAGTGCGCGGCCACTTCGTCGTCGGAGAGCGTCGCCAGGTCGACGGCGCCGAGCGCCAGCGCCGCCGCGTCCATCTTCGGCTTGTCCCGCGTTCGCCACTCGTCGACGCAGGACAGCCAGGGCCGCGTCTCCAGGCTCTTGACCGCGCGCGAGTTCGCGGCGATCAACACGGGATGCAGCCGCGCGGCGAGCCAGAGCACGGGCCCCGGCGGCGGCGTCGGCGGCGCCGGCTCGGGCACGCCCAGGGGGCACATGGAGTTGTAGAGCAGGCCGTTGAGGAAGCGGGGCCGCAGGCTGCCGAGCGCGACGCCCCATTTCTGCACGACGGGCGTCAGCCCGTCGAAGAGCCGGCAGAAGGGCCCCCAGCACACGGGCGGGATGGGCCGCGTCGTGTGCGAGTTGCGCTCCCAGGCGCCGGCGTCGGGCGGGGCCCAGCGCAGGGCCTCCGCGACGGCCGGCGCCGTCGTGATGGGCCGCGCCTGGAGCACGTATAAAACGCCGGCGCCGTCGTAGCAGAACTCGACGTCGCACGGCTTTCCGAAGTGGTCCGCGACGCGCTTCAGCTCGAGCGCGAGCTTCCGCAGTTCGGCGCGGCACAGGACGCGCGCCGTGTGGACGCCGCTGGACAGCTGGGTGCCCGCGGCGTTGCCCGGGGAGAGCAGCACCGCGGCCTCCTTGTCCGACACGCGCTCCCGGAGCCACACGGGCCTCCGAGGCTCGCGCACGTCCATCCAGTACTGGTCCGGCGTGATCAGCCCGGACACGAGCCCTTCGCCCTGGCCGAAGACGGCCTCGATGAGGAACTCCTCCGCGCAGCCGTTCCGGGGATTCGCGGTGAATCCGACGCCCGACTTCGCGCTGTCGACCTGCGCCTGGACGACGACGCCGCAGTGCAGCGCCGCGGCGTCGAGCTTCGCGCCGAGGTAGGCGGCGACGCCCTCGCCGAGCGCCGAGCACCACACATCCAAGATGCCCGCGAGGACCTCCGCCTCCGTCTTGCAGTTGAGCACGGTCTCGAGCTGCCCCGCGAAGCTGCCGCCCGCGCCGTCCTCCGCGACGGCCGACGACCGGCAGGCGAGGCCCCGGTCCCCGAAGGCACCGACGAGCGTCGCGACGTCCCGGCGGAGCGCGTCGTCGAAGGCGCAGGTCCGCAGCGCCGCGCGCGCCTTCGACAGCTCCGAGAGCGCGGCGGCGTCGTCGCCGGCCCGGGCCTTCGCGGCGGCCGCGGAGATGATTTCCGCCGCGCCCGTGGCGGCCGCGGCGGCGTCGAAGACGGCGACGGGCAGGGCGAAGGCCGCGGGCACGCGCGCGCCGGCCTTGACGCATTCGGCGAGGCCGAGGGCCTTGCCGCCGACGGCCGAGGCCGCATCGATGGTGTCGCTGTTGATATCGAGGCAGACCTCGAGGGACAGCTTCTTCTTGCCGCCGAGCGTGAGCCAGGCGCCGACGCCGAGGGCCGTCAAGGACGCGCAGACCATGCCCGCGGGCTGCGATAATCGTCGGGCAGCTTCGCGTGTTGAGGAGATGTTGAGGGCACCGTCGTCCTAGCTTTGTTCGAGCCCATCGCCCGTCGTGCTCGGCTGCCAGCGTCGCCTCGCGCCGCCGTCCGACGTCGCCAAGATGCCCGTCAGCAAGCGCGCGAAGAAGGTGTCGCTCACGAAGGTGAAGAAGAAGGCGCCGAGCGCCGGCCGGAGCCAGTACGTCGACAAGCTGCGCCAGGGCGTCGAGGCGCGGCCGAACCTCTTCGTCGTCGAGATCGACGAGCACTCGCGGCCGACGCAGTTCAAAGCGCTGCGCACGTCCCTGCCCGGCGACAGCGCCCTCTTCCTCGGGAAGCAGACGCTCATGAAGGTCGCCCTGGGCGACTGCGAGGAGAACGAGCTGAAACCCGCCATCTCGCAGCTCTCCGGGGCCCTGAAGGGCGGCCACGCGCTGATCGCGACGGACGCGCCGCGGGCCGCCATCGTCGCCGCCCTCGAGGGCTGCCGCGCGCCCGAGTTCGCGACCGCGGGCTTCGTCCCGGACGAGCACGTCGTCCTCGAGAAGGGCGACCTCGACGTCGCGAAGTACCCCGTGTCCATGCTCGCGGTCTTCAAGAAGATGGACATGCCCGTCGAGGTCCAGGACTCGAAGCTCGTGCTCATCGACAACTTCCGCGTCGCGAGCAAAAACAAGCCCATCTCCGCGGAGCAGGCCAAAATGCTCACGCACATGGACCTGAAGCTGCACGAGTTCGCGCCGGCCGTCGTCGCGTCCTACGTCGACGGCGACTTCTCCGCGCCCTAGGGTCGACGGGGGCTAAGAGCGCGGGTTTACTCCCTCACTGGGGGAAGAGGTCGTCGAGGGACGCGCGCGGGACGCCGCCGAAGGGGTCGTCCTCGCTTATGGCATCGTCGAGCATCTTGTCCACGGCCGTCTGATCCTTCATGTCCGGCAGCTCCTTCTTGGCCTCGTCCGGGTTCTCGAGGGACGCCGCGAGCTTGTCGATGTCGAAGTCGTCCGGCGACGAGCGGACGGCGCCTACGGATCGACGGCGTCGGTTTCGTCGCGCGTCCAGCGACGGAGTCAGTTGCGTCGCGTTTCCACACGAGCAGCGCGAAGGAGCACTCCCTTGTCAATGGACGCCGGGTAAGGGCTCGTGCGCCGCGGCGCCCGTCCGCTCATGAAGGCATGCACCGGCGTCAGGGCCACAAGCAGTGCGAGGAGGCAGCGCATGGTCGGTCTTTTTGCGTACTGCGTCGAGATGCGATTCGTGCGAGTCCTATTCACTACTCCGACGTTTCGCGCGCGCAGTTGAGGGCTATACGGCGCGTCGAGGCCTTCAAGTTGCAGTGTTGAGGACTTGGTTGAGGAGCTCTCCGCGGCCGCGGCGTGCAGGAGCCTGCTGCGCCTCGCGCCGACACGCGCCGCCTGCTAGCAACGCGATCGCTGCGATGGCGCTCCGAGCGCTGCTCGCCGCCGCGCTGGCATGGATTACCAGCGCGCTGATCACGCCAGCGCAGCGGCTCGCGCGTCCGCGGCGGCGGCAACCCACAACAATCCGCATGGACTCGACGGAGCTCGACGTCGGCGGTGTGCGGCTGTCGATCTACGACGGGCGCGTCGCGCTGCAGTGGGACGTGCGCTACCGGCGCGAGACGGCGCCCGCGGCCGGCGCGTCGGCCGTCGACGTCCGCGAGTCGCCGGGCAAAGGGCGCGGCGCGTTCGCCGCGACGAAGATCGCCGCGGGCGCGTTCCTCGGGACCTACGCGGGCGACGCGCTGACGGGCGACGACTACGAGGCGCGCTACGGCGGCGCGGCCGTGCCCGAGTACGTCGTGCGCGTCGACGGCGACCTCTACCTCGACGGCCGCGCGGCGGCGGACGCGGAAACCTTCACGCCGGCGTTGCTGAACCACGGCGGCGGCGACGCCGCGAACGTCGTGCGCTACTGCGCGTCGCGGCGGCCGCCGGTGATCGACTTCTTCGCCGCGCGGGACGTGGACGCGGGCGAGGAGCTGCTGTTCGACTACGGCGACCAGTATTGGGCGGGCCGCGCCGACGCGCCCGACGACGCGGGACCCGAGGCCGAGGCCTTCGACCTCGACGCGCCGTTCCTCGACCCGGACGACAAGCGGGACCAGGGCGTCGTGCTGGAGAAGGTCAAGGGCTGGTACCGGGCGGACCCGCAGGCCTTCGAGGCCGCGTACGTCGGCGCGGTCATCGCGGTCGGCGTCTTCTTCGCCCAGTTCGTCGTGCGCTGGTACAAGTACAACGTCTGGCTCCCGCCGGCGCCGCCGGACCTCGACTCGACCCTGGACGTGTTCACGGGCGGGCTGTAAATTTGGTTGAAGATGTGCTTGACCTTTTGGCCTCGATTAAAGAAGTGATTAAAGCAGCATGGAAGGCAGCCTAAAATCCTCGGGCAGCGCGTCGAATCCCCTGGCCGTCGACGCCGCGCGCGACGTCGAGCGCGCGGCCTCGCCTGGCGTGGAGAGCCCACGGCGCGACGTCGAGCGAAATGCCACGCTCGACGTGGAGAGCCCGCGCGCTGCCTCGCTCGACGTGGAGAGCCCACGGCGCAAGTCGAGGCTCCTCGCGTCCGCGAGCCACCTCCTGCACCGCGGCGAGTCCTTCGGCGCCCTCGACAAGCAGGGACGCGACGAGACGCCCTGGACCTACGCCGCGATCGCCACGACCGCGGCAATCTACGTCGCGTGCTGGGGCCCCTGCTCGCTGGCGGCCGTCGCCCTCGCGACGGCCTACGGCGACGACGCGCAGCGCCTTACGACGATCCGCTGCTGCCTCTGCGAGCTGGCCCACGGCCTCAACGCCTGCGTCGTCAAGGAGACGAGGCATTGGATATTCTCCGAGCTCGACAGCGACGTGTGGCACACGCTCCTCTTCCTCAACGGCGCGTGGTATCTGCGGACCCCCGAGCCCTGGGCCGTCGCGCTCTTCGCCGCGGCGCGCGTGGCCTGCGAGCACGCGCCGACGAACACGGGCGGCCTGGTGCGGGTGAAGGCGCGGCGGCGCGGCTCGCTCGAGCGCATGGACGAGGCCCTCGCGAAACCGCCCTCGCTGCTCGGGAAGATGTTTCGCTTGTCGGCGGGCTACGCGGTCTGGTACGTGCTCTCCATGGCGATCCTCCTTCGTGAGCACGTCGGCGACGTGGCATTTCTGCTGACGCTGGTCTGGGCGTTTCCCATGACGCTCATGGTCGCGTCGCACTACCTCTTCACGAAGGAGCTGTGGTCGTTCTTGCTCGCGCACATGGCGAACCTCGTCACGGCGAACCCGGCGCTGATCGGCGTGGCGTTGGGGCTCGACTCGGGGCCGCACCTGGTCTGGCGTTAAGTCTGGCGGTTGCGCGTCAACGTCAGCTTCAGCTCTCGATGTTTGCCCATCAGAGCTCAGAGCTGTGAGATTTCACAGCCCGATGAGCCGCGTCACCTCTCACGAATCAGGCCCCTGTTTCTCTACTCGCGTCTCTTCACGCTCGCAGCCGCGTCACCTCTCACGAATCAGGCCCCTGTTTCTCTACTCGCGTCTCTTCACGCTCGCAACGATGTGCCTCGGCGCCACAGCGAAAACTGGCACCCCGCCGCGCGCCGTGCTCTTCGACTTCGACGGCTCCCTCGCGCAGTCCGAGGAGGCGCACCGCAAGCGCTTCGTCGCTGCGTGCGGCGTCGAGTGCGACGTCGACCGCTGGATGGACCACTGCGTGGGCCACAGCACGGAGTGGATCGTCGACTACCTGACGGGCGCCTGCGAGCCGGCGGTGCTCGCCGACCTCCGCGCGCGCGCGACGTCCGAGGCGTTCTTCGCCGACGTCGCGCTCACGGCCGGCGCGCGCGAGCTCCTGGAGGCGCTCGGCGACGCCGGCGTGCCCTGCGCCATCGTCTCGTCGGGCCTCCGGGCCTACATCGAGGGCTGCCTCGCGCGCTGGGGGCTCGAGGTCGCGTTCGTCGTGGCCGGCGACGACGCGGAGCCCGCGGAGCACAAGCCGTCGCCCGAGCCCTACCTCTACGCGGCGGCGAAGCTCGGCGTGGACCCGCTGGACTGCGTCTGCGTCGAGGACTCGCCGAGCGGCATCGAGGCCGCGCTGGCCGCGGGCATCCCGTGCGTCGCGCTCCGCAACCCCGCGAACGCGGGCCGCGGCGACCTCCTCGGCCGCTGCACCGTCGCCGACGACCTCCGGGACCGAACGCCCTTCCTCGCCTAAAGACCCCTGCACATACCTGCTCCACCGCAGCTCCGCTGCCGGCGCGTGGCCAGAGCTGGTCTTCGCCGGGCGAGCCGGCTCCGAGCTATGCTACCGCAATTATGCGACCTTGATGAGGTCCACGACGACGGACGTGATGTTGTTGCCCGGGTGGTCGAGCGTCCGCTTCACGAAGCCGCGCGCGTAGTCGACGGGCACGCGCACGAAGGGCAGGTCGTCCTCGGGCCGCGGCGGCCGGTCCAGGCGCGACCCGTCGAAGTAGTGGAGCCAGTAGACTGCGAAGGGCGACGCGTCGAGGATCGGCCGCATGTCGACGAAGTTCGTCAGCGCGTGGTGCCCGTCGCGCGTCGCCTGGAGCCGCCGCTCCGCGTCGTCCCAGAACGCCAGGCGCACGTCGCCCGGCGCGTGGTAGTCCGGCACGGCGACGCGGAGCAGCGCGCCGACCTTGAGCACGCGGTGGAACTCGGCGAGCAGCCTCGGCCAGTGCTCGTACTTGATGTGCTCGAACGTGTGGTCCGAGACCACGCCGTCGACGGAGCCGTCGGGCAGCGGCAGGGGGCCGGCGGCGAGGTCGGCGCAGAGGCACCAGGGCGTCCCGCAGGACTCGACGCCGTCGCGGCAGAAGCCGTAGTCGTGGCCGTCCGCGTCCGACGGGCCTGGGCGGGACAAGAGAGATTCAACGTCACTTCAACGTGAAGTTTCCGCGCGCGCGCGTTCCGTAAAAAGCATCCACGCTTCGAGGCCGTTCCGAGGGATGATCGCTCGTCCAAAGATCAGCCGAAACGAGTGGAAACCGGCCGAGATCGGAGCCTTTGAAGTTGGGAATTTCGCTCTCTTGTCCTGCCCTGCGACGGGCCCTCGACGCCGACGTAGCCCGCGAAGCGCGGGTCGAAGCCGTGGTAGTCGTTCGCGGCGCCGCCGCCGAAGTTCAGCAGCACCCTGGGCGCGCCGCGCGCCGCGACGGCGCGCAGGTCGGCCCAGTTCCAGACGAGGGGCAGCTCGTCGGCCGGGGCCTCGGGCCGGTCGCACGGGTCGCCGCCGGCGTCGCGCTGCAGGGCCCGCATGTGCGCGACGAGCGCCTCGCTCTGGGACAGGGCCTGCGTGCCGCCCGTCTGCGCGAGGGCCCGGTCCCCGCGGTAGAGGAAGGGCAGCGCGACGTTGAGCAGCTCGAGGTCGCTCGCGCAGCGGTCGAAGACCAGGCGCTCCGCGACGCCGTCGACGAAGACCTCGAGCGACAGGAGCTCGGCGCGCGCCGCGACGAGGAGCGCGAGCAAACGGATCATCGCGGCAGCCCGGCCATCACGACGCCATGCCCGAGTGCTTCGAAAGTACAATGCTTCACCTTGAAGGTCAATGTAGCGGCCAAATTTGCGACGATATTATGCTGCCCATCTGAAGCCAGCCTCGAACCATCGAGCGCGCGCCGCCGCGGCGCTCCTTCGAAGCATGATGGCTTCCAGCGTACTCAACCAGTGCGCCTGCTCCTGCACGGACGCCTTCCGCGGGCCGGAGAGCGCCGACGCCTTCAGCGACGACGAGGGCCCGGGCGGCTACGGCGGCGGCGGCCAGCTGTCGCCCGGCGGGAAGCACTTCTTCGACGGTCACGAGCACCTCGCCGTCGTCGAGTCCGCGAGCCGCGTCGCCATCCACGCCTTCTTCCGCGAGCACAAGCCGTCGAAGCCGTCCGCCGAGATCGACGCGATGATCGAGCGCTACGAGCGGAAGCGCGTGTCGCCGCGCGTGCTGCTCCACCTCGTGGAGGGCGCCTTCACGCGGGGCCGGATCAAGAAGCGCCAGTCCGTCATCTACCAGCGCCGGTCCGTGCTCGCGCAGCGGCTGAGGCTCGAGCAGGGGCCGAGCACGCCGACGAAGTTCCACGGCCTCGCGGCGACGCCGGGCATCTTCGCCGACGGCGCGCCGCCGCCGCCGCCGCAGCACACGCCCACGCTCCCGGCGCCGCCGCCGCCGTCGCCCGCGTCCGAGACGTCGTCGCCGGCGCGCGCGGGCGTGCGCGTCGGCGGCACCACTGTGAATCTGAGCCCCACGGCGACGGAGCGCCGGAGCCCCAAGGCGCCGCCGCCCGAGGCCGTCGCGCTCCCCGCCGGGTCGCCGAAGACGAAGAAGTCGAAGCGGGCGAAGGCGAAGAAGAAGCGGCCGCCGCGGCCGCCGCCGGGCCGCGCGTTCGTGCCCGGGCCGGGCGAGGACTGGCCCCGCGGCGACGAGGAGATCGTCGTCGTCGACGGCGACGCGACCTGGGAGTAATTTGCGCGGCTCGCGTCGCGCCGGGGCCGCGCGACACCCGTCTATGTGAGGCGGCCCTGTGGCAATCAGCTCATGCCTCAGCTCCGAGACGCGTCAAGGTCAGCTCGGTCGGGAGCCTCCGAGTCGACGATCGCTCTTTGCCTGAATGCGTCTCTAGCGTAGGAGAGGTCCTCCGGGAGGAACCGCGGGGTCGAGTGGCGAAGAGGGCTCGTTGCGGTTGTCAGCGGGACGGGCTCGAGCGACTCGAGTCGACGACGTCCGGCGGCAGCTCATCATCCGCCAAGCGCGCGAAGACATCGACATTTCGCACTGAGTCGCCGGTCGTCGCCAACCATGAAATGTCGGGTTCGCCGCCTGTTGTGTGGCGCCTTGCTCATCGCTCTGATGTTCGCTTGGACAGCCATCTTGTTGATCACGCTCGATCAGCACAGCCGCGAGCTCGGCATCCGCGCGGCGGAGCGGGACGTGGTCGAATTCGTCGTCCGCGAGGAGCGGAAGATCGCACGCGGACTGCGAAAGGAGGAGCGCCCGATCACGCACCGCGACGACGACGACGACGACGACGAGACGCGGCGCGAGGAGGCGGCGGCCGCGGTGGAGACGCGGCGCCCGATCGCGGAGGCACGGCGCGAGGTGCCCGACCGGGCCGCCGTGGAGGCGGCGACGGCGCGGGAGGCGGCTCGGGAGATGGAGACGCGGCGCGAGGAGGCGGCGGCCGCGGTGGAGACGCGGCGCCCGATCGCGGAGGCACGGCGCGAGGTGCCCGACCGGGCCGCCGTAGGAGCGGCGACGGCGCGGGAGGCGACACGTGCGACGATACTGGAGGTGGCTAAGCGGTCGCGGGGGCATTCAAATGAAAAGTCCAAAACCTTGATATTCATCGCCACGCACATGTCAGAGTTACACAACACATCTTTACAAAATTGCTGGCCAGAAGCCTTGACTCGCAGCCCGACGTTGTTGGGTAGTTCCGATGTTTTATTTTTCACAACAACGGCACCCACACAAGACATCGTATCCTTATTTGGTCCGAACCGAGTGCGTGTCGAGTTGTATACAAATCCTGGGTACCAAGAGGGTGCTATTTTAGCATTGACAACGGCGGTTCGCAAGGGGTGGTTCAATGGTTACGATTGGGTCGTTCGTCTAAACCCAGACGTCATTATTCGGGACGAGACATGGCTGGTGCAGACCATGCAAGACCCGGGTGTCGATGGTATTTTCACAGACTGTTACTCGCGGCCTTGTACAAGCCACTGTACCGGAAATATCGTACACACCGATTTTTTTGTCGTCCGTCCACGTGCATTGAGGAACGTGGACGAGTATTACAATCACAACGTCAAACATGCCGAGAGTTCCTTTAAGTCATACATGCAACCCACACTTGTGGCTGGGAAGGATCGTTGGCTCCCCCACACAGCGCAAAAAGGAGCATGTCGTGTCCAAGGTGCCCAGAGTCCAGTCATCCACGATCACGAATTCATCGAAAGATGTAAAGCACCATAAATCACTCCGGTGCCGAGTCCGCAAAACCCGAACATGCGAACCGAGTTTGCGATGTACGCCTCGATCGAACCTTTCCTGGCCGCGGGGCGGGGCCAGTCGCAGGCGTCCCCGCGCGAGCCGAGCGCGACGCGCGTCTACGCCGCGCGGCGACGTTCGCGCGACTACGTCGGCGACGTCCGGGTCGCGGCTCCGAGGTAAGTTACGTGCCCGCGACGAGGGGCTGCTGCGCCTCGTGGAACCAGCCGCTGATGGCGAAGCGCTCCCGGCTCTTCGTCGCGAGGACCTCGTGGGGCAGCGTGACCGAGTCGAAGAGCACGAGCGTGCCCGCCGCCGGCAGGACGTCCCGCGGCGCGAACTCCCGGGGGTGGAGCGCCTCGGGCCCGAGGGGGAGGCGGCTCTTCAGCGGCTCGAGCCGCACGAAGCGCCGCCGCGCGTCCGGGTCGTCGAGGAGCGCCGCCTTGACGACGGCGTCCGTGCCGCCGTCGGCGACGAAGAGCGCCGGGTTCGCGCGGAATTTGCGCGACACGTACCTTTTTCTGAAATCATCGTCGAGCACGTAAAAGGCGCAGAGCCCGTGGGCGCCGCCGGGCTCGAGCCGCGAGTCCAGGAACACGGGCCGCTCGGCGCCGGCCCCGTCGGCGCGGAGCCACGCGACCTGGAGGTCGCCGTCGAACGTCGCGCCCACGCGCCCCCCCGCGGGCGCGAGGCGCTCGTAGCACCGCAGCGCGCCGCCGTCGGACGGGGCCCAGCCCTCGTTGAGGTAAACGAGCCAGGACACGCTGCGGCGGCCGGCGTCGCGCCAGCCGGAGACGCCCTTGAGCTCCTCGTGATGTTCGTCGATGTGGCGCGCGAGCGACGCGCCGGGCCCGTAGCGGCTGTAGGAGAACTCCTGGGGCACGGAAGCCGCGAGGCGCGGCCGGTCGAGCGCCGCCGCCAGGTCGCAGCGGAGCGCGTCCATGCGCGCGGTGAACCGGAGCCGCGCGGCGCCTTGGCCGACGTCGCGGTCCATCCAGGGCTTGAGCCGCAGCACCTGGCGGTCGTCGGCGAGGTCCGTCGAGTAGTTGTTCGTGAAGACGCCGTCGGCGTGGAGGTTCGCCGCGTCGCACCGCATCAGGCGCACCTCGTCCATGGGCATGAAGTCGGGGATGACGGCGATCTTGCCGGCGTGGATCGTCGCCAGGGCGCTCCGCGGGATCTCGAGCGCATGTGCGGTAGTTGCGACGATACTGAGGAACGCAGTGCGGCGAGTTATCGATCGGAACATCGTCGCATCACGGCGCAGCGGTCTCATGTTGCCTCTCTCAGAGCACCATCGTGAAGGGGAGATCGAGAGCACCAGCGACGGCGTCGCGACGGCACCGAGCGCTCGGCGCGCGACGCGATGGCCGCGTCCACCGGCGAGCTCCTCTGCGTCGTCGTGGAGGTGTCGCCGCGCGCCGCTGTGTCGTCGAGCGGCGCCGAGTTCCGGCGCGTCGTCGAGGCGATCCTGGCGCTGCGCAACGCCCACCTCATGTGCCACCATTCCGGCGAGTTCGTCTGCTGCGCGGCGCTGCCCGGGTCGACGCGCTACGCGGCGGCGCCGCGGTCCGGCGGCGGCGCCGGCAGCGCGCTCGCGAGCGCGCTCCTCGACGCCGCCGAGGCCGCGCGCGACCGCGACGACGCGCCCGCGACGGCCGCGGCGGTCGCGCGGGCGCTCTGCTACGCGCGGAAGCGCGTCGCCGCCGCGCCGCCGGGCGCCGACGTCGGCGGCGCGCGCCTCCTGCTCCTCAAGCTCGCGGACGACGACGCGGCGCAGTACAACGCAACGATGAACGGAATCTTCGCCGCGAGCCGCTACGGCGTCGTGGTGGACGCGGCGTCGCTCGCGGCGAAGCCGTCGTCGCTCATGAAGCAGGCGGCGCACCTCACGGGCGGCGTCTTCCTCCACGTGGCGCCGGCGAAGCTCGACCAGCTGCTCGCGTCGGCCCTCGCGACGTTCGCCGCCGACGCGGCCTGCCGAAGGAGTTTGAACCTCCCGTTCCTCGAGGAGGCGGACTTCCGCGTGTCCTGCTTCTGCTGCAGCCCGCCGAACACGCTCGACCGCGCCTGGGTCTGCACCGTGTGCCTCTCGGTCTACTGCTCCCAGGACAAGGGGCCCTGCCCCTGCACGGCCGCGCTCCGCGCGGCCGCGGCCAAGGCCGGTGGTAAGGCGAGCTAGCGGGAGATCGGGGGCATACACGGGGTCGCTGCGCGCCGGGGCGGGAGACTTGGGCGCCCGGGCCGCGGGGCGCGCGGCGTTCAGAAGAAGGCGAAGCCGGCGCCGGACGGCGTCGCGAGGGACTTCGAGGACCGCGGCGGCAGATCGAGCGAGTCGCGCGTCGTCGGCGGCGGGGGCGCGGCGCGGGCCGCGAGCGCGAGCCACGTCGCCTTCGAGTCCGCGGTCGACGCCAGCGGGTGGCTCGCGAGCTCCGCCGCGGCGGGCCGCCGCCGCGGGTCCGCGTCCATGCACCGCTTGACGAGCGCGTCGAAGGCGTCGCTCGCCGCCGGCAGCCGCGGCGCGCCGTTGCGGCGCAGCGCGTGCCACTTGTCGCCCGACGCCGGCAGCGGCTGCCGCGTCGACAGCTCGAGGATCGAGATGCCGAGCGCGAAGACGTCGACGGACGCCGCGTGCTCGTGGTCGCCGCGGAGGCACTCGGCGCTCAGGTAGCGGTCGTCGCCCTCGGCGCCGTCGACGGGCCGCTCGCCGAGGGGCGCGACGAGGCCGAAGTCGCCGAGCTTGAGCGCACCGTCCGCCGCGATCAATAGGTTCGACGGCTTCACGTCGAGGTGCACGAAGCCCGCCGCGTGGACGTGAGCCTAAGGAAACACACATATGATGTTGCACGAGTTCGACGTCGTTGCTCTCATGTCTGAAACGAACGCGCCGAGAGAACGCGATCCGTCCAAAAATCGGCCGAAACGACCTCGACGCGACCGAGAGGTTTGAAGTTGGACCGGGCCAGTGTTTCCCACACGGACGTGGGCCAGCGCGTCGCCCGCGTCGCCGAGGAGCCGCGAGAGGTAGGGGTCCTCCTCGAGGCCCGCGACGGAGTCGTCGAGCGCGTCGACGAGCTGCCGCAACGACCCGAGCGCGCAGAGCTCGAGCTGCGAGTGGAGGTGGCCGCCCTCCTGCCAGGCGCAGTGGAAGGCGATGACGCGGTCGACGCCCTCGAGCGCGCGGAGCGCGCGCGCCTCGACGAGCGCCGCGTCGCGCGCGCGCCGGCTCCGGAAGGGCCGCTTCGCGACCTTGACGGCGTACTCGGTGCCGTCGGCCTTGAAGCGGCAGCGCCAGACGTCGGAGAACGTGCCCGACCCGAGCTTCTCCACGAGGTCGAAGTCGCGCGCGAGGCGGACGTCGCGCGGCGGCTTCGCGGGCGACTTTTTCACGCGCCGCCGCTTCTGCGTGTTGGCGCCCAGCAGCCGGCGCGCCTCGGGCCGGAGCCGCGGCAGCGCGTCGGCGTCGTCCTCGTGCTCCGCCTCGTCGACGTCGGACGACGGCAACCGGGACCGCAGCGCGTCGTCCGCCTGGACGCCCGGCTCCAGCAGGATCTTCGTCGCGTCGAGGCTCGACGCGACGGGCCGCGAACCCGGCGGCCGGCCCGACGACCTCGGGAAGGCCAGGTCGTCGCCGGAGAGCGACAGCGGCGGGCGCCGCCGCCACGGGGGCTCGCGCGCGGGCGACGGCGGGCAGGGGCTCGGCGGCGTGCGGCTCCGCGACCCGTCGGGCGAGCAGGCGGCGAGGTCGAAGGCCGTCGGGTCGGGCACGGGCCGCCGCGCCTCCGTCGGCTTCTTGAGGGTCGACCGGCGGCTCCGCGCGGAGTCGGGCGAGAGCACGGACGGGCTCCAGGGGAAGTGGCCCGCGCCGTCGTCGCGCGACGGCACGCGCACGGACGGCACGTCGCCCGGCGTGTCGTGCGCCGGGAAGAGGCGCGTGCGCTCCAGGGGCGGCGTGCGCCCGCCGTCGCGCGGCGGCGTCTCGCCGTAGAGCCGCGGCGGCGCGGCGCCGCCGGGCGGGCTCGCCGCGCCCGCGGGCCCCTCGAGGTCCGCGAAGTCGAGGCGCGCCGCCACGGCGCGCGAGGACCGCGCCGAGGGGGGCTGGTAGGCGGAAGCGCGCCGGCTCGTGCCCTTGGACCGGACCAACGCGGACGTCGGCGACGCGCCGGGCGAGTCGCCGAGCGTCACGCAGGCCGTCGCCGGCGGCGGCAGCGGGCACCGGTCGCCGCCCGGCGCGGACCGGGGCACCGGCGGCGTCGGGTCCGGGAAGCGCCAGTCCCGCGGGCTCGCGCCCGCGGATCGCGAGAGCTCGCGCGGCGACTCCACCGCCGGCATGCGGAGCGGCCGCGGGCTCGGCGCGAGCGCCGGCGCGGCCGAGAGCAGCTTGCCCGCGGACCGCGACCCGAGGCGCTCCGCGGCGAGAGGTTTATGCGCGCGGGCCGACCGCGGGCCGTTCGTTTCTATCGCTTTGAGCGCGGCGACGGGGTCCGTCGACCGCCGCCGGTCGCTCACGCGCGGCAGCGTGTCGTGGAGCGACGCGCCGAAGGAGATGCGGTGCGGCGGCGACGCCGGCCGGTCCGCGCGCGGCGTGTTGTTAAGCGGCGACATCAGGCGCTTGCGGTTCGTCGCGGGCAGCGAGAGCTGCTCCATTATTTTGGTGCTCCACGTGGCGCGTCCCTCGTTAATCCATGCAGCGCCAATCGGCGCAGCGGTTTGTGCTCGCGTCTCAGCGTTGGCTTTTGCAAAGGCTGTTTGCAGCTGTCGTCGGGTTTGCTGCACGCCGCGCGGTGCAAGCGCCGCTGGCGGCCACCAAACCGCGCGACTTTGAACGAGATTGGCTCGGATGACGGCAACATTCAGGGAACGTTGCCCTGAGCACCGCGCGCGAGTGCATCGCGGGCGACTGGAGACCGCCCTAGAGGTCGGCGCGACCGCACGCGCCGTAGGCTAACTGAGTCTCTACGGATAGGTGAGCCGAGGCGTGGACCGAAGCACTAGCGCCGGAACAGCCGAAAAATTGGCGGCATTGGCAACGCGCGTGCACGTGGGACACGCAAATGTCCTTGTCGACCAGCCGCAGCTTGACCTCGTCGACCCAGTCGAAGAACGTTTCGCCGTATTCCATCAGTCGCCGTCGCGACGCGCGGAGCTCGCCCTTCCAAAAATGCCGCCGCCAGCGGCGCCGAACCTGCTTCTTCATCGCGGTCAATAGGCCCGCGTCGACAGCAGACTTCTCTCCGTAACAAGTACAACGCGCTCGTGCAGTGTGGAATTCAGGACAACACACAGCTCTGGGTCCCAATTCATGATGACAAGCGCCTCTACCGAGGCGGCGTCATCGTCGCCTGCGCCGACCCGACGATGTCTTTCACGTTCCTCGACATCGGTCTTCAGCCCCCAGCTGAATCGACAGCAGAGACGGACCGTGGCGCTGTCTCCGCGCACCTCACGTCCATGCTGCTCGTCATCGGCCTCAAGCCCGACCTCGCGCCGACGGCGCCCGGCCCTCTCCGACGCGACCTACGTCGACATGCTCCGTGGGATCGACCTGGACGACAAGGAGGGCTGGGCGACAGCGGTCGACGGGGGTCGACCGCCGGCTCGCACCGTTCGTCGAGCTCGCGACGGACGCGTCGTCAGCCTGTCGTCGTCGACGCGTCCAGGGACGCGTCAGGCCTGGGCCCGGCCGAGGAGATGCCAAAGCTGGCGGTCGAGGCAAACGACGAGCGGTCCGCCGATCAAACCAGCTCGATCGGTCGTCGTCGTCGTCCCCTGCGTGCGCGGGCCGCGGGGGCCGGGCCACCAGACGACCATGGCCACAGATGACGTGGAAAAGATCACCTTCGAGCTGGTCCCCCAGGACGAGACGCGCCTGACGATCCCCGTGCCCTCGCTCGGGCGCAGCGAGCTGAGCGTCGGCCGCGGGGACCGGTGCATCGTGCGGTTCACGGAGTCCTACGTGAGCCGGAACCACGCGCGGCTCGTCCTCGAGGCGGGCCGCCTCTTCCTCGTGCCGCTGAGCCGCGACGAGGCGCTCGTGAGCGTCGACGGCGTCGGCACGCGAAAGGACCAGCGCGTCGAGCTGCGGGACGGCGCGTCGCTCAACTTCGTCAAGGACGCGCCCGAGTTCGCCTACACCGTGCGCAAAAAGGTCCCCGCGCCGCCGCCGGCCGAGGACGCGGAGATGTCCGAGGCGCGCGCGTCCGTCGACGGCGGAAAGGCCAAGTCGGACGCGCCGATGTCGAGCGCGAAGAAGCGCAAGGCCGCGTCGACGTCCTCGGCGTGGGAGGAGGACTACGAGTGCGTCATCTGCAGCGGCGTCATCGCCTACTGCCACTGCCTGCCCTGCGGCCACACCGCGTGCGGCGAGTGCCTGAGCAACTGGCTCCGGACGAAGCGGCAGTGCCCCGAGTGCCGCGCGGACGTGCCGCCGAGCGCGGTCCTCGCGCCCGTGCACATGGTCGACCGCATCGTCGAGGCGAAGATCGCCAAGGCGAGCGCGGGGGAGCGCGCGGACTGGGCCGCGCGCGCCGAGCGCTGGCGGTCGACGCGGGGGACCGGCCCGCTGCTCGCGCCGCCGGACCCGGCGGCGCGGCCGCCGGCCGTGCGCCCGCGGCCGCCGCCGGCGTCGCGGCCCCCGCGCGCGCCGGGCGCCGCGCCGCCGCGGAGCCGCCAGCGGCGGAACGCCGTCTCCGACATCCGCGCGCACTTCCCGCCGGCCGCCGCGCCGCCGCCGCCCGTCGTCGACCTCGCGGGCGACGACGTCATCGAGATCGAGTAATCCGGCACTAGTGCTTATGGCCCGGCGGCCGGAAGATGCCCGTCTTCGGCTTCAGCTGCCGGAGCGGCGGCTTCTCGCACGGGGGCCTCTCGCCGCGGGTCCGCAGCGCGGGCGCCGCGGACGCCGCGACGCGGTCGTCGTCGAGCGCGAGGGCGTAGGCGTAGAGCGCCGCGTCGAGCGCGTTCCGCGCCTCCAGGAACCGGACGACGTCCGCCTCGTCGGCCGCGAGCTTCGGCCGGAGCCGCGCCTTCGCCGACTCGTCGCCGCGGAGCTCCGACGTGAGCGGGAGCTCGTAGCCCAGCGCGTCCCAGAGGAGGCGCGTGTGGTTCGCGCGCCGGCCCCGCTCGACGATGAACACGAAGTCGAAGCGGTCGAGCGCGGCTTTCGCGCTCGCGAGCGACGCTCCGTCGAGCGCCTCGCCGCGGCCGTCGCGGTTCCAGCCCGTGAGCATCTTCGTGAAATAGTTCTCCACCTCGACGTAGACGTTGCCCGGGTGCTTTTTTTCAAACTCTCGCTTCCAGGCGCTGCCCTCGACCCACTCGTCCGCCCAGGACCGGAGCGTGCGCAGCTTCGAGTGGTCGTGGGTGACGCCGTCGTGCCAGCCGACGTGCTCGTACCAGTACATGCTCAGCACGCGCCGCACGGGGTCCCGGAGCGACACGACGGTGATGACGGACCGGAGGCCCAGGAACCGCGCGTCGATGGACAGGCCCTCGGTCTCGAGGTAGTCCACGCGCGACCGCTTCGCCGCGTGCTGCAGCGCGGCGCGCAGCGACGTGCCCGCGGCCTTGCGCGCGTGGTAGAGGTAGAAGGCGCCGACGCCCGACGACACGCAGGCCCGCTTGCGCTCGAGGCGGCTGCGCCAGGCCAGCACGTCGCGCTTCGACGGCGGCGCCTCCGGCGTCGCCGCAGCCTCGCGGCGGTCCGCCGGCGCGTCGTCGTCGTGCGTCTCCACGAGCGACGCGAAGAGCGACGCGCGACAGCTCGCGCAGGCCAGTGCGAGCGCGACGCATCGCAGCATGGCTGCCCCTTGGGGACGATGTTGCCCTGCTCTTTGACAGCAAACTCGCCGATTGGAGCATGGGGGTGCTGTAAGTGGCCTCCGCAGTGCTGCAAAAGCTGCACGGAAATGGGCGGCCGCCTGCTCGAGGAGGAGGAGGACGCGGCGGCGCACGATTCGACGGCGCTCATCGTCGTGAACCAGCTCTGCGAGCGCTTCGCGTGGTACGTCTTCAGCGGCACATATATTATGTACAGTACGCGGGCCCTGGCGCAGAGCAGCGTCGTCGCCGACGCGAGCTACAGCAACTGGAACGCGCTGACGTACCTCTGCCCGCTCCTCGGCGGCCTCGTGGCGGATGTCTGGCTCGGCCGCTACCGCACCGTCCGGGGCGCGTTCGCCGTCTACGTCGTCGGCGCGGCGGGCCTCTGCGTCGCGGCCGCGTACCCGACGCCGTGGCTCTTCTACGCGTCGGTGCTCGTCCTCGCCTTCGGCGCCGGGAGCGCCAAGCCCAACGTGTCGGCGCTGGGCGCGGACCAGGTGCCCGACGAGGCCGCGCGCGAGCGCTACTTCGGACGACTCTACGCGGCGATGAACGCGGGCTCGACGCTCGCGTTCACGATGGGCGTCTCCGTCGCGCAGACCTACGGCTTCCTGCCGGCCTGGGCGCTCGCGACGGCCGTGCTCGGCGCCTCCGCGGCGGCGCTCGCGGCCCGGTCCGGCGGCCTCGTCAAGAAGGAGCCCGAGGGGTCGCCGCTCGTCGTCGTCGTGCACGTGCTCGGCGACGCGCTCCGCGGCGGGTCCCTCGACGCGGCGCGGCGGAGCGCGGGCGGCCGCCGCGACGACGACGACGTCGACATGGTGCGGTCGCTGCGGGACCTCGCGCCGTGCTTCTGCCTCCTCGTCGTCTTCTGGGGCGCGCAGGCGCAGACGACGACGACGCTCTTCAACCAGGCCTGCCAGCTGAATTTGCACGGCTGGGTGCCCGTCGCGTCGCTGGCGGTCTTCAACTCGGGCTGCATCGTCGCGCTCATGCCCGTCTGCGACGACGTCGTCTTCCCCGCGCTCCGGCGGCGGGGCGTCGCGGTGACGACGACGCGGCGCATCGTCGCGGGCATGGGCGTGCTGGCGCTGTGCCTGGGCCTCGGCGCCCTGCTGGAGCGGCGGCGCCTCGTCCTCGCGCGCCGGGGGCTCTACGCGCCGCGGCCGTCGCCCTGCTACGCGGACGGCGGGCCCAAAGCGACGCTCCTGAGCGTCGCGTGGCAGGTGCCCGTCTTCTCGCTCTCGGGCCTGGCGGAGGTCCTCGCGGGCGTCGCCGCCATGGAGCACTTCTACGCCGTCGCGCCGCCGCGGGCCAAGTCGCTGTGCTCCGCCATCGAGCTCGTGTCCGTGTCCCTGGGCTTCCTGTTCGGCGGGTGTTCCGTCGTCCTGGCCAACGCGGCTTCGCCGCCCTGGGTGCCCACGGACCTCGACGGCGGGCGCCTCGACGTGTTCCTCGGCCTCTGGGCCGCGCTGCTCGTCGCGTCGACGGCCCTCTACGCCCGCGCGCACTAGCGCGACGGATTTTCCCCAAGCGCGAGGCTTTCCTCCTGCAGCGCACGACCTAGGGCCCTAGCCGAAGTAGGGGAAGCGGCCCTCCGGGATGCCGTAGAAGCGGAGCGCGTCCTATATCCCGCCGGCGGGATATGTTGCGACGGCCCGGGCCGCCGGCGCTCTCGAGAGCTCCGGGGATCTCGCGAACCAAGAACTCCCACCCGACGCCCCCACGTACCCCCCTCGCGGACAGACAGGGAGGGGTAACGGGCGGCTAGTCGTCGAGGTTGACCGCGCGCGTCATCGGCCGCGCGCCCTTCCACGCGTCCCCCTTGGACGCGGGCGGCTCCTCGGACACGACGTAGTTCTCGTTCTTCCGCTTCGCGGAGACGACGTCGGAGATGGCTTTGTTGTAGTAGCGGTCCGTGTCCGGCACGAGCTTGACGCCCTTGACGCTCTCGTGCGTGTTGAAGCTCACGGGGCTCCGCGCGAGGCCCCGGCCGTTCGCGCCGGCGCCCGGGGGCGGCTTGTCGAGGAAGAAGGTCGTCGTGGACTGGAGGTCCTGCTGGCCGTCCATGGAGCAGCAGGCCATGGTCATGCCGCCCTCGCCCGCGTTCTGCGCCGCGCAGAAGAACATGGCCATCATGTCGTCCTGCCACGACCGGCTCTTGACGTAGCGCGCCGTGAGCAGCCGGTCCATCTCCTCGCTGATGGAGTTCGCCGCCGGGTCGCCGGACGCGCCGAAGAGGACCGCGCCCCGTTTGCCCCGCTTCGCGCCGCCCTCCGCGTACGCGCGCCACGCCAGGTACCGCGCCGTCGCGTCCGCCGGCGGCGCCGCGGCCCGCGCCGCGGACGGGCCCGGCGCCCGGGCGGCGTCCAGGGCCTCGTCGGGCAGCCGCAGGATGAGCTCCGTGAGGAAGGCCTCGAGGCGCTCGCCCGTGGGCTTGGTCCGCGGCGGCCGCGGCGCCGCGTCGTCCGAGTCGCCGGACGCCGACCGCTTCGCAATGTCCGGGCCGTCGCGGTCGTCGCGCTCGACCTCGTCGAGGTCGAGGGACGTGACGAACTCGTCGTCGCCGTCGTCGAGGAGCGGCGTGCTCGGCGTGCCCCACGTTGCCGCCGCGTGGTCGACCGCGGCCTTGCGATCCGCGTCGCCGTCGCCTGTGTGGAATTCAAATATTCAACTCGACTTCAATGTGATCGTACGCGACAGTTTCGACGCAACCTCTTCGGCCGTGCTTCGAGAACTCGACGAGAGCAATCGATTCGTCCAAAAATCAGCCGAATCGACTTCGATGTGACCGAGCTAGAGAATTCTCAAGTTTGGTCAGGACCACCCAAACCAGTGGTTGAATTCCACACAGGCCGTCGCCCGTCGGCGCGGGGCAGGGCCGCGCCGCGGCGGCGTCGGCCCGGGCCGGGGCGTAGGCGTCGAGCGCCGCTAACAACGCGAGCAGTCCCGCGCCGGACGCGAAGGCCTGCGAGACGTCCGCCGCGTCGAAGACCGCGGCCTTGGCTTCCTCGAGGGCCTCGCCGTCGAGGTCGCCGCCGGCGTGGAGCGACGCGCGCGAAAAGTGCAGCAACTGGCGGCTGTAGTCGCCGGGGTCGCCGAGCACGTCGTCGGCGGGGATGCGGCGCCAGCCGCCGCGCTTGCTCCCGACCGCGCCCGCCGCGCCGGCGGCCGCCGCGAGCTCCGAGACGTAGAGCCCCAGCGCGTCCTGGGCCTCCGTGAGGTGGGAGAAGCGCGGGTCCGACGCGTCGAGCTCGGGCACGCCGTAGTTCGCGCGCGCGCGCGCGAAGGCGAACTCGCGGCGCTCCTTCTTGGAGCCGCGCGCCTTCGTGCACGCGTCGTAGTCGCCGCGGCGCGCGCCTGCGCGGAACTCAAATCTTCAACCCGACGTCAATGTGCGAAAGTTGCGACGCGGGGTCTTCGGCCGTGCTTCGAGAACTCGACGAGAGCCATCGATTCGTCCAAAAATCGGCCGAATCGACGTCGATGTAGCCGAGCTCGAGAGTTCCGAAGTTTGGCGGGACCCCCCCAGACCAGTAGTCGAGTTCCACACGGCCGCGCGCCCGCCGGGTCCAGCGCCGCGAGCACGGCGAGGAGCACGCGCGCCGACTCCGTGCCCAGCACGGGGCTCTCCGGCGGCCCCGCGCGGCGCCGCTGCATCGCGAGGCGCACGAGCGCGAGGCCGCGGCGCGCGCGCGCGCGCGCCCAGACGAGCGCCGCGGCCGCGCGCAGCGGCGGCGGCGCCGCGGCGGTCTCGTCGAAGCGCCGCCGCGCGCCCAACACGTGGCGCGCGTCGCAGACCAGCGCCGCGAACCGGGCCAGGCGCGCGTCGTCGCCGCAGGCCTCGCGGTCCAAGGGATCCCGCGCCGCGTAGCGCTTCGCCGCCGCGGCGACCGCGGACGCGCCGCCGTAGTCGCGCGCGGCGCAGAGCTGCAGCTCGTGCTTCGCCGCCAGGCCGCAGAAGTCGCCGAGCCCCGCGGCCCGCAGCTCCGCCTGCAAATCGCTCCGGAAGGGGAGCGCCGTCGGGTTCAGCAGCATCGACGCCAGCACCCCCCGCTCGCTCGCCTCGCTCAGCCCGAAGGCCGGGTCCTCCTCGAGCTCCCTCTCGACGCCGGCGACGCCGCCGGCCTCGCGCGCGGACCAGAGCTCGCGCGCGCGGCCGGCGACGAGCCGCGCGTACTTGCCCAAACCGCGCCGCGCGAGCGGCAACGAGATCCGCGCCGCGACGTCCGCGACGGCCGTGTCGCCGCCGCCGCCGCCCGGGGACCCGAACAAGGACGACGCCAGCGCCCGCGGGCTCAGGGGGCTCGCCGCGTCCGGCGCGTCGCCCAGCACGTTCGGGTCGAGGAGGAGCCGCGCGAGCGCCTCGCGGTCCCGGCCGTCGCCGACGCCCGCGTCTTTCAGCGCCGCCTGGAGCGCCTCGAGGCTCCCGTCCTCCCGCGCCGTCCACATGCGCCGTAAATTGCCCGGCTCCGCGACCTGCTTGATGAGCGAGAGGAACGCCTGGCGCCGCCGCATCGTCCGCGGGTCGCGCTCGTCGCCGAGCTTCTCCTCGAAGGCCAGCGCGTCCTTGAGCAGCGCCGCGGCCGCGGCGACGAAGACGTGGCGCGTCGGCCGGTAGGGGTACATGCGCTCGACGTCGCCGACCCAGCCGCCGCGCTCCCGGAGGCACTCCTCGGCCCAGGGGTCCGCGACGTGGCGCGCGAGCGCGCCGAGGCGCCGCGGCGGCCACGTCGGCGGCGCGTTCACCGTGCCCGCGCGCTTCGGGGCGGCGCAGCGCGCCGGCAGCGCCGCCCGGAGCTCGCTGAGGTACGTGAGCACGAGGGGCTCCTGCCTCATGCAGCCCTCGTCGGCCGCGTCGAGCAACACGGGCACCTCGTACGCGGACCGCGCGCGTTCGAAGGCCTTGGAGATGTTGCGCCGCACGTCGTCCGTCGGGTCGTAGGGGAAGCGGTTCGGGTCCGTGGCGTGGAGCAGCGCGAGGAAGACGCGGCCGTCGCGGACGCGATCCTCGGAGAGCGAGAAGTAGCCCGCGGGCCCCTTGCGCCTCGCCTTCGAGCCCGTCGCACCGGCGCCGCCGGGCTGCTCCAGCGCCTCGGGGACGAGGCCCGCGCGCGCGCAGCGGCGCGTCGCCCAGCCTAGGATGGCGCAGCGCACGGCCTGGGGGTCGCCGTCGAAGCCGTCGGCCGTGTGGTGGCTGATGATCCACCAGATGAGCGAGAGCACGGCGATGGGCTTGCCCTCGACGACGTGGGACGCGTCCGGGAGCTGCTGGCGCTCGTTCGTGAGGAAGCGCATGAGGTACTTCTGGACGAGGCCCACGTTGTGCATCGCGATGATGGACCCCAGACCCACCTGCGGCCGGCCGACGGCCGCCGACGCGCGGTTGCTCAGCAGCGCCACGAGGTAGTAGAGGACGAGCCCGTCCCGCAGGTCCAGGAAGAGGTCGCCGACGACGACGTCGTTCCGCAGCGGGGGCGGCGCCGCCGCGAGGCGCGCGTTGATCCAGCGCGTGAACGTCTCCTTCTCGTAGCGGATCGACTCCCCCTGGTCGTACTGGTTGACGGTGACCTGGGACCGGATCATGCGGCCCCATTCGGTCTCGCCCAGGCGCTCGTCGACGAGCAACGACCGCCGCTTCTCCGCCATGTTCGACGATCGGGCGGGAGGCAGCCCAGGTCCACCCGGGCCCCAGCCTGAAATCTTCCTCGAGCGGGCTAAGACGAACCGTTGCACTTTTCAACTTGAGCTAATTGAACCTCTCGATCGAGGTTTTGGGCAGCCCGCGCGCGTCGGCCGCCTCGCACCGCGCGCGTCGAGCGCCGCGAACCGGTGGCCATGGTCCTCTCCGTAGCCATATGCGCAGCTATCGAAAGGCAGGACCTGAATTCAGTTGAGCGCGCCCTAGACGCCGGCGACAGCATCGATGATCATCACGAGGGGGAGACGCTCCTTGAAATGGCAATATGTAGTTGCAACCTCGAGGATGAGAGCTTCAATCGTTGGCCTGAGTATCTTAAAGTCGTTCGTCGGTTACTCGAGCGCGGCGCCGACCCGAATAGGGTTGACGACGACGATTGGTCAGCCTTACACTTCACCGCTGAATTAATCTCGGTACCTGAGGTAGATGAGATGCCTGAAATTCAAAAAGTCTTCGTGGAAGTCACCGAGCTCCTCCTGGCGCATGGTGCACACGTCAACGCTCAGGCGCGTGACAACAAACTAGAAACGCCCCTTCATGTCCTTTGCGACAACGGCTGTACCAACGTTGACATGTTTTGCCTGCTTCTGAAACACGGGGCTGATCCTGATCTTCGCGATAATTGTGAACATGATGCACAGGCGATTGCGCAGTTTGATCCTCGATGTCCTACGTTCATCGTCGATCTTCTCGCGGACGTGAGCTCCGCGGGTTCGTGGAAAAAATTCGTTCGGGAACCGTCGGTCAAACTTCTCACGCTAAGGCACCTCACTCTCGCCGGCCGCGCAACGGCGCCGCCGAGCCTCGTGCGTCTCTTTGGAACCCCGCCCCTCCGGCCCCTGGAGGGCGCGGTGCGGACCCGGTCGCAGCGCCTCAAGAGCAGCGCCGCGCGCACGCCGCTGCCCGACGAGGTGTTCGAACTTGTCCTCGCATTCTGGTCTAAGCATCCCGCGTAGAATGCCTGTAGACTGTAGCCTGGGGCGCCATGCACGTCACTAGACGACACATGGACATTGAAGATTCGATCGGCTGGCCCACAGGCGGCATTTAGGCGCGCGGCTCGACGAGCGCGACCTCGACGGCGGCGGCGCAGGGCCCCGCGGCGAGCACGGCGGAGCCGACGACGCAGAGGCCCGACGCGCCGTCGACGAGCGGCGCCGCGCCGTTTCCCGAGTGGGCGAACGCGGTCCCCGGGTCGCCCGGCGGCTTGCCGCGGCGCTCGCCGAGCCCCGCGCAGGCGCCGAGGCGCAGCGCCCCCCCGTTTGGCGGCGCGACGACGCAGCGCCAGTCCGCGTGCCACCGCGGGTCGAGCCAGAGGAGCTCGACGCCGCCCGCGCCCGCCCGCGGCCGCAGCGGCGCGAAGAGCTGAGTGGGAGAATGGGCCAAAGGCTTCGCGTGGCCGAGGCCGTGCACGGGGCCGGCGAAGAGGTCGTCGGGCGCGACCTCGGCGACGCAGGGCGCGAGCGACAGGTGGAAGGCCGCGACGTCGACGCCCTCGCGCGTCGCGACGGTCACGCACGCGCCGCCGCCGGTTTCGAGGCGCGTCGGCCGCGCGGCGTCGCCGTCGGGCCCCAGCGCCGCCGGCGGCCAGGCGCAGCGCCTCGCCATGGCCTCGGGCGCGAAGCCCGCGGCGCGGTCGGCCACGGGCGACCCGCTCCAGGGCCCGAGCACGGCGCGCGCGCGGTCCCTGAACTCGCAGTCGTGGAACGCCAGGACGCACGTGAGGTAGTTGGCCACGCTCGGCCGCCCGAAGGCCCGGATGGCCTTGTTGCCCTGGTAGTTGATGAGGCGGCCGCAGTCCGCGCCGCCCGTGGACCGGACCACGGTCTGGACCAACCGCCGCATGTCGAGGTGCTTGAACCCGCCGAAGTGGTCGCCGCAGGCGTGCTTCCCGGCGAAGCCGCAGATCTTGCGCGCCAGGAGGTGCTCCGTGTGGCCCACGTCCGTGTTGAAGAGCGTGCCGCGGTCGCCCGTGCAGCAGTAGTGGTCCACGACGTCGTCCGCGATGACTCGCTCGTCGCCGGCCGCCCCGAAGGGCCCCAGGCGCGCCGGCACGGCGGCGGCGATGGGCGCCGCGAGGCACGCGCGCTTCGGGGGCGTCGTCGTGTGGAAGGGCGAGCCGCCGTAGGCGTTGCCGAAGCACCACCACGCGCCCGCCGCGTCCATGTCCAGGAACCCGTCCGCGCGCGGCCCCGCCGGCGCGACGGCGAACTGGTCGTTGGCCGTCAGCATCCAGACGTCCGGCGTCGTCACGTGGTCCCGGGAGAAGGCCTGGAGCGGCGGCGCGGGCCGGTACCAGCAGACGTCGGACCGGGCGACGACGAAGTAGTCGTACGCGAAGCCGCGGGCCTTCCCGTAGGCGACGGCCTCCGCGCGCGCGACGGCGCGGTTCCAGAGCTGGGACCAGAGCGGCCGGTCGAAGGCGCGCATGAGCGCGACGCCCCGGCTCGCGTTGCTCAGCGACGCCCAGGGCCGCAGCGCGCCGTCCTCCCGGAAGACGTCCGCGTCCGCGGCGCCCTCGTCGCCGCCGGCGACGAACCAGCTCGTCTTCCGGGGCCGGAGCGCGGCGAGCATGGGCGCGAGCACGGACTCGGGCAGCGTGCCCGCGCGCTCCGCGATGCCGCGCGCGCCGCCGCCCCCGTGGCGCTGCGCCTCCGAGCCCTCGGTCTTCTGTATCGTCTTGTCCAGCCGCAGGAAGACGTCGACGCGCGCGCCCCGCGACGCGAGCGCGTCGACGAGGTAGCGCCGGGTGAGCACGTGCACGCGCGGCAGGAACAGCGACCGCGCGATGCCCACGATGAGCACCGCCGCGCGCGGCGACGAGACCGACGTCGGCGCCGGCGTGAGCTCGAGTCGCGGTTCCGGCGGCGCGTGCCGCGGCGGCGCTGGTTGTGGCGGTGCTTGCTGCGGTGGTGCTTGCTGCGGTGGTGCTGCGGCTTGCTGCGCCGTCGCTGCGGCTTGCTGCGCCGCCGCCGCCGCCTGCTCGCGCCGCAGCTTCGCGGCCGCCGCGGCTTGCTTGCTCCGCGACACCGCCGCCGCCTGCTGCTCGTCCCGCAGCGCCGCCGCCGCCGCCTCGCTGCGACGCTTTGACGCCTCCTCGCTCCGTCGCTTCGTCGCTGCCGCCGCCGCCTGCTCGCTCCGCAGCGTCTCGCGCAACGCGCCGAGGTCGCGCCGCAGCGCACTCGACTCAGCGATGCGCGCGGGCGCCGCCGCCGTCGGTGGTTCCGCGAGCGGCCGGCTGATGAGTATCACGCATAGCACGGCGCACGCAGCGAGGACGACGAAAGCGTTGGATCTCAAGCCCATCGCTCAGCGCTCACTGGTACGACCTGTGACAGGCTCATCGGGTACGACCTGTGACAGGCCCATCGTGCATGTCCATCGTGCTGTGGAGGTTTTGGCCAAGGTCGGCGTACCGGCGAGGGTGGTGGCCGTCGTCGGCGCCCGCGACACGAAGCTGCGGGGGCGACCCTCTCGGGCCCCTCGGCCAGCCCGCGAGGCGGAGCGGCGAGCGACGCTCGCACACCGCGGCCCACTAGAGCAGCATCACCCCAGCGTCCTTTCCCCGCTCGTCAAAGTGTCGATGACGAATGGAATGCTGCCTTCCTATAGAAAGAGAATGATACGAATTTTGCATCCTTTTGGCGCCTTCGCCGGTGCCGCCTGAGACTCGCCCGAAACCGACCGCGCGGCCCGCGCGCGCGCCCGGCGCCGCGCGACGAGCGTCCCCCGCGCGCAGGACATGGGCGGCGCCGGCCGGGGCCGCGGCGGCGGCGGCGGCGGGCGGCGGCGCGGCGGCGGCAAGGGAAAAGGCGGCGGCGTCGTCTCGAACGGCATGCCCGTGCCCGCGTTCCTCCAGCGCTACACCGAGCTCCTGCCCGGCGCGACCGGCTCGCAGGAGGGCTACGACGGCGGCGCGGACGAGGGCGCCGACGTCGTCGCCAAGTTCCTCGCGGACCGGCGGGCCGACGAGGCCGCGGACGCGGGCCCGGTCTCCGTCGCCGCCGCGCTCGAGGACGGCGCGGTCGTCGTCGACGACGACGACGACGCCGCCGCCGCCGCGCCGGCGAGGACGACGGCGGCCATCGAGCCGACCTTCCTGCCCGACGAGCGCGACGACGACGCCGCGGCGCCGGCGCCCACCTTCCACAAGCGCGCCGCGCCCGAGAAGGAGGCGAAGCCCAAAAAAAAGCGAAAGAAGCAGCAGGCGAACTTGCTGAGCTTCGCCGACGACTAAAGCTCCCTGTGTTGTGCTTTATTTAGAGCCCGGTCCAGGCCGGGTGGAAGGTCCAGGTCCGGCCCCGGGGCTGCGCCTCCGCGGGCGTGTTCTGGGGCCGCCAGACGTCGTTGGTGATGTTGTAGCCCGCGCGCTGCGTGAGCGTGCCCGTCTTCGAGGACTGGTTCTTCTGGAGGCGCTGGAAGCTGTTGGAGAAGGACGGCGTCGTCGGCGCGTGGGACCGCTGGGGCCGCACGGCCCGCGGGCCCGACGCGATGATGGTGCGCGACATGGGCCGCGGCGCCGCGAGGCTCGGCGCGACGCACGAGTCGGCGACCTCGCTGAACTGGGGGAAGACCTCGTGGGGCCCCTGGTCCGGGTCCCGCGGCCGCGCGCCCACGGGCGCGGACCGCGTCACGACCATGGGGTTCGCGGGGCTGCTGTACTTGAGGAAGAGGCTGCAGTCGCCCTCGCGCCGGGGCTGCCCGGGGAACGACCGGGGCTCCTCCTTGAAGGACTGGGTCCGCGTGATCGAGCTCCCGGCGGCGTTGAGCGTCGAGCCGAAGCTCTTCGTCGTCATCCAGTTCGTCCCGCTAAAGGCCGCGGTCCGCGACGCCATCATCTCGTGATGGTCGTAGTGCGGGGCGGTGATCATAACTGTTTGGTTGCTATAGCAGAAGCGCCTCTTTGCGTAATCGTCTAGTGAGCTCGTTCCCAGCCCGCGCGCTGCGCCCAAGTACAGGGCAGCCCGCGTCTATTGCTTTTCATAGGCGCTCCGTCAAGTTATGTTGATGCCAATGTTCCCCAAAAGTTGCCACAAAAAGCTGCTCGCGGACGCCTCGGCGCAGCGTCGTCGAACGCGTCGCACAGCGCGCAAACGATGTCCGCACCCTTCGTCGGCCACCGCGTGGAGATCACGGGCACGTCCCGCGCCGACCTCAACGGCAAGAAGGGCCTCGCCGTGCTCTACGACGACAGCAAGGGCCGCTACCGCGTCCACGTGCGCGGCCAGGACATGTACCTCAAGCCGTCCAATCTGCTCCAAGCGAAGGAACAGACCGCGCCGACGAACATGGCCGAGGCGAAGGAGTTCGCCGCCGAGGCGCTGGACGAGGTCGTCGGCCGGCTGCGCGAGGCCCTGCCCGCGGGCTTCGAGCCGCGCGACGCCGCGTTGGCCTTCGGCGGCTTCGTGCTCCTCTGGAAGACGGCGGGCCTGCTCCGCGCCGTCGCGCTCGCGATCCTCGCGGGCGCCTTCGTGCTCGGCGGCGCCGTCGACGCCTTCAAGGGCGCCGGCGGCGGCGCGGCGGGCGCCAAGGCCGCCGCGGACGCGGCCGGCTCCTTCGCGGCGACCCAGGCGTCCGCCAAGGCGGGCCGGCCCGTCACGACCCGCCAGGCCCAGTACGGCCTCGTCGCCCTCGTCGCCGTCGCCTTCGCCGTCGGGGGCCGCCGCGCCGCGCCGCCGCCCCCGCCGCCGCCGCAATTCCCGGACTACGGCGCCGCCGCCGACGGCGGCGACGGCGCGGCCGCGCCGACCGCGCGGTCCGAGGCCTACGCGCTGGGCTTCGAGGACGCCAAGGCGGGCCGGAGCTTCGGCGCGAGCCTCGCGGCCGACGACGACTACGCGGCGCCGCCGCCGGGGTCGCGCGTGCCCGCGGGCGGCGGGCCCAACGTCAACGGCCTCGGCTACGGCGCCATCGGCAAGGTTATGAGTGTCGGGATGCTCGGCAAGACCCTCTACGACCTCGGCGGCAAGCCCTGGAACCAGGCGACGGCCATGGCCAACTTCAACGCCATGCCCGTGCACAAGAAGGCCATGAACGCGTTCTTCCTCGCGCGGCTCGTCGGCCTGAGCCCCTTCTAGCGCGGCGCAAGCCTCCCTCGATAAAAAATTTAGCGCGCGTCCCAGCTCACGCGCCGGAGCGCGGCGAAGTGGGCCGCGAGGAGCGCCGCGAGCAGCGCGCACTGCGCGGCGACGCAGGCGCCGACCGTCGCGTCCTCGAAGCCGTAGGCGCGGAAGAGGGCGTCCTCGTAGCCGGAGCCGCCGAGGAGCTCGGGCCGGCCCGCGAACTCGTGGAGCACCGCGGCCTCGTAGGCCCAGCGCGGGAACGAGAGCGCGGCCGCGGCGCGCAGCGGCCGCGGCAGGCCCGGGAGCTTGACGAGGTAGCCCGCGAGGGCGACGGCCAGAAACGACGCGAGGCTGAAGAGCATGGTCGCCGCCTGGGGCGTCCGCGCGACCGCCGCGAGGCCCGCGCAGAGCGCGAAGCCGCCCGCGCCCGCGAGCCCGGCGACGCCGCTTAGCGCCGCGACGCGCCGCCCGTCGCCCCCGCCGAGCCCGCAGGCGAGCGCGACGGCGGCGGCGACCAGGAACGCGTTGCCGAACGCGAAGAGCCCGTAGACCGCGAACGTCGCCGCCGCGTAGGGCCCCGCCGCGTACGCCTTCGCCGCGCGCTCGCGCTCGAAGAGCGTCCGCTCCCCGAAGACCAGCGCCACGGACTGGACCTGGGTCATGACCACGAAGAGCAGCACGAAGAAGAGCAAACCCAGCGCGTCGTAGGACGCCGCGCAGGCGTCGCGCTCGACGTCGCGGTAGAGCGCCGCGTACGCGCCCACGACGACGAAACCGCGGCACGCGCACGCGGCCAGGTAGCCCCGCTCCCGCGCGAGGCGCGCCGCGCCGCGCGCGGCGAGCACGCGCGCCTGGGCCGGGAACGACAGCGGGAAGGGCGGGAGCGCGGCCGTCGCGGCCGCGCGCGCCGCGCGCGCCGCGTCCGTCGTCGGGCTCGCGGACGCGCGCGCGACCGCCGACCGCGCCGCGGCGCCCGCGGCCGACGCCGCGAAGGCGTCGGCGAGCGCCTCGGCGTTGAGCGCCGGCCGGCCGTCGCTCGTCGCCACCGTGCCAGCGGCGACGGCGACGGCAAAGGCCGCCGCGTCGCCGGACGACAGTCCCCGGCACGGCTCGCCCGCGAGATACGCCTCCGCGTCCCTCGCGTCCCCAAAGTAGACGACGCGCCCCGCCGCCAGGAGCAGCAGCCGGTCGAATCTCGCGAAGGCCGCCGGCGACGGCTGGTGCACCGTCGCGAGCACCGCGCGGGGATCCGCGGCCTCGGCGTCCAGCGCCTCGCCGTCCGCCAGGCGCCGCAGCCCGTCCACGACCCTCCCCGCGTTCACGCCGTCCAGGCCCGTCGTCGGCTCGTCGCAAAAAACCAACGCCGGCGCGTGGGCCACCTCGTAGGCCAGCGCGAGGCGCCGCAGCTCGCCGCCGGAGAGCTCGCCGATCGCCGCGTCGGCGCGCAACCCCCCCAGCCGCGCGAACGCGAGGAGCCGCGCCGCGCGCCGCGGCGCGTCCCGCGGTTCGACGCCCCGGAGCCGCGCGGCGTAGCGCAGCGCCAGGCCCGGCGCGAGCGTGGCCAGCGACGCGACGTGCGCGAGGTCCTGCGGCGCGTAGGCCAGCTGGCGCCGGCCGCCGTCGCACAAGGGCGCGCCGTTGTAGAGCACGGCGCCGTCGACGACGCCCCGCGTCGCGCGGCCCGCCAGCACGTCCAGCAGCGTCGTCTTCCCCGCGCCCGACGCGCCCAGGAGCGCGACGAGCTCGCCGGGCTCCGCGGCGCCGTCGCAGCCCCGCAGCAGGTGGAGCGGCGGCGCGGCGTCCCCGCGCGCCCACCGCGCGGAGACGGCGGGCACGCGGTAGTGGACGGCCGTGAAGCCCAGGGCGACGCGGCCGTCGCCCCGGGCCGCGCCGTCGCCCAGGTCCGCGAGCTCGATCGTCGCGTCCGCCGGCTCGTCGCGGTCGTCGCCGCCGTCGGGCGCGGGCGCGTCGAACCCGTCGCGCGCGCGCCGCAGCGCGCCGGCCGCGGCCCCGCGGAGCCGCGACCGCTTCACGGGCCGCCGCGGCGCCGGCGGCGCGGCGGCGAGCGCCGCGTAGACGCCGGCGAGCGCCGCGGCCCCGCAGCCGCAGAGCGCGAGCAAGCACGGCGCGAGGGGTTCCGCCGGCCGCCCGTCGCCGAAATAAAAGTCGAGGACGTCGTCGCCGCCGGGCCAGGGCCGCAGCGCCAGCGCGCAGAGCGCCTCGAAGGCGTAGCGGCAGGGCGACGCCGCCGCGAGCACCCGGAGGGGCTTCGAGAGCCCCGGCAGCGGCACGTTGAAGCCGCTGAGCGTGAGGTTCACCATCAACAGCGCCGGGAAGGCGCCGAGCGCCACGGCCGCCGACGGGCAGGCGCAGGCGAGGGCCAGCGCCGCCCAGTAGGCCGTCCACTGGAAGGCGAGGACGACCGCGTAGACCTGGCCGAAGAAGCGGAGCTTCGCGGCCGTCGGGGTTCCGCCGTCGCAGCCTCCCGTGTCCCAGAAGCCGCAGGGCTCTTCGTCGCGTCGCGTCGCGGCGTGGGCCGGCGCGGCGAGGAAGCCGAGCAGGGGCACGGCGATGGCGCTGAAGACGAGGAGCGACCCCGCCAGCAGCGGCAGCCGGCTCGCCGCGGCGACGACGGCCTCGAGCGGCGGGCTCACCGCGTCCGCCTGTGCCGAATTCAAATCTTCAACCCGACTTCAATGTGAGCGTACGCGACAGTTTCGACGCAACCTTTTCGGCTTTGCTTCGAGAACTCGACGAGAGCAATCGATTCGTCCAAAAATCAGCCGAATCGACTTCGATTTGACCGAGCTAGAGAATTCTGAAGTTTGGTCAGGACCACCCAAACCAGTGGTCGAATTCGGCACAGGCGTCCGCGTCGCGCTCGCGCGCGTAGGCCGCGCGCCGCGCGAAGAGCTGGGGGATGGCCTCGAGGGAGTTCATCGCCGCGTAGGCGACGAAGAAGAAGAGGACGGCGCAGCAGTCCTGGGCCGCGGCCGACGGGCCCGTCTCGCAGCCGCGCGCCTCCGCGGCCGCGAGGCGATCGCCTCGGAGATCGCCGACGGCGCCGAAGAGCGCGCGCGCGCCCAGGGCGATGATCGTCGGGCGAACGAGGAGGACGCCGCGCAGGTAGGCCGTGTCGCTCAAGAGCCGCCGTTTGGCCCGTTTCGCCAGGTAGAAAAGCCGCGTCGCCGCGGCCGCCAAATCGTCCCGCCAGGCCGCTCCCGGCGGCTGCGGGGTTTGCGTGTTGTACACAGCAGCATCGCAAGCGCGCAACAGGTCGTCGGCCGGGGGCGCCGACGCCGCGCAGCGCGCGGGGACGCCCCTCGCGACGGACGCGCGGACGACGAAGTCCGCGGCGTCGTCCGAACCGTTCGGCGCGTCGTCGCCGAGCCGCGCGCGCACGGCGGCCGCGGCGCCGGCGGGCGACCCGGCGTAGAGCGTGGCGCCCCCCGTGGCGAGCACGAGGACGCCGTCGAGCGCGGCCCAGCACTCGGGGGGCGGCGTGTGGATCGAGCAGGCGACGCCGAGCCTCCGGTCGCCCGACGCGAGGCTCCGGAGCACCGCGCAGAGCGCCGCGGCCGTGCGCGAGTCGAGGCCCGACGTCGGCTCGTCGATCAGGACGTGGCCGCCCGTGCCCAGCGTCGCGCAGGCCACGCTCAGCCGCCGGAGCTGCCCGCCGCTGAGGCCCTTATCTAGAGCGCCGCCGACGGCGGTGCCCGCGCACGCCTCGAGCTCGAGGTCCCGCGCGGCGCGCGCCGCGGCCCGCTGTCGCGCGGCCCGCGGCTCCCGCGGCCGCCGGAGCGCCGCGGCGATGTCCAGAGTTTCGCCGCAGGTCAGTTCCGGCGCGTGCGTCGCGCCGTCGTCCTGGGCGACGAACGCGACGGCGCGGCGGAAGCGCCGCGAGCCCGGCGCGAAGGCGAAGCCGTCGAGGGACACGGCGCCCGCGAGGACGCCGCCGCTCGCGCGGCCGCTCAGGGCCTGCAGGAACGTGCTCTTGCCCGCACCGGACGCGCCCAATATCGCTCGAAAGTCGCCGCGGCGGCACTCGAAGCGCGCGTCTAAAACCAGCGCCTTGAGGTGCGGCGGCGCGCAGCAGCCGTCGCGCAGGGACCGGCAGAGCCGCCGCGCCGCGCCGCCGACGCCGCCGCCGCGCGACAACTCCGCCCGCGGCGCGGCCACGAGGTAGCAGACGCGGTCGGCTTTGAGGAGCTCAAAGGCGTCGCCGCCGTAGGACGCCGACCGCTCCTCCGGCTCCTCGACCGTGAGGGGCTCGTAGAGGGCGTCCGACATGGTTTTCAGGAGGCGATGATCAGCTACCCGCGCAACCTTCCGAGCGCGGCCGTCATCAGCTGTGAGTTTTGGTCAACTTTGGTTGCTTTGCCTCAACATGAAGAATTGGTTGAAGTCCACCGACGCCCTTGAAACCGCAGCGCCGGGTTCGCGGGTCGTCATACAGGCTCGCGGGTCCCGACGACGAGCCAGGGCGAATTGCCGCCCTAGGGCCGCGCGTTTCGCGCGGTCGCCCTCGGGGCGGCCCCCGCGCGCGGGAGGGCGCGTCAGACGCAGAAGACGGGCTCGGAGAGCGCGAGGATGAAGATGGCGACGGCGTAGCAGGCCCCCGCGAGCTTGAAGGGCAGGACGACGGAGGGCGGCGCGTGCTCGTACTCGCGGAAGACGAAGTAGGAGTAGGCCATGGACACGAGCGAGCAGCAGGAGCCCAACGCGTAGGACGTGGACGACGCGACGTCCGCGGACGTCGTGAGGAAGTAGCAGACGAAGCCCGTGCCGATGACGATGCCCGTGGACGCGGGCACGCCGTAGACGCGGAGCGCGGCCTTCCAGTTGCCGCCGCAGAGGGCCTGGGGCTTGCCGTCGCCGTCGGCGCGCGCCTTGCCGCCGGGCGCGTGGTGCGCGAGCGCCGCCAGCGCGACGAGCGCGGCGAGGGCGAGGCACTCGCCGACCTGGAAGATGACGTAGAAGCCCCAGAGGTAGTTGCCGTCGTTGCCGCTCGACACGTCCGACGCGGCCGTGAGGAGCGGCGACCAGCCGCCGGAGAAGATGCCCACGGTGACGCAGGCGCCGAGCTCCAGCGTCCGGCGCCATCGGTCCGCCGCCGGCGGCGCGCCGGCGACGCCGTCGACGAGCAAACCCTCCTTCTCCGCCTCGGAGATCGGCGGCGGCTTCGCCGCGGACGCGAGGCTGTTCAGCAGGATGCCGACGACGGCGACGCAGACGCTGAAGCCGAGGCAGGCGCCGCGGCACGTCGACTTGTCCTCGCTGAGGGCGTAGTCGATGGACGACCCGAAGACGATGTTCGTCGTGAAGATGATCGGCGGCCCGACGCCGATGCCGATCTGCTCGATGGTCAGCGCGATGCCGCAGTCGCCCAGCGCCAGCGAGATGCCCGCCAGCAGGCTCAACGCGCCGGACGTCGTCGCCATCGACTCCAGCGCCGTCGCGACGGCGTCGGGGAAGAACACGGACACGCAGACGACGACCCAGACCGTCTGCACCAGGATCATGCCGGAGCAGAACCGCAGCGTGTCGAGGCGGCTCATGCGCCGGAGCACGGGCCACATGCCCCAGAAGACCAGCGCGCCCAGCAGCACGGGCACGACGGCCGCCGCGCCGGCGAGCTCCGTGCGGCCCGTGATGGCCTCGCCGAAGAACACGGCGATGGGCGCCACGACGGCGAGGCCGACGACGACCTTGGCGCCCAGGGAGCCGTTGGCCATGGACGACATCGCGGGCTCCTTGTTTCCCTGTCACCGAGGCGGCCCGCGGCCCTAGATTGCGACCATACTCCCGTGTAGGGCTGCGTAGGCCCTCGGACGCCAGTCAACAAATAGTGACGCTCGCTGCGTCGGGCCGGGCGGGCGCTCATGAAGGGGCAGCCCGCTGCGCGCACCGGTTGGGCTGCGGGGCGCCGCGCGCGGGGACTTCCAGTTCTTGGCCATCGGTGCGGACGTCATCTGCGGGTTGGGCGACTGTCGCGCGCGCTCGCCTCGCTTGGAGGCCTTCGGCGCGAGCCTCGAGGGGAGCTGGGCGGGTTGGCGCCCCCGGCGGTTTCGGTTTGTGGGCTTGGATGTGCCAGCGTCCATTCGTTTCTCTACCTTTTTGCGCCTGTTCAGGGTGTGCTCCCACGTGCACCTCCTCAGGTTCCGCTTGCGTGCCGCCTTGGGCCGCGCCGCCGCTGCGCGATGATCTTGCTCGCGCCTTTGCGTCGACGTCCGGCGAGTTCTTCGTCGCCCACGCCGCGGTGTCCTCCTCTTCTGCATCGGCTCTTCCTCCATTGCTGCCGCCGCTTGCCTCTGCCTCTGCCGCCGGTGCCGCTGTCGTCTCGGCCCCTGCTGCCGCTGCCGCTGTTACCTCTGTTGCCGCCGCCTCTGCTGCCTCTGCTGCCCGCCTCTGCCTCTGCCGACGCCGCCGAGACCTGTTGCCTCTGCCTCTGCTTCTGCTTCTGCTGCCGCCTCTGCTCCCGCTCGCTGGCCGGCGGGTGTCCTCTTCGGCGTGCGCCCTCGGCCTCCATTCGTGGTCCTCGAGGTGAATCGGGTTGGTCCACCCGGAGTTCCTGCTCGTTTGCGTGCGAGTGCCCTCGTTCTCAACCTCCCCCGGTCCACGGCGAGTCCGTTGAGTGTCGTCTGATGAGGCGACTCAGGAGCTGCCGCCCCGCGCCTGCTCGGTCTGGTTCCCTCCGCGGGGGTCCCTCCGCGGACCTGCCTCCCCTCCCCGGACGGACGCAGTCGGGCGCGCATCCCCTTCAATAACTTGGTCAAAAAAAGGTGTTGAGGAGAAAGATGAAATAGGTTTGTAGTTGATGCAATAGGATGGAGGAATACAGGCTGATCCGCTAGGCATTCCGCTCCTCTTTCCGCTAGGCATTCCTCGCTGCGCATTCGGCTCCTAACTTAGCAGAGCGTTGCAGCAATGTACGAGCTGCTCCTCCGAGCGCTGCTCCTGGCCGCCTTGACCACTCATGCCTTCGTCGCGCACCCGCGGCCGGCCGGTGCGCGCGCGCCGCGCCCGACGCACCGATCGCGCCCATTTCGGCCGGGCGTCGCGCTGGCCGCCGGAGGTCGAGGACCGCGCGCAGCAGACGCTGCTCCCGAACAACTTCCTCGCGCGGCGCGCCGTGCAGACGCTCCTGTTCCCGCCGCGCACGGGCCGCGACGAGGTCACCGCGAACTGGCTCCACACGGGCATGGAGCACTTCCACGGCACGCGCGGGCTCAAGGTCCCCTGGGACGACTACGTCGCGAAGCTGCTCGCGGCGGACGCGGAGGAGATCGTCGCGTCGCCGCGGAAGCACGGCGGCCGCCGCCCGAGCCCCGGGAACCCGTACGCGAAGACGCTGGAGTCGCAGTGGTTCAACTACACGGTCGACATCTTCCCGCGGGACCTCGGCGAGCGCGTCCTCTCCCTGCGCGCGGCGCTCGCCGCCGAGTGGGTCGACGACCTCGCCGCCGTCGGCCGGGGCCAGGACGAGCTCCTGCGCGCCTACCGCGACTCCGTGCGCGACGGCGAGGACCCGCTCGCGGGGCAGGTCCTGCCCGCGGCGCTCGAGGGCTTCGACACCTTCATCGGCATGGGCGAGTCGACGGCGTACCGCGGCGGCAACTACGACCTGCTGCTCCGCCTGAGCGCGCAGCAGGGCGTCCTGCGGACGCTGCGGCGGCTCGAGGGCTCCTTCGCGAAGCAGGACGCCTACTCGGCGGCCTTCCTGCGCGGCTTCTACGACGAGCGCGGCCGCTTCGACGGCGACCAGCCGAACGGCGTCGCCGACGCCTTCTTCAGGCGGCTCCTCGACGAGCCGCCGCGCGTCAAGGGGACGCTCCTCCTCGACACCGTCGCCATCGCGACGGACGTCATCGACGACCAGCTCCGCGTCGTCAACGGCTGGCGCGAGCTCCTCCCGGCCGTCGACGAGCTCAACGCGGACGTGCGCCGGCGGGCCCTCGAGGCGTCCTTCTCCACCCTCGGCTAACACGGCCGCAAAAAATGGGGATTAGGGGGGGACCTTGAGCTGCGACGCGCGGTTCTCGGCGGCGCGCACCCGCTTGAGGTTCGCCGCGGTCCGGGCGGCGTCGCGCTCCGACTGGTCGGCCCACTTGCTTGCGAGGACGCGCCGGCCCTCCGCGCGAAGCGCGCGCCTCCTTTCCGCGACCGGGACGGCCGCCCCGTGCTGCCCGGCCTTGAGCTGCGCCGCTTGTTTCTCGGCGACGTGCAGCCGTTTGAGGTTCGCGACCGAAGTCCGGGGTGCGTCGCGCTCCGCTCGCTCGGCCCTCTTGCCTTCCAGGCTGCGCATGCCCTCGGCTCGGAGCGCCCGTTTCTCTTCCTCGACAGCGAGGACCGCAAGCTCCTCCTGCCCGGCCTTCAGCTGTGCCGATTCTTCCTCGGCGACGCGCGGCCGCTCGGGCCTCGCGACGGACGCCGTAGTCGAGGAGGTTTCGAGGTGCGCCTGCTCGGCCCACGTGCTAGGCTCGACGCGCTGGGCCTTCGCTCGGATCGCGCGCCTCCTTCTTTCCGCGGGCGAGAGGCTCGCCTCCTGCTCGATCTTGAGCTGCGGCGCTTCCGCCTTGGCGACGCGCAGCCCCTCGCGGCTCGCGACAGACGCAGAAAGATCGTCATCGTTGGCCTTGAGCTGTGCTGATTGGGTGACGCACGGCCGCTCAGGCCTCGCGACGGACGCCGTAGTCGAGGAGGCTTCGAGGTGCGCCTGCTCGGCCCACGTGCTATCCTCGACGCGCTTGGCCTTCGCTCGGAGCGCACGCCTCCTTTCCGCGACCGAGAGGCTCGCCTCCTCCTGCTCGGTCTTGAGCTGCGGCGCTTCCGCCTTGGCGACGCGCGGCCCCTTGCGGCTCGCGACAGACGCAGAGAGATCGTCATCCTCGGCATTGAGCTGTGCTGATTGTTCCTCGGTGACGCGCGGCCGCTCGGGCCTCGCGACGGACGCCGCGGTCGAGGAGGTTTCGAGGTGCGCCTGCTCGGCCCACTTGCTATCCTCGACGCGCTGGGCCTTCGCTCGGATCGCGCGCCTCCTTCTTTCCGCGGCCGAGAGATTCGCCTCCTGCTCGGTCTCGAGCTGCGGCGCTTCCGCCTTGGCGACGCGCAGCCCCTCGCGGCCCGTGACAGACGCCGCGGCCGGGAGGGGCGCCTCCTGCTCCGTCGTAACCACTTGTTCCTCGGCGACGCGCAGCCGCTCGTGCCTCGCGACGGACGCCGTAGTCGAGGATGTTTCGAGGTGCGCCTGCTCGGCCCATTTGCTATCCACGACGCGCTGGGCCTTCGCTCGGAGCGCGCGCCTCCTTCTTTCCGCGGGCGAGAGGCTCGCCTCCTGCTCAGTCTCGAGCTGCGGCGCTTCCGGCTCGGCGACACGCAGCAATTCGAGGCTCGCGACAGACGCCGCGACCGGAAGGGGCGCCTCCTGCTCCGTCGTGACCACTTGTTCCTCGGTGACGCACGACCGCTCGAGGCTCGCGACGGACGCCGCGGTCCAGGCGGCTTCGCGCTCCGCCTGCTCGGTCCACTTGCTTTCCAGGACGCGGATGCCCTCCGCTCGGAGCGATCGCGTGTCGACCTTGGCCGGGAGGGGCGCCTCCTGCTCCGTCGTGACGGCTTGTTCCTCGGCGACGCGCTGCTGCTCGAAGAGCACCTCTCGCTCGGCCTCGAGCTGCGCCGCTTCCGCCTCGGCGACGCGCGCCGCCTCCGCCTCGGCGACGCGCACCCGCTCGAGGCTCGCGACGGACGCCGCGGTCCAGGCCGCTTCGCGCTCCGCCTGCTCGGACCACCGGCCCTCCAAGCTGCGCATACCCTCGGCTCGGAGCGCGCGCCGCTCCTCCTCGCCGGCGAAGAACGCCTCTTGCTCGGCCTTGAGCCGCGCCGCCTCCGCCTCGGCGACGCGCACCCGCTCGAGGCTCGCGACGGACGCCGCGGTCCAGGCGGCTTCGCGCTCCGCCTGCTCGGACCACTCGCCCTCCAAGCTGCGCATGCCCTCGGCTCGGAGCGCGCGCCGCTCCTCCTCGCCGGCGAAGAGCGCCTCTTGCTCGGCCTTGAGCCGCGCCGCCTCCGCCTCGGCGACGCGCACCCGCTCGAGGCTCGCGACGGACGCCGCGGTCCAGGCGGCTTCGCGCTCCGCCTGCTCGGTCCACTGGCCCTCCAAGCTGCGCATGCCCTCGGCTCGGAGCGCGCGCCGCTCCTCCTCGCCGGCGAAGAGCGCCTCTTGCTCGGCCTTGAGCCGCGCCGCCTCCGCCTCGGCGACGCGCACCCGTTCGAGGCTCGCGACGGACGCCGCGGTCCAGGCGGCTTCGCGCTCCGCCTGCTCGGACCACTCGCCCTCCAAGCTGCGCATGCCCTCGGCTCGGAGCGCGCGCCGCTCCTCCTCGCCGGCGAAGAGCGCCTCTTGCTCGGCCTTGAGCCGCGCCGCCTCCGCCTCGGCGACGCGCACCCGTTCGAGGCTCGCGACGGACGCCGCGGTCCAGGCGGCTTCGCGCTCCGCCTGCTCGGTCCACTGGCCCTCCAAGCTGCGCATGCCCTCGGCTCGGAGCGCGCGCCGCTCCTCCTCGCCGGCGAAGAGCGCCTCTTGCTCGGCCTTGAGCCGCGCCGCCTCCGCCTCGGCGACGCGCACCCGTTCGAGGCTCGCGACGGACGCCGCGGTCCAGGCGGCTTCGCGCTCCGCCTGCTCGGTCCACTGGCCCTCCAAGCTGCGCATGCCCTCGGCTCGGAGCGCGCGCCGCTCCTCCTCGCCGGCGAAGAGCGCCTCTTGCTCGGCCTTGAGCCGCGCCGCCTCCGCCTCGGCGACGCGCACCCGTTCGAGGCTCGCGACGGACGCCGCGGTCCAGGCGGCTTCGCGCTCCGCCTGCTCGGACCACTCGCCCTCCAAGCTGCGCATGCCCTCGGCTCGGAGCGCGCGCCGCTCCTCCTCGCCGGCGAAGAGCGCCTCTTGCTCGGCCTTGAGCCGCGCCGCCTCCGCCTCGGCGACGCGCACCCGTTCGAGGCTCGCGACGGACGCCGCGGTCCAGGCGGCTTCGCGCTCCGCCTGCTCGGACCACTCGCCCTCCAAGCTGCGCATGCCCTCGGCTCGGAGCGCGCGCCGCTCCTCCTCGCCGGCGAAGAGCGCCTCTTGCTCGGCCTTGAGCCGCGCCGCCTCCGCCTCGGCGACGCGCACCCGCTCGAGGCTCGCGACGGACGCCGCGGTCCAGGCCGCTTCGCGCTCCGCCTGCTCGGTCCACTCGCCCTCCAAGCTGCGCATGCCCTCGGCTCGGAGCGCGCGCCGCTCCTCCTCGCCGGCGAAGAGCGCCTCTTGCTCGGCCTTGAGCCGCGCCGCTTCCGCCTCGGCGACGCGCACCCGCTCGAGGCTCGCGACGGACGCCGCGGTCCAGGCGGCTTCGCGCTCCGCCTGCTCGGTCCATTGGCCCTCCAAGCTGCGCATGCCCTCGGCTCGGAGCGCGCGCCGCTCCTCCTCGCCGGCGAAGAGCGTCTCTTGCTCGGCCTTGAGCCGCGCCGCTTCCGCCTCGGCGACGCGCACCCGCTCGAGGCTCGCGACGGACGCCGCGGTCCAGGCGGCTTCGCGCTCCGCCTGCTCGGACCACTCGCCCTCCAAGCTGCGCATGCCCTCGGCTCGGAGCGCGCGCCGCTCCTCCTCGCCGGCGAAGAGCGCCTCTTGCTCGGCCTTGAGCCGCGCCGCCTCCGCCTCGGCGACGCGCACCCGCTCGAGGCTCGCGACGGACGCCGCGGTCCAGGCGGCTTCGCGCTCCGCCTGCTCAGTCCACTTGCTTTCCAGGACTCGCTGGCCCTCCGCTCGAAGCGATCGCGTATCGTCCTCGGCCGGGAAAGGCGCCTCCTGCTCGATTGTGGTCCATGAATGGGGGCTCGATTCTGGTGTCCGAAGATGTCGCGTGCGGCGGCCGGCGAGGAAGCGCTCACCGTCCGCTCGGAGCGATAGCCTCTTCTCCTCGGCAGGGAACAACTGCGGCGCTTCCTCGTCGGAGACGCGCAGCTGCTCGAGGCTTGCGACGTACGCGGCGAACCAGGCGGCTTCGCGCTCCGCCTGCTCGGCCCCCTTGCTTTCCAGGACTCGCTGGCCCTCCGCCCGGAGCGATCGCGTGTCGACCTCGGCCGGGAGAGGCGCCTCCTGCTCCGTCGTGACCGCTTCCTCCTCGGCGACGCGCAGCTGCTCGAGGTTCGCGGCGGACGCCGCGGTCCAGGCGGCTTCGCGCTCGGCCTGCTCGGCCCACTTGCTTTCGAGGACGCGCTCGCCCTCCGCTCGGAGCGATCGCGTGTCGACCTCGGCGGGCGCGGCGGGAGACGCCGCCGCCGAGCCGGAGAGCCAGTCGGGGGGCGCCTCCTGCTCCGTCGCGACAGCTTCCGCCTCGGCGACGCGCAGCTGCTCGAGGTTCGCGACGGACGCCGCGGTCCAGGCGGCTTCGCGCTCGGCCTGCTCGGCCCACTTGCTTTCGAGGACGCGCTCGCCCTCCGCTCGGAGCGATCGCGTGTCGACCTCGGCGGGCGCGGCGGAAGACGCCGCCGCCGAGCCGGAGAGCCAGTCGGGGGGCGCCTCCTGCTCCGTCGCGACAGCTTCCGCCTCGGCGACGCGCAGCTGCTCGAGGTTCGCGACGGACGCCGCGGTCCAGGCGGCTTCGCGCTCGGCCTGCTCGGCCCACTTGCTTTCGAGGACGCGCTCGCCCTCCGCTCGGAGCGATCGCGTGTCGACCTCGGCGGGTGCGGCGGAAGACGCCGCCGCCGAGCCGGAGAGCCAGTCGGGGGGCGCCTCCTGCTCCGTCGCGACAGCTTCCGCCTCGGCGACGCGCAGCTGCTCGAGGTTCGCGACGGACGCCGCGGTCCAGGCGGCTTCGAGCTCGGCGTGCTCGGCCCACTTGCTTTCGAGGACGCGCTGGACCTCCGCTCGGAGCGATCGCGTGCCGACGTCAGCCGGGAGAGGCGCCTCCTGCTCCGTCATGACCGCTTCCTCCTCGGCGACGCGCTGCTGCTCGAAGAGCGCCTCTTGCTCGGCCTTGAGCCGCGCCGCTTCCGCCTCGGCGACGCGCACCGCTTCCGCCTCGGCGACGCGCACGCGCTCGAGGCTCGCGACGGACGCCGCGGTCCAGGCCGCTTCGCGCTCCGCCTGCTCGGCCCACTCGCTTTCCAGGACGCGCTCGCCCTCCGCTCGGAGCGATCGCGTGTCGACCTTGGCCGGGAGGGGCGCCTCCTGCTCCGTCGTGACCGCTTGTTCCTCGGTGACGCGCAGCTGCTCGAAGAGCGCCTCTTGCTCGGCCTTGAGCCGCGCCGCTTCCGCCTCGGCGACGCGCACCGCTTCCGCCTCGGCGACGCGCACGCGCTCGAGGCTCGCGACGGACGCCGCGGTCCAGGCCGCTTCGAGCTCGGCGTGCTCGGCCCACTTGCTTTCGAGGACGCGCTGGACCTCCGCTCGGAGCGATCGCGTGCCGACGTCAGCCGGGAGAGGCGCCTCCTGCTCCGTCATGACCGCTTCCTCCTCGGCGACGCGCTGCTGCTCAAAGAGCGCCTCTCGCTCGGCCTCGAGCTGCGCCGCTTCCGCCTCGGCGACGCGCGCCGCCTCCGCCTCGGCGACGCGCACCCGTTCGAGGCTCGCGACGGACGCCGCGGTCCAGGCGGCTTCGCGCTCCGCCTGCTCCGTCCACTCGCCCTCCAAGCTGCGCATGCCCTCGGCCCGGAGCGCGCGTCGCTCCTCTTCGCCAGCGAAGAGCGACTCTTGCTCGGCCTTGAGCCGCGCCGCTTCCGCCTCGGCGACGCGCACGCGCTCGAGGCTGGCGACCGAAGCCGTGCGCAAGGCGTCGCGCTCCGTCTGCTCGGCCGACTCGTCGTCCAGGACACGCTCGCCCTCCGCTTTGAGCGCGCCTTTCTCGGCTTCGATTGCGAGGAGTGCCTCCTGCTCGGCCAGCCGCTCGAGGCTGGCTAGCGAAGCAGCACGCCAGGCGGCTTCGCGCTCCGCCTGCTCGGCCGCCTTCGCCGCGAGAACGCGCTCACGCTCCGCCCGGCGCACGCGCTGCCCTTCCTCGGCAGCGAGGAGCTGCGCCGCTTCCTGCTCGGCGACGCGCAGCCGCTCGAGGCTGGCTACCGAGGCCGCGCGCAAGGTGGCTTCGCGCCCCGCCTGCTCGGCCGACTTGTTGTCCAGGATTTCCTCGACAGCAGGGAGCGCCTCCTGCCCGGCCTTGAGCTGCGTAGCTTCTTCCTCGGCGACGCGCGCCCGCTCGAGGCTCGCGACGGACGCCGCGGTCCAGGCGGCTTCGCGCTCCGCCTGCTCAGCCCACTTGCTTTCGAGGACGCGCTGGCCCTCCGCTCGGAGCGATCGCGTGTCGACCTCGGCCGGGAGAGGCGCCTCCTGCTCGGCCTTGAGCTGTGCCGCTTGCTCCTCGGCGACGCGCTTCTCCGCTTCGAGTTCGAGGAGCGCCTTCTGTTCGGCCTTGAGCTTTGCCGCTTCCTCCTCGGCGACGCGCTGCCGCTGAAGGCTGGCTAGCCCCAGTTCGGCCGCCTTCTGCGCGAGGATGCCGCCGAGGCCGCCGTCACCGAGCGGCGGCGCGCGCTTGTCGAGGGGGTCCTCGACGACGATCGCGGGCTCGTCCGCCGCGTCCTCGACGATGATCGCGGGCTCGTCCGCCACGAACTCGTCGAGCTGTCCCGCTCCTTCCTCGACGATGCGCTTCGCTTCTTCCTCGGCGACGCGCTGCCGCTGGAGGCTGGCCAAGCCCAGTTCGGCCGCCTTCCGCCGAGCGGCGCCGTTCGCTTGCTCATCGGCGACGCGCTGCCGCTGGAGGCTGGCCAACCCCGGCTCGGTCGTCTTCTGCTGAGCGGTTTGCTTCACTTCCTCCTCGGCGACGCGTTGCCGCTGTAGGCTGGCTAAGCCCGGCTCGGCCGTCTTCTGCTGAGCGGCGCCGTTCGCTTCCTCCTCGGCGACGCGTTGCCGCTGGAGGCTGGCTAAGCCCAGTTCGGCCGTCTTCTGCTGAGCGGCGCCGTTCGCTTCCTCCTCGGCGACGCGCTGCCGCTGGAGGCTGGCTAGCCCCAGCGCGGCCGCCTTCTGCCGAGCGGTGCCCCCCGCTTCCTCATCGGCGACGCGCTGCCGCTGGAGGCTGGCCAAGCCCAGTTCGGCCGTCTTCTGCTGAGCGGCGCCGTTTGCTTCCTCCTCGGCGACGCGCCGCCGCTGGAGGCTGGTGAGCCCGAGGCCGCCGCCGTCGCGCGGCGCCGAGCGCTCGTCGAGGGGGTCCGCCGCGACCTCGTCGAGCGCGCCGGCGAGCGGCGGCACGTAGGCGACGCGTTCGCTGAGCGGCGACACGTAGGCCTTGGCGTTCTCAAGCCGCTTGAGGTTCGTGCCCGTGGCGGCGACCCACGCGGCCTCCCGGGAGGCCCGTCCGACGCGCCGAGCCTCGGATCGGAGCGCGGCCGCGGCCGCCCGCGCCTCGAGCTCGGCCTCGCTGGTCTCGAAGTCGAGGGAGGCGGCCTTGACGGGCTCGACGGATTCGACGACCGGCGCGAGGGCGTCGCGGTCGAGCCACGCGGCGTCCCGGAGCCGCGTCTCGCGGTCGAGCGCCGGCTGCTCGGCGACGGCGTCGCCGCGCCGCGGGAAGGGCCCCGGCTCGCGACCCGTCCGGAGGCGCTGGAGCAGCTGCATTGCGCCCGACTCCGTCCCAAAGACTTTGAAGGGGACCTCGGCCGCTCTCTCGAACGTGGAGAGGACCCCGCGCAGGGCCGTCGCGCCCAGCTCCGACGGCGGCGTCGTGAAGGCGGCGACCGCCGTGAGGAGCGCGCACAACCGCAGGCAACCCATGCCTCTGGATGCCTCTGGGCGCTCTAAGTGTATATGACGACACCCATACAACGCGGCGGAACCGGCCGCGCAGTTGCCATGGCGGAGCTCAAGCGCCGCGGAATTTGCGAACACCGCCTTCTTATTCTGACGTCGATTCGCAAGTTGTAGTTCAACCACGCGATGGGCTCGAGCGCTCGCTGTTGCTTCTGGACAATCTCAGTTAGTAAACGACGTCCATGAATGGGGGCTCGATCGTGGTGTCCGAAGCTGTCGCGTGCGGCGGCCGGGGCCCTCGAGGAAGCCGTGGTGCTTCGCTCGGAGCGACAGCCGCTTCGCCTGGGCAGGAGAGAGCTGCGGCGCTTGCGCCTCGGCGACGGCGGCGATGTGGGACGCGAAGTGGTCCTTGTTGCCGCCGACGGCGGCCGTATGGGACGCAAAGTGGTCCATGTTGCCGCTGGCGGCGGCCTTGGCCGGGGCGGCCTTGGCCGAGGCGGCCGGGGCCGCGGGGGCAGCCGCGGCGGCGGCAGTGCCGGAGAGCCAGGCGGCTCTGCGCCCCGCCTGGTCGGCCCACGTGGCACGGTCGTTGCCCGAGAAGCCAACCAAGGCGGGGGCCGCCGCGGCCGTGGGGGGCGCCGCGGCTGCGGGGGCGGCCTTGGCGGGCGCTGCAGTGGCCGTCTTGGCGACGGCCGCGCGCGTGGGGGCGGCCGCGGCGGCGGCGGTGCCGGAGAGCCAGGCGTCTCTACGCTGCGACTGCTCGGCCCACGTGCCGCGGTCCATGCCCTTGAACCCAACCAGGGCGGGAGCCGCCGCGACCGCGGGGGCGGCCGCGGCCGCGGGGGCTGCCGCGGCCGCGGGGGGTGCCGCGGCCGCGGGGGCAGCGGAAGACGCCGCCGCGGAGCCGGAGAGCCACTCGGGCCCGGACGCGGCGCCCATGGACTTGAAGTCGCGGTCCTTGCCCTTGAACGAGCCCGCCGTGGACGCGAAGTGGTCCATCGAGCCGCTGGCGGCCTTGGCCGGGGCAGCCGTGGCCGCCGGGGCGGCCGCGGGGGTGGTGGAGCCGGAGAGCCACTCGGGCTCGGACGCGGCGCCCATGGCCTTGAAGTCGCGGTCCTTGCCCTTGAACGAGCCCGCAGTGGACGCAAAGTGGTCCATCGAGCCGCTGGCGGCCTTGGCCGGGGCGGCTGTGGCCGCCGGGGCGGCCGCGGGGGTGGTGGAGCCGGAGAGCCACTCGGGCTCGGACGCGGCGCCCATGGACTTGAAGTCGCGGTCCTTGCCCTTGAACGAGCCCGCCGTGGACGCGAAGTGGTCCATCGAGCCGGTCGAGGCGGCCGGGGACGCGGCAGCAGGGGCGGCGGCCGCAGGGGCGGCCGAGCCGGAGAGCCACTCGGGGCCGGACGCGGCGCCCATGGCCTTGAAGTCGCGGTCCTTGCCCTTGAACGAGCCCGCCGTGGACGCGAAGTGGTCCATGTTGCCCGTGGAGGCCGCCGGGGACGCGGCAGCAGGGGCGGCGGCCGCAGGTGCGGCCGAGCCGGAGAGCCACTCAGGGCCGGACGCGGCGCCCATGGACTTGAAGTCGCGGTCCTTGCCCTTGAACGAGCCCGCCGTGGACGCGAAGTGGTCCATGTTGCCGCTGGCGGCGGCCTTGGCCGGCGCGGCTGTGGCCGCCGGGGCGGCCGCCGGGGCGGCGGAGCCGGAGAGCCACTCGGGGCCGGACGCGGCGCCCATGGCCTTGAAGTCGCGGTCCTTGCCCTTGAACGAGCCCGCCGTGGACGCAAAGTGGTCCATCGAGCCGGTGGAGGCCGCCGGGGACGAGGCCGCCGGGGCGGCGGCCGCGGGGGCGGCGGAGCCGGAGAGCCACTCGGGCTCGGACGCGGCGCCCATGGCCTTGAAGTCGCGGTCCTTGCCCTTGAACGAGCCGGCCGTGGACGCGAAGTGGTCCATGTTGCCGCTGGCGGCGGCCTTGGCCGGCGCGGCTGTGGCCGCCGGGGCGGCCGCCGGGGCGGCGGAGCCGGAGAGCCACTCGGGGCCGGACGCGGCGCCCATGGCCTTGAAGTCGCGGTCCTTGCCCTTGAACGAGCCCGCCGTGGACGCGAAGTGGTCCATCGAGCCGGTGGAGGCGGCCGGGGACGCGGCAGCAGGGGCGGCGGCCGCGGGGGCGGCGGAGCCGGAGAGCCACTCGGGGCCGGACGCGGCGCCCATGGCCTTGAAGTCGCGGTCCTTGCCCTTGAACGAGCCCGCCGTGGACGCGAAGTGGTCCATCGAACCGGTGGAGGCGGCCGGGGACGCGGCCGCAGGGGCGGCGGCCGCAGGGGCGGCCGAGCCGGAGAGCCACTCAGGGCCGGACGCGGCGCCCATGGACTTGAAGTCGCGGTCCTTGCCCTTGAACGAGCCCGCCGTGGACGCAAAGTGGTCCATCGAGCCGGTGGCGGCCTTGGCGGGGGCCGCCGTGGCGGGGGGCGCGGAAGACGCCGCCGCCGAGCCGGAGAGCCACTCGGGCCCGGACGCGGCGCCCATGGACTTGAAGTCGCGGTCCTTGCCCTTGAACGAGCCCGCCGTGGACGCGAAGTGGTCCATGTTGCCGGAGGCTGCGGCCTTGGCCGGCGCGGCCGCGGGGGCGACGGGCGCCGCCGTGGCGAAGGGGGTGCCCGCGAGCCAGTCGGGGCCGGACGCGGCGCCCATGGACTTGAAGTCGCGGTCCTTGCCCTTGAAGGAGCCCGCCGTGGACGCGAAGTGGTCCATGTTGCCCGTGGAAGCGGCCGGGGACGCGGCAGCAGGGGCGACGGCCGCAGGGGCGGCCGAGCCGGAGAGCCACTCGGGGCCGGACGCGGCGCCCATGGCCTTGAAGTCGCGGTCCTTGCCCTTGAACGAGCCCGCCGTGGACGCGAAGTGGTCCATCGAACCGGTGGAGGCGGCCGGGGACGCGGCAGCAGGGGCGGCGGCCGCGGGGGCGGCGGAGCCGGAGAGCCACTCGGGGCCGGACGCGGCGCCCATGGCCTTGAAGTCGCGGTCCTTGCCCTTGAACGAGCCCGCCGTGGACGCGAAGTGGTCCATGTTGCCGCTGGCGGCGGCCTTGGCCGGCGTGGCTGTGGCCGCCGGGGCGGCCGCCGGGGCGGCGGAGCCGGAGAGCCACTCAGGGCCGGACGCGGCGCCCATGGCCTTGAAGTCGCGGTCCTTGCCCTTGAACGAGCCCGCCGTGGACGCGAAGTGGTCCATCGAGCCGCTGGTGGCGGCCGCGGCCGGGGCGGCCGCTGCGACGCGCTCCTGCTCCATGCTCGCGAGCGCTTGCTCCGCGGCCGACTGCTCGCCGAGGCCGGCGACGTTGCCCGCGAGCCAGGCCGGCGCGGACGAGCCGCCCACGGCCTTGGGCTTCTCTTGCGCGAAGGTGTCCAGGGACCCGGCGGCGCGGCCACCGAGCGGCGGCACGTAGCCCTTGACGTCCTCGGCGGCCTTGCCCGCCGCGAAGTTCTTCTCGTTCTTGAGGCGCTCGAGGTTCGCGACCTTGACCGCGATCCACGCGGCCTCCCACGCGGCCTGCTCGGCCTCCGCGTCGTTCACGAGGCGGCCGTCGGCGCGGATCGCGTCGAGGGCCGCCCGCGCGGCGACCTCGGCCTCGTCGTTGGACTGACCGTCAAGTCCAGCGACTGACTGCTGTTCTTCGAGCCACGCGGCGCGCAGGCCCTCGAGGGCCCGTTTCGTCGTCGGCGCGTTGTTCTGGAAGGCGGCGACGCCTGCGCTGAGCGCGCACAGTCGCAGCCAGGCCATTCGTAGCTGTCCCGAAGCGGATGCAGAACGGAACACCTTCAAGCCTGAGCGGTCGATGACATCAGTCACAAATCGTACGTACGCGTTGCCGCAAAGTTGCCCTCAACCTGGTGTCTCTGTCACGAGCTGCGCGGCTCGGGGGGCACCCACCGACGCGCAATGGCGCAAGAGAGTCGCCTTGCGGCTATTCGACACAAACATCGGCCACAACCAGAGGGCGTGCAGTCCCACATGAGCGACGGGGTCGTCGCCGCGGTGGTCGCCGAAGTGCTTCCCGCTGGCGGTTGGTCAACGTGGCAGGCGCCGTTTCTCGGTTGGTTTATACGGCTATATTAGCATGGTCGGGTGGGGGGTCCACGCTAAGGGTACAGGGGGGGGGTGCCGCGCGCTCGGGCCTGAGGCCGTCGCCACGCGGACCTGGGCCGTCTCGGGAGGTGGGCGTCGAAGGCGGCGATCGAAGGTGGCGGCGTGGGAGCGATTTTCTCGTACCTACACCGAGAGCCAGGACGGCGTCGAAGCGCCGCCCTTGGCTTTGGCGCCGTCTTTGCGGCCGACCGTTTTTTTGAGCCAGGCCAGCGCGCCCGCTCCCGAGGCGGAGGAGGAGTCGCCCCAGGCGGCGGACGCGAGCGACTGCGTCGCCGCAGGAGCGGACGAAGCCGGCGCGGACGAACTCCAGTCGCGGTCCTTGCCGACGAAGGCGCCCGCCGTCGACGCGAAGTGATCCATCGAGCCGCCAGCGGGAGCGGCCGCGGCCGCGGGGGCCGCCGCAGGGGCGACCGCGGCCGAAGGGGCGGCGGCCGCGGGGGCGGCCGAGCCGGAGAGCCAGTCGGGGCCGGACGAGGCGCCCATGGACTTGAAGTCGCGGTCCTTGCCCTTGAACGAGCCCGCCGTGGACGCGAAGTGGTCCATGTTGCCCGTGGAGGCCGCCGGGGACGCGACCGCGGCCGCGGGGGCGGCGGCCGCGGGGGCGGCCGAGCCGGAGAGCCAGTCGGGGCCGGACGAGGCGCCCATGGACTTGAAGTCGCGGTCCTTGCCCTTGAACGAGCCCGCCGTGGACGCGAAGTGGTCCATGTTGCCCGTGGAGGCCGCCGGGGACGCGACCGCGGCCGCGGGGGCGGCGGCCGCGGGGGCGGCCGAGCCGGAGAGCCAGTCGGGGCCAGACGAGGCGCCCATGGACTTGAAGTCGCGGTCCTTGCCCTTGAACGAGCCCGCCGTGGACGCGAAGTGGTCCATGTTGCCCGTGGAGGCCGCCGGGGACGCGACCGCGGCCGCGGGGGCGGCCGAGCCGGAGAGCCAGCTGGGGCCGGAAGCGGCGCCCATGGACTTGAAGTCGCGGTCCTTGCCCTTGAACGAGCCCGCCGTGGACGCGAAGTGGTCCATGTTGCCCGTGGAGGCCGCCGGGGACGCGACCGCGGCCGCGGGGGCGGCGGCCGCGGGGGCGGCCGAGCCGGAGAGCCAGTCGGGGCCAGACGAGGCGCCCATGGACTTGAAGTCGCGGTCCTTGCCCTTGAACGAGCCCGCCGTGGACGCGAAGTGGTCCATGTTGCCCGTGGAGGCCGCCGGGGACGCGACCGCGGCCGCGGGGGCGGCCGAGCCGGAGAGCCAGCTGGGGCCGGAAGCGGCGCCCATGGACTTGAAGTCGCGGTCCTTGCCCTTGAACGAGCCCGCCGTG